AAAAGGCAAAAGAGCGCACCAGAGCGGAGCAAAGGGAGGGCATCAATATGAGGTCATAAATATTAAGGGAGGGAGGGTATATATAGAGATGAAAAGATATATATATAATGTCAGTATGATGTAGTGGTTAGTGTGCCTGCTCAAGAAGGTCATGTGACATTATTGGATTTATTTTTGAGGTCCTGGGTTCAATTCCCTGAATTGCCTTCTTTTCTAATGATGCCATAATTGACATAGATTGGGAAGCTTACTAAGCCACTTTGTCATCCTGATGGAATTATTGTATATGGGCTGGATGTAAACTGACACTCCTGATGTATCACAATTAACTGTCAACTAACAGTGTTTGATGCATCAAAGTAGCAGCTACAGGTGGTCGGGAAGTCCTATCGGGATGAATACTGAAAGCTGGAACACATGGACCAGCTTACAAAACCACCCCAATATGTCTGAGGAGTGAAGGGACAAAATATCACAATCACTCTGCAACTAGAGACCTTTGATACTATGGCCCATCACTCCGTGAAGGCCCTGATCGACAGTGGCCATACTGGAAGCGCTATTGACCGGCAGTGGACCTGTGATTGTGGTATTACCACACATAAAGCAGCTCACCCCACCCCAGTCTATAACGCGGATGGTACTCATAACAAAGGCAGCGACATCACCGAATTTGCTGAAGTCTGACTTAAGATTGGAGACCACAGCGAACATATTGAATTAGCAGTCGTTGACCTAGGAACCACACCCATCTTCCTAGGACATGACTGGCTACAAAGACACAACCCACTCATCGACTGGAATATGGGTTCGGTAACCTTAGCATGCTGCGACTGCCGCAAGGTACCATTCCGACTCCCAGACGAGGACCCAGAACAACGGTGGGGAACCGAAGTCGAAGATGGGGATACAATCCTCATCATAGACTTCGAAGAAGCCTTTCACATATGAGCAGTGGGATATAAAGCCAATGACCTAGCAGCCAAGGCCCATGAGGGAAAGGAGGTAAAAACGTTCAAGGAAATTGTCCCTGAACATTACCGAGACTTCATCGATGTTTTCACCAAAGAAAACTTTGATGCGCTTCCCCCTCGCAAACCTTGGGACCATGCCATTGAGCTTATTCCTAATGCCAATGCCAGTCTGGACTGCAAGATATATCCCTTAAACCCAAAGGAGCAGGAGGAATTGGACAAATTCCTTGATGAAAACCTGGCCACCAGCCAAATTCGACCCTCCAATTCCCCAATGGCGTCCCCCTTCTTCTTTGTCAAGAAAAAGGATGGAAAACTGCAGCCAGTACAAGACTACCACAAGCTTAATGAAATAACCATCAAGAATCGCTATCCCTTACCGCTTATTTCTGACCTTATGGATAAGCTCAAGGATGTGAGGTATTTCACTAAGCTAGACGTCCATTGGGGATACAACAATGTCCGAATCAAGAGGGGAGACGAGTTCAAGGCCACATTTCGTACTAACCGAGGACTCTATGAGCCCATGGTTATGTTCTTTGGATTGACCAATTCACCCGCCACATTCCAGTGGATGATGAATGACATCTTTAAAGATCTCATTGTGCAGGGAAAGGTCACCATCTATTTGGATGACATCCTCATCTTCACAAAGGACAAGGTGGAACACCAAAGAATTGTACGAGAAGTCCTGAGGATTCTGTGCAAGAACAGATTGTTCTTGAAGGCAGAAAAATACGAATTCGAGGTACTCGAAACTGAGTACCTCAGAGTTATTATCAGCAAAGGATCCATTAAAATTGATCCAATAAAAATCGCTGGTATCATGGACTGGCCAGCACCCTCCAGGAAACAGGAACTGCAATCATTCCTAGGATTCACCAATTTCTATCGACGGTTCATCTGGCACTATAGTGCAATTGTCAAACCAATGATGAAACTCACAGGGAAGGTCTCTTGGACATGGGGGAAAGAACAACAAGAGGCATTTGAGGAACTCAAACGTCAATTCGCAATGGGAGTCGTTTTGGCGATGCCAAATGACTACAACAAGTTCTGCATGGAGGTGGACTCTAGCGAAGGGGCCATTGGTGCCATCCTGTCACAGGAACAGGAAGGGAAATGGTGCCCGATTGCATTCCTTTCGAAATCTCTTTCCACGATGGAACAGAATTATGAGATTTACGACAAGGAATTACTAGCAATAATGATCGCCCTAGAAGAATGGCGACACTATCTTATGGGTGCCCATTAAGATTTTGAAATCTGGACGGATCACTCAAATCTACAATACTTCCGCAAACCTCAGAAACTCAACCGCTGACAAGCACGATGGGTCACCAAGTTGGCAGGGTACCATTTCACGCTCAACCACAAGCCAGGAGCATCCAATAGGAAGGCCAACCATGATCAAGGCAAGAAGGACAATGACGATATTGTCCTCCTGAAGCCAGAATTCTTCCGTGCCCTGATAATGCCAACGGAGGAAGAAGTTCATGGCAAAATTCGGAGAGCTACGAGCAATCACCAATGATGGGACCGAGGAATTGCTTCAAGTCTCAATCATGAGAAGGGGGTCATCGAAAAGGACCACCTCCTACACTACGATGGACGCATCTACATCCCTCGTGATCACATGCTATGAGGAGAGCTTATCTCCCACTACCATGATCATGTCTCTGCAGGACACCCAGGTATCGAAAAGACCAAGGAATTGATCTTAAGAGATTACTAGTGGCCTAAACTGCGAAGAGACATGGAAACTTATGTATGAGGATGCGAGGCATGTCAGAGGACAAAGACTGACATGCAGCAGAAGGCAGCTCTGCTACATCCTAACGCCATACCATCTCGACCCTGGGAACACATCTCGGTCAACATGATTACTGGATTTCCAGAGTCTAAGGGGTATGATGCAGTACTAGTCATGGTAGACCAATTCTCAAAATACATCGTGCTGATTCCATGCACGAAGGAACTCTCGTCGAGTGGATGGGCCAAAATCCTACGCGACGAGATCATCTGTCAATTTGGGGTCACCCCCTCCAAAGTCATCTCAGATCGGGGACCACAATTCATGTCAAAATTCATCACCGAACTATATGCAATGATGAATATTCAAGGAAATCTGTCAACAGCTTATCACCCTCAGACGGATGGACAAACGGAACGTGTTAACCAAGAGCTTGAAAAATACCTTCAAGTCTTCATTAACCACAAACAGGACAACTGGAGTGAGTGGCTGCAGTGGGCAGTATTCGCTCACAACAACTGCCAACACTCTGCAACGGGCTTTTCCCCCATCAAAATCGTCTTTGGATGGGATGGGGAAATTCGCCCAACTGTGGTGAGGCAGTTGGAAACACCATCGGTAACTGACTTCATCGAAAGCCTCCAGAGAGTATGCAAACAAGCAGAAGACTCTCTGAATAAAGCCACTGAAGTTATGAGAAAGGCTTACAACAAACACACTCGTCCTGCGCAGGAGTACCAACCAGGCAACAAAGTCTGGTTGGATTCCACCAACCTTCACCTTTCCTGGCCAACAAAGAAACTAGACAATAAATGCGTTGGCCCCTTTGAAGTAATCTCCAAGAAGGGGTCCTCCATGTATGAGCTAAAGCTACCGCCAGGGTGGAAGATCCACAACAAGTTCAATGAACGATACCTAACTCCGTACGTCCCCCCGGAGTTTTCCAACCAGGAAAAACCTCCGCCACCTGAGCCAGAGCTTATGGAAGGCGAAGAAGAATATGAAGTAGAGGAGCTACTTCAAGACCATGACCACATCATCAGTCGAGGACACAGCCGGAGAACCATAACTGAATATTTGGTCAAGTGGAAAGGATATCCAGTGGAGGAAGCCACCCGGGTCAAGAGGAGCAATCCTGCCAATGCCGAAGAACTCGTCAAACAATACGAGAACAAGGAAGACCGCGTAGGGGATCACGATTTGCAACACTTGGAAAACAAAGGGGGATGTATAACCATATCATCTCCTGGCTCTTCAACCAAGAGCTCAACACTCTTTCCAGTCTCAAACAGGAATCATACCGATCCATTATCCCTTGATGAACAGGGCTTTTATTCATCGGACATGGATGAAGACGTCTTCGAAGATGAGTGTCCCATGTCTCCTCTAACGACTCAGACCGACCCCAGCTTCCTTCAAGAAGAATAGGGCATGTTTGCTTGGGAGCAAGCCAAGGACTACAAATGGGATATGGAATCTACTAACTCCCTCGACTCAGGGAGTGAGTACGTCTAAAGGACTGTCAGGATGACAGTCTTAGTTGGGAGGTATTATTATGACTTTACCCCTATTTTTCTTATCTTATCTTATCCTTATCACTCGGAACCTCAGACCTACCTATCTTATCTCTCAGACCCATGATATTCCACTGGCACATTCCTTACCCGTTTACCTGGTTGCCATCACCCCAGTTCACAGCTGCCGCATCCCGGATGACCGACGACCTGCATGCACCATCATGCTTCTCTTGATGGCATCATGCTTCTTAGTAGTTGGACAGGAGTCGACTGCTAGTCGAGGGCGGTCTACAGGATGCAGCCCATTCAGACGGAGTCCCGCACAGATGCAGGTGATATGTGCTCTTTACTCTCATTCATCGGGAGCGTACTTCTTTCAGTGCCCTCACTCCTCATTCGTTGAAAGATGCACTTCTAGCTGCACGTGCCCTTGTAGATACTATTCTTAGTACAAGTCTAACATGTATTTAAGCTAGCCTATACTGTGGCTTCAAACCCCAGCTTCGGCTAAAGTTATATACTCCTAACTCTTACAAGCTCCTTGCTTTCACTAATAAGTGATGCCTAACTTCTCACAATCTACCAACGCCTCTCTAACACTGAATCACTGAACACGAGTGACAGGATAGAGATCAGCCTTGGTTCAGATTAGAGTTAGTGCATAACACCTGTGGGGTGGTGGACCAGTATGTTTCATAGGGCAGGCTATCGTGCATGTGCCACCAGAACTGGTCCCAGTTCATCCTATAGAGTTCTTCAGCAGTAGGGTCTGGTACTGGACTCCTGAACGAACTTGTCGCCTTCCTCATTGAAGGGGGGTTCATTTGCATATTCTCCCGCATGGGTGAGCCTGTCGATTTGTATCCTGGCTCTAACCCACGGGTCCAATCGATCGGTATGATCAGTTGGATGGAAGATGGGTTCGTACCATAGGAGGTAGGGATTTCCATCGATCCATATCTGGTTCCAGTTCCAGACATATGCAAAGTATCTTCGATATTCTTCGAAAATGAGGTCGAAGTCTTCTCTATCGTAGACCCACCACTGGAGCTCCCTTTGGGATATGAAGGGCAGCTCAACATAAAAGGTGGGTTCTGGGTTAAGGAAGGGTTTGAGCTCTGAGTGAGGCCCAACTTCGTTATATCAGGCTCGGGCCAGGTCCTGTAGTTGCTGGCAGATTCTGCACCAGCAGTGGGGCCAGTCGTTGTGATTTGCCTGATTGAGCTCTTCCTTGACAGGGTTTGGGACATCTGTGGTTCCAGCAAGGGAGTGTGCTCCAGTGAACCACCAGATGATGGTGTCGTCCTCAGGCCCATCGTCCACAAAGAAGACTCTGCACTCTGGCTGTGGGGATTTGGTATGGAAGTGATCATCCCATGGGTCGTCGTCGTTGTAATATGGGGTTTGGGCCCCAGAGAGTCTTGGGAGTGTGAGTGGGATAGGGTTTTCTTCCTTGGTGATAGTGTCGAGGGTTCCCCCAATGGTGGAGGTTGACTCAACTGGTGAGATTTGTGCAGTCGCGGTGTCTGCAAGGCTTCTGAGGTCTGCGATGGTGATAATCTCTCTGGCTGGGGCATGACGTTAAAGTTCTGCCCACTCAGCGAGCTCTCTGGGGTCAGGTTGGATTGGAGGGTCTGGAATGTATCAATTTGAGCTAGGGATTGGCGACGAATAGTGTCGTGGAGTGTTGATCCCATAGACTCATCGGGTTCCATCTGCTGAGTACCAGGATAGTCAGCTGGAGGAGTGGGTCGGAGACCCAGGGCCTTGGATTCTTGGCTCTGGGGAATTCCTCGTCATATCCCTTGACTTGCCTTCTGTTGTCGTGCCACTTCTAGCCATGACGGGCTCTCCCCAGGACCGCTGGCTGTGCCCATCTGTTGACTGGGCACTCCCAGGGTCTGAACTATCTGGGCCGCCGCTGCTGCTTCCCACATTGCACCTGGCATTTGGTCATACCCACTCTCCTTCAATTGCTCCTGGTGTTGTACCCAGGAGGTGTATTTCATGGCCTCTGTTGGTGAAGATTCTTCTTCTAGTGACATCAATGTAGATCCTTCGGGCTTCTCGTACATGTAGCTGCTCTCTGGAACTGTCACCGTCGTCGTTTGGAGGGATGCTGTGTTGTCCGAGGTTTTCTTCCCGAAGGGGAGACCCAACTTCTTCGCCCCTGCTGCCATTTTGCCCTTCCACATCTTGCTGTGAAGGGACACGGTCGTCCTCTGGGGTGAGGTTTTTTGAGGCCGGGTATAGGTGTTCGAAGCTCTGCGACTGAGGACTGCGGCATGCTTGGGCGGAGTCTGATGGAAGTGAGGTGTCTGGTGGAGGATTCATTAGAGTCCGTTACTCGCTCACTTGGGAGGGTCGGTGCTCTTTGTCATGTTCGTTCTAGCTCATAAGCATATAAAAGGATCATGGATTCAAGGGTGACCACAGAGGTGTAGGCTTCACGGTCTTTGGGGTTCATACAGTCACCGTCGTTGAACAGCGATGAAAGTACTAGTCATGATTAACAGTATGACCACTGTTATTGTGGAGAGTCATAACAGGAATACATAGAATCAACAGTGTAACCGTTGGTTCGATGGTGAGGGTATGTGAAGCAAGCTTCGGCTAATTGTAATGCACTAACTTGGATTGCTTGATGTTTACCTCCAAACTGTCACTCACGTTCGGTGATTCAGTGTGATGGAGGGCATTGCAAACACTAGGTTAGGGATGATAGTCCTTAGTCTTTGAAGCAGGGAGTTTCTGCATGGAAAGTTAGGAGTGTATAACTTTAGCCGAAGCTGAGGTGTAAGACCACAGCAAGGCTTGACTAAATACATTGCGGTATTTACTAGTATGTACTGTCCTAATGCATCGCTGTCTTCTGTATCATATGGCACTGGTATGGTAGAAGTCCTCCTGTGAACATTAAGGCTTCTGTCCTTATGGTGCTTGGTATAGGAGAAGTGCTCAGGCAAGTAAGAAGACTAGTGTCCGTATGGTGCTTGATATGGTAGAAGCATGTCAGTGAGTCAGAAGACTAGTGCCCATGCAGTGCTTGTCTTCTGAGGAACGTACGTGGTGTCCTATCCATCCTGGGTGTGACTTGTGTCATCCCATGAAGCATGAGGGAATATCAAGGGTGGAGCCCATCGAAGTATGATTGGGTCTATGGGCCATCAAACGGATCATGCATGTGAGCAGTGCGATCATGCGTGTGGGGTCATGAATGGTGTGGATCAGGTATGAGCAATGATGACGAGAGTCGAATGACGAGTTGCTAAGATAAGATAAGATGAGATAAGATAAGATGAAAAATAGAGATGAATTCATGACAGTATCAGTATCAACAAGGAAGGCTGGGTTGATCAGACCAGGTGGAATCTGTAGGCAACAAAGAGAGAGAGAGAGATTAAGAAAGAAGCATAAAGAAAATCAAACTTGTCAAAATATGTGATGGAGGCATGATGAGTAACACATCTGAAGTCACATGAGATTAGGAGAGATAGTAGACTTTCAAGTAAAGCTTAGTTTCAGCCAATAGATTGGTGTGAAAATTGAAGCTGGGTATCTACACACAACACTGGCTGTACTTATACTAAAGCTAGAGAATCACATGTAAGATAACCAGGATAATAAGGAATAAAACTGAATATAATGAGTGTCATATGAGTTAGACAGAGAGCCATAGTATAGAAAGGAGTGAGTAAAAAATGGCTCAGAAAAAGGTATATGAAGGAGTGACTAGTAAGTTAGGTAAGCATGATGAACCAGGTATTCCATTACATCTAGTCCTCACTACCTGAACAACAGCTCACTAGATTAATCAAGGACTTGAAGCATGGAAGTTAGACATCTGCTTCACAATTGGGTCCATTGACTTGACTCAATATCTGGGCTGAAAGACTGTGGTTGAAGACCCACCCAATGGCCTTAGTAATGTTGTTCAGCAAGGACCTGTGCAGCTGAGATAGCTTGGAAATATGGGCATCAATTAGGTGGTCTCTGATTTGGTGCCAAAGCTCCTCTTCTGTGAAATGTATATCCTCATACTAGTGCATTACTTCCATCCACTCTTCATCATGCAGGATTACAATCTCCAAGGAGGGATCCTATGAGGAATGTATCAGCATGTAAATTGTTGTCTGCAGGTAATTTACCATATTCAGCAGATATTCATTCACTGCCACTGAAGGATTCAAGAGCTGATAGTAGAATTAGTTTTGGTATGTACTGAGAATGACTGACATAAATCTCACCTCACTTTCTCCAGGTGAAAATTTTGATACTTTTGCAACCAATGACCTATCATCAACACTCTCTGCCAACATCCCACTCTGATCTGAGTCTGGATCCTCCAGCACTTTCCCAAAACCAAAGAATGAGGAAGTACGAGCCCAAAATCCAGTTTTTTCATTGCTCAATGGAAGAGGAGCACTCTTAGTGTCAAAAGAAGGAACCCTGTCTTTGGAGGAGCCACTGAGGTGATAAGGAACCGACTTCCGCCTTGATTTATTGAACAGGCTTTCTGAAATTGATATCATAAAACCCCATGCGAAGACACATTGGTTCTCATGATCTGTCGGGTAAGAATAATGGGCGATAGGATTTGGAAATAAGCTCTTTTCCACCCCGGAATCACCGACCCACAAGTTTGCAACCTTAACCATTACTCCACCAGTGCTCACTAAAGTACACTTGAGGGAAAACATGATGGAGTGGTCTGTCCTTCCAACGGCTGCATTCCCCCAGGTAGTTGTTTTATCACACCCGGTGACAAGATACAAAGAGCCGTTTGGTGCCTGCCAACCCAATGTCCCATTGACATAATTGTACCATGATACTCCATGTCATTGAGCGTAATCTTTGATTGGTGCTTTGTTCAGAGCCTCATACTTTGTTGAACAATTTGGAAGGAACAGGATTGCTGCGGATGCCTCCATAATGCTAACATCAAAGGAGACACCAGCATCCACTTGAATGCTATTATCAAGAATCAAGAAGAATTTAGACAACAAAATCAAGATTATGACTGTCTACACACCTCTGCAAACCCTGAGCAGAAGCGCCTGCCGAAACCTCTCTGCAGGATACATGCTGACTTTTAAGAACATCTCCGTGGGCTGGCGAAATTTGTACATCCCGTGAGGTCGGTTCAGGGAGAGGTTGAAAGCCAGGAGGTACTCGTCGCTCATCAATTCGACCATTAGCATCGCCGAAGATATTGAAGAGAAAGTTGAAACCCCCATCATTGTTAAGAATCCCTACATCCCCAGGATATATGCCTCTTTCCTTGAACTCAGCTGATGCGCTGGAGTCTGGCTCTGGATACCAAAACGGATAGCCACGGCCTTTGTGGATGAGCTCCTTTGTGTAGAGGGTGCGGGGGTGCTGTTCAGCCATGGAAGTTTGGATTAAACCGTGTTTGATGACAAACCTGTGCTCAGGGGTGTGAGAAGATGCTGAACGGCAAAAGCTTCCAAAAGCTTCCATGGCTGTAATGATTCCGATCGGCAATTCACAGAACACGTAACATGCCTTTTTCGAAGGTAGTTGTATCGGTCTTCCTTTGTTACTTTTGGCGGCCTGCCGGTGTCAGATACACTATATATGTAAATTTCACAAATTCACATCGTGTTTGAGCGAACTTTGACGGTTTCATAATAACCCCCCAGTGAAGCTGTAGCCGAAATCGAACAGTGGTGGCGCAATGAATTGAAAGCACAAATAGATGAATACTCACCGGTCACCCACCGGCTAGTACATGGACATGCTGCATGTCATGAGTATATAATTTGTAGTCACCAGATGTCAACTTCATTGAAGAGCATCTGCCACAATGACTACACATGACTGGATAGATGGATCACAGTGTCGTAAGTAGGCCGTAGGTGCTGTAGAGTTTGATGCTTCCGTGAACTTGCACAGGCCAGGCGGGCCTACCTCGCAGAAAATAATGCTTCCCTTTCGAGTTAAAACTAGGTTGCGCTGACTTCTGAAATGGTATGACAAGCCTAGAGCTGTTCTCAAAGAAACGAGTTGAGGGGTGGATGTGAATATAAAACGACTTTGAGACATTCGGAGGCGGTGCGTGATAGGTGTGCTATTCCAAGAAAGAAGTACCTCGCGAAGCGCGCGGTGACTACTTGAGGTTCTGAGATTGAGCGAGGAATGACCAGTAGAACAGGGTTTGTGGGCGAGAGAGTATGATGCAACCGGATTCCTTTTCCTCTCACAACTTCGAGGCCTCTTTCCCCGGTGTGGGCGGTGGCCGCGTACGAATCAAGTGTATCTTTAACGAATGCGCAGGTGGACAGTGGAAAAGTTGGTTCATGATAAAGAGGGGTCCTATTTCCACTCGCAACATCGGCAGAAAACGCATCAGAGCGAGCCAATGAGTGCCAGTTGTAACGAGGAAGTTTTTAATCAAAATCATGTCAGAAACGTGGTCATCTCGAGGCTTCAAAAGACAATGCAATGATAAGTGTAGGCGGGAAAACAATGTGACATTGGCGATATTGAACAGCTGATATGCAAAGACGGGCTGAAGACGTGCAGGAGGAACGCAATGGGTGTTCTGTGCGGATGGATGGATGGATCCTTTATTACCCGAAGTTGCTCCTCGACAGAAGCATGACGGGGTCCGTACTACAGCTCCCCGGATGTACACAACAAACACGAGGGACAATGCTGCTGTGGTAACAAACCGGTCCTGCGCTCTGCTGCCATGGCAAAGCTCTGTCATGAGTACACCTTCACAGCCTCGGAAGTAGGTAGGCTGATATTTTTGTCAATAACATTATTCGGACACCATGCAGAAGCACGCCAGTCATGGGCAGTGCAAATGCTGTCGGCAACAAGTGAAGAGGAGTCGTAGCGCGAAAGCCTTTCGATAACCCTCCTTCATCATAGCGCGCCGTAGCCTTGTGTGACGGAATGAAGTCGCGCAGTGGTGGTGGTAGATTTGGGATTCGTGATCACAGACATTGGGAATATAACACGGTCGTTATCCATAACCCAGGAGATCTAACTTTTAATCCAACTGTCCAAAATGCGTCACCACCACCGACTGAACACTTCCTGTCGCACCTCCTGGTTCTCGACGTCGACTTCTGGAACCGGTCGATTCCTAGAGACCACAACGAGTGGCTTTGATCCGGGTGTCCTCTTCTTGAATCAGGGGTTGAAGGCGAAGGCCGAACATACACGATGTCGAACCCCGCTTATCGATAAATAGGCAAGCAGACTTGGCCCCGTTTGATGGTGAGCTTGCGCACGGTGGGTAACATAAAATTAATTACAACATCTTGATAGTACCGCTCCGTTGAAATGTGGGAGGCCGAGGTCGAAGATGATGCGTCGGGTCTTGGTTGTGGCAGACAAAGATTATCTCCAGCTCGTCGACATTGGGAGTTAACCTACTCTGGTCATTGGTTTCACCTGCAGCGAGCTTTTGAAGACGAATGACACCCGACGGAGATAGAGATGAGGGAACATGAAGGACCCGCTGAGGTTAGGTAATTTTCGTGACAGAAGTACAGTCATACAACGGCAGCGGGAGGATATGTATTCGGCGTTGGAGATAAATTCCTCGGAGTCATCCATGCGGAATAGGAAGAGCTTTTCCTTTTCTAAGAAAATGAAACAGAGATAGTAGTCGACATATGAGCATGAGGGAATGAACATGTCGCTGAATGCCGTGGTATGCGCGTAGCCAGAATCGGCAGAGGTGAGGACGATCTTGCCCTCCGCGACAATGCTTTCAGAGAGTTCGACAGAAGTCGTTTACAATGTCGGGAACAAGATATCGATGAAAATAAACTTTGCTGATGGTAGGAGCGGACCGGAAATTAACACGTCTCAAGGTATGTTAGATGAGGTGTTGTCGAGGTGTTGTGTTATCTCTGATAAGACACCGTCTATGGACCATCCTCTCTATGCACGACCGTTGGCAAAGGTTGAGGACAAGCCACAGAAGCTTAGGAAGCTGGTGATTCGGCTTTATTATACGTCAGAGACCATAAAGCGCTGAAGCTTGAATCCAGGTTATTGTGGAGCAGACTGCGGTAGACTCTGAGCATGCCGTTAGTGTTGTATTTACATAGGATAGACATGAGCACGCACCTCCTCTTTCGGCGTCCCGAAATCCAACATCATGCAAATGTCCACGGATGCGCATCCTCTTTGCTGACAAAGACTTCAAGGTCCTCGGCTTGGATCTCCTTCCGAAGCTGCTCAGCCAGCACAGAAAGATAACCGCGTTCCCTATTCGTGTGGCCGCCTATAAAAAGAATTTCAGCAGCGCCTTTATCGTTCATACCGCAAGCACTTACACAAAATGGCATGCTTCCCAGCGGCGACTGATGCTATTACTTCCATACTTGATACTATCGTCGAGATGTCAGTACGCTGGCAGGAACCAGAATATGAAAGAAATACAAACATGCGACATCCCCCCAATGAAATAAACGTCTGTTTCACGTCCAACGAGCATCGACCCCGTCCGAATGACGCTTAGTGCGGCGGAAGGATATGCTACTTGAACTGAGAGAATACATCAGCCACCAAGAACAATTACCAATTAGTAAAAGGATTTCTCACCTTGTGGTAGCCCAAGATACCGCTTCACCCTACCCACAAGCTCTTTCACCGACACCGGCTCATCCAGGATCACCAAACGACTCTCCGCACCCTCGCTCGTCCCACTCGCATCGAGTTTCTCACCCATAAAGGCGCTGACTTTACCGGTACCAAACCCTTTGGCAAGCCAGTCGTTCAAGCCTCCCCAGACAGAGTCCAATGATGAACGTGGCGAGAAGATTGAGATCCCTTCTGCTGCGCACTGGAGAAGCGAAGTTTGCAGAGGGTTAGTGATTGGAGAGGCTTGAATATCGGTGGATGGTACGAGACGACGACTGGCGCGCTGAGCGTGATGGACCCGTCGACGACTGACGGATTAAGCTAGTTAAGGCTGAAGAATGTTGAAAATTAGACTTGATATAGGTCAAGAGTGGGAAAACGGACTCGATAGTGAGTAAGACGCAATTCCTGCCTTTTAGTTTATGCGAGGGAGACTCTGGAGACGTCATAAGAGACTTGTTCGTCACGTCCAAGGGCCTTACCAAGTAATAATCCAACCTTGAACGACATGAACACGAGAACAAATCGGAGTCAAAGGGCTTACATTGTCCCATTTCTCTGCCAGCCGGAGAGGAGCAATACTCTCCATAACCTTGCATACAGTTTTGACGAAAGGAATACACATCAAGGTAGCGTCTTGAGGTTGAGGTTGAAGTATCGTTACATAACAGATGATGGTGGTGATGGTCAGAGTTGGTTGAAATCGACGGCGCAAGTGATGGTGGTTCAAAGTTCAAACAGAAGCGGTATCCGGACCGATTGCCGCAGCTGACATGGCCTTTTCCTTTCCACTAGCTTTTACGCATCCGTTCGTGCTCGATTCTGGATATACTTCGAAGCCTGGCTTATCAGCTGTTATACTGTGCCGGTACTTGATCCGTGAGCAAGGAGAGGGCTCAAGCCCAGGGCGAGCAGCACCGTTACAGAGAAAATAGTGCGTATCCAATAGGTTTGCCTGTAAGCTCAGGTTGACGATATTTGCAATATGACAGCCTACTTCTTCTCCAACAATGCCTCGCAGACTAGTTTACGTTGGACAATCCATACTACTTTCCTATTTGCCTACCTGGACGAACCCTAGTTGCAAAAGAAATTGGCAGCACACTGCGACGATACCGTCTAAAAGAGGAGGATGAGCTGGGAAGGTCCAGCACGAATTTTCTGTGTCTGATATGAGATTGCCGATGGTTGAAACAGTCGAGGACATCTAAGAAAGGGATTCGTGAGCCTTCTTGGTGCGTTGTGTAAACGGTCTCCTACTATTCGTATTGACAGACACTATTCTAGTGCGAGACACTCATGCCGTGGCTTCATGAGAACAGTTCATGAACAGCTGCTAAGTAATGGTGCATTTTTTAGCCAGTCGTCTGCAGTATCAAAGCTTATCTTTCCTTCAGACCCCTTCGTCGCATTATCATGTGCGGGACGAAGTATGGCTCCCAGTTCTTCAGCTAATGCTGCACGTACCATCAACTACCGCTCGCTATTCCTAGATGAGTTCTAAGGGAAGGCGGTGAATCATGTTTTGTAGGTTGATTTTACGAGTCTATGGTTTATTGTTAGCTGACTGGATAGATGAAGATCAGAGGAGACGTGAGATCTCAAAGTTCGAACATTTATCAGCTCCAATATTCTACGCTGCGTCCACAAGAACATCTCCACGAGAGCTGCTGCAAGATAAATTCCCCCAATTCGCACTCTTCTCTCGATTACGTGGGTCCTTCCACGTTCGAGGAGCTGCCACTCTGGCACTTTCATGCTGAATGGCTGAGACTGTCTCTGTAGCCGGTCTCTTAACCGGACTGTCCCAGGACTACAATCGTTGTTGACTATTCATTATGATGCATGCTGGAATATAGCGGCTGCATCGACTGGACCAACGATACGCAAAAGCAACCTCTAAATGTGTCGAGCATCATGCCGTTTTCTTTGAATGCGAGACACTCTTATCTACTGGCCCTCGCGCATCCATGCCTGAATCTCAGAACAGTAGGAGAGGATGACGGTGACATGGAAAGGACAAGGCGCGCTTCGGTATGTTCGGACCGGGGCCCGTGAAGTCTAACCACGACGATAACGCACAGCCTGTTTTCCCGTTTTCCACTCAATTCTCCTTTGGAATATACAACAATGATACCGCGCAGAGCCATCTGCCCGATAAGAACAGGTGCGGTTAAGTTTCAGGAATTTTGATGGTGCGTACTTAGTGCGTCGCTTAAACGCTTGTACTAGCGATGTGAAAAAAACATAGAAGAATATGTATACAATGGGAACATTCGAGGACCACACGGAGCGATGCAACCTCATCATCGGCCGATGAAACATGTGTAAGAGCATTAATGCTTATTTTGAGAGAAGGTGGGGCCGTGGTTGGGGGGGTATCCCGCCCGAAATGGTACGAGATCGGGCTAGGAAGGAAATGAATGCTCGGGGATGTCGAGTGATCTTGGGACTTACCATCCATCCCCGCCACATCCTCCACCGTCTCCCCGTATCATTTATTCCAGCCACCCACATCCCGTACGCCGAAACATGGTCTCAGAGTAAACCTGGTTCTTGAGGGCACAGAAGCCTACGTCAACGTCCTTAGCGAGACAAGGACGCAGAAAGCGGCAATATCCGATGGTGCACCCAAAACTGTCTTTCGAGGGAAATATATCGTTCATATCAGGGTGATCAAGATCTGCGGGGGAAGTGAGCACTCTGGATGTCAGCGAGGAGCGAATGAACTTGCTCTCTTTTGCTCTCTTGCATGCTTCCAGATCTCCTCCCATCCATCCACCCCTTCCCCGCTCTGATACAATTCGCTTCTCGTCGTCATCGAGTACGACAAGTACATCCTGCCCTTCGCGCCGCTCGCAGACCACGACACGCCATCGCAAAGGAAAATTTGGTCCTTCTGCTCATGGGCAACTCCATCGTTGTTAGTAGGCTGGCGCTGATCGGTTATACGGTTGTAAGTCCAGGCGATGTTGGCAGACGTATGCATAGGCATGGAAGATTGTGGCTGCGGAACGAAGGTTAGGATAAACATACTGCTCACTAAGGGAACATATGTTGAATTCGTGTCAGGACACCATTGATACCTTTCTCTACGCCCATAGACCAAGCCGCATTAATACAACACTAAAGCCCTTGTCAGCGAGATTTGCAGATTTTTCGATATCGTGGTCTTGAACTTGGAACTTTTGGGGGATGGAAATGTCGGCTAAAATGGGCGGTAAGCAGCGCCTCAAACAGCTGCAAAAACAACACCTACATAGCGCCAATAAAGGAGGTTATAATCGTCTCGATGAGTCCTGGAGATCGTTGATAGGCGGGAAGAAAGACTCGTCAGTGGCGGTGGGGGCAGGAAATGAACGACTCGGCTGTATCCGAAGTTGGCCATCAACACCCATCTTGCGACGATGATGCTAACTGAGCACCGTTCTCTGCGACGCTGTTACACTAGTATAGGCATGGTCTCTGGATGAAGAAGGGTAGGAGGTAATGCTAGTGAAGGTGAGAATAGAATGTCCGTGGCAGCACACCCTTCTTTAGACCCCTGTATTCATAGCTGACCGTGCTTCACTACTAGGTTTCTTTCAACAGGGCCGAGAATACACCACCTTTCATTCAAGCCAAGGGACTATTCTTTCAAAATTATGGCATGTAAGCATTTGAAACGACCCGACTCCTTTGAACCTCTGAGCACAAACCTTCATCCATCCCCTCTTCATTTTTCCCTTCTCTTCTCTCGTTTTCCGATATAGTATGCCAGAGACAGCTACACGCTGTGTATACCGCCGAGATTGCTACACTCGTCGCCTCATACGGCAAGTTTCCCGCCTCGCGTCTTTGACGCGTCTGGTCTCGTGACCCTAAACCTACTCGTTTTGGGACCGAGCAGGTTTTGACGATAAACGATTTTTGTGCTTGACCACCATCTTCTCGCCGAGCTCGAATATGGAGAGCTCAATTTCTGCTGCTTTTTTTTTTTGATCTTTTTTATTCCTTCGCCTGAAGACTTCCCTCCATCAGCAACAATCCCACTCTCGACAGCGTGGGTATGCGCTTCCGTTGCGTCGAGCAGAGCGAGTTCGTAAAGGTAAGCATGGTTATTTTACTACACTAAGATTTACTGCAGAGCTTTGCAGTAGAGGATCTCAAGTTTTGATGTAAATTTTTGGATGGAAACACGGTGGCCAAGGTGCGTGGAATACATATGTCATTTATTCTCGCCTCGCTCACCTCTCGACATTCCTCAGCATTGTCACAATACATCTCTCCCTCTCCGATACGCCAACAACACCTCCCTCTCATATGATCAAGTGTATGCCCCCTGCCCCTCCTTTCCCTGTCGCTCCTGCAATTTGTTAAGATAGCGCGTCTATGCACCATCGATAAGGAAGGCTGATAAGCATGATTTGGGGGTGCAGCATTTTTCCGTTGAGCTCAAAGGTGAGACCAATGTCCTTCTATCTCTTTTCCGTGGCTTATGCCCCAATTTTAAAGCCGTTTTCTCTTGAACAGTCATGCCAACGACGCGCACGCACACGACTGCACTGAGATGGGGAAGCCAATCAAGGTAAACCTCATCGTTGAAACCACCATTCCTTTGCTCATGACATTTATCCCATTTGAGCACGAAATCTTCAATGATTCAGCGGGTACATGAGGCTAGAGGTGCGTGCACTAAATTTTGATGCATTTATCTTTTTCTCAAAAATTTCTCAGGCTCACTGTCGACAGCGCCATTGTCAATACGCACAAAACCTGTAGCGTACCCGATGGTACGCAACCGTCCTGATTGCGATGCTCTCGCTCACGTCGTTTTGCCAGAACGACGGAATTAATGGGGTGATTGACGATCGATAGGCCCGAATTCGACGTGCAATATTCACGGCTCACGTTGGGATGCTCGGTAATCCCTTTGATCTCTGAAAGGTAGAGCAACGGTGTTTGGGATCGTTCAGGAGGCAGGAGGGGCTAATGACCACATCAGGGGCCGCTACAGTATACAGTATGTGTGCTAACCTTCTGCTTTCCTTTGGTTACTAACTTAGGCTCGTATAAGCTTCCTTGATCACACGGTGAGAGGAGATGAGGTAAGATGCCTTCATCCGCTGCCTTATTCTACACTGATGGTTAGTTTATGACCAGGCATGGTCAAGCAACGAGTTACGTAGGACATTATACTAGGTAAGGACTTTCTCTTGTTCTTGTTCCTTCTCGTTAAATTAACAGGGCTTCACGCAGGAAGCACAATCCAATACAGCAAGATTTTCTTCTACGCGAGGCTGCATATAAGTAAGTGTGCAATCAAATTGAGAGTCGGCACGCGAGCACAGCGAGAACAGAAGGAGGGTGTACCCACGAGGCGTCGAAGAAGTGGCGCCGTTTTCATGAAAGACCGTGCCTCGTCGGCACTGTAATTAGAACGAGACGACCGGCGGCGCTGACGTACTTAGAAGTCCGCTGGGCGCATCATCATCATCATGCAGTATATGCAGACCCCAACGTCAGCTACATCAATACTATTTCCCCGGTGACCACCCTGGTTCGCTTGTACTAAACCCATCCTACGGCTTGAAACAATTGGATAATCAGCATTCGATATTGCGCTGGCTTTAATTGTCCCTCGAAGAGAATGATGACATGACGAACTCTTTACAGCCCAAAGCACTAGTTCCGCAAATAATCATGATGGAAGGTATGTTCTTATTGATCTATTCTACAAGTGGTTCTGAAAGGACGATAGAAGAACAAATTGAATACCAATAGCGATGAATATGATGATGACCGTCCGTGTACTGATATCATACTGCACAGCGGAAACGATCTCCATCTTGGTCGGGGCCTTGCCAGCTTGTGCTGCTTCGGTACTTCTCGTGACGACGTCCGTACCACGCGGTGCAGAGTTGTGCTCTTCATTCAATATCTGACCCCTCTTGTCCGATATGACCGACGCAGGTCGCGAGGACTCCTCGGATACAGTACCATCTAACATCCATTCTGTCGCATGTCCTTTAGCAAGATACGCGCTGCGTACAAAAGTCTACCCACCTCCTGTAGAAGAGTCGAGGATCTCAAGAAGTAACCACCCAAAATACTCGCATACATCAGCACCCTCCGCGCGCGGGATCGAATCCATACTCGGCATTCAACTCGGGTATGGTTAAAAGCACCGTTTTCAGCCACTGCCACCACCATTTTGCCTGCAGCATGTGAGCCTGGACAGTAAAAATCCCTTCTTCCTCCAACGAATCCACGTCGCAGGCTCGGAAATAAGAGACGAATGGCAAGGATTCGATCGTGTTGGTCCGATAATCGATAACGGGGGCAGTCATCGACAACGAGAGCGCATGACGATCTTTCCCCAAGTTGCAGAGATGACAGCGACCGTACTTGTCCTTTAGGTCGATGTCAACAGTAAAGTATATATCTAGGGGTGTACGCCAGTCAGCAGTTGTTTCAAGCTGAAGCAGATGCCCACCTTCCTGGATATATACTTCAGCATCATCTCCATAGCCCCTGGAGCGAAGACATGAGTATAACTTGGAAGCCTGCGCGATCCACGATTGCACAATCTCAGCCCTCGAACGCACGTGAATCTCAATATCATACTGGGACCCATCGAAAAAGGAAGGCCCGACGGATACCAACCCGCTGGTAGTAAACAATTAGTAGGATCGAAAAAGGTCAACTGAATGACAAACTTGTCCAACGATAGAATAATGACTTCCTTCCCCAATTTTTTCAAGTGCACGTCCCACTCCCACTCATGCGGCCAGGGCCGGACTCTCCCGACCAAAGTACTCTGGGTTCGGGGTGAGTCTGGTCTCGAGGGTTTTCGCGGAGTGTATGGCGGATTAGTTACTACACTGCCAGGAAGATACAAGGGAGCGTTGTGGTTCCGAAGTGGGAATGGATTCCGAATAGCACTTCGCAGATGAGAAACGCTAATAGCATCGTAATGATTTCGTAATTCTCCCTTCCGCGAACTTGACGAGGTCATCCATCTGCTGATTTGACTGTGAAGCGGTACGGTTGATTGGCTCAAACCGTACATAAGGCGGATGCGATTTTCCTGCATTTGAACGGACAAATCCAGCCTGAAAAACCCCAGTATGTAACGGTCATAGGATAGGTTCCCCAAATACAATTTTGCCATGCTCATTGACATAGGGTTGATTCTCGTCCTTCAAAACGATTAGCACCCAAGGAAAACATTCACAAAAGTACTGACATTCATGAAACATACAGATCGGGGAGATGGGCTATTACGTGCCAAAAACCTCCGAGACCGACTGTAAGAATGTGAGCGGTAGCCTAGGGGGCTCCTGCCGGACATACCTGTAAATCTTGATACTGCATACACCGTAAGGTTAGCTGCTTTACCTAGGACACAGAGAGTACCCTTTACCAATTCAGGATAGAATTGTACAAACCGCTTCGCAGTCAAGTTATACAGATACTGTTTAAAAGGGACTCGGGTTGTGCCTACTCGCGGCAGTTAGCTGTGGCGGAAGATAGAGGGAAGGAGCAAAATCTTCACCATGAAATATGATCGCCGGAAGATTAGACGACCTGCATACACCGAAGATTTGCGCCAATGTTTGGGTGCCTACTGTCGAAACAGTCACAAGGTGGGTTTTAGTCAGCTTACAGAGACACGGAAAGCGAACTTTTGTTTCACGAAGACGTCAAGGGCTTGATAGAGTTGCTAGGTGCAGTGCATGTGGGCATCGCCGACGACACAGGGTAACATTCCGAACTCACTTCAATTGCGTCCTCTTTGTCATCACCAAGAGCTTGATATTCACGAATGATCTTCAGTGTATTGCTGTTCTCGACGGTGCAATAGCTGTCCTTATATCCAATAGCACGACAGCTTCTGAATGAAAGGGTCGCTGGCTTAATTACGTATATATCGCCTGGAATGATATCCCGAACCTGCAAAGGTTGAGATAACAAGGGCGGATGATTGGAAGTTGCATACCACCCCTTTATAAAGACCCCGTTGTTGAGAGGCATTTTAGTAATCTTGTCGAGAGATTTTCCATGTTTTCGTTCTGCCGAGTACCCCAGGTGCGCATTTCTTCGATATTGTCCTTGATAGCTGATGTGATGTTCCTCTCTGGACGCCTCCACAGAACCGGCGAGAGTGCCGAATCTCGTGGTAATTTCATCCTGGACATCGGAGAGAGCTAGTCGTGTCATAGTCATTGTACGGACCTGCCGCCCCATCAAAGAGTGAGTGATACGGTCAAAAGCCAGTCACCTACCAGGAAGTCTTCCTTAGCCATCTGTACTCGTTGTCTGTAAGCACCGATGTCATCCGAGATCTTCGTGGCTCTCAAGTATTGCCGGATTCCCCGTGGAGATCTGCTGTTCGCTGTTCAGCTTGGAAAGAAGATCAACCAGGCACCTGTGTATCGATTGCGTAAGGAAGTACAGATAGACAATGTGGGTCAACTTACGTCTGATACTCCACGCATATTGTCTGAAAACATGTAGCGCTAGTCGGAACCATGTTCGATGACGGTGTCCCTTACGACGACCAGTATAGCGACGATACTTTCAGCCAATTCTTGCATATCCTCTTTATTCTTCGAGGCCCTCTGTAGATTTTGTTAGTGTGGAGAGATCAGGGAAGAAACGAAAACATACTTCGATGACCTCGAGAACGTAGAATCACACATTGGGCAGCACCTTTGACAAAGGGAAATGGTGCCATCTCGCCTGCTGCAGCGGTCAACTTGGCGATTTTGAGACATGAGTCAATACCGGACATGACAATGGGAACGAGACGAGTGCAACACTGTATACGCACAACGTTATATACCTTCACGGCACCAATAAACGACGCGTGAGAACGGTATGGATTGCACAGGAGCATGGCAGTGATGATATATGCAACCATCATCAGATGCCCCTGGTGTAGCAAGGCGATGTCGCCTACAAATTTTCTTGGGTAAGCCTGGATCATCAGAATAAGTACCCGACGCCGATTGCAAGACTTGAGTCAACCCCTACCAGAATTGTTAGTCTTCCACATCGTCCACGCAAGTGCTTGACGACAGCATAGTACCGGCATTCTCCTCGAGTCTCGTAAAAATGATAGCCATCCTCTTTTGGATAGCCCGGCCGATGATACCCATGAACCGAATCTTGTTGTAATTCTCCTAGTTAGCTGTGTTTTCGAATTCGATGCATCCCCGAGCCATCCTTTATTTTGGCTGCGGCAGCAGTAGTAGGTATACAGACCATGGTGATGTTGAAGGTGATACAAATGGGATCAGCTCGCATTTACATCTATCTAGATGCATTTGCACATCAGTGAAGGATATGGAGCTCACTTGAGCAGTGTTCATTCACATGTGAGGTTTTACAGATAGCTTGAGAGCGACCGGCACTCGTTTTGTTAGGTATCGCTCTCCCCACACGACACCAGATGTTCAGCGAGGATGATATACCGCGCCATATTGACGGTCATAATAGCACCTACTCTTTCATAAATGGGAGTAGGTGGCTAATTGTTGAGCTCAAGATCTAACGCCAGTGATGGTGATGGTGGTTCAGTGGCTGCCCTCCGGACCGATTGCCGAACTCGGCTCGATAGGTCGGTGCGTAGGCTTTTCCAACTACCTCTCCATCCATGTTCGATTCTGGTATACTTCGAGACTTGCCTTGGTGCCCATTCTTGACCCACTGGAAAGGCAGGTGCTCAGGATGAAGGTTATCAATGGAAAAAATATAATGTCCAATTACAATAGGTTTTAGCTGTGAATTTGCGTTGACGATACTCAAAATGACTCGCAGATGATTTTTCATGTACACCGTCGAAATGTTGCGCTACATCTCTACTGCCTGCCTGGATGAATTCTGGTTAAGAAGATTTTTGCGGTAGAATTGCGACGGTGCTGCATAGAAGAGGAGGATGAGATAGGGAATACGGCGTTCGTTTCCACCATGGTCCGCCTTCAATGAAGAACAGATCCGTAGATCTTGGTATGACTAGCCGTATTCCACTCGTGAACCATGACCGTCGTGAACTAAAGGCGTAAATTTGGTTACTGATACAACCCGACGACTGTATAGGGTGATGAAGGAACGAAGAATCACGTCTTCTGGCCGAGATGACGGCCGCTCAGCTAGACGGACAGCGATGGATAATTCTCCTCACCCCAGCACAAGCTGTATCCGAACTCTTCTTCCCAAACATGCCCCTTCGGTAACCTCTCCTCCCATTCAAAGGTTGGCATAACCATCGACCGCGCATGATGATATTTGACGAAAAGTCTCCAGAATGGTCTCAGCCGAGAACGGAGTGCCGGCTTGAGTTTCTCTGGGGAGAACATGATGGGGACGGAAATGCCGTGTACGCGTTAGGAAGGCTGAAAGTTGCCCGATATCAACTCTGTACTGTCGTCGTTCTGGATCTGAAAGCGGAAACGAAACCTCCAAGGTACCATAGTTGACGCCGTCACGTCCATGTACGAGGTCGAACATTGATTCCTTGACGCGAGCCGGAAATTGTGCGTCCGAAGTATGTCCAGGTCCGTGCCATGGTGACGATGATAAGCAAGTGTCCTGACAGGCTGCCGCTGCCGTTACGAAAGGCCTGATGTTCTTAGCAGGAAGAGATTCGAAAGGTAGACAATGGTTGCTGGAGTACGGAAAATAAGTTTGTATCGTTAGACGACTATGTTATGCAACGCACCTCTCTGCTAGCACAGCTCGACGCCTCGATAAGGATGTAGACAAATCCTGGCAGGAAATTCTTGGTCTAGATGGGTGTGCGTTGATTCTGATTGAAACAGCGACATTGGCACAAAGATGTCTTCTTTCATTTTCGCCATAATTCCACCTCTTTCGGCGTCCCGAAGTTCAAGATCATACGGATGTCGACGGATGCGCGTCCTCTTCACTAACAGACGTCAAGGTCTTCGACTTGAATCTCCTTACGAAGCCGCTCCGCCAGTACAGGAGGGTAACCTAGTCCGTATTCGTGACTGCCTAAAAACAAAAGAATTGCAACGGTGTCTTTATCATTGATATCGCGCGACTGATGCTAATGCTTCGTCCTGTCGTCGAAATTTCAGTACGCCGGAAGTAACTAAAATATAAAAGAACACAAACATGCGACATCTCCCCGGTGAAATAAACGTCAGCACCACGTCCAACCAGCATAGATCCTCCTGACCCAGCGCATATCGCCACTGTCTGGATGTTGCTTAGCACGGCAGAAGGGCAGGCTACTTGAACTGAGAGCATGCATTAGCCAACGAGAACGACCACTAAGCCACGAAGTGACAAAAGATCTCTTACCCCGTAATAGCCCAAGCTGCCGCTTCACCCGACCCACGAGCTCCTTCACAGACACTGGCTCGTCTAGAATCACCAAACGCCCTTCCGCATCCTCGCTCGTCCCATTCACATCGAGTTTCTCGTCCACCAAAGCGCTGATCTCACCGATACCAAACCCTTTGACAAGCCAGTCATTCAGGCCTCCCCAGACTGAGTCCAATGATGAATGTGGCGGGAACACCGAAATGCCTTCAGCTGCACAGCGGAGAAGCGACGCTTGCAAAGGATTGAAGAGGCTTAGTGATTGAAGAGGCTTGAATATTGGTGGATGGCAGGAGACGATGGCCGGTGCTTTGAGGGTAATGGATTCTTCGATGACTGACGCAGTAAGGCTGGAGAGAGTTGAGAAATGAACACGAAGACAGAGTTACAGAGGTCAAGGACGTACTCGATGATGAGTAAGACGCGATTACTGCCTTTTAGTTTATACTATGGCGACGCTGTAAAAGAGTTGTATATCCTTTCGAAGGATCTTACCGTAAAAACCGACATGAACGCGAGAACAAATCGAAATCAAAGGGCTTACATTGTTCCATTTCTAGCCGGAGAGGAGCAATACTCTCCACAACCTTGTATATAGTTTTGACGAAAGGAATAGACATTGAAGTAGCGGCTTGAGCTCGAGCTTGAGGTTCCGTTAACAGATAATGGTGGTAATGGTCAGAGTTGTCTCGCATCTTCAGTCAGCTTCAATCCACCAGTTTCCACGTGGCCTCCCTTGGAACGCGACCACGACGTCCTAGCAATGGGCGGCTACATCCAACACCACTTCCCATGGCACGTCATGTCCTTCCTTGATTAAGATTCTTGTCGGCGGGAACCATTCATCCTCAAGTTAGCCGATCACAGACTAGGGTACCGCAGCGGATACGGAGACTCGGACATACCATCGGTATTAGCTATCCAAGTTTGCCTACGCCGCACATCAAATCAGGCGTTCAAGTGTTCGGACTCTCCTTTTCTGCCCCACCATTTGCTGTCACCGATGGTATCTCAGTAACCCAACGGTATCGTCCGCAAATTTCCCTTGGCTAGATTACAGGAATTATTGGAATGGGTCTTGGTTCTACCAGCAGTACAACTGCTGTCGGAACTGTCATCGGCTTCGAAATTATCACTGGGGCAGGTTATGGCGCTAAATTTTCGAGCCTCTACTTCCCAGTCCTTGCGCCGTTGTCTATATCCTCTGATGCCTTGGCTCTGGCCTTCTTCTCATTCGTGACGGTATTTGCACAAATAAGTCACAATTATTTGTATAATACATGACTGACGCGTACGTAGATATGGGGCGTAATCATAAGGGGTGCTATCCTCCAAAATCGACTCGTCAAGAAACTCCCCCAGCAACTACTGGCTCAATCCTCACTGCAGATTGACGTCGTTTTCGAAGTCATTCCTCTTAACGGCGAATATACAAGTAGCCCAGTGGCTAGATGATCCCTTGCACCGGCGCCCGTGTGGGAACCTAATAATAATAGATGCCAGTTGCTCTTTCTTAAGTGCCATACCGTTAAATACACTCTCGTAAGAGGTCTCATTTCGATGCAATGCCATTCGCTACGTTCCAAATTTAGCTCTTCAACTCAGCCTGCTGTATGGTGATGGAAACGTCCTCCTGCCTTTTGATGATAGCTCTGATAAGTATCAGAATCATGCGTCGAGAAATGGATATCAAAGGTTCTCAAGACATGTGACGTGGCGCCAGTCTTGTTTAAAAGGACTACCGCAAACCTTCGGTTATCCTGTCAGGAATTCCTGATCTTTACGCGATGTCATAGGGAGACTAGTAATAGCGCCCTCGAAGCCAAGGTCCAGAAACCAAGATCTAGCCAAGACGATGGCGGGCTTATTCGTCAGAAAGTTCTCCCTTTGACTAACACCTGGTAGCAGTAGATCAGTATTGACGTTTGAAACGCTGATGTCATTTCTCTTCTCTGCATTTTCATTAACACTGAACATCGTAAAGTAGCACCAAGTGGACTTACTATTTCGCAAGAGCAACAATTGTTTTGTGGTGGTGGTGGTGTTGGTATCGATCGTTGTTCGACCTTGGGTCATTTAAGCTGTCCAGTCTCTTCTGCTCGATGCTCCTGTTTAGGCTAAGAATACCATGTTATACGAATCTATAGCATTCAGAAATAGCGGTTGCTTTGATAATTAGTATTTACAAGTGTAGACTCCGTTTCGGAACCCATGTTAGCACTAAAAGCGACGTTCATTAGAGATCTAGTAGCTCAGAGACACTTTCGGAACGGCGGTGAATTCGACAACTGAACGGATACGGATGGCTGCAAGCTGTCTCAGCCGATGTCATGAGTTATAATAAAAGACACTGACCTGAAGGCTCCACTCGTATATCTGACTTCGGGAAGGATGGTTTTTCCTTCAGCGTCAAGCTCAGGGGAAATGGTGCAAGTTGCCAATGTCATTGCGACAGCTGTCCATACAGTATCGACTGCAAGGTAGGACCCGGGGCAAGATCTGCGGCCAAAACCAAAAGCCAGACTCGTCGGTTCGGGAATTTCAACCTCCTTGTCCCGATTCAAATGACGCTCTGGATTGAACGTTTCAGGATCAGGAAATAGGCTTTCGTTTCGCGTGATAGCCCTAGAAGACATTATGGAATACATCGTTAAATGATGGGAAACAAGATGATCACAGTAAACTAACCAAGCATTTGCAACGACCATAGTGCCAGCAGGAATATCGAATCCGTGGTAGACGTCCGGTACCAAAATGGCGCGAGTCACTGTGGCAAGAGTTATGGTGAAGAGGGGTCATGAACGCAAGTTACAAGAACATACCGGAGGGAACTGACGGATTCCAGCGGAATATTTCTTGAACAAGAGCATACACGTATGGTAAAGATTCGCGATCTGATAGTTTAGGTAGCCGCTCGTCTCCGATGACTGCTGATATCTCTTCCTGCGCCCGTCGTTGAACATCTGGATAAAGGACCATTGCCAAGTAAAAAGACGTGATGAGGCTGACGTTCTGCACATATTATTGCGTTTATCACGGAAGATCGTATGAATAAAAGGGTTACGTACTGTATCAGTTCCCGCTTCGAAATACCAGTACTCAATATTTGATCTACACAACAGCGACAGGGCGACATACCACCGTAGACTTCCGCTCCGGCGTCTTTCAGACGGTTTAGATAAGTAGTGTCGGACATACTGTTTTCGAGGCCGTTTTTCTCAAGGGCATTGGCTAAAAGTGAAGGCAGGGCAGTTCCAGATTTCTACCGCCACCTGTCAATAAGCGTAGCCCGTGACAGCTGACGACTTACTACTTGATTCAATACAACTTCAAAAGGTTTCCTCAAGAAAAGATCGAATGTTTCCCGAGATTTTGCAGCTTTTCTCTTGAAGGAAGCGCCAGGCATGAAGGCCGGTATGTACCTCACTGTAGGAGGAGAAACAAATCAGAATGATTGAGAAATTGCTACTGTTTGGTCATGCTCACGGAGTGGAATTGCATTGACAAAATACTTGTTGGGGGCTAATGCTGCGCTGACGTCACGCATTACCTGAGTGGCTAGGATAACCAACTCGTCTGCTTCCACGTCGTCAGCGACAACATAGCCGTACGCTATGCGCATGATGTTTGCGACAGCCATTCTAGATGGACGTGAGTTGTCAGCCTGATTTTCGCGCTAAATAAAGCACCTTCGTATATTATTCCGAAATGCTTCTGGGTGATCAATATTCGATCGACAAAGGCGGCGCGCATTGTCTTCTAAGATACCAGAGTGTCTTTTAACTGCCCGAGGTCCGAACTCGCTGTTCAGAAGCTTCCTGGTCTCCCTGACATCGTCGTCGTTGAGTCTCGAGGCTAAAATACGCCCAAAGCCACTCCTATCGGAGGATTAGAGTAGGCATGAAGATTCGCCCTAAAGTTTGACTTACATTTCGCCCATGACCCTCCGACTTTTGTCCGAGTAAATACTAGATCTCTGTTCACACAAGTCTGTGATGGCTTCCAAAGAGTTGAGTACTAGGATAGAGCGGCCAAAAACACGAAGATAGATCACGTCGCCTACGGATGCTTGAGTACTTCGTCTTGAAACAAGGATGAACCAAACCGTATTGTTTCCCCCACTCTGCAAACTGGCGCCAGGGTGTTTCGGTAGGAATATGAAAGGCATTTCCAATTATTGGCCAGCGATAAGGACCAGGTGGATATCGAGGTGCTGTAGTGTAGCACCACAAGACATAGAGCATAGCAAAGACAGCTAGGTAGGTTGTGACTTCGTCCATGTTGGGGAAAGTGGATTCTACAGGCGAGACTTGGATAAAGAAGCAAAGTGGGTTCTAAGTAGACTGATAGATACCATAAACGTACGGCGCTAAATAAGTTCCACGGAGATATTGGGCGATACGGAATCCATTGAAGCCACCACGATGAGTACGTACTCCTTATGCCAGGAATAGCTTGATTCACATGCCAGCTTGCCGATCACCGAGTCAACTTGTTTGCTCACAAGTTCCATTCTGTGTGATCAAAGAGGGAGGATTTGGGAAAATAAATAGATAACCGGGCGAGGTCCGATACGGCTTTTGGTCATCGATCACCGGCAATTACCGACAGCACTTAACTTCAGCTCGCTGGCACAAGGTTTGATTAAATCTTCATGGACATTCCTTTCCAGTTAACCGGAACATCAGGGATGTGATGATGACTCTCAGAAGCTCCCCCCTACAAGTGCCTCCAAAAAGGACACCCTCCATCAGCCTGAGCCTACCTACTCTTCGGACATGGCTTCAAGCGACCTTTTTGTAACTAGTTTTACTCTCCAGACAAACACGATTGGTGTTCCACTCTGGGAAACTCTGAAGCGCTACACCAAGGCTAGTCCATCTCTGCAGAAGACTCCGAGTCAATCGGGATGCGTGCTCATTTTTGCGCACGGAGTAGGATTTCGTGAGTAGTGTAGTCCACTTGCTGCGATCTCAACCTGACAGATATGCAGACAAAGAGCAGTGGGAACCCACTATAAACCATCTGTTCAAGCTCGACACACAAAATACTATTCGCGAAGCTTGGACAGTAGACTGCCGGAATCATTGAGAAGCGGCTATCCTCAACGAGAAGGTTCTCGTAGAACGTCGTGGGGTATTGTGTAAGCCCCTTCACAAGCATCCTTGTGTTGTTACTAATCACCGCCGAAGCTATCTACGACTACACTGAGGCCTTGGTCATTCTTCGCCGTGATCTTCTAGGAGACTCCAACCCGGAGTATAGTCGAAAGAACAGATTCATTCTTATCGGTCATTCTGCAGGAACTGTGGCTTGGTAAAGACTATCACCTTGAGCCGTGACTATTATCTAAATGACCCGTTGACAGTGTGATGGCGTTGGTGTTTTCCAATCCTCCCAGCAACGTCATGTTTGATAGTCTTGTCCTCGTCGAGACGCCGATTCATCATCCGTCCGCTGAAGCCCATCATACCGCAATGTTCAAGGCGTTTGCCGTCGTCAACAACTGTCACGATATTTGGCCTAGCCGCGAGGCTGCTAGGGCTTGGCTTGGTAAGCGTTTTCCCTGGAAAGGTTAGGACCCGGAGGACCTGGATATCTACGTAGTGAGTATCTGACCGTCCAATTTACCTTTCAGCTCCACTCATCGTTTTCCAGAACCATGGTCTACGTCCATTACCGACAGCGTTCTATTTTGACAAGACCGATGGAATCATCCTGAGCGTCACATGGGTGGATGAAAATGCCGCATACTCAAAAGACGCCAAAACTTCATTCACAGCGCTTTGGAATTTGAACACGATCTGTGGCGTTGTACCGATTCATCTTGTCTGCGGTGCCAGAACGATCTTATGTGTGTATAAAGATTTGCTCGTCAACGACATCACTCACGCCGTCTTTAGGTCACGCGAAATTCAGGATTCAATTATTGATGCCCGTGAAGGAAGGACTTTTACTTCTATAACCCGAGTTCCTGGAACGGGACACTGGGTGGGTCTCTTAGGAATCGTGAGCATGGCGAGCAGGCTACTCATTGCGAACAGGTATTACAGGAAGCACCGAAACGGACGGCAGACGCATTATGGACTATTATAGCTACCCATATTCCATTGCACAGGCTATAGTTGAATGTTGCCCAGCTGTAGATTGTCCTGTATATTCCGTCGGTATACATGTTAACGTCAAATATCCGACACTATTGGTACGAGCATCCGGAGCAATGACGAATTGTTATGAAGAAATCGGTCTTTCCTGAGGACCGAGAAGGAGTCCTGTTACTTGGTGAAGCTTCCTCTGCAAAACTTGCAGACGTTCGTCCTCATACAAATATAAACTATGTGTATCTGCTAGCCTTAGGCTGTTCCTCCTTAACTAAAATGCCCAAAAACCGATTGAAGAGTGCGAACCTTTGCATCAAAGTCAGGACGTGCCCCTTCCTATCGTAAACGCAGGTGGCAGCAATAATATATATTTAAACAAGCAAAAATAAGACAGAGGCAGTAGCGGATGAAAACAAACACATAGTACACTTCCATTTCTTCTTTCTTCAGATGCTTACGACTTTGGGACCAGGATCAGTCTGTGCTTCGAATGAGCAAGGTCGATGGGCAAGGTCACTATGCAAGTACCTACAGGTGTGTTCCTGTCCGTGTCTCTTGTGGTGTCCACAGTGGATGTAATATTGATATCAACATGCCGCTAACATTTTTCGATCACAAATCGGCGTGAGGTCAGAAAAGAAGCGGGAGCGCAGTACCTTGTTTGTGTTGGTCCTCGCAGCAGCGGCAAAAGGCTGACCATGGGCACCAAAGGTGGAGAGACTCAGCGTGTTGACGTCGGTTGAAAGATTATTATCGACTGATCCAGTAGGTCGACGGGCGTTCAACCTGAAGTGAGATCGTAAGGACAGATGATTATGCAGATAATCACGAAACGAACGTAGCGAGGAAGGAATTTGAATATACTGGGGATGGCATAAATGTTAGCTCGAACATACGGAATATATAAACCTCACATACAGTTCGCAACGATCTGATAGACAGACAGATATACAAGATTGCTAGGGTAAGCGGTGTTCTGAGAAGCTTCAAGGTCAGTGCATGATAATAAGCGGAATGTAGAGTACCCACGAAGGCAATGACGAAGATATCCGCAATCCTGGAGAAGAATTCATTAACTGGACGATAGCATAAGAATCAGGCATGCTCCTACGATGTTATAAGACCATTATGAACCGCATAGACCATGAGTCTATTAATTATGGTGTCAGTGCTGGTGACATTTTTCTTTCAATCAGTTTGGACGAGCGGCACTGTGGACTCTCGTACCGTCTAATTCCCGTGCGACTATTGTGTAGATAATAGCAAAGTGATATGGCGACCAGGAGATCCGTCACCACATGGACAGTCAAGGAAGCTCTGACGAGGCTCTGCAAAACAGAGAGAAATATCAACCAAGACGAAGGGGATGGATGCTTACCGTCATACTGTGACGTTCAAACAGAACGAAGTACTTCAGATATAAACTGAAAACAACGATGAGACAGAGACGCCTGAGAAGCACTGTCAACCCTGACCTATAGATGGTAACGCCTAAAAAACCAAAATGATTAACATCTTTCATACGAGATGCTTAAATACGTACTTATGCTGGTTCCTAGACAGGGCTATGTTATGGCCCGGGGGGTAGGAAAAGAGTATGCGACACTCACCCGAGCGAGTGATAGAAAGGATGACCTGATTCCAAGGTGAGTGTCGCCGAAAAACGGGGAAGCATAGGATACTTACGACGGCTGCCACTAGTGGCACATTGTGATTTGATACTGCATAAATAGATAAGAAGGCGGTAACTGGAAGAAAGAGAATTGTGGGAACAATAATATATCCGTCGGGCATAAAATAGGTAGACAAGCAAAGCAGTAATGCCCTACGATCATCCTCGTTAAAGGCAACTCGAAGAAGATTCGGAAAGTCCTAAATCACATACCGTTATGCCGATATTGAGCTGGTTGGCATATATAGATAAGAGCTCATGCAGACAGATGGAGAAAACTCACAGATGCCGACCTAGCATGTATTTGAGTCTTGTTTTCCCTAAAAATGTGGTACTTACCAAACCGTTTCGGCCAGAGCTGCTGGATCCCCATAATGTAGTATGACAAAATAGTAAATAGCATGGCTAGCGAAAGCCACATGCAAAACTTCCAAAACCCTATGCAAATATGTGAGAGTCGAGTAGTACTTGATTGTTGGCGATGAATACCAGATCGCGCCAACCTGTGAGTCTCTCATATCAGTTGCCTGAGAGGAATTATTTTAATGCTTACCAATGCCTTGAGGACGAAACCATCAGAATAACGAGTGAAATAATACCAGGTTTGAGTGCAGGTGACGCCAAATAAGCTAGATAAAAGAGGCAATCAGAATCTAGATGAATGCATCCCGGCGTTAACGAACCATGAAGATGCGATGACACCAATGAGGTACGCGCCAAAAGTACTGTTGAGTGAAGCTTCAGCCATTTGAAAGTAGTTGACAGCGAAGAGCGAAATTGGTACCTTTATATTATCATGAGCTTGAGGGTCCTAATAATGGGAATCTCGTATTGAATGCACAGCATCATCACTGTGGACATGGAGTGACCTCCAGCGCTGTAATGCATACCTCCGACATCATCGATCACGGAAGAGTCCCCTTCTGTGGGCACAGGTAAACTGCGGCACAAAATAACATGCCGAAGAGATTACAGCATCTGAGTCCATTCAAGGCTGGTGTTATTATTGGGAGACGAGATGAGATTGGGTAGATCCGTCAAACCAACCAACGAAATAGATTTAGTTTGCTGCGCCACATGCATGCGCTAAGGAGGAGCCTTAGCGTAAGCGGGAGAAGCGCGATATTTGATCGGATTACTGTATATCTAAAAACGTGCTTGATGTTTGCCCTACCCTGGACACTCATGAGATAAATATCAGGAAAGCCCGACCGAGGTGGATACTGGTATTTATAGGAGCACTGCAGCGTTTTCGTGAGGAAATAGGCTGATGAGCGGTTTTAGCAGTAGTTCACTGAATCCATGAGATGCGCTAATGTTGCAAGGATACCCCTCATATCTGAGTGGCTTGCAACTCGAAGTCATGGTGCTTGTGCAGCATGCTTGGGAAACACCCGAGGACCCTGTATGTATACGCTAGTGTTAAAATACATCCCTTATTCAAACAAAACAAATGTATGAATCTCTCACCTAGAGGCGGGCTAGTAATATTACGTGGTGGCAGGAGGAGAAAGCGAAAAAAAGTTCCTCGGAGAATCGGCCCGCCATTTTCGAGTTCTGACAAAATATTTCACTGAGACCGCATGATAAGGACACACTTGAAAAATAGTTATTACTTTTACTGATTATAATACAGTTCATCCAATATCTAAGGTCCCACAAACTGGTTTCCGATCGAGGCTCAATACGACAGCTAAAAGGGCAAGGATGACTTGAAACTTATTTCAGCTGGCGTCGTACAAAGAAAGGATGGAATACTGACCTAAGGGCTCCGCTGGTGTATTTTACTTCTGGGAGACTGATATTACCACTACTGTCAACCTCGGGATAAATGGTGCAGGTAGCCAAAGTCATTGCAACCGTTATCCACACAGTATCTAGTGCAACATATGATGCGGGACATGATCTGCGACCAAAACCAAAAGCCAGACTCGCTGATTCTGGAATTTTGGACTTGCTGTCCCGATTCAAATGTCGCTCCGGATCAAATGTTTCTGGGTCAGGAAACCAGCTTTCATTTCGTGTAATTGCCCTACCAATGATGATATACCCATCAACATACGCAGAGGCTGCAATGAAAGGAGGAAGAACAAACCACGCATTTGCAATTACCATAGTTCCGGCAGCAATATTGAAACCTCGGTAGACGTCGGGCACCCGGAGAACACGGCTTACTGTATCGACAAAGATGTCAAACAAAGCCAGGAAGTAAAATCAGAGCTTGGCTTACAACAAGGAGCCGCAGGACTCCACCGGAGCAATTCTTTGACGAGGGCATTGACATATGGTAAAGAATCGCGATCTGAAAGTTTAGGGAGTCTCTCATCCCTGATAACTGATAGTATTTCCTCTTGTGCCCGCCGTTGGATATCAGGATAAAGAACCATGGCAAGAAAGAAAGATGTGATAGTGCTGACATTCTATGACTTACAATCAGTGGAAATCTCGCGAAAAAAAGGAGAGAACACATACTGTATCAGTTCCCGCTTGGAATGTCCATATTTAATGGTTATCTGGACACAACAACGGAATAACCTACCGCCACGGGCTTCTGCTCCGGTATCTCTCAGGAGATCGAGATAAGCAGAATTTGAAATATTGGTATCGAAACCATTAGCCTCAAGGGCATTGGATAACAACGAGGGCAGAGCCATTCCACTTTTCTATGCAATAGGAGGATGACGCGGTTCGCCAGGACTCGTGAAAAGAATGACATACCATCCTGTTTACTAAAGCATCAAAAGGCTTCATCCAATAATCTTTAAATGTCTGTCGTGATTTCGCAGCTTGTGTCTGGAAGGAGCCACCAGGCATAAAGGCAGGTATGTACTTCACTGTAAGGGCGATTCAGCATGCTAACTCATTCAATGACACCAATTCATATAGCTCACATATCGGAAGCAAATTAACGAAATATCTACTTGGAGCCAGCGCCACGCTAAGGTTGAACATAACTTGAGTTGACATTGCGGCGATTTCGTCTGCCTCTGCGTCCTCGGTAATGACACAACCATACGCGATGCGCATGATATTTATTGTGGCCATTCTGGAAAACGATCAAGTATCATATTTGTGTTTATGAGATAAAACTACCTTCGTATATTAGTGAGATAGGCCTCTGGTTGTTTGATGTTCCAACAGCAAAGACGACGGGCATTCTCTTCTAAGATATGAGTGTGTTTTTTGACTGCGCGCGGCCCGAATTCCCCATAGAGAAGTTTCCTGATCTCCTTAGTCGCATCATCATTGCTTTTCATCGTTAGGGTGCGTCCAAATCCACTCCTACAGTAAGACAGTGAGGCTATGTCCATAATATTTTCTACGCTAACTCACAGTTCGCCCATGAATCTTAGGGGTTTGTCTGAGTAAATGCTAGTCTTGTGCTCGTACAAATCTGTGATGGCTTCCCAAGAATTAAGAACCAAGACTGGACGGCCAAAAATACGAAGAGAGACCAAGTCGCCTACAATTTATCAGCACCCAGCTTCGAGACAGAGATTTCACATACCGTATTGCTTCCCCCACTCCGAGAATTGACGCCAGGGAGTTTCGGTGGGAATTTGAAATGCATTACCGACGACTGGCCAACGAAAAGGGCCAGGTGGGCGCCGCGCCGCACTGAGATAGTCCCACAGGATGTAGAATGCAGCAAAAATAGTCAGGCAAATTGTAGCTTCGTACATTGTCCAAAGGATCGAATCGCAGCAGGTTCATGCTTTTAAGAATACGGAGTAAACTGAATGTCCATCTTAAGCACTCCAATAGAAAAACAATTCTTACCACCACCACATGTGGGTCTACGTAACAGAGAGATACATCCCAGAATAGCATGTCCATAGTTACGTGCAAAGACTCCAACTCGGAGTCATATGCACATGTTGAAACGTTTATTGAACGCCCAAGTTGGAAAAACAGTGCCTAATTGATTCGCGGCACGTCAGCCATTTTCCTCCGGTCACTGAATCAAAGACCTATCTGTTCAGTACGTTTATAGTCTACTCTGGTCACAAGAGTCAAATGTTAAGCCGTGATGATCAAGATGAAGCAGGGTCGCGTTGGTGGTCAGCTCTGGTCAGCTCGATGGTTCTTCGGAAATGCCCGAACGGCGTTCCCCACACCTTAGGCTTCCGTCCCAAACAACTGTGATTTCGATTGTGATCACCATCATCAGATGATTCTTACTTAACTCTCGCTTGTGCCCATAGGCGCCCATATTTCTATATCTCAAGGCTGGTACTGCCAGACCTCGAAGGCTTCAGTGTTTCAAACTTCAATGAATGTCGCCATTCATCAGAAATTTTCATCTTGCTGCGAGCAAAAATGAGGTTCCCAACTTGCAATACGCCGACAATTTGCAACGAATTTGATTCTTCAAAAGTGACAAGACCTTTTCTGGCAGGGGCCGGGGGGACAACCTCCGGTCAGAACGTCTGCTCAGTTCACGCGTACAGTGTGCCAGCTGCAGTCCGCTCTGTGTCCCATTATCTATCGATATCTAATAGAGTACACATGATTAGTATAAGCCATCTGTTTAGACCTGGTATAAAAATACCGAAGCGAATCTGAAGTTTGAGCTGGGACAGTGGATCGGCTCATCGTGAAGCAACAAGTCCGGATGAATGGATTCCTGCAAAAAAAACTAGGGCTGCCGTGAAGGTGTTTGATTATGTACTTACAGTATTGCTACATCTATGCGAGCAATGTTCAGGAGACGAGTTATATAGGGTATACTCAACATCCCTGTTGATTATCACTAATTGAAAAGGAGTTGTTTACGAGAGAGGACCATTTACTATAACCCATCGTGAAAAGACCACGACTCCACAGAAGGCGGAAGAAGCCTTGTTGAGATCCATTCCCGTCGCACAAACTGTTCAGACCCCAAAAATTCTTGTGACGTGCCGCTATAGTCTCTTTACAGGCTATGATCCATTGCTCCGTAAGAATAGAACAAAGTTCCTGCAATGGGAAGCGATATCGTGCTAGCCAGCTGATATGGGCGCCAACAAGTTCCTCAATACTCCATGATATGATGGCTCCGTCCGCTACCACACCCCATGATGTGAATTCGGAAAGATTGAGCATCCCCTAATCATATTCAAAAAATATGGACACTGCTTTCACATTTCGCCGCGAGAGTGCTTATTTCGGGCCTGTCAATGAGGTTCATACACTGCGAGAACTCTATGAATGATGTCATATCAGCGGCGCTGAGACGATATGCAATTGCATGATCACCCACACCCTCACTGAAAGTTCGATGATGATTCTGCAGAGTAAAAATTGAGAAGCCCGGGCCTGTCTCGTGTCGCCTAAGGTATTCCTTTGAGTTCTGACCAGACATTAAAACCTGTAGGTCTCGACTTGATCACGCATAGAGTTTGCGAGCATGAGGATCAGCAGAGACGGGCCCCAATTGGTAGTCATGGAAGCAACTTAACAGTGGTCTTCGAGTAACATTACTTCCTCATAGTCGCTGACATCTGTGTCTGTGATTAGCCAAAGCGCAAACAAACCTTTGATTCTTGCGATAGACAACATACTTTCAAGCACCAATGGTCTTCCTTGGTTCAGTTTGGCATTGACGTGATCTTGGAATTCCGTAAGATGGCAAAACTTTCCGCGGTGTGTTCTCAGCGACCCAATCGTGGATGTAGTGACAACTCGTCCATAAATGCTATTAGAGTTAGCGTTTTTTGATCAGTATCGAGTTACGGACCTATCCGTTTGAGCCAACTGTTGGCAGGATGGAATAAGCCTACGAGTTGTTATCAGTATATGTTTACAGGTGCAAAGAAAGTAGGTCCATTGAACGAGACCTATCTTCATACGGATCGTTACGAGACTAGTTTGGTTGATCCGATCATCACTCAGAGCACACACAGCATTAGTCATCGGCAGGTCTCGGCATCTCAATCGAGAAGCGGGACTTGGGTTCATCTCACTACCGCGACTGGGGTTGGCGCGCGACACCCGAGTTGGAGTAGCTACATTTAGAAGACTCCACCATCAAAAAATGGCTCCTACCTTCCTTGCACAGTGTTCCAGATGCTTTTCCGGCGATGTGCCGCATTTAACATTTCGCCGATATCAGATTTCTGATCTTGTCCAGCATCTGGAAGACTGTTGTCTGTGAGTGTTGCTGGTTCATATACGCCAGTTGTCTTACAAACACAGACATAGTTACCAAGCCAGATTCACCATGCCATATCATCAAGTTCAACTTCTACTTACGGGGTCCCTCGGGAATTCACCGAGTCGAAGATATGCTACCTTGATGCTTGATGGCAAAAAGCTTTCAAAATCTACGTGAACCAGTTTGTTTTGAAAGGAGGACATGGTCTTTCCGTCTGACACTAGTTATCCGACAGCTATCCTTTTCGTGCTCAGTATGAATCAACAACCAACGAAGTACACCGCTTAATCCAGAATTTGGACTATTGGACTTATAGGTATTACAGAAAATTTCGCGAGCTCAAGACAGCAATGCCTGCCCGCCTTTTCCGGTGTAGCAATATAACATCGCTGCGGCTGCTAGTACGGGATATTGCTATGTCCCTGATTCTTACCTATGGGGTTTTGCGACTTGACGCCATTTTGTCTTCCATGATTTTGGAGATGACTTTGCTAAAATATGCCTGTCTTTCCGTCCCTTGGATGGTGTAGTAAGTGCGGTCTCATAATCGAACTTGGAAAGCTAGCCTGATGTCATTCCGAAGCGACTTGTCCTAACTCAGGGTATCTGGGTCATCGGGCATGAAGTTGGAGCTTTTTATATTTGTGCGGACTGCAGGCTGATGGTAATTATAGTGCGGTCATGGATCGTTCTTCAAGCTTTACGTCCCAGCTCTTTTGTGATATCGTTGGTTTTGTAAGCGACTACCTCAGCGTCTCGGATTATGGGCCCTTATGCCTTTGCAGGTCTGTCATTCCACTCTCTGGACACCGTACTTCAACCGGGAAATTACACATCGCTCTCACCATCGCCATCACGCTTCAATGGAGAAAGATGAACAGTAAGCTTCACCTAAGGCGCTGTGCGTGCTGTCATTCTGACTTGTCGTAATGCGCAGCTGGGTTCCACGAACGTGCTCCGAAGTATTAATGAAGGAGGGCGTTTTTCAGGACACTCCCATCGTGACCGTGTGCTCCTGGCGGTGCAGCAAGTAGTAGGTTTCCCGTTTTATTTGCTTTTCAACATATCTAGACAGCGAACGTTTCCCAAGGCTACCGGTCATTTCAACCGCGAGCCTCTTATCAGTGTCTTATACCGTCCGTACAGTCGCATATACAATACATCATGCACCATCAAACTATCGGATGCAACCGTACCCTTTCCTTAGCAATCTTTAGCAATCTACCGATGGGTCCCAGATCCGACAATCAAGCAAATTAAGGATTACCAAATTCACTTTGCCTATCAGCGCGCTGGTTCATGCAATTACTTATCATAATGATCATTACGTGAGCTTTAGCATTTTTCTGCTGTTAAAATTAACGCGTAGACTTTCCGTAGGTATAAATAATCTGGGCGCTGACCTGGAAACGTATCGCCAATCATCTGTCTTCCAGAGATATCATGGCAGAAACCAAAATGACGACGTATAACGAGAAGGATTTACCTTCACATACTCCTATGAATTGGTAACTTTTCTTCGACTTTAGTTACCTTGTTTCTCATCCTGAATCCAGGTCGCTAAAAGAAATTAGAGATGCCATACCGTCTCATCTCTTTGTTCGCCGATTGCATCTTAGCACTCTGTACCTCGCAAGGGATCTCTTGCTCGCCATTACTTTGGGACTTCTTGCTACGTTGATCGACCCTTATTTTGAAAAACTAGCGACTTTTCATGTCTTAAACTCTTGGAGCGCAGAGATGTTGCGCTTCATCGTATGGGTTACTTAGTGAGCGAACTATGTTTTGGGCCAAAATTATCTTCTAAAACTTCGACAGTTGGTGGTATCAGGGCCTTGTTTTAACGGGTCTCTGGGTCATCGGTCATGAGGTATTTTTCTCCATAATAATACCTTAACATTTGTAACCCGTTATGTGATAGTGTGGCCACGGAGCCTTTTCTAGCTACAGGCTGTTGAACGACATCCTTGGACTTGTGAGCATTTCGTCGTTTTTTTGAAGAATAAACACTTACGCTATGGAAATCATCTAGCTCATTCATAGTTCGCTGTTCACACCCTACTTTAGTTGGAAAATATCGCACCATCGTCATCATGTTAATCACGCTTCCATGGAAAATGACGAGGTGTATATTCCAAAAACTCGTGGCGACCTCAGGATACCCGACGAACGCCCCAATGAAACAATCAACTACGAGGAGATATTCTCGGATACCCCGATTTATACCTTGTTCATGTTGATCCGTCAACAGTTATTTGCGTTTCCCGCATACCTCTGTAAGTATGGGTCAACTAATCGAACGGTACACTCTAACTTGAACTGTCTCTAGCATATAACGTATCCGGTCAGAAATACTATCCCAAATGGACTAACCACTTCGACCGTATGTATTTTGCATAGATCTAGCCGACTCCCTCTCATAAGAAGCAGCCTCTTCTGTCATCTTCTTCTGCTCGCAGCGCAATGCGGTGATACTGTCTAATATAGGAATGGTTCTAATGGTCTTCATCACAACGAGTATCTGCGCCGAATGCGGGATCTGGAATGTCTGGAGATATTACGGCATTCCGTGGTTAGAAGTGAATCACTGGTGTAGGTCAACAATCCTGATATCGTTCGTCAAATATACTGACTGCGAGTTTCAAGTTGTCATGATCACATACCTTCACCACACCGACCCCATTCTGCCCCATTACCGGAAAAATAAATGGAACTATCCTCGAGGCGCTGCTGCCACCGTCGATAGAGATTTCTTAGGATGGCACGGACGCTTTTTCTTTCATGATGTAGCGCACTTTCACGTCATTCACCATGTGCGTGGTCTACAATCCTCGAGTCAGAGGTTATCTAATCTGTCTACACAGTTCTTCCCGAAGATACCATTTTGTGGGCCTTCCTCCGTTACTGCTGCTAATATATCTGAGATAATTCCAGATAACGGCGAAGAAGCCACACAGTATCTGAAGGCTTTCATCGGTGAACATTACAACTTCTCAGACAAACCTGTGTTCCGTACACTCTGGGATAACTATAACAACTGCCAGTTTGTGGATAACAATGGTATGTTTTTACACCCATAAGTCGACTCGCGTCACCCGTTTGGTTTGCTCACTAACTGTACCTTGATCCTGATAGGTGACATCGTCTTCTACAGGAATAAGCAAGGAAGAGCGGCGCGAAGATCAGACTGAGTAGTATTACGTGTATTTCCTAACCCACTTAGTCCCAAAAATCCAGCATTATGCATGCTCATCCAGACCAAATGTTGTAAGAATGAAGCATTGAGCCTGTAATAGAACACGTATATGTGTTATGGTGGCTACATCGTATAGAATATATGCATCGAATTTGCCGTAAGCGTCAATCAAGACTACTAACACGAATTGAACACGGAAGATCTGGTGGAAGTTCAAAATGAAGAGTGTTGGGATAATATACCCATTACCAGAGGAACATTCAGACCACTTCCAGTTCGTTGGCTGGCAGAGAAATTTTGTATTTTCCAACTTGGTAAGAGCGAACGGGGCAACTGGGTATACTCGTAGTACTTCAAGTTGACTTGCTTTTGCATCATCACACCTTTCCGTAATGCACAGTCTCTGCTGCCATTGGAGTTCAATGCGCCCGCTTGATACAGCATACGAAGTTTTTTTACTCTGGCCATGGAAAGGCGTGTCAATCCGGTTTGTTGAAAAATTAGTGCTGATTTACCTTATGTCAGAGGTGACGGTTCATTTCATCCACCTGGACCACCTGGAACAATGCTCCAACTCATTTTGACCTCTCTCTCACGTTGGTCAAACCGTTCTAGTTCATCACAGTTTGCACTATCCTATTAGTTCAGCGAATCCATGACAACAAGATTATTCAAAATTTCCCGATGAGTTCGCGGATCGCAGGTTGGGGTATCGCAGCAGGGAAGAGCCACAGCGGACATCTTCCGTTGATGATCACCTATGATGTGCGACCCGTGATATCTAGGCATGCGCCATCCCTACTACGCGCATTTGATGATCAAAATCGGCTACCTTGCCAAGACAACAGCTTCCCGAGGCATTGACTAGGAAGGACGGGCAGGTGTTTGTGGGAATGGGTAGACCTTGCAGTGAACCGATAGCATTCAGAAATGGCGGATTCCCTAATTAGACTTTAGTATCTACAAGGGTGGATCGTTTCGACACCCCGGGCCGCGACACTAAAAGCGGTATTGATTGGGATCTAGTAGCCCAGAGACTCCTTCAGAACGGCGATGAATTCGGCAGTAGAATGGATATGGATGACTGAAATCTATCTCAATTGACGTCCTATAAGGGAGAATAAAGAACGCTAACCTGAAGGCTCCACTCGTGTATCTGACCTCGGGAAAAACGGCCCTTCCTTCAGCGTCAAGTTCAGGGGAAACGGTGCAAGTGGCCAAAGTCATTGCAACAGCTATCCACACAGTATCGACTGCAAGGTAAGATCCAGGGCAAACTCTGCGACCAAAACCAAAACTCAGGCTCGTCAGTTCGGGAATTTGAGACTCCCTGTCCCGACTCAAGTATTGCTCAAGATTATACGTTTCGCGATCAGAGAACCAGCGTTCGTTTCGTGTAACAGCCCTGTGAAGCAAAAGTTAATACGTTGTTAAAAGATGGGATGTACCGTGAACATGATAGGCTCACCAAAGATTTGCAACAACGACAGTGCCAGCGGGAATATGAAAATCACGGTAAACGTCGGGTACTAAAATCGCTGGAGTTACTGGATCAACAGATATGGTGAAGAAGCCATGTAAATAAGTAACAAAAACACACCAGCCGGTGCTGGCGTGTTCCACTGGAAGATTTCTTCCATAAGAGCGCCAACGTACGGTGAAGATTCACGGTCTGATAGTCTGGACTCTGGGCAGGCGCTCATCTCCAACAACTGCTACTATCTCCTCTTGGGCACGTCTCTGAACATCTGGATGAAGAGCCATTGTTAAGTAATCACCGAACGCCCTTCCGCACCCTTGCTCGGCCCATTCGCATCGAGTTTCTCGCCGACCAAGGCGCTGCTCTGACCTTTACCAAGCTGTTTGGCAAATCAGTCATTCAGGCCTACCCAGACCGAGTCCAATGACGAACGTGGCAAGAACACTGAGATGCCTTTAATATTAATGGATGGTAGGAGACGATGACCGGTGCTTTGAGAGTGATGGACTCTTCAACAAATGACGGAGTAAGACTGGAGAGAGTTTAGAAATGAACACGAAGACAGAGAGGTCAAGGAGGTACTCGATGGCAAGACGCGATTGCTGCCTTTTAGTTTATGCGAGGGAGACTCTGGCGACGCCGTAAGAGACTTGTATATCCTTTCGAAGGACCTTGCCGGGTAAAATCGACATGAACACGAGAACAAAACGAAACTAAAGGGCTTACATTGTCCCATTTCTCTGCCAGCCCGAGAAAAGCAATACTCTCCATAACCTTGCATACAGTTTTGACGAAATGAATAGACATTGAAGCGGCAGCTTGAGGTATCGTTAATAGATGATTGTGGTAATGGTCAGAGTTGTCTCGCGTCTTCAGTCAGCTTCAGTCCACTAGTTTCCACGTGGCCTCCCATGGAACGCGACCAAAACATCCTGGCAATGAGCGGCTACAACCAACACCATTTTCCATGGCGCGCCACGTCCTTCCTTGATCTTTGTCGGCGGGAGCGATTCATCCTCAAGTTAGCCGATCACAGACTGGCGTACCGCAGCGGATATAGAGGCTCGGACATAGCATTATTTTCAAACACGTTCAGACATCGCCACGGTCAACGACGTTCAAACTCGACTATTATCTTCAGCATATGCTTCGATTCCCGACACAACGTACAAGACTTTTCACCCTAGGTCGGTGTTGAATTTCAGTTCAAAGGTGTAGTAATCTGTTGACTTTATGAAAATGCTCATGTTGAACAGTTACACGCTAGTGGTGACAACCTATGTCGAACTGGGACAACAATTCATCTCAAATTCCAAGCTCGCGATTCCGCAGACTACCAAGATCTAACTGCGACGGTAATCAAGCGCTTCGAATCCTTCACATCTGCTGTCGTCCCTCCAGCTCAACGACTCTCCGACAATCAACGGTTCATCATAAAAATAGCTGATCGCAGGCTGGGGTATCGCAGCAGTAACTCAGACAACGACACGGAGACAGTCCCATGGCACTCTTCCATCGATGGCCGACTATGACACGCCATACGCGATATTCAGACTGGTTTGAAATCATACGTGATTTCGACAACCGGCCTGACACAAGCTTTGGGAGGATTGGATGTGGGAGATCTGTACATGGATCGGGCAGGTGTCAAGCTACGATACAGAGCTTACTGCCTACAGACTTTTGCATCGACTGCAAGGCCGGTATACTCCCGTCTTTTTGGTATCGTCCGTCTCAGTATCACCCCCGACTCTACTCTCCTTCATCCCATCGTCGATGTCGCCTAGGGACTCACTCTCGAGTATATCCCTGGCGTCAGCTCGGCGAAGCTCCAACTAGACACCAACGTCTCAACGATATCCGCACCAGGAACGTCGTTCTACGCCAAGGGAATCGGTCGCCTGTCATCATCGACTTTGCACTAGCGAACATTCGGGAACCTGGATGTAGCGACGAGGACTGGGACCTCATCGTCTGTGGGTCCCGAGGATGGGCACTGTTGGAAGCGAAGTGTGACGCCGTATGAGATGTTGGACCGGCACCACGAGGAACCTCTCGCGTCCAATAGATGACTTTCGTAGGGACGGTCCACGGAGTAGTGGATACGGATTGGGAAGGAGCGAGAGGGAAAGCGGACCAGGGGCGTATCAAGTCGGGGGTCCGGTGTAGGCCTTGGCATGATTGCGATTACTCCGCCGTGGCTCGGTCGGGACTTTGTCTATGTTGCATCTCGAGGAATCCGAGCCGGGCGATGATCAAGTGCTTTTGCCTCAGGCAATAGCTCATATGTTCAGTCAATGACCAGCGACACTTTCAATAGCGAAGCCCGTGACCCACCATCTTTGACTCTTGACTCTTGAAGCTTGAGCTTGAGCACGGAGGTATTTTCTCTGTCACGGCTCACATTGTAGAGGCACAATGAGGGCTCTTGCATCTTCGACTCTTCCACACAAGGCGAGTAAATCCTTGTACACATTGGGTATCTTGCTGAAGACATGCTACAGGATCGCCATTAAATGGTGATACCGTATCTCTGGGTGTCAATCAAGACATCGAGACAGAGATCATATCACGCTATTTGAAATTCTGTCGCAAGTTCTTTCAGAACTACCTGTAAGATAGATCTCAACAACCGGTATGCCATTGAAATAATGCGCGGAACTAGAATCGACAACACAAGTCAATATCCATCGGTCATTGCGCGGATGGAAGGTTGATCCCATCATACCATTTTGAGTGCTCCCGGATGCCGCTCGGTTGTGTCATAGGTCGACCATCTTCACGACGCATGAAACGAGTTCAAACTGCAGCTCGACGGTCGTCTGCATTCAAATTCTCGAGGCCGTCATTTAGAAGTCGTACGCCTATAGACTCCGTGATCCGTAACTCGAGTCGCTGGGTGACTTCGTCAGCGCTGGCAACGCAACTTCACTCGCCACAAGAGTACGTCAACAGTAAAAAAATTATTACAGCTTGCATCCCTTCCTCACATTCGATTTTAGAAGCTGCGACTGGTATCTTCCTGGTTCAGAGATCCACCTACAATTCCAAGCTCAAGACTCCACAACATTTCGACCTCTTGTTGCTAAAATCATCAAACGCCTGGAGCCTTTCACTTCCTCCGTTGTTCTTCTAATTCAAAACGTTTCCGACAGCAAACAATTCATACTAAAACTAAATGACCGTAGACAGGGACATCGTCACAGCCTCACCATGGCGGTTGGCGAACTCCCATGGACTCCAGGTCTTGAAGAGCGTCTACGGGCAGCCGTACGAGATATACAATTCGGGACGACAACGGACTGGTTCGAACTCGTTAAGGATAATAGGAACCCGGCACAACCCAATCCTAAAGACTGGAAGGACTGGATGTGGGAGATATCGACATGGACTTCGAGAATGGAAGAACATCAAACAGAAGTGGAGGCGTATCGGCTACTGCGCCGACTGCAAGGCTCTCTCATTCCCTGCTTCTACGGTCTCGTTCATCTCCCTATCGCTTCCTCCCAGCCTCTTCACCCCATCACAGATTACATCCCCGGCATCGTCATTGAGTACATCCGAGGCATAGGCATGGGCTCACTCCGACCCGGTGTTGATATCCCTCGACCAGAGGCAGAAGCGATTGCTGGCCGTGTCATGGACGCTTTCCGCACAATAAAGGCGGAAAAGTGTGTGATGCACAATGATATACACATCGACAATATTCTTCTGCGCGACTCGGATAGATCTCCTGTCCTGATTGACTTTGGCTGGGCCCTGACGTGGGAACCCGGGATGAGCGATGAGGAATGGGAAGATTCCGTTACAGGTAGTCAGGATACACGCTTTGTGTGTAGGGTACTTATGAGTAAGGACCATGGGGCGTGGAGAAGGAAGGAAACGCCGCTGCCGATTCGGTATTATTCTCCGCTGTCATGGAACGAATATGTGGAGAACCAGCCTGAAGATTACCGCAGACAGGCGTTCGGGAGGGTTGCGGGGACGGATTGGGAAGGTGCTAGAGAGAAGGTGTTACAATGGCGCGTTAGACCAGGTGTTTGTTTCAGGGATGATTGATCTCTTGAGATTCATCGAGTTGAGATGAAGGCTAGCACGGCCGGCTGACGTTCTTTCATCTTCGAAGAAATAAATGGTTCATCACCACAGTCAGACATCCGGCAGACACCAGACGAAAGTCAAGAGCAAATGACAAAGACACATAAGACGTCTGCAATTTGCCAAGATAATCTAGGAGCTTTTGGAGGGTAGCCAATTCGCCGCTACACATGAAGAAGTGACGATCAAGGAAGACAAGGAGTCATAAGACTGCTATCCTCTGCGAACCCTCAGTTTATTGGTCCTCAAGTTGAAGATTTGTTAGCGTCTCACAATAACTCGGGAGTGTAATTCGAGTACGTGGGGTTTATTATAGCCCGCCGCTATTTTAACACATCAATTTCTTCAGCCACCGATAATCATTTGTCCAACGGGGAGACGGGTACAGCCACCAATCTATGGCCGTCACTAATGCCACGGAGAAGACGCGTCTTAGCCGCCACCATCTCGGCAAGTTCCTCTTTGCACAATGCGCGGAGCTCATGAATTCTTCGATGAACCGTGGTCTAGCGCCTTCCTTGACTGCTGCGGATCCATCTCGGACTATCACGTTATCTGTCAAGTACGCACCCTATCAGCTCGCTCTGTAACCATGATTTAAGATCTTGAACAGTTCTCAGGGATATACGAGCCCTCCGACAGGAGCTTATAGGTGGGATCTCAAGTTATCGTAAAGGAGGAGCTTGTCGATTTATTTGCCCCCGTTACATCTGAAGTACGCCTTCGATCATACAACAATGGATGCCGCGGAACGGACGAGTGGCCACCTCCAGTACTACGGTCCTTGTCGACTTATTCATGTTGTGCACCTTCATTTCTGACTCCTTGGCTCGATCTGTGTCAGCATCCATCCCTTTGTTCCGAGTTGTTTTTCTTTTTCCTTGATGGCTTGTCTTTCTCTTTGTGCTAAGTAACGAGTTCGGGTTTTACCGACTCATACATATCATCTTTCTGGCTTCGTCCTGACCGTCGCGCTACGCTCGGTACTCGCAGGGTTCCAAGTCATTTTGAAATCATAATGGTGAATAACAGCTACCAAAAACAGAATGATATGTGCCTGAACGGTGATCGATGACAGGGAACCAGTGAACTCTAGTTATCCTCAGGCTGACTCTTGGCTCGGCAATCCCAACACCTGCGGCCCCAGATTTAACAGGATCATCTCCAACCAGGTACTTCGATTTCTGGAAGTTCGTCCCCTGGAGATTTTTGTTAAAAAAAGTGCGCCACAAGCAATTGTAAAAATTTGGATTAGGAACAAACACCACTTAAGCAAGGTATGATAGTCGTCGACCGACAACCACTAGTCAGAAGTACATCAGGAAGCTGGACCCAAGCTTAATTACTGGAAATGTCATGTGATCGCGCTGTTCATACTTACCTCCTTTTAGAAATAATCGGAAGGTTCCCACGCCGTCTCCCTCGACGTCGCCTTGCTTTATCACAAACCATACGTCCATCTGATAGGAACCTTGGCGGCCTGCTATCCCCAAACTGGTGGAATTATGTCAACTCGTTCGAACACTAAAAAGGCCCTAGAAGCAGCCCGGAAAGCCAAGATCGAAGAGTATTACAGGGATAATGCACTTGTTGATGAGGCAGCTAGGATCCAGCATAACGACGATATCGCGGAATTCTCCCTTTTCTTGGACGATAAAAGAAATGATATTACGAAAAATCCAGATTTTCGTCCATTCATTCGATTTATTAGGCGCATTTTGGTGCATGTGGCAGCCTCAGCTGATCAAGGGAGTGGGACGATGGGGTGTTACGCGAGTGTAATAACGAGAATGGCACGATCCAACAAAGGCAAAGAAATATGGCGGACTCGTTGGAATGACATGGCACTCCATCCGACACCTCAGATTCTCTCGTATATCCAAAAGTCCCCACCCGCCATAATATTGGGTGACACCCAACGAAAAAGACGCGCCCATATAGAACGATATGCGTGGGGTTACGTTGACAAGGAAAATGACGTAAAAGAGATGTTCATATCTCGTGAGCTGGTAATGGCATACATTGAACTGGAGGTGTGTCTGGTATATGCATCTCTTTATATTCTCAAGTTTTGAGTGTCGATCCCTAGAAATCCAATGCGTGCGACGTAAATGCGGATGCCCTTGTTGTTCTCAAAACTGTCATACTGGTTGTGTTCATTCACGAGTTGACGCACGCTCTGACGAAGTGATTCTTCCCCAAGATGCTTACTCCAGATCTGAATGATTATAACAAGGAGGGTGAAAGCGGAGAAGTTGTAGAAAAGGATGTGTTCGGCAACACCCTGCTTTGTGTGGAATGGCTGAGGACGGAGTACGAGAAGGGTGAAGGTCGCATGAAGAAAATTGCGGCGTTGTATTCTAAGGAAGTACGACCAAGCTTAGATCAGGTCGCTAGCCCGTCCGGCTCGCCAGCCCCAGTTCCTACTGGAGGAGCATGCTACTACAAACTTGGTATGTGTCCTCTACGTCTGGACCATCTATCTTCTGCCGTATTGTCTCATGTTATTCAGATATAGACGATCTCAAAATAACTCTAGATTCGCTTGACCGGAAACGAATTTATAACCCGGCGTACGTACATGATCAAGACGGTATTTCTGACCCCGATGCTGGTTTACCTAAGGCCGAATATATACGACTTCGCATTACGCACGAAGATGAACCGAGCCTACACGAGGCAACACCCGCCCAGCCTACCATTGGATTAGGCTTACGGCATATCATAATTGACCATGCGGACAGGATTGTGTCTGGCGAGCAAGCAGAATAGGAAAGGTTTATGACGGACTGGCCAGTTATATCCTCATGTATTCCTGGAAGAACAGATGCTTGCGGCTTCAGCAAGGGGGCTCGCGAAAAAAAAAAAATGTACATAAGGTCAAAAAATTATTTCGTGCCTGTGGGGAGCCTCCAGCAGGTCGAACAGCAAACAAGTTCAAATGATGAGCGACCCCTCCCACCAGCCACCGTGGATGATGAATCAACAGCCGACTTAAACAGACGGTTAAGTGATGGAAGTAGACCCAGTGGAGGATAAGAAAGAGGCTGCTATAAGGCTCAAAGCTAAAGTTTCAGGGAGCAGATCAAGCACTTTCCGAAGGTCAGAGGAGATGTTGAAAAGAGATTGGACAAGGGCGTGCAAGAACTCCCCTAAAACAGGATTCTTCGCACCTGCCAACCACAGAACGCAATCTCTAAAATCCACAAAACACTTCCGCGATCTCCATGGGGCGATTTCTTCCGTCGCTTCACCCAGTGCTGAACTGGTCATTGCTTCTCATGTGAGTACTACAGTCGCTTTGTCCCAACATGAAGGCATTCAGTGTCCCTATGGAGAGCCTATGCAAACCCGAGACCACATCATCCATGAATGTCCCTAGTACAACAGACACCGAGACGGTCTCCGCAAAGTCTCACACTTGCAAGACATCGTACATAGGGACAAAAGAGGGCGTAGAAGCCTTGGCATCGTTCCTGGAGAAATCGGGTGCATTTACGAAGACCGGCAACTCCAAACGGTCGTCCATGTCGCATGCGACTGATGTTGGATGAGGAAAAACTGGTGCTAGAAGACTGGCTGGGAGATCATAACCTGGAGCGAGGGAAGTTCCCAGAGAAGTATCCAATGAAAATTTGCAATGCTTGAGAACACCAAAGGAACTGGCTCCATGTACGCATGCCCGTACCCCACAGCTCCAGCTATGGTGGCGTCAATCCGACTCGTAGTCTTCCCTAGGCAGACTCTCAAATCGAGTAAGTCGAGGTGTGAAATAGGTCCGACTCGGAGCCGGTGACTGGGCCTGAACGATCGGTCACCTTCCTTCCGACTGAGAACCTCTGACTTCCCCTATTGTATGTTTCAAAAGCTTGGGTCTCCCTACATCTCAGACATTAACCACCATGTCCCCCAAGACTCTGTTGGAGGCTCGCACAGAAAGACTGGAATCCCACCGCAAAGATGCCGTCCCCATCGACGAGGCAACCCGAGCACACCACGACTCGCTAATCGGACCTGTCCGTCTTTTAAACGTCGACCCGGACCGCGACTACCTCCCTTTCGTCCAATTCATCCGACGAATCTTGGTACACCTGACGGTATCGAGCCGCACTGCGTGGGGAACCATAGGAAGCTACACATGCACGCTAATGTTCATGAGGCGAACAAACCTGGGCAAGGACGTCTGGGATAAACTGTACCCAAACTCCGGTATCGAATTGCTCCCTTTCATCCTTGCGTACATTCGGGACTCCCCTCCTGCGATCACGTTGGAGGAACGAAGCCCACCTGAATCTTCCTGGGGATCCTGGCACGATAATGAGATAGTGATTTCTCGTGAGCTTGTGGCGGCTTACCTTGACCTCGAGGTGCATTCATGATCAGGTCCTCCTCCCCTCTTTATCGTGTCTGACAATGTTCTAGAAAATCAAATCCAGCAAAGCCGCATTGGATCCAGATGACGAGCGTTCCCTTGTATTTCTCCAGGCGATCATCCTCGTCACTTTCCTCCACGAGCTTACCCACACCCTCATGAAAACACTTTTCAGGGGCCGCCTTGGTTCACTGCTTGATTATGGGGGCATCTTCTGCGACGTCGGGGAGTATCTTGAGAAACTCGTATTCGGGGGTCCGCTCATATACGTCGAATGGCTCCGAGCGGATTTCGAAGATCCCTTGAAGAAGATTCGGAATATATGTTCACGCCGGTCCAGTGATCTCAAGGAAGAGGTTTACAACGTCTGTAAGCGCATTCCATCCTTAGATCATCTGGTTGTTCCTGATTTATGGCAGCGATGGAGGATCTGAGAACGATGTTGGATTCTATCGACAGGAGCGAACTTTACAATCCGGTGTATCCAACTGAAGTGATTATCTCTGATCCCGACGTTGCCCCCGCTGATGATGAGAAGTATGTCCGCATTCGTATCACATCTGGATACAAACAACCGGCTCCAACTTCCACCGTAAATGCTGTTCAGACATTCCCAGAGATAGAATTGAGCAGACTGTATATTAATGCGTGAAGTAACTTGAATGTGCATTCAGTCCTGTTGCAATCCACGCCAGAGTGTTATATCGGAGACATAATGTCAAGAACCGAAAAAGGGTGGGACAGAGGTGTGAGATTCTGTGGACACGGCACGCAAAAGAAATGATGTAGCGTTTCCGTCCACTGGGAAAATACGGGTACCATAGGTTCTGGCCACTGAGGTACAAAATGCTATCCTGCCGAATATCACGCTATGTTCAGGTTGAAACCTCCGAGCTCTATCAGTACGATGTGTGGATTGATCTGAAGTGAATTCACCTCATATGGGATGCCAACCGTTGATCGCCTAGTCATCTCTGTACTGAATACCGGGCCTGACGCGCCACTGCAGTACTTCTTCTCTTGCACCTTCCCAATTCGTACCCGGAACCCTCTCGAACACCTGTCTGCGATAATCTTCAGGCTGGTTCTCCACATATTCGTTCCATGACAGCGGAGAATAATGATGCATCATCAGCGGCGTCGACTTCCTTCTCCACACTCCATGCTCTTTACTCATAAGCGACCTACGCATAAAGCGCGTATCCTGACAACCTGAAATGTGATCCTCCCACTCTTCGTCGCTCATCCCTGGTTTCCTCGTCAAGGCCCATCCAAAGTCGATAAGGACCGGAGACCAGTCGGGGTCGCGTAGAAGAATATTGTCGATGTGTACGTCGTTGTGCAAAACACATTTCTCCGCTTTGAGGGTGCGGAAGGCGCCCATGACACGGTCAGCAATCGCTTCTGCCTCTGGTCGAGGGATATCGACACCGGGTCGGAGCGAGCCCATGCTTACACCTTGGATGTACTCAATGACGATGCCGGGAATATAGTCCGTGATGGGGTGAAGAGGCTCGGAAGATGAAAGAGGAAGATGAAAGAGACCGTAGAAGCGGGGAATGAGAGTGTCTTGTAGTCTGTGCAACAGACGATACGCCTCCAGTTCGTTTTGATGATTTTCCACTCTCGAAGTCCATGCCGATACCTCCCACATCCAGTCCTTCCAGTCTTTAGGATCTGATTGCGTAGGGTTCCTAAAATCCTCAACGAGCTCGAACCAGTTGGTTGCTGTCCCGAGCTGTGTATCTCGTACGGCTGTTCGTAAACGCTCTTCAAGAGCTGGAGTCCACGGGAGTTCGCCATTCACCATGGTGAGGCTGTGACGATGGCTTTCTCTGCTGTCATTGAGCTTTAAAATGAATTGTTTGCTATCGGTAACGTGTTGAATTAGAAGAACGACCGAGGAAGTGAAAGGTTCCAGGCGTTTGATGATTTTAGCAACTAGAGGCCAAAATGTCGTGGAGTCTTGAGCTTGCAATTGTAACTGGATCAATGATCCAGGAAGATACAAGTCGCTGCCTCTGCAGTTGAATATAAGCAATGCCAAACTACAATAAATTTTCTACTGTTGACGTACTTTTGCGGCGAGTAGAGCTGTTCTTCTACCGCTAACAGCGTCAACCGTCGGCCATGGATCACTGCGCTACTTTTTTGAAATGATGACCTCGAGAAGGCAGAAGACTGCCGAGCCAAAGTTTGGAGGCGTTTCATCATTTATGTGGTTGGTAGTGAAGTTACTGTGGCCCTTTGCAACGGCTGTTCGCTTTCTATATGAATGACCGAGCGGCGTCCAGGACCATCAACAAAGAACCAGGATATCTTGGTTATTTCAAGGCTTCACTCAAGTTCAGAGTTCGCTGCTGTGTCTGTGAGAGTGCAGTGGATCGTTTGAGATTGTGCTCCAACTTGTCGAAGTACTTTGTCAAAAAAATAGCCAAAAATATTGCAGTTACGTCCGTGTGTTGTTTCGACGTTGAAAAAACGTCTTCAAATATCACTGGAACAAAAGAAAACAGTAGAAAGATGGTGACTACGGGATTTCCTGAGTCTCCTTAACGACGAGAATGAGAATAAGGAAGGTATGAGAGGTAAGATTCTACCTCGTTCCCTCGTTTCCCCGCTCTCATTTCTTCCACAACTTGAATTTTCAGAATCGCTTTTTCATACCCCCAAACGAGGCAGCTATAACCGTAGACCGTTGTTCATTAAAAAGGGTTCAATCGATCTCTGCCTGCGTTTACACTAGTAAGAAGTTATGATATCTCTCCAGACCAAGCGAATTGAACTCACCACCTTCTGATGCAAAATAGGCGGAGCCAACCAAACTGGGGTAAATTGACCTTCGGGTATGCTTTCCACATATCTGTTGAATGCAAGACGCTGCTCGTAGTACCAGTCCGACATCGCAGAAGACGTGACATTCCTCGTTCAGCCTCCATTCGGATACAACAGAACCTCTCCGCATAAAGCGTGTATCAGCACCTCTCTCGACATTGTCCCCCCCCCACTCGTCATCAGGACACCCGGGACTCCTGATGCACGCATGTCCAAAGTAGATGATAACCAGGCATTTGTCCGCGTCTCGCAGAACGACATTCCCTATGTGGATATCGTTGTGCAGTATACAGTTCTCGGACTCGATGGCACGGAACGCGCTCGACACCTTGCTGGAGATGGTCTCGTTCCTTAGACACGCTGATACAGAGTTTTTGAGTTGCTTCATATTTGAGCCCGGCCTCGAATGGTGTTGGTGATGGGGTGGAGGGGCGTATAGGTGATGGGAAGACGAACGACACCGTGTAAACGAGGTATAACGCTGCCTTGCAGGCACCACGAAAGACGATACGTCGCCAGCTCTGTCACGGTGTCGTGATCATGCGATTTCCACAGCCAGGTGCCGACCTCCCACATCCAACCTCCCAATCCATCATTTCTGGCCAATGCGGGTTTCATAATCGTATCTGAGTTTGAGCCAGTCGGCTATGGCCTCGGGCGTGCGGCACACCGCAGGAGAGCTTGGACAGCTGATGTCCTTCGTCTGTCCGAGATTATCCGCTGCGATACCTCAGTCTGCGACCAGCTAGCTTCAGGGATGAATGGCTCACTGTTGGATGAGTGCTAGCGCTGAACGCGAATAATGACTGCAAAAATGGATGACTGGAGGCGCTTGATAACTCTGGCAGTAAGAGGCTTGAACATCATAGAGCCGTTGGCTTGGAATTATAGGTGATGCTTTGTTCTGGGTAGATACAAGTCATCGCTGCTGCAACGCAAATAAATACGACTTTTCAAACAGCTTCAACTGAACGACGAACCTTTGGATTGGCACGATGCAAATCCAACGTTCACCACGATTGAAGAGTTTTGTCTCTTGAGTCGCCTCAGATCTGTCGGCGGCGCAGCATCAAGGAAGGACGTGGCGCGCCATGCGAAGCAGTATTTGCTGTGGGCTACCCATCACCAGTCTTGTTGGTCAGCCGTGGTCGCACGTCGTGGTCAGGGTCTAACATTAGAAGGGCCACGGACGTTGCCGACTCCTCTACCCACCACCACCATCTGACAATTCCCCCAACAGTCACTCAAGCGGCTTCAATGTCCATTCCTTTCGTCAAAACTGTGTGCAGGGCCATGGAGAACATTTCTCCTCTCCGACTGGCTGAAAAATGGGACAATGTAAGCGCGTTTCCCAATCTTTGATTTTTCAACCTAACGTTCATGTTGTCAAAGGTCGGGCTAATACTCGGTAAGGCCGTTGGTGAATCCAAAATGATAGACCCAATTCTCACCTCTGTCGTTAGAGTCCCCATCGCACAAACTAAAAGGCATCAATCGCGTCTTGCTTACCATAGAGTACGTTCTTGACCTCTTCGTGTTCATTTCTGAACTCTCTCCAGCCTCACCCCGTCAGTCGTCGAAGAATCTATCACCCTCAAAGCACCAGTCATCGTTTCGTACCATCCGCCCGTATTCAAGCCTCTCCAATCACTAACCCTCGCGAACTCCTTGCAAGCGTCGCTTCTCCGCTGTGCAGCCGAAGGCATCTCGGTGTTCTCGCCACATTCATCATTAGACTCTGTCTGGGGAGGCCTGAATGACTGGCTTGCCAAAGGGCTTGGTACCGGTAAAGTCAGCGCCTTAGTGGGCGAGAAACTTGATGCGAATGGGACGAGCGAGGGTGCGGAGGGGCGGTTGGTGATTCTGGATGAGCCAGTGTCGGTGAAGGAGCTCGTGGATAGGGTGAAGCGGCATCTTGGGCTATCTCAAGGTATTTCATTCCTTGGTATTGGTTCTCGTTGGCTGATATATGCGCTCAGTTCAAATTGCATTTCCTTCTGCCATGCTAAGCGACATTCGGACAGTGGCGATATGCGCCGGGTCAGGCGGGTCGATGGTTGTTGGACGTGATGCAGACGTATATTTCACTGGTGAGATGTCGCATGTGCGTCTTCCTTCCACATTCCGGTTCCTACCAGCATACTGACATCTTGACGATAGCACGAAGTCTTAGCATCAGTCGCCGCCGGGAAGCACGTCATTTTGTGTAAGTGCTCGCGGTATAAATGATAAAGATGCTGCTGAAATTCTTCTGTTCATAGGCGGCCACACGAATACGGAGCGAGATTACCTTCCTGTGCTGGCTGAGCGGCTTCGGAAGGAAATTCAAGTTGAGGACCTGGAAGTTATTGTTAGCAAAGAAGATGCGCATCCGTTGACATTTGTATGATATTGAACTTCGGGGCGCTGAAAAAGGGGAGTTGTGGTGAAAAAGAAAGAAGATATTTCTGTGTCACAATCAGGTTCAAAACGTACCTCCTGGAGCACTTAAGCGCTATAGAAAGGTGATTATATAAAACAATTGACCAATGATACAAACTTATATCCTGTATTCCAGATGGACAACGTACCTTTTATTGGTGCTGTTGCATTCCGACATCGGAAACAAATGGATGAGGGACGCCTGGTCAACAACCTCACCCTAGCGTCATAGCACGGAACTGGAGACATTGTAGTTTTACTGCATGTATCAGACAAGACAGTAGGAAACCCAATAGGAACACCGTTGTACCTGTTCCAAAAAGCCGCCTTTTGTACGCAACGCATGTTAAGGAAAAGGGATGACTTCCGAGAGTGAGCGATGATCAATATACCTTCAATGCGTACTACTATTTCCTCCTCAGTTCTTGCAGGATCTAGCCGATGATGCCATCAAGAAACATCAATTCGGATTTTGTTAAAACCGAAGCCACGTGCTAGTGAGAAAGTTGAAATCCGACGTCGACAACGCAGTGCTATCTCCCTCGAAAGCTGTAGTTTTTCTTTCACAGACTCCTCAGGTCTCAGATCTAAATACTCTGAGAAAAAAGGAATTCGACTCGCTTGAGGCCGGAATCCAGTGATTACCGCTGGGACATCACTAGCATTCTTACGACAAAGTCCGAACAAATGAAATTGCGGTTCCACTCTCTGACTCTACGGGCTACTGGGTCCTCAAGGCATTTTTCTATGTGTCTGGCTACGCGTGACCGATGTTTAACCTCGTTAGCGGCGGCAAAGCCGGTGCCATTGCCACGAACGTACGTACACAGGAACTTATATCATGAATCAAGTTAACAATCACCTTCATCTCCAGAGGCGATGACTTATACCAACCTGGAACAATACTTCAGCTCAAATTCCAATCCCACGAATTCGCAGACTACAAAGATTTATCTGCTACGGTGATTAAGCGGTTCGAACCCGTCACATCTGCCGTCGTCCTGCTCGTCCAGCGACACTCCGACAACGAGCAGTTTATTCTAAAACTTGGAGATCGCAGGCTGGGGAATCACGCTAGCAAAGACGATATATTGGGGTGCCATGGACGTCTTCCATCGAAGATCATCTGCGACGCGCCATACGTGATATCCAGGCCGGTGTGATACCTGACTGGTTCGAGCTTATAAACGATCGTGAAAACCGACCTGATCCCGAGCTTTGGGAGGATTGGATGTGGGAAGTCCTCACTTGGCTTTCGAAGATGTCCAACTACAACACGGAACTTACTGCATACCGGCTTTTGCATCGACTACAAGGCCGGTATATCCCCCGTCTTTTTGGCGTCGTCCGTCTTCGTATTACCCCAGAGTGTGCTCCTCTCCATCCCATTACCGACGTCGTCGAAGGACTCGTCCTGGAGTATATCCCTGGTGTTAGCATGGAGACGCTCAAACCAACTCGTTTATCATTTACTGGTCTGCTGTGTCTAAAATGATGCATTTTTATCTTTGGCTTACTCTTTTTCCTCTTGAATTTGTCTAATCTCAACACAATCCGGGTAATATAGGCTTTCCAAGCCGTTAGCTCGAGCTTTTTCCTGGCGGTGACGCACAGAAATCCAGTGCACTTTACAGTCCGGAAGACGATTAATTAGAATGTTCATCTTTCGCAGTAAATTTTCTGTCGAACTCTTTCCGGTGAGATACATGCATGCCGTGGCGGAACATATACCAACATATACAACACAACGGGTATTGTATGTTCAAAACCCATAACATTTGGGCAGGCACCTGTACGTTCTACTTCGACGTATATACACGCCATCTGACTTGTATTTATGAAGGGATCAATCAAGGAATCCTTTTGACCTTGATACAGTGTTTCTACTGAAACGTGCGCAACGTGCTTCCATTCACCCCATTCATTCTACGTGTGACACGCAGTCACTGAGAATAGCTCGTGATTCTTTGGGGTACTGATGAAGCAACCCGCTGGCTCAGATATGAAAACCTGAGGCTTGGTTCTGTGTCCTTCGCCACTCTTGGCGCAATTAAGGATATTCAGTCTTCATGTCATCTAGCGCTGGCACCGACATCCTTCAACGTCTATCTGGAGAATTGATCATCTGATGCCCAGTGCCGGGACAGAATCAAACAAACTCACACCTATGTGAAGCATCAGGGAAGCTATTTGCAGGTGGTAGCTCGTAGCATGTGCCCAAAGATAGGTCCCCGCCATGCGGGCTGAAGTCCCTATATAATATGGTGTCATTTAAAAAAGTTTTCTACCGCGTTTCTTCCTATTGCCCACCTGCGCGATGCGGCTCTTTCTTTTCGCCACGATCTTTTCCATAGGCTTGTCGGTATTGGCAGCGCCTACGAAAAGGTGTGCTGTGTTTTTCTGGTGTCTTCCCCTCCGATCGTATACTTGATTCACAGAGCATCTGTATGTAATGGACGCGCAGAGCTGTGCAACCGAGGTTATGGAAATGTGAGTATTAGGGACCAGAGAGAGAAGGAAATACTTGCTTACATTGCGAAAGGTCACGTTCCTGAGTTCGCATGATTCATTCGCAATCAGCGAGGACATTTTCGCTCGTACGTTCATTTGGAATCCGCCATTGATACGGCGTGCCTGATATCCGATGCCAGTTGCCAGAACTCAAGAACTTGATCTTCCCGGGCAATTAGATCTTGGTGTTCGTATGTTGCAAGCCCAATCTCACATGTCTGTATCCATAAAAACCCACCCTGCACTTGATACCCTGACGTCTTATACAGGGATGGCGATGATTTCAAGTTTTGCCATACGAGTGAGCCTCCGAGCATATACCTCCATCGATACAACTCACGTCATCTATTGCTTGGCAGGTTGCGTGAGTGTATATCGACGCGTTAATGAAATGTCGTTGACTGTGTCCCCAAGAGTTTGTTCGATGGCGGTCTTGTCGTCGACTACCTGAAGACTGTCAAGACTTGGTTGGATAATAATCCTAATGAAGTTCTGACTTTCCTTTTCACCAATCCCGAGGGTCTATCGCTTACCGATGTATGGAAACCTGCATTCGATGAGGCAGGTAAGCGATAGACGCGTACCATCCTCTCTCACAGTCTACTCATCTATCATAGACATAACCGATCTGGCTTATGTACCTCCCACAAAGCCCATGAAGCGCGGAGATTGGCCTACGCTAGGCGAATTCATCAATAGTGGCAAACGCGTCATCGTTTTCTTGGATTATGGTGTCGATGATAGCGTGGATTTCATCCTCTCAGAATTCACAATGGCAAGTCCCTTGGTTCGCGTCACAATGCGACTTAATAACAGTTCAATCAGCTCTGGGAACCACCTTTCAGCGTGACGGATAGTACCTTCCCATGTAGCGTTAACAGAATTTCCGGTCCTCTTTCGACGGTGGACCACTTGAACATGCTTAACCACAATCTGAACATCAACATCATTCCCATAGGCGACGGTGTTCTCATTCCCGATTTTGCAGCCGCATCGAAGACCAATAGTCTCAGCTCGTGAGTTCTTCATTAAGGTTCAACAGTCTATAATAAATTCAATTTCCCTTCAGTATCCTTGCTAACGCATACGGTTGTTCAGGTTTGGCCGGTGGTGTTGCTCCCAACTTCGTCATGCTTGACTTTGTCAACATTGGCCATGGATTGGACGCGGTCAACCTGCTTAATGGCTTCTGATAATGATTACGATGACGCGAAACACAATGTATTATTTATTTTACGTCAACGATCTACGGTGCTTTCTTCATTTCGCATTTGAATGCTTCATTATGGATCCATAATGAAATCCGGATCTGTATACGGGAGGAAGCTAAGCAATCACCCTTCAAAGAGCGACATCATTATTATCCCGCGTACTTTGTAGGTCCATCCCATAACCTCTAAGCCGTTTCACAACAACGCGCCAGAGTTGGAAAGCTCGATAATGCCGCGTCAGTCGATGCTCGTGATGCCCTTTATGGTTTAGTTTGTTTTACGAGGTCGAGAAAGGAACGTCACTTGACTGTTCTCGACGAGAATCGGAGTATTTTTACTGGAGGATCAAGGTCCAGATCGCTTGCCGGCGGGCACTGTAGTATATAGCTCATCTCTGATCTCCCACAGGGCATTGATGTCTCCGAGTAGGAGGCTGAGAGGATATCTAGTGAAGTGATGGAAGGATTGCGTGCTATCGAGGCAGAGAACTGCGTGATTCACGATGATATCCACACCAAGAACATCGTTCTGCGGGAGGGGAGTATGTCTGCCGTTATTGTTGACTTTGGAATGGCACACACACATCCGGCAACCTGGAACTAGTGATGAACATTGGAGGGGGGTCGTCCACGGAGGTCCAGATACGCGTTACATGCGAAGGCTGCTAGTGGATCCTGAGGGCGGACGCTGGAAACGAAATGTCACGCCGTTGGAGATGTCAGAGTATAAAAAGCCAAGTTTGGCGTTCAACAAATATGTTGAAAGTATGCCTGAGGACTTTCGTAGGGCGACTTTTGACAGGGTGTTGGATACAGATTGGGAAGGGGCGAGGGAGAAAGTGTACCAGTGGCACGTCAAGCCAGGGGTTCGTTGCAGGCCTTGGTATGACTTCGACTAATTGACCAATGCTGGGTCGAGATTTTGCCCATCTTTTATTTCTGGATATGCACGCCAAATAACGAGCAAATGCTTTCGTTGAAGACGACGTTGCTCAGGTCTATTACCAGTTTTTATCTTTGACTGGGTTTATTATGGGATGCTACACATCATTGGCAGCCGATGCTATAGCTGGCTAAGAGTGATGAAACTATCAGCCCATGTTGGTTGTTTCTTCAATTATAACGGAGCGGCAGTACTCCGTCCATATCCTTCAGCAGATGCCACTTCCTTGCGTACCATGCTACCGCCAGTAGGTCCTCATCATACCAGGTCCCATCTGAAAAACGCCTCATGACCGCATGTCGGAACACCAACCCACAATCCGACCACTCTTTCTCATTCGAAAAAAATTCCAAGCCCCAAAACGGCACAACACGCGCCCCAGCCCATCCTAAGATACCAACAATCTTCGTCGGATCGCCAGGGTCGACAAGGATATTCGATGGTCCGAAGTTGACGTGTTCAAGCACAAGACTTGTAAGTGGGACCCTGTCGTATTCTTTCACCGCATTGAGTACCATGACTCGATTCTCTTCGTGGCGCTCAGGTTGTTCTCGGACATCTCCAAGATTGCCTTCCCTCCGATGATCCATCACCGCCAGTAACCAGTCACGCGCCGAAGAAAATGGACCGCTACCTTCAAGGCAGAGCAAGGGAGTAGTATCCGAGGGACAAAACATCATTGACCCCATAGTGTAACCGCATTGGCGGTGCACGAGAGGATTCGCCTCGTCTCGAATGCTTCCTATCGCGGCGAACTCAGTGCCAGTGGTTTGAAGTATTTTGATATATACATGCTCCAGTGCTGTACGAAGGTTCTGTAGGTCCGTCTGGGTGAGATCGTGTATCCTGTTGGCAAGGATGTCTCCCTTGACCTATACAATACAACGAACTTGAAGACGACGTTATGAGCGCAATGATAACACAACCCACGAAGGACGTTACGATCCACGCTCCGCCGACACGGCCGTCCAGATCATCATCGTAGCAAATCGGTGTCGGAACCGGTATGGAAAGATTTTTGCATTTCAGGAATCGCAATGTTGCCGCCTGTGGGCCGATCGTGGGTGTTAAAGATTACCGTAGAAAGTTAAATTCTTACCTCAGAGCAAATCATCTCACCTGGATACTTAACGGTTCCTCGGGCATTCGTCGCGGTGGGCCAATAAACGCGGACAAGCACTTTCTTGTGAATTTCCATGGCGGCAGTGTAGATCTGTATATAATCCATGAGTGGCAGGCATAAGGGCGCGACATCCACTTCATAATTACTCTGTAGTGTTCAGCTAGTTTCGGTCAGTATCCATGAAATATTAGATGAGATATCAATAAGTGCTAACTTTGACCAGCAGGAATTAATGTTCCGCACAGACACTGAGTCTTCCCCTCTAGTCTCTTTACAAGCGCTTCTAGGTTGAGGTCCTTGGTACGAGCATAGCCAGAACCAGACGTGTCGAAAAGGTCCATAAAACCCCGTACAAGTCCCATGGTAGCAAAAAGACTCGAGATACAGAATAGAAAGTAAGCGAAGAGCCAGCGTCACCAGGACGAAGAATGGGGAGAAAGAGATGTGAGTCACATCAAATACTGCCACTTAAATACTCTCCTTCACTTATGTAGCCACAAAGGCGAGCACAAAGGCAGGCGGGATGAACAAAGAAAATCAAGACGAAAAAGGAATATGGTTAGTCACAGGATTGATGCGCAGAAGGACACGCTCTTTAAACACCAGATAGCTATTGCATGCCTTGAGTACGGTTTATTGCAGCTACGTAGCGGCAGAACAGTCTGTATCCTAGTTTGGGTACTGAACTTTCAAGATCAGAGCAGAAGCACAGTGGAGAGGGAAGCACCTTTCTTCGGCAAAATTGGAGAACTTGGACCATCATTCAATGGCGAAAGAAGTACAACTTGATGTCAAACGGTTCAAAGGCGTGAAAAACCTGAATGAGGAATAACAGAAAAATTCCGACTCGCTGGGAGGAGTCGTGGGAAAGCCGAGCTGCCGGCGCCGGGATGCCGCTGATGCACCGGCCCGCCATGCACTTCAACCGACGACAACAACGACCAGTGGTTTAGCAAGTGGAGGGATGTCGTAGCGCCACATCTTGTATACTTGCGTCCGGTGTGCCTAAGTGGTACCGTGCCGTGTAATGATGATGATGATGATCAAGCGGCGTCCACGGCACCATCATGGCGCGGCCTAATCCATATTGACGCCGCCATCGATGCGCATCTCTGCTCATTATCTTTCTTCATGCTTGGTTGTCTTGCGCGACGTGCAAGACATTTTATTCGAGAGAACGTTTCGCGGCGCTGGATTTCCGTTCAAAGGTACGGTAATCCGCCGATTTTCTTTCAATACTCGTGTTGATTGGCGTTATGCAGCGATGACAAGCTATACCTACCCGGAGCGACCCTCCACCTTCAATTCCAAGCAGATGGCTCCAATACTTTTGAACCTCTTTCCGTCACGGTGGTTAAGCGCTTCGAGCCTTTCACGTCTGCCATCGTGCTGCTTGTTCGGTGACACTCTGATAACGAGAAAGTTATCCTAAAACTGGCGGATCGTAGGCTGGGATATCGCATTGGTAAAGGCGGGCCAGTGCCGTGGTCGCCTTCCCTCGGAGATCATCTGCAACACGCCATACGTGATATCCAAGAGGGTGTAGCGCCTAATCGGTTGGAGCTCATATGTGATGATGAGAACCGACCTGACATCGAGCTTTGGGAGGACTGGATGTGGGAAGTTTCCAGTTGGCATTACAAATTGTCGAACCACAACACTGAACTTGCTGCATACCGACTTTTACACCGACTGCAAGGCCGGTACATTCCCCATCTTTTCGGCGCTGTTAGTCTTCACATTAACCCCGATTCTACTCCCCTTCATCCCATCACCGATGTCGTCCAAGAACTCATTTTCGAGTATATCCCTGGCACCAGTATGGCGAAGCTCAAGCCTGGTATTGACATCTCGGAGCAAGAAGCAGAGAGGATCTCCAGCCAAGTCATGGAAGCATTCCGTGCTATCGAGGCCGAGAACTGCGTCCAGCACGGTGACATTCACATGGGCAATGTTGTTCTACGGGAAGGGAGCCGATCCCCAGTCATCATTGACTTTGGACGGGCAGGCATAAGAGATCCTGAACTCAGCGATGAAGAGTGGTCGACTGCCGTCCGGGGAGGTCCAGACACACGTTACATGAGAAGGCTTCTGTTGAATCCTGAAGATGGGCCTTGGAAGCGAACTGCGACACCGTACGAGATGTCGGACCCGCATTATAGGAATCCTTTGGTCTTTAACAGATATGTCGAAAGCATGCCTGAGGACTTCCGTAGGGTGACATTTGAGAGGGTTTTGGATACGGACTGGGAAGGGGCGCGAGAGAAGGTATATCAGTGGAGAATACGACCGGGAGTTCGTTGTAGACCCGGCTATGACTACGACTAATCTGGCAGAAGCAGCTCCTCTTGCCTTACGAGATGTCCTAGTGATTGCGATCTTCGACTGGTTCAGATCTTCAAAAGAGGGTCCGAATTCGTAGCTCTACGAAACGGTGGTTTCTGTATATCGATGTCCTCCCGCCTTCAAAGGCAGCCAGCTGCATACCCCGACTCAACGATGGCACTGATCTTCTCATCACATCTGCCTCGGACACGCCACTGTTATCGTAACCATGATATGTGGCTCTTCCTACTGTCTTTCCTAGCGCCTTGGTATCTCTTCTTATTATAGTAACATCACTGCATCGCGTCTTGCCCATTACCAATGAGTCTGGCTGGCGCTTTCCCTACTCCTTCTCTCAATATTTGTAGCGTGCCTGGTCCATACCGACATTTTATAGATGAACGTGGTGTTTCCTATCCGACAACCGCGGTACCCCCGGCTTGGCATTCAGATGATGTTAAACACTGCTACTCACACGCATGGTGCATGATTCCTGCATTTTGTTTGGCTTGGCTCAGCTCGGCGCATGAATACTTGCGGGCGGTCAGCGCTCTGCTTTCGCAGTATAAATCCGACTATACTTCTTAAAAATACACACGGGCTGCAAATAAATCTCAGCTCATCTCATCGTCATCATCATCATCATTACACGGCACGGTACCACTCGGGCCAGACTCCTTCCCATTCTCCTTCGTGGGGGGTAAAAGCTGCTTCGCAGCTGGAGGATAATTGAACGCTTACATATCATCTTATCTTATCTCTCACGTGATGTTTTGATCTTTCTGAACCTTATTTTTTTTTACCCCCCACTACGGAGACTGGCAACAAACCGGGTGGCGCGTTGGTCGTGTTTGGCTGCTCCCTCCAGCTTGCCCTCTTCCACAAGTCTGAAAGCCTCGTTTGTTCCTCAATTTCGCCTTGTTCGTGGCATGTGTTGCTCCTCGCTGTATGTGTAAATGAGATATCTGTATTACCAACGCTATAATATTTTATCTGCTACTCCCACCTACACTTGCACCCTACTCCATCCTCCATGGTCTTCTGAGTTCATTTATCTTCGCCTTTGCCTGCATAGCGCTTCGCCTGGACTTCTTCAGCCTTTTCAGGCATGATGTGACATATGCGGCTCATAAAGGCAGCCTTCGATGGGTGTTGAGCATTCAGCAGGGGGGGCAAGCTGGAGGGAGCAGCCAAACACGACCAACGCGCCACCCGGTTTGTTGCCAGTCTCCGTAGTGGGGGGTAAAAAAAAATAAGGTTCAGAAAGATCAAAACATCACGTGAGAGATAAGATAAGATGATATGTAAGCGTTCAATTAATCTCCAGCTGCGAAGCAGCTTTTACCCCCCACGAAGGAGAATGGGAAGGAGTCTGCACTCGGGCACGCCGGACGCAATTAAAGTAGAGCCGCTTCATAAATGAGCCTAAAGCTTCAAAGTCTAGGGGCTTTAGGTTCGAGTTCAGGCTGGAGCTATGGTGAGCCGTACGACCACTATAAAATCAAGCTGTACTTACGGCGGTGTCACCATCTGGGTCGGGGATGGTACCCGTAGTGCTGGTGATATGAATATCGATATGCCGCTGGCCCGATAACCGATCAGAAGCTAATACAATAATAAGAGAAGAGAGATGCCATGCTCACGGTTCCGGAGATCCTCGAAGGATGTCCTAAAGGCGGCCTACTTGCCTCAAAGCTGGATAGCCTCATGGCATTGTCGTCAGTAGAAATGTTGTCAATATGCGTCATCTTTGTAGGTTGCCGAGAATTCAATCTAGAATAAGTTTAGCGGACTTGTTGAGTGCCCATAACGACGAAAGGCGAACGTGGCAAGGAAGGAATTAAAATATACTTATCCGCAGGTTAGCCAAAGCATGGAAATAGGTAAAGCTACACTTACAATTCGCGACAACTTGGTAGAGGGATAGATATACGAGATTATTAGGGTAGGCTATCTCCTAGTTAGCTTCGACGTTAGCATACGACACGCAGGTATAATAAGGAAAACGTGCGAAGGCAATGATGAGAAGATCCGTAACACTAAAATAGACTTCGTCACTTGAGAAACACTAAAAAATAGAACGCCCCTACCCAGTGAGAAGGCCATTATTAATGGTATATATTATAAGTCTATTGATGATGGTGTCCGTACTGGAGTGGAATGACTCGTGAGTTCGACTCGAAAGGCGCAAAATACCCGTACCGTTTATGCCCTGTACGACTGGTATGGAGATAGAAGCAGAGTGATGCGGCGACTAAAAAGTCCGTCGCAAGATAAAAACTCATACCAGCTCTCAGGAGGCTCTGTGTCTATAGCGTCAGCAACGTATCGAGGCATCTCTCCGGTACCGATGGGGCTTACAGTCATAACATGTGTTTGAAACAAAGCGAAAGACTTCAGCTTCATACTAAAGACGTCAGGTGAGGTAGATATTTTTTGAGGTCTAATCTAGCACTAACCTATAGCCAGCGATCGCTGCGGATATAAGTCAAGAGTCGATTAGCACCATCTGTTTCTGCCATTGTTCTGTTACACTCACCCGCACTGCTTGCTAAAGGATAATTCAGTTATTAATGATGGAACAGGCGTACAAGATAAAGCACACACCCACTCGACACACTGCGAGAAAAAGCTATCCCAGAGGTAAATTTCGGTTAAAGGAGACAAAGATGCATGGATCTCACAAGAATGGAAACCAGGATAACATTGCGGTTCGATACTGAGCAAGAATATATGTCAATTTCCTTGAATTTGTGTTAGAACTTGCGCTGACCAAGATACAATTGCCGAGCGTAAAATAAGTGCACCATGAAAGTGATGATGCCCTACTTCCGTTCCAGTTAGCTCTGGAAGGCACCAAGCAGTGCGGTAAGCCACATACCGTTACACACAGGGTTAGCTGATTGGATAAAGATCAGTAACGCTCGCGTTGACGAAGGGAAGGAAGGAAGGAAACTTGTTTTAGAAACTCACAGATGCTGACCTGGAAAACATTTAGGTCTCAGTTCTTTGAATACACAGGAAATATCTCACCAAGTCGCATCAGACAGACCTGCTAGATTCCCGTATTGCGTTACGACGTAGAAATAGGCAGCATGACATGCAAAAACCGCATGTACAGCTTCCAGAGTCCTGATGAGCGTGTCAGACTACAAGTTCAAGTGCTCGACCGATGATTTGATGCACATACCAGACAATGCCAACCTGCAGGTATATCGGTCAATAGCAGAGAAGACGATGTGAAATGCTTACCAAAACCTTCAGACAGATACTATCGGAGTAATGGACGTAATAATACCATGTTTGCATGCAGGTGATGCCAAATAAGCTACGCAGACAATGAAAAATCAGAACCAGGTGAGCATAGTATAGCGGATGGGCAACGGACAACGCAGAGACTATAGCACCAATGAGGAATGCACCGAAAGTACTGTCGAGTGAAACTTCGGGCATTTAGAAGTACTCGTGAAGAAAGGTCAAACCCCGGTATCTTATATGTTATTACTCCGGTGATCTGTATTAATACATCGGTGGGCTAAATGCATGATTTGAATCGAGAACATGAGCGCTCGGGCTCGGGGGTTGCGATACCACCTATCCATATGGTCACGGTTCAATATATAGATCAGCGTCAAAATCACGCACCGGTAGGTTCATGAGATTACAGGATCACAAACCGAAATTTAAGCGTGACATTGTAAATGCTATGCTCGTATACTTGGGTAGAAGAATAGCCGCTTCCGAGAAGCAAGGAGGTTCAACTTTGATCGCATGCTTGAAGGTAGCGGAAGGAAGAGCTTGTGGAGCTTTGAGATGTCTCAAACAACATCACATCAAATTGATGATTATTTCAAGCTAGCCGGTTGGATTTCAGCCTGCCAGGAGACCCAAAGGAGAACTTAAGGTTCGTTTCTATCGAAGTGAGCCCAGTAAGGGAACGACGCAATGAAGCCCACTCGAGGTCAGGCACTGTAGAAGCTGGTTGAAAGTCCATATCCGGTCAATTTTCTGGTCTAACCGTTCCCGCAGGATTCTGTAAACATCATCAAACTTTCAAGAAGGAGCTTCAGATGGCGAGAGCAGAGGTTATGTGAGCAATTCTCCGCAAAATCACTGTGAGGTAACCAGTTGCCACGCCGACGGCCGTGCAGTTTGCAGCCAGAAAGCGCCTAGAGATGGCTTCGAGGAGCCTCAAGTTTTGAGAGAAACCGATGTAGACTTGACATCTGTTTGTGAAGCCCGCAAACACTGACAGAGCTCCGAGTCGCCGACGACGCGCAGGCCCACGTGATCTCGCAGGTCCCGACTCCCGACTGCCCGGCAGTGTCCGACAACGCATTATGCCGTCCTCATTGGTATCTATTTCATCATTACACAGCACACTCAGACTGGCAGCACATCAATGCATCATGCCGGGGGCAAAGAAACGAGTAAATGAAACCCTAAATTACCCTCTAGTAGTTCGCTATTAAAAGCAGCAAACCGAACCAAAACCAACTGCTGAGTCCGGCAACCAAATTGTACGCCTCTTATCATCGCTCTCACGACATAACAGTGTTTCCTTTGGCATCACATTCAGATGCTATGGTCAGCAGGCTTCTAATGCTGAACATTGCGTAACATGTTTCTTCCCTCTTACATTCGATTCCCTCGGTCTGATTCAGCCCATACCTTATCCTTGTCCGACGCTTAGAGTACCGTCGAATCCGGCCCTTTGATATTGGCGACAAACCTGTCTAGTTTCCTAGCTTGGATAAAAAGGTCAAGAGCCAGAGCCTGCGAAAGTGTGATCCGGGATATCCCGGCCTGTAGTACTTTGCTTTTTTGCACCGCGACGTCGACGACAAGGAGACACCGAGCACTAATGTCACGTCACCTCTTATCGTGATACACATCAGTGCCACCATTGGCATTTTTTTCTCGACTTCATGTTCCGTTATCTGTCAGAATACAGCATACAAGGCTTTTTACCCTAGTGAAGCATGGCCGACGTGGGATTTCGATAGCGCCCATCAAGACGTACGTTAATACAGGTTCTTAAAAGTACTTGTGTTGATTGGCTTCATTCTAGAGGTGATGAACTGTATCTAACTGGAACGGTCGGACCCTCCAGCTTCAATTCCAACCCGAGGGCTGCAGGACTTTTGAACCTCTCGCAGCCAAAATAATCAAACGCTTCGAACCTTTCACATCTACTGTCGTCCTTCTAGTCCAGCGAATCTCCAACAATGAGCCGTTTATTCTAAAACTCGCAAATACCAGGCTGGGGTCTCGTAGCAATGACTTGGAAGTGCCATGGACATCTTCTATCGAAGATCGCCTACGACATACCATCTGTGATATTCAGGCAGGCGAAATTCTGACTGGATCGAGCTCCTACGCGATGATGAAAATCCCAAACGACCTGACGAGGATCTCTGGGAGAATTGGGCGTGGGAGATCTCTACTTGGTATTGGAAGTTGTATAACTACACCGAGCTTGCTGCATACCAACTTCTGTATCGAGTGCAAGGTCGGTATATTCCCCGTCTTTGGGGCACCGTTCGTCTTCGCATCACTTCTGAGTCTACTCCCCTTCATCCAATCACCGACTTTGTTCAAGGATTCGCGCTCGAGTATATCCCTGGTATTTGCATGGAGAAGCTGATACCGGGGGTTGACATCTCCCGGCAGGAGGCCGAGAGAATCTCAAACCAAGTATTGGAAGGGCTCCGTGCCACTGAGGCTGAGAACTGTGTGCTGCACAATGACATCCACGTCGGGAACGTCGGTCCTGCGGGAGGGTGACCAATCTGCTGTCATCATCGACTTTGGACAAGCAATCGTGAGGGAGCCTGGAAAGGGCGATGAAGACTGAAGACTGGATACGTGTCGTCCGGGGAGGCGCAGACACTCGTTTTATGAGGAGAATTCTCAAGGATCCTGAGAATGGAGGGTGGAAAAAAACAGTAACGCCTTTCGAGATGTCAGACTCATCCTATAATAATCCGCTGGATTTTAACAAATATGTGGAAAGCATGCCTGAGGATTTTCGGATGGCAATGTTCGAGAGAGTTTTGGATACGGATTGGGAGGGGGCAAGGGGGAAAAGTGCATCAATGGCGTATAAGACCGGGGATTCGTTGCAGGCGCAGCTATGACACGACTAGGGTGGGTTCAAGGTATCGATATCATTATCGGATTGTGCAAACAGCATGTTAGGGTTGTCCATCTCACCCCACTTAAATATGACATCGCGTAGCCTGCAACGTGCGCCCTATTCTTATGTGACAGAATGGTAGATTGATTCCATCCTCAATGAGTAGCTCTCAGCCCATCCGGACCTACTGTCATTTATGAAAACCGCCAGTGAAGTGACGTAGATGGCATCACCTTCGGCGACTGATGTAAAAACAATCGTATTTTTTGCAGTTGGACCTTCATCATTGCTCGTTTATGCAGCATGAAACTGCGATCTCATATCTTGCGCCGGCACTGCCTACCTACAAAGACCACTTTCCACCCTGACACGGTTCCTACTCGTGATCGTTGTCGATCATCGTGGTTCACACATTGACAAGCGCCAAACAAGTATGTGCAACCTATACATTGAGCTCACAATCTCATCAGTTACCTTGGTTTGGTTTCAGTGATGATTTCTATCAACCGGGAACAAGGGTTGACTTCCGGCCTCAGCTTCTGCTGCATTTACTCCCTAGGCTGTTCTCAGATGGTCACAATCATAAAACGATCCAGACCTTTCGTATATGCGGTCGTGCTTCTAGTCAGCGCCTCCCTGACAGCCAACCCTTCTCGCCGATCGCAGAGCCAGGGAGAAGGTGTATCACTGGAGGTCGAAGTCTGATACTCGCTGTAGGCCCTGGTATGATTAGGAACCTACGACGAGTAGTAAGTCTTGAGGCATGTATACGAAGCACAATGGGTGAATAAACTCTTAACATCCGTAGATATGTACCCATAAATTTTCAGAAGCTCGGGATAGATTTACCGGCAAATAACAGTTGTCAATCTAACAAGGAATCCCTCGAGAACTTTACGAAGACACGTTCTGGATGCTAATTATAGTCATGAACACTGAGCCTGGGGGAGTGTTTCTTGAAGGCTTACCTAGCAGCATCAATTTCCTTATTAACGACTGAGATTGCCTGTGCGAGATCGCTAGTAGGACAAAGAAGATCCAACACAGATCGATGCGCTAATCGCTCCTGTTGAGGCCATGTTGAACGTCTCGCAGTCTGGTTGGACTGAGAACCAAAACATTGCTAAAAGTGAAATTGAGCAGGATGATGAGAAAAGCTAGCAACCCGTGCACACCTGAAAGAGCTCAAAATCCTTGCTAAACAAGGATTCCGATACGCTGCTGTCAAAAATACTGAAGAAGGTCCCTTCAGCTCCAACATTAACGTTTAGTCCGGCATTAACAGAGAAGCATCCGCCCAAGCTGCTGCTGGTATCTGAGAGCGCACTCGAACTACCTGCAGTGATGGAGCTGAGGAAGTTGCTTCCAACCTCGGAACTTTCAGAAGCTGAAACTGATCTTGCAAGCCGTGCAGCGTCAACGACGGGGGTTGGATGGCCTTGCCTCCTGTGATAGCGTGCGGCATTCGGGATGTAAGATACAGTATCCGTTGACGGGTCATCGATAGAAGAAGATCTCCCAGAGCCAAAGACGGTGGATGTCGACGCATCTTGAGAGGCGGAAACAGATGGGCTCGATGTGCCGTGCACCGAAGCCTGCGTGCTGTAGTTCAGGGCAGAACTGGTCTCAGCAGGCAAGGAGGTGCCAGTTTCGTAACTGAATAGTGACGTAGTAGTCGCCGTCTCTGTCCCGTTTGCCGATCCGTTATCCACCGTAATGCTGGTCTGCCATCAAGCTCCAAAACAAGTGCGGCATTAGCATCCAGCTCAAGAAATACGTTGGCGGTAAGTGTATCACCCAGAGCAGAAATGCCTAGATTAAGACGCGGGATCAGGTGTGCTTCAATCGTTCCCGTAACGTTGGCAGCAGGCAAGACTGAGAGTTTCAACGCTAAACGGAAGATAAGCAGAGAGATGGAACTAAAAGGGAAAGGCTTACGAGTATCGCCTATATCAAAGGATCCACCACTTGCATTGTCGCTTTTGTTAGGCGGGAAGACAAATTGGGCTTTGGAGATGTTGTAGACAACACCGACATTGAGATCGAGTGCAACGTCAAGCTTCGCAACGGCTTGAGCATCTATTTCAAATGTTGGTCCAATTGCAAGGATGCTGAAGTCGGGCTCAGAGAAAAGACAAGCACAAGAAGACTCTGCTTACCCAGGGAAATCAAGTCCAGGTATACCCACCTGAAAAAGAGGTATTTTCCCAGAGTCCAAGGTTCCCTACACATAATATCAGGGACGAGCCAGATAGGTGACAGACATAAAAATAGTTACGGTAACACCGGCGAATAGATCAATAGCGCCGTCCAAAGTGGCGTCAAGATCTGCATAGACGGGTTAAAGAGAAATTCAGTTTATGAGATCATAAACGTACTAGCGCGAATGGCAAAATCATTGATGTTGGGAGGAACAAGAGTTCCGCTGGCTGAGATACCCAAAGTCGCAAGCGCATGCGCCTTCGCGGCAATATTGATGTTTAGCTTGGCATCTATGGGTTGGCATGATACGCTCTCGTTCAGAAGATTGAAAGTCTGATCCACGTCTATGGGGACATCAAGGGTCTGATCAACATTAACATCGTTGTCCAAAACACTGCCGAGGACTAGATCACGATATCAGTAAGGTTTCACGTAGCGAGGGGACACACATGTACCATCAATAGCGTCGCCAACAAAACTAGTGAAACCACGGCGTGATAGGCGACTGCGTCGCCGAGACCCGAATGAGATAGAGGAGAGATCAGAGCCGGCGTTAGGTACGTTGGCGCCTTGGAGAATAAAACTAATGGCCCCAGTCCTAACGCCGGATTTAGTCATAAAAGCCGCAGAGGGTATTATTCCACTAACTTTGACGAGTCAACAGCAGAGAAATTCGTGTCCAATGCCAAGGCCTTCACAGGAGGAGCGGTGCCATCACGGCGAAGTACACGGGCGGCCAAATTGGACGGAAGAGACTGGTCTTCGGGATCCCATGCTCTCGCCACCCGAGCAAACGCGTTTTGGCCACACTAAATTGAAGGAATCGTTGAGTCAGGAGCAGATGGAGATATCAAACTGCTACCCACGTTTTCCGGTAAACGAACGATCTTTCCCACAGCGCCATCATTCTGATAAAGATGATCACAGTCGGGCGAGCCGGTATCGTTATTCAAGCAGACGAGACGAATCTCCTGTGTAAGCGCTTCTGGAGCGCAATCGATAATTTCCCAGCCAGCTGCAGGTGTAATGTCTGATAGTGCATTCGCAGATCCCCACTATATGGACATTTAGATAAAAGAAGTTATGGCTAAAAAGTATGTACATACGATTTTCAATGACCCAGATGCAGTACCGTTAGCGGGCAGAGAGTACTCGCAAACTCCGTTGAAGCAAGGTTGGCTCCAGTCATTTGTTGCAAGAACTGTGACGAAAGAAAGGATGTGAGGATATAGAACGAGATAAGCATCATTCTGAAGATAATGAAGCAGTAAATGGAAATTAATCCAGCCGACCAGGGCGAACGAACGAAAGTAAAGACTTGACAAGAAAAAAAAGAACGAAAGTGTCTCTTCACCGAAGAGGTGTTGGGAAAAGTTCTTTGACATGGTAAGGTTTATGTATACTCCTACATACCTATTGAATCCCCAGATCAAGTGTCATCGACATCTTTGATTAACGCCATAGGAATCATATGGTAAGTACCTCGTCTCCAGGGGAGAGTCTGAGAGTAGATTTTCTGTAACCTGCAGTGGACTGTGGTCGAGGCATGAGGCAAGAATGAGCACGTGGATGGTGGCAGCGCATCTCTATTTGTAGTGGTAATTGATGGAGACACGGGCCGGAATCCCGATCACAGTACGATGGTTACTCTTACCAAGCTAATTGTCTCCTTCCACAACAAAGAGAGTATTCACACATGTCTCTCAAAATTGTAATCGTTGGCGGCCATGGAAATGTATGTTTCTTTCTTTATGTTTAGAATCTTCAATTCATCGAACGCTTGATGATTTGAAGGTTTCTCTCCGACTTGCTCGCCTCCTTGCAGCCGCGAAGCACACGGTGACCTCACTTATCAGAAATCCAGAGCAAAAGGGTGATATCGAGGGCACCGGTGCGATACCTCAAGTAATATCTATTGAAGACTCGTCGATCTCCGATTTTGCACAGACCTTTGAAGGCAAGGATATTGTTTACTGGTCTGCAGGTGCCGGAGGAAAAGGGGGCGAGGAGAGGACTAAGAAGGTCGACTATGAGGGTGCCATCAAGGTCCGATAATACTGAGTCATTCTAATATAGTGCTCATCGATGATTAGGTATTCGACGCCATTGAGGCAGTCCAAGGCTCAAAGCCACGTTTGATCTATGTATCGGCTATCGATCTTCGTGATAGAAGTGCCCCTCCACCAGCGCATTATGTGCGTTCGTATGAATATTTGCTGCCATTCTTTAACATGTGTATATTAGAACGAGGCTGACCTCGCGCTTTCGGAGCGTGTGCATAAGGCTATACCCGCTTACATGCACTGGAAATACGAAGTCGAGAAGGTGCTCACGGCGCGCACCAAGTTCAACTGGACCAGCCTCAGACCAGGAGGCTTAACCAATGAGCCCGGCACTGGGAAAGCAGCCCTAGGAAAAACTCACTTGTCACCGACCATTTCGGTATATCTTCTTTTGTTAATATTGAATTCTATCTGATGATATTTGCAGAGGGATGACGTTGCGAAGACCTTATTCCTTCTGGCCACTCGTCAAGATGCTCATGGCTTGGGGATCGACATGGTCGGTGGTGAGAATCCTATCGAGGACGAGCTTGATTCTGCAATTAAGCAGTTGCAAACGGAGAAGGCTTGATTTACTGATTAGATGGCGTAGTTGCAAAGGAAGCAGAATCAAAGTGTACTTCTACGATTTACCCGCCGCGTGACCCTGCAGGACCACATTATGATCATCAGTTCGCAGCGAGGAATGTGGAGGTGAGCCTCTGATACGCCAATGACAGCAAATGACGAGATCCACATTTCTGCGCTGCATGCTATTCGTGTATCGTCGTCTTGTCGAGCTCCTTTTTGTCCTGTCAAGACACGCAAAGGATTGAATTTAGAATTCCCTAAATGAGTGTATGTTCACCGTTACTTCGATGCTGCGCGAGAGTTCACGCATATCAGTCTTTGATTGTGTCGATGGTTCTATGCTTGCAGGACGCGAGTTTCCAGTGAGTGCAATAAAGAGTGTCGTCTAATAGCAGGACTCTGTGACACCGAAACGTCTAGGTTGCCTTCAATTTATCGTCGTCTCCCTCCTCGTGCCGCTTCGTCCAGTCAAACATAGGCTTCAAAGCCTCGATATACCAAGAATCAATGGCTTCAAGTGCGGCTTTCCCCCAGTCGAAGCTATCATGTTCATCAATTGAAGACGGACCATCAACAAAGACAACGATGTCTTCATTGACAGGGTCAATGAATCCTTCCCGAACTCCGTTTTTGATCATTTGTCTAAGAGGCTCATAGAATGACCGGACATTTAAAAGGACGACAGCTGGAAAAGCGGCAGTTCAGCATTACATGAAATATAAGTGCATCATTCTTGCTAGAAGAGATGATTCGCGGAGTCATAAAAACGTCGAGCACGTTTTTACTCGGGGAGAAATTTCCCATGAGAAGAATCGCCGTCGGAAAGTCGTTACATAATTGGAAGAAAGACGTACGTTTTCTATGAATACCAATCTGAGTCCAAGTTGAGACCTCCAGAACCTAAAGGTGGTCGTCAGAAAAAAAGGACATTCACACTATGCGGTACTTGCCTCCTCGAACGTTCCGAACCCACCAGGCAACGCGACGAATCCCCCGACACGTCTCGCCATCTCAACTTTTCGCTCGTGCATGGATTCCACGATGATCTTCGGACGAGCGAAATTGTTCCAATCAGTCCGCAAGACACTGATATTACGCACTTACTGTTTTGACCTAAAATAGATTCATCAGCATTGCGAGCGAAGAATGAACGGTTAGACACACCTGGGTGTTCTGTCCATTGGGAATGACAACCAATGTTGTTGGATCGGATTTGCTCCCTTCGCCTCCCCCGGCGACCATTGCGAAAGGTACGATACCCGTTACCCTACCGCCGTTCTCTGCTACAGCGTTCGATACAGCACCCATGATGCCTTTTTGGCCTCCACCATAGACCAAGGGCCTGTTGTATCTCGCCAGCGCCTTTCCGAGTGCTATTGGGAAGTGGTCATTAACAAGAAAATCGATCGGGCTGATGAACACATACAATCAGCGGCATGTACAAACGCGGGCTGATTCCCAACTTTGGATCCACAGTACACAGCAATGGCTTTATTAGACACTATATCATAAAGAGAACATCAAATGGATGCGAAACACGCTTTGAAAAGCACTTACTTTTGGGCTTGACCAAATGGTAGTACGGTGGATCGTGATGGTAAGGACAAGAAACGGGCTGATGATTTTTTTTTCGTTTTGGCTGACGGAAATATTAATAGGCTGAAGCGTTGGAGTAAGGGGGGCTACGACAGTCGGACTGGTATTTTCGAATGGCGATACTGGCAATTCGTTGCAAGTCCCGGAAATGGCTTCCGCCGGCAGTGACTCATACTTACTTTAACGAAAGTACCGGTAATTCAGTAATTGCCGTATCCATTCCGTAGGTAAAATGCCGCAAAACAAGAGTTTATTCACTCACGTTTGTTATCTTTACGGTGCTTCGCGTGGCAACGAAATGATCTTGTTGGTGCAGTGAAGGTGGGTCGAAGCTGCCAAAAGGTCTATTTCCTTTTTAGTCATTCCCATGCGGATGATGCACCATCACCCATCACCTGTGATAATTGCCGTCATTACGGGACCTCTTCATTACGCCTCCTTTTCGTTCGTACGCGATTGCTGAATACTTGTATGCTCCTTCCAAGCTCCTTCCGTGGATTTCTAGGATGGAAAGTTGCTACTGAGCCGAGACATGGCCGACCGTCTCGTGCTAGCATTTCCGCTGCGCCTGCTACGAATGTCTCTGATGCCAGGGCGGAAGCAGCTAACAACGGAAATTGTGTTTCACGGTGAACACATATCTGAGTCATTGTCTTTCTCCTCAAGGGTTTCGTGTAATCATAAATTGAACATTTTTCCTTCAAATTTTCTGATTCTTCCCCAGGAATCTGCGCTACGAGGCTCCATGGATGAACAACCTCAGCTCATTGGCCCGCTTCAACTTTGCTTCAACTTGAAAAAGAACGGAGCATATATCAGGGTAGATCAATCCGTCGAAACCGAACTCACGTCGTTGGCCACCGAATTGCTCGGGACCAAAGTCGGGGATGAGCGGAATCGACTAAGGGTGGGTGATATATCATCAATTGTGCTCCGAAAACATGATGCAAACGCTTTACAGGATCGACTTAGAAAGAAATTGCTATCGATCTGCGACGGCTGGACGGTGATGGAAGGCAAGACGTACCTGCGTGATTATCCGAAACCAAAAAAGGTCGAGCCCATTCAGACTCTGCAGCCTGAGAATGCTGGCAACGGGGAAGGCAATGCAAACATCAATAACGTATGTGCATTTATCAGTGTCAAAAAATGTATGCCTTAACATGCACGATGAGCAGTTTATCGATATCGTATTTTCGCCTCCGTGGCGAGGGACAGTACCCAGTGTCGGTTGCGACCAATGGAGAAATCAATTGTTAGATTTGCTCCAAAGTATGAATGTCCGCGATCGAGAAATCGCTTGTCAGCGGGTTCCGAGTCTTGTGCGGGTCGAACTAGTCAAACCTAGGATTCGAGCAGAATACTTGGATCTTCTTGATGGCACCAATATTGAGAAACACGACATCAGCAATTGGTATGCTATTCCAATTGAGCTTCAGAATCCCGTGAGTGGATAGAAGTCTTTGCACCAGTATTGGCTTTAACATTTAACAGTGTAAATTATGCACCGACAACCAGTTTCTTTGCACCTGGAGCCGCGGACCCGACGATTCCAAGAGGTGCAGAGAATGTATACTGGCCAATCGTAACAGGTGCCTTTCTAAAGCCACGCAGACTGGTCATACGTCCAATTCTCATCCGAAGAAACGATCGATGACCTCTGACGACTCTGATTACAAAGGCCGTATCGACGACACGCGCGCATTCCTTCCTTTACCTACCACGCGTAGGGCAGATAAAGAACTCTCGGATGGTCTCGACGCAGCAGTTTGTGGACAGAAGAGGCCTAGTTCCCCTTCATCCAACAGTGTTCAGTCCTTGAAGCGGCTCCGTACTGAAGAGGGTAACGTTACCTCCTCAGAAATTGCGACTACAACAAAAACACTTTTTACGGATGATGACTTCCAAGATGGGGTCCGAAGGATTCTGCATTTGGAGAACGCGATAAAGGAGATGCGAAAGGAAAACGAGGAGTTGTGGAGGGCAAATGACTCTTGGAAGGAAGAGACAGAAGATTTGAAGGCTGCTACTGAAACTACCTTGAAGAAACTGAAGTGTCTTCAAGCAGATATTACACACGTAGATTCACTTGTAAGCGCAATGCGATAAGCACTGGATAGGTGGAGTATCTAGGGATAACGAAGCAGGCTCACATGTTGTACATTAGGCTGACTGTATTTTATTGTTGCTATCTTTACTAATTAAATAATCACGAATTCTGTTTTCATGTAGACGCGTCACGTTTCAACAAACGGAAGACGCCGGCCCGGCGGACCGCATCCCTAAACGTTGGCGAAACTTCCGCTTTAACTGCTTGCATGACGGCAACGATGGACAAGGCCATTGCGCTCTCTATATTTGCATCGTATTTTCTCTTGATTTTCTTTCTCTTTGGAGCTATTATCAAAGATTTCTTTCGGACTACATCTCGCACGGTCTCCGTCAGTAAAGTTTTAGTTTTTACTATTCTGACCCTCGCGTCGTTTGGCCATACATGGTTCTGTAAGTTGCGCCTTATTCGAATATGTACACCACATTGACAGCTCTCTAAACGTATCCAGACATGTTTAAATTTATGTCGGCAAGTATTCCAAGAACAAGGTCATTATTGTAACCGGTCATAACCTCATTGGCAGTGGAGTTTCTCGGATTACGAACGCATAGTCCCGCATAGCACAGAAGCAAAATCTTTGTTGGACCGTATTTCATCCTGGCTCGTGGACACCAAGCTTTTTGAGCAGGCTTGGGCTGCCGTATCTTTTGGTGCAGTAAATTGGTGGTGGAGCGAACAGTTATGTTTGTTCACGGCAGGATTTTGGACGGTTTTTGTTTTCCATGAAAGTATGTTATATCAGTGTCTCTGCAGTTCTTCACTGATGAATCAGGTCGCCGATATGGCATAAAAAATGCATGGGCGTACATGCTTTTGGGTCAAGTCGTTGCAATCTCCGTGGCCGCCAATCTTTTCTATCTTGCTATTCTACTGTCACCACAATATTCGAAACCAAAGCAAAAAGGGGTCGCACCGTCTATCTTATGGGCCCCGGTCCTTTTTTCTCTTGTGAATGTTTTCATCAGCCCCTTCACGAATGAGGAAACTTTCTTGCCGAATCTCCTTACCATGCACGCTGTGCTCATGCTACCGCTTCTCTTGCCGCCTGCAGGCCACTCCTCCGCAATTTCGTATTCATTGCTTTATTCGATCATATTGGCTTCTGCCGTAGTCATGCGATTGAAGACAACTTACCTTGCTATATCTGAAGGCGACTCTTTCCTGGCATCTGTATTCGAGACGCTACATTCTCATCCCGCTCAATCTTCCATTGGGTACGATGTTGTATGGACCACTATCTCGTTTGTGGCGTGGGCGAGACTTGGTATAAAACATAAGGCCTCGGTTTTCTCCCTGGTCTCCGTGCCAATTGTGTCCGCGGGCGTTATTGCGCCCTACATCACGCGTTTGAGTGTCGGACAGCAGGATGAGAAAGTTTTATAACATCAGTTCCTTAGGTGATTTTTCCATATCTTTCTGATCACAGTACGGTGCTAACGACGTCCCAACAGAATATCATCCGTTTGAATATCGTACGGAAAAAATGAATAGTCCAAGAACTTCTTTTCCCACATACTCGCCCTTGACTTTTGAGATCCTCGCAACAAGCTTTGCTTCGCCGATTATGTGCCGTATTGAAATGAGATGAGATGGCAATGTCATGCAAGAGGAACGCTTGAGTTATCTTTCATTAATCTCGTGTTGACCCTAGAACTTTTTAGATTGGTGGGATATCTATCATCCCAATCAACGTAAAAATCTGTAAGAACGCCGATCTGCGGAGAAATTTGTTGATATTGCCCACTATACAGGATTTTTTCTCCGCACTCACCTGGGGCTACCACAATAGTAGAGGACGGCTTAAGGATGTGCAACAGTCCTTGGAACTTTGTACTTGGCGTGGCTTCTAGGGGCTGTTGTGACATGACCTACCGGAAGACCGTCGGTCCGGTAGGATGCTTCGGAACATTTCCGAGAGCCATTTACCTCGGGGCATGAAAAATTTCCCCTCGCCTGGATCTTTTCTCCTCACTTGACGACCTCACGACTCGCTTTTATGTACAGATCAAACCGTGTTTTGCATATTTAACAGGTGCGTGTGTTGCATTGTATATCCGGCTCCTCCCTCATCGATAGACCTTTGCAGACACACTCTCTGCAAGCCATGGTCTCTGCAGGCACGTTGATATGGATTTCGCTCCGCCCTCTTCTTCGGCTGTATGTCCATTCTGTCTCCAGGCTTTCTCCCCGCGTTCTGACTACCCTTGCAGTGTCATGTGTGTTACTGGGGGATATGCGATCACTAAAGCAGATATATTTCCGCGCGTAGCTGCGCAGGGAGCAGGACAGATAGCTTTGGTGAGTCACTGTAGCACATGGACACAAGCAGGACTGATTTAATACTATCCATCGGCAACCAGAACATCACGATACCATGCCTTATGTTTTCGAAGATGGTTCCAGCCTTCACGTCGGACAATATTGGCGCCCTAGGTGTGCTGGCTGCCCATAATCGACATGCCAATATTGTGCCATCCCAATCCCTCAAACTCACCGCACGTTCGTCTGTATTTTAGGACCCCTCCTCTTGATTTGTGTCATCTATCAGGCTTTGAGTGTCGGGATAGCGTGGTTAACCAAACAATTCTTTTGGGTTCCCCACCGGTTTCGATATGGGATCTTGGTCGCTGGTGGTTGGGCTAACTATGGCGACATACGTGAGGGTTTTCCCAATCTCTTAGTTGTTCGTGTCTGACGGCAGGTTTAGCAACTGCTGTCATTATGAGCATCACAGGCGCGGCGCCGTTCAACGGTGAATCCGACCAGAATTTGTCCGTTGCGTACATTTCAGTATTTATCCTCTACTACATGGTCTGTCAATGTCGTTTTCAGAAATACTGTCTCTAACTGAGGGCCTAGATAACGTTCTTTCCTATGGGAGGAAACAAGGTCATTGCCTGGGACTTTAAAGGCCCTGATGTAGAACCGGAAGAAGTCAGGGAGAGTGTTCGTCTCAGGCGACAGTTTATCTTCCGTGGCTGGCCCCGTGCTTTACGGCAGAAGCTACGCAAGGTCCAGGGTGAACCAGACGCCGAGAACCAACTTGATGAGAAGATACCAAACGAGGTTGCTATCGTCACAGATGGTAACATCGATATTCACCACCGTCCTCGTCATGGTCGACAGGTCTCTTTCTGCGATGAAGCCTCGACTGCAGTTCCGACAGATGCGGATTTTACCTCTGCACCATCGACGGAAAAGCTACAGTCTCCTCCACCATCTCAGACCGCTACCCAGACCATACCATACGATGGGTGCGGTTCTCGACCTCTGACACCTATAGAAGAAGACCGTCCTCCAAGACCATCGCCCATGCGACGCCGATGGCAAAAGTTCAGTATCACCGCACGCGGAGTCATCAAATCTCTCCTCACGCCCGCGTCGATCGCTATCCTCATCTCGTTCCCCATCGCCCTCATCAAGCCACTAAAAGCATTGTTCGTTGTGGTCGACGGATATTATATGCCCTCTGCTCCCGATGGAGAGCCTCCGCTGGCGTTTGTTATCGACTTTGCAGAATTTATGGGTGCCGCGTCCGTGCCGCTGGGTCTTATTTGCTTGGGATCCGCTCTAGCGAGGTTGAATGTGCCACGAAGTCAGTGGCCGCATTTGCCGTTGGGCGCTATCTTCTCGCTGGCGATTGGACGGATGTTGCTCATGCCTGTGCTTGGCGTTTTGGTATGTGGGGGTCTGGTTAATGCCGGTGTTATCTCTAGAGACGATAAGGTCCTGCGGTTCGTTTGTATGTAAGTTTTTTCAGGTTTTGATTCATTCTTGCAGATCTTGATGAAGAATGTGACAGCTTCTTTTCTTGTCTGCCTACTGCGACTACCCAGGTACGTATATGTTTTTTGCGCACTTATCTCGGCTGATCTCCGTGATAGGTATTTGTAACACAGGTATACAGCGGAACCGGAAGTGCAGAACACTTGTCTGCTTTCCTAATCCCGCAATACATCTTGATGTTCCTTTCGATGACCGCTCTCTCTGCGTACACTTTACAAATGCTGTTCTGAAGATGACTAAAACCTGTAGAATCTAGACTGAATGAAGACAACTGTACGAATACATTGTTTTGTACGACGGTACATTCATGTAATATATTCCTATTTTCATTTCAGGCAGGGATAGGCACCTCAGCTTGAGGAGTAAGCCTGACTGCGTGCCTCCTGTGGATATTATCAAAATCGACTGTCGCTGAGTGAACAGTGAGTCGGTTATCCTACACATTCCTCAAATCTTAGCGGCACGTAAATTCAAAGGAGGACGGTAGTACTCACCCAAACGACGACCGTTCCAGGCTTATACGTCGCCCTTACTTGGAAATCAGAGCCCTTTGCGATATGATCAAAGAGGAACTTGAGTAGATACTCAGATTCCTCCGCTTTGTACCCCACGATACGCTTGGTGAATCCTTGGTTTACGTACAGAGCTTTCTCTCCTGTTACTGGGTGTTCCCGGACGAGGGGATGCTGATGTCCAATAAGACGTCAAGGAATAGACCGAGATGATATAAACCAACCTCGTTCTCTACTGGTTCCCGACGGACGGGTCCTCCTTGCTTTCGGGAATATTCAGCTTGGGGCACGGCTGTGTGCACAGCCCGAAGACCTTCAAGTCGTTTCTTAAACTCCGGAGACAGACGATTATACGCTTCGACTTGAGACGTGAAGAGGGTGTCTCCGCCACTTTCGGGCTGAAACAAGATGGAGTTAACAGAATTGTCGGACTTAGAAGTCGAGATGATTGACCTGATCTAGAATGAAGAAGAATGTGGTACCGGGCGGTTGGCGCTCATACGACTGGGGAGAAGATTATGATTGATGGGAGATGAGGAAAATGACACGTACAATATCAGAGTGCCAGCTCGTTTTGCTGATACGGTCTTCTCCGAAGTATTCAAGGAATCGGTCATTGTCGGCGTCTCTGTAGACTACAGTTCGTTTAGATCCTAGGATCGCTATGATAATTGACAAGCCTCTCACCGACGTGAAATTCTGGATAACCCTTTACATTTCCTGACGTAGGGTGTCTCTGAATCGGACCAAAGTGACTGTAAACCATGATTAGCAAAATGAAGATGACGTCGGTAGAAACAGCGCACTTGGCGATTTCAATCTGGCGCTCTGGCGTGAGGTCTTTGAAGTCCTGGTCGCGGAAGAGAAGGAGCTTGCGCTCAGCTGTGAATAGAGCAAGCTCATCAAGACCCTCCTTCGTCAGTTCCGAGATCTGAATGCCCGTGACCTCCGTTCCGATGTATGGACTGAGGGTCTTGGTACTCGTGTTGGGGTTAAGAAGATGAGGTTTGGCACGGTCAGCACGGGACCCGGGGTCGATGTGCTCTGCCAGACACATCAGTCAGGTAAAAGGTGTGGCATAGAAGTAAAAGTCACCGAAGACCTGGGTTGGAGGGAATTTCTCGTCGCTGTCCCAGTAAGGTAGATAGAAGGGATAGCTGGCTCCAGGTGAAATCTATAAGGGCAGTGAGGAAGAGAAGATCGTAAAAGCACGAGTAAACCGCACTGTCTGTTTGATGGTGGATTTCTTGGGGGTACTGATTTCTTCGGTCTTGGAGAGCTCTGCCACGGAGGGTGCCATCTTAACAGCGAGAGACTTGTTGTAAAGCTAGCTGCTTCAGTGGTCCTTTTATGACATTGCTAGAGATAAGCGTCCGGAAAACACCACTAGCATGCGATATGTCTACAGGTCGACGTCATCGCAAAACTGAAGTACATTGCAGGAAGATTGCGTTCAATGGCGCGACCATGCAGCTTCAATATATTCAGAAAAAGCTCAGGTCACAAGTCTTCCAGCACTCACTAAGCAGTTCCTGGATCTAGAGCGTGATACAAGGTATGTTTATTGGTGAAGAACAACTTCAAAGGTAGGTTGTACTAGATATGTCGAGATTGCGAGCATTTTACGGCATGCGTAAACGAGATGGCATGTTCAGTCTATATCAGGACGACGCATAAATGCAATCCTTATGATCCCAATAGGACCTTGGAGAGCGGCGTCAATACTCGAATCACTGGCCTTGCCAGTTCTTTGGATACCTGATCTACACATGATAGTCAGGTAAATCTAGTTCAGAGTAGATGATTCCGCACCATAACCAACCCGTTCCGGACTCTGGTAGAACCGCAATTTATTGATAGGCAAGCTAATAGGGCATGTGCTTTTAGTTTCTTCCATTCTGTTTTCTTCGCTCGAGGATGCCGGCGATACCAGACTTGAATTAGATTGGACGAATTGTTATGGAAAAATCCGGCTCTTGTGCAGCGAGGTGGTGGGGCCCTATGTACCGAGCTAAAGGATAGTGTGAGAATCGAAATCCTCGAGGACGAAAGCAAAAAATTGGTTCACCCAAAGTTAACTCCTCCCAAAATTCAGTCGCGCCGGGATTATGGAGGCTGGATCCAGAAATGGCATCGGGTCGTTCAATGCAGAGTGGACGTTTCAGCAAGAAGGTATACATTGTCGAGCAAATTAATAATGCCAGGGCGAGTCGTGTCTGGCCAATGGTGGTCGGATGCAAACAAGCGGCGGGATTTGCCGCCACAAACGCTTGACCATCGACCACCTTAGCATCTCCAACATTTCTGCATTTGTAGCCGTTTTCACTGCGGAATTCAAATCCAGTCCGCTATGTAAAGGACGCCGCATGAAGTATGTAGAAATGGAGAGTACTGAGGCCGGGATTTGGTATGTCAAGGAGTTGTTTGAACCGTGGATTTGAACTCATTTCATTGCCGCAGGGGCGATTATTCTCTGTCATTCCTGTATATAACACTTCAGACAATCTAATCATCTCCTACGTCGCTTGGCCTTTCGATGCCACTACAGCAATAATCACTATCTCAAGGGTCCTAACCAAAATCTCAAAGCTCTCCTAAAGTTCATTCGACGTACAGCCGAAGCTACTTGCAAAAAACACCGTCCAGATGACCGCACAGAGCTTGACTATGCATGTCTTTAGAGTCGACGATTCACTTGCCAAGGCTGTTGACGACGTATCTGAATATCGGCACTAAGTCGATACTACTATACAGCAGTCATTGGCAATCGCAGGGGGAGGAACGGTCAGGAGGGTGAAAGTGGAGACTTCCGGACGAGTGAACATCTTTGGCTAGATGGGTACGTTTATGACCGAGGTCAAGAGTTAATAACCTCTCCGCTAACTACTCTTTCATACCCTCTAGATCGCTACCGATACAGCATATAATAATCTCCCTACTATACATCGTGCGAATGACATGTACTGTTTTCCTGTTATGTGTCATTTATCGTTGGAGCCGGACAGCCTGATAGATACGACAATCGTGGAAGCCAACTTGCCAAAGTATGATAGCACACAATCATGTCATCTCCTCACAACGACGAGCGTGACCGTTCTCTTTGCGCTCAGCATCACCGTAATTCGCCGCGACTTGAATCTCTGAGTATGTAAAAGCATATTTTATCTTCCAGTTGTAAGATATAGTAGTAACCGCGTTTTTCTTAGGCTTCTAGCGTGCCACACCTGATCTTGATACGCGGCAGCTCGGTTAGGTTCAAAACACATAATTCTACTGGAGAACGGTCTAATAATTCTCTACCGAGTCCGGATCCCCGTATACTTCGGGGGGACAATCAGGAACCCATTTGGGGGTATTCGTTATCCGGAACCTTGTGATATATCTCACCGCCGGAGCAAGATACCGACATGTTGGAAGGTCTCCGAACTCCACTTCAAATAGCCGATAGCGACGGAGCTCCCAATTCTGGACCTATAGTCGCCCACAAGAGCAAGTAATGATCAATTCAGCGGGCGCCAAGCCATTTCATTTTCTGTACCACCGTGCGCGCGGATCCTCCACAAGTGTTAATTCCGAGATTCCTCATGTTGTATTCGGGACCGCACTACTTACCGGGAGAAGAAAGACGAAACCCCGAGAAATGGAACGATTTCCAGCGCCACGATTCGACGTGCAGCACATCGGACGTTGTAGACATCCGAATGTTGAAGCAACGAGGCGAGGAGAGGTGCAAATCTTTCTCATTGTGTCAGATGGTTTTTAATGACCATTTCCTTTTCTGTAGCTCTCAAATTCTCATTCTGCATCTGTACTCGGATCCTTCAAGGTCAACGACTTCAGTTTATTTACATCTGCAGTCTCATGTCAGAATATTCATTCCGGGTAATTATACTGCTGTCAGGTATCTCACTTACGATTCAAGCAGTTCCTAATCCTTTCTCAGTTGTCAAATCCGCTCAAAAGGTCACATTCCAAAAATACCCAGAGACACAAGGTAAAGAGAAATAAACTAGTTCAAACGCCAACGTTGACGGGGATACAGCCGAGAACAGCAAGTCCATTCTATCAAGATGGTTATTGTCAGCCTTTCCTTTGCGATAAAAATTTCACTCACGTAATTCTCACCTGTACAGCAGGCAGCCTGGCTAGAGCACTGATTGGTTCCAGCACCAATGACGGTGATAGGGTCACATTCGAGCCCACTGGGGACAGCGAGTTAGCAATGGCTTCCGACCTCTATCAAGTTTGGAAACCTACACGTCAGCGGTGATGTCTCCAAGGCCCACACCGAGCGCTGTCAAGGCAGCCAAGGCAGACTGAACAGGGTCGGACGAAGGCTATCGATTCATCAGTCGGTGAAACGTCTTTACATCGAGGAAGGAAATGACTCTCACGTCCTGGACAGATTTGCAGCACTCTAGGGTACCCGAAGAGCAGGTCCCAGAGCCTCCTCGGGGAAGCGCGGTGGCGGACGCAAGGATTGGGAGAGCCAAGACGGCAAGAGTGAAAGCTGAGAGACGAGCAAACATTCTGAAGTGATTCGGGTAGGGGTAAGTTCTAGTTGACTTATGGTTTCCCTTCCATTGCCTGTCGTTCTTATATGGTCTGGGACTTCCATAGTCTCCACGGAGGTGTCTGTTTTCGTGATAAAAACATATCGCCCGACGTGCGCAAAGTCTTGTCCCATACTAGTCGGCATATAGAGAATGGAATTTTCACGGTCTTACAGCGATGGTGGAGCGCTGATATGACGCCAATGAAGCTTGCTGTTCTATTCTTGCCGAAGAGCCGCGTGTAAAGAATCAAAAGACAATTTAACTTCTTCGTATAGCGGTCACGGAACCGAATATCAATCCGTGGTTAGTGAGTCGTTGTGGTCGTTGTCCTTGAGACGGAGATAGCAAGGGAGCTGAAATTTAGGTGAAGAAGATGCCGCCGGTATTTGCCGATGATCACACGGGTCGATTGGAGCTGGTTCGGTGATTAGCGAGCTAGCCTGCGAATCAGACTGCTCCCAATACTATAACAGCATCCGCCCGTACCTATCATGATGTCCTCAAAACATCACATTCTTTAATATCTCAGGGGACCCATGGCCACGACGCATATCTATCAGTCTTCTTAGAATATGCTTCACTTTCCTGTCCCATTCAATCCCCACTTTTCCCAACATGCACGAAGCTGCACTCTACGTTGCTGTCTTCGCTGCTCTCTATATCCTCTGGCGTTATACTAAACCAACTCATCATCCCCCTGGTCCTTTTCGTTGGCCAATAGTTGGCAATGCCTTTGATATTCCGACCGAAACTCCCTGGCGCCAGTTTGCGGAATGGGGGAAGCAATATGGTTCGTGCTATTCTTTATTTTTTGAGAGGAAGTAACTCACTCAGCCGTAGGCGACATCGTCTATCTTCGTGTATTTGGTCGCTCTATCCTAGTACTCAACTCTTTGGAGGCGATCACGGACTTGTATGAACAGAGGTCAAGTATCTATTCGGATAAAAGCCCGAGAGCCATGGGTGAATTGTAAGTTGAGCTTTTCAGCGATGTTCCGTTCGCTCATTCCTCAATAGGAGTGGCTTTGGGCGTATTTTAGCGACGAGACTGAACGGGGACGATGTTAGGGAGACCAGGAAGCTTCTAAACACTGAGTTCGGGCCTCGTGCGATCAAAAGGCATACACACATTCTGGAAGAGAATGCTCGTCGCCTTTGCTTGTCAAATATCGAGCACCCAGAAGAATTTCTGGGTAATATCCATAGGTGCTTCATTTACTGCGGCACTTCAGCCTAATAACTCACGTGTATCCAGAATGTCTGTAGCAAACATCATGCGGATAGCATACGGCTACGTCGTTGGTGAGGATGTGGAAGCGGACGAGCTGGTTGTTCTAGCCACTCAGGTAATGCACGATGTCAGCACAGCGCTCGCTGCCAACACATATCTCGTCAATTCACTTCCATTCCGTGAGCATGATCATGCATTAGCCATTTTTCGATCGTTCTAATTCGTTTTCCCTACAGTGAGATATATACCAGCGTTCGTGCCTGGAGCCTCTTTCCAGAAAACAGCTGCCAGATCTCGGGAGACATTCGATCTTTTCTTGAGGAAACCTTTTGAATTTGTATTGAACCAAGTGGTAGGTTGTCGGTCGTCACGGACTACGCTCACTGACAGGCATCGGTAGAATTCGGGAACTGCCATGCCCTCACTTTTATCCAACGCCCTTGAGGAAAACGGTCTCGAGAACAGTATGTCCAACGCCACCTATCTAAATCGCCTGAAAGACGCGGGAGCGGAAGTCTACGGCGGTACGTTGTCCTGTTGCCGGTGTTGTGTGGATCGAACATTAAATACTAGAATTTTCTAAGCCGGAACGGACACGGTATGTAACGTTAAGTTATTCATATTACTTTTTTGATAAACAGCAAAATCTGTGTAGAATGCCAGCATTATCTCCTCTTTTTACTTAGCAATGGTTCTTTATCCAGACGTTCAGAGACGAGCCCAAGAGGAAATAGTAGCGGTCATTGGAGATGAGCGACTGCCCAGACTATCAGACCGTGAATCTTTACCGTACGTTGGCGCTCTCGTTGAGGAAATCTTCCGGTGGAACACGCCAGCACCGGCCGGTTTGTTTTTGTTACTTGTTTATATGGCATCTTCACCATATCTGTTGATCCAGTGACTCGAGCGATTTTGGTACCTGACGTTTACCGTGATTTTCATATTCCCGCTGGCACTGTCGTTGTTGCAAATCTTTGGTGAGTTTATCATGCTCATCGTATGTCCCATCTTTTAACAATATATTAACTATTGCTTCACAGGGCTGTCACACGAAACGAAAGCTGGTTCCCTGATCCCGAAACGTTCAATCCAGAGCGATACTTGAATCGGGACAAGGAGCCTCAAATTCCCGAACCGACGAGTCTGATTTTTGGTTTTGGCCGCAGATCTTGCCCTGGATCTTACCTTGCAGTCGATACCGTGTGGACGGCCGTTGCAATGACTTTGGCCACCTGCACCATTTCCCCTGAACTTGACGCTGAAGGAAAGGCCGTTCTTCCCGAAGTCAGATACACCAGTGGAGCCTTCAGGTCAGCGTTTTTTATTCTCCCTTGTAGGACATCAATTGAGAAAGCTTGTAGCCATCCGTATCCATTCTGCTGCCAAATTCATCGCCGTTCTGAAGGAGTATCTGAGCTACTAGATCCTCAATGAATACCGCTTTTAGTGACGCGGGTGTCGAAACGGTCCACATTTGTAGATACTAATTAGGGAATCCGCCCTTTCTGAATGCTATCGGTTCACTACATGGTCTACCCATTCCCACAAACACCTGCCAGTCCTTCCTATTCAATCCTTTGGGAAGCCGTTGTCTTAGCAAAGTAGCCGATTTTGATCGTCAAATAGTCGTAGTAGGGATGGTGCATGCCTAGATATCACGGGTCGCGCACCATACATCTTCCGTTGATGACCACCTAATAGGTGATCATCAACGGAAGATTTCCACTGTGGCACCATCAAGAAGTTACGAGACCGGGAATACTGTAGTACCCTAGTCGTACTTGCAGCGATACCCCGGCCTGCGATCCGCGAACTCATCAGGCGAATTTTAAATGATCTTCTTGTTGTCATAGATTCGCTGAACTAATATGATAGTGCCAACTGTGATAAGCTTAAACGGTTTGACCAATGTGACAGAGAGAGGTTAAAAAGAGTTGGAGCCGTGTTCTTGGAATTGAAGATGGAGCATCGTTTCAGGTGGTCCAGGTGGATGAGATTCGTCACCTCTGACATAACGCAAATCAGCACTAATTTTTCAACAAAACCGGATTGACACGCCTTTTAATAGACGAAATCTAGCGTCGACCACTGTTGGATAGAGTAAAAAGCTTCGTATACCGTATCAAATAGTCACATTGAGCTTCGATAGTTGCACAGACCATACATTACGGCAAGGTGTGACGATGCAAAAACAGTCAAGTACTACGGCTATATCCAGTTGCGTTGTTCGCTCCTGCCAAGTTGGAAAATACAAAAATTCTCTGCCCAGCCAACGAACTGGAGGCGGCCTGGATGCTCATCTGAAAATGGGTATATTAACTCAACGCTCCTCATCTAACTTCCACCAGATCTTTCGTGTTGTACTTCAATTCCTGTTGGTAGTCTTGATTAACACTTACGATGAATTCGATTCGTATCTTCTATACATTGCAGACTATAATATATATGTGTGTTCTATCAAAGGCTCAATGCTTCTTCTTGCAACATTTGGTCTGAATGAGCATAATACATAAGGCTGGATCTTTGGGAATAAGTCGCGTTCAAGTCGCTTTGAAAATACACGTAATACTCAGTCTGATCTTCGCGCCGCTCTTCCTTGCTTATCCCTGTAGAAGACGACGTCACCTATCAGGATCAAGGTACAGTTAACGAGCAAACCAAACGGATGACCTGAGTGCAAAAACATACCATCGTTATCCACAAACTGGCAGTTGTTATAGTTATCCCAGAATGTACGGAACACGGGTTTGTTTGAGAAGTTGTAATGTTCACCGATGAAAGTTTTTAGATACCGAGTGGCTTCTTCGCCGTTGTCTGGAATTATCTCAGCGATATTAGCGGCAGTAACGGAGGAAAACTCACAAAATGGTATCTTCGGGAAGAACTGTATAGACACAGGTGAGATAATATTTGGCTCGAGGATTGTAAGCCACATACATGGTGAATGACATGAAAGTGTGCTACATCATGAAAGAAAAAGCGTCCGTGCCATCCTAAGAAATCTCTATCGACGGTGGCAGCAGCGCCTCGAGGATAGTTCCATTTATTTTTCCGGTAATGGGGCAGGATGGGGTCGGTGTGGTGAAGGTATGTGATCATGACAACTTGAAACTCGCAGTCAGTATATTTGACGAACGATATCAGGATTGTTGACCTACACCAGTGATTCACTTCTAACCACGGAATGCCGTAATATCTCCAGACATTCCAAATCCCGCATTTGGCGCAGATACTCGTTGTGATGAAGACCATTAGAGCCATTCCTATATTAGACAGTATCACCGCATTGCGCTGCGAGTGGGAGAAGATGACAGAAGAGGCTGCTTCTTATGAGGGGGAGTCGGCTAGATCTATGCAAAATACGTACGATCGAAGTGGTTAGTCCATTTGGGATAGTGCTTCTGACCGGATACGTTATATACTACAGACAATTTAAGTTAGAGTGTACCGTTCGATTAGTTGAGCACTTACAGAGGTATGCGGGAAACGCAAATAGCTGTTGACGGATCAACATGAACAAGGTATAAATCGGGGTATCCGAGAATATCTCCTCGTAGTTGATTGTTCCATTGGGGCGTTCGTCGGGTATGTTGAGATCGGCACGAGTTTTCGGAACATACACCTCGTCATTTTCTATGGAAGCGTGGTTAACGTGATGACGGTGGTGCGATATTTTCCAGCTAAAGTAGGGTGTAAAAAGTGAACTATGAATCAGCTTGATGATTTGTGTAGTATAAGTGTTTATTCTTCAAAAGAACGACGAAATGCTCACAAATCCAAGGATGTCGTTCAACAGCTTGTAACTAGAAAAGGCTCCGTGGCCACACTATCACATAACGGGTTACAAATGCTGAGGTATTATTATGGATAATGATACCTCATGGCCGATGACCCAGAGACCCGTTAGAACAAGGCCTTGATACCACCAGCTGTCGAAGTTTTAAAAGATAATTTTGGCCCAAAACATAGTTCACTCACTAAATAGCCCACACAGTGAAGCGCAACATCTCTGCGCTCCAAGAGCTTAAGACATGAGAAGTCGCCAGTTTTTCAAAATAAGGATCGATCAACGTAGCAAGAAGTCCCAAGGCAATGGCGAGGACTAAATCCCTGGCTAGGTACAGAGCGCTAAGATGCAATCGGCGAACAAAGAGATGAGACGGTATGGCATCTCTAATTTCTTTTAGCGACCTGGATCCAGGATGAGAAACAAGGTGACTGAAGTCGAAGGAAAGTTACCAATTCATAGGAGTATGTGAAGGTAAATCCTTCTCGTCATACGTCGTTTTGGTTTCTGCCATGATATATCTGGAAGACAGACGATTGGTGATACGTTTCCAGGTCAGCGCCCAGATTATTTATACCTGCGGAAAGTCTACACGTTAATTTTAACAGCAGAAAAATGTTAAAAGCCTAGTACGTAATGATGTCCATCTTTGTGATAAGTAATCGCATGAACCAGCGTGTCGATGGGCCAAGTAAATCAGTGAGTCTTTGATTTGCTCGATTGTCGGATCTAGGTCCCATCGGGAGATTGCTAAGGAAAAGGTCGTGTGGAAAATCGCATTGCATCTGATAGTTTGATGGTGCATGATGGATTGTGTGTGCGACTGTACGGATGTTATAAGACGGTATCATACACACGCCGTTGAAGAAATATAGGACCGATATTGCTCCATCATGATTTTGATGTCGATTCTTACCCAGCCCGAATGAATTTACGATACCTAAAAGAGAAAATCTGGTATGAAAACTGAAAATATTCCTTTGAATTGAATCTAAACAAACGGTTGTTATTCCGATCAACCCAATATCAGAAAACATGCACCACCGACTCGGCATTCCTCTAGGACGTCACGGAGAATACACTGAACAAGTGGCGCAGGAGGATAGACCGTAGACACTTCAGGAGTTATGCATAACTACGAGAAAGAGAAAGACGTTAGAGTCTCGTGTAAGATAGACCCCCCCTATGAACCGCTTGGTTAGGGAAGCTCTAGTGTTTAAGGGTCCAAGTTTAGCGCCCTTGCCCACACGCCGCGTTCGAACCCCCGGAGTGTGCAACAAAGTCATCCAAGAACCGATTCTGGCCCTGCCTGTCTTTGTAATAAGCGACCTCATCTACAGCTGCATGAGCGACAGTAGGCTAATAGCCATGAGTTCGAGGTTACTGACCATGGTCCTCCACAAACTGACAGAGGTGGTAATTTCGCCATAAAACAGAAAACACTGGTTCTGAGGAGGCGTGGTATTGATCACCCAGTACTTCTTTTAATATTAGCGTGGCTTCAGGAGCATGATCTAAGGTCAACCATAAGAAAGTGAGACATTGACAGAAGGTATGACACTCAACACAGAGGCATTTTTGGAAAGAGATGATGGGCCACATGAAAATGGGCAATCTAAACGAGAGCTAAGATTGGGCTGCGGTATAAGAATCCGTGAAATGCGTACATTATGTAAGAAAAAACGGCCTTGCCAACCAAGGAAATCCCGGTCCATGGTTGAGAGCGCTCCTCGTGAAAAGTTCCAAGTGCTTCGTCGGTAATGAGGGAGTTCCGGATCCGTGTGTTGCAAGAAGACAATCATTGTTACCCAATGGGAAACCATTACGCAAGGTATCCCATACAGACAGAATACCTGCCATCCTCCAAATCTAATAGAAGCGTAGTGGACGACAAAAGCCGCGAGAACGATACCAAGGTCAGACATAATCACAGCCCAAGCGCTGACTACGCTGGAAGAGGGCGGTTGAAAACGCTAGAAACTACCTATGAATTGAAGTTATTGTACATGTACCTGACAGGGAACTTACGATTAAAATGACCGGTAGCCTTGGGATACCTTCGCTGACCAGATACGTTGAAAAGCAAATAAAACGGAAAGCCTGCTACTTGTTGTACCACCAGAAGTATCACCTGTCAGGATGGGAGTGTCCTCAAAAAGACTGTCCTCGTTCGATACTTCGGAGCGCGTCCGTGGAATCCAGCTGAGCGATATAGTAAGTCGGAGTGACTGCTGGCGCGGCGCCTTAGGTGAAGCTTACTGTTCGTCTTTCTCCATCGAGGCGTGATGGCGATGGTGAGAGCGGTGTGTAATTTTCCAGCTCAAGTACGGTGTCCACAGAGCGCTATGGCAGACCTGCAAAGGCATAAGAGTCCATAATACGAGATGCTGATGTAGCCGCTTACGAAACCAACGACATCACAAATGAGCTGAGACGTGAAGAACGATCCATGACCACACTATAATTACCATCAGCCTGCGGCCCTTATGGATACGAAACGCTCTGACTTCATGCCCGATGACCCAGATACCGGTTAGGACAAGTCCTTGGAACCACCAGCTTCGGAATGACATTAGGCTAGCCTTCAAAGTTCGATTATGAAGCGGCACTTACTACACAATCCAAGGGACAGAAAGACAGATATATTTTAACAATGCCATCTGCCAAATCATGGAAGACAAGAGTGCGTCAAGTTGCGAAACCCCGCAGGCAAGAACCAGGGACATAGCAATATCCCGTACTAGCAGCCACAGTGATGTCACATTGCTACACTGGAAAAGATGGGCAGGTATTGCTCTCCTGAGCTCGTGAAAATTTCTGTCATGCATGAGTTCACTATTCCGAATTCTAGAATCAGCAGCGTACTTCGTTGGTAGACTGGGAATTAGTTGTTGACCCATACCGAGTTACGTCAAACGATAGCCACTGGATATTGGTGTGGTGTTGAGCAGATAGACACGCCCATCCCATCAAAACAACGTAGTTCGCAGAAATCTTTAAAAGTCTCCGAGCCAATCGTCAAGACGGCATCATGATATCTTTACGAAGATGAAGTTTGATAGATATGACGGGATATCCGAGTGATTCGTACCAGTAAACGTCAAGTTTGATGAACTTGGATATAGTATCGGCAGAGTCCTTCTATCGACGCTTGCTCACTGTAAGCGGCAAGTCACAAGTCTACCGCAGAATTCCTATAAGTATGTCTATTTCTGTAAGATAACTGGCGTGTGAAACGGAGATACTCACGGAACTGATTTTAGACAAGATCAGAAACATCATTTGCAAGGCGGGCTGAAAATTTCCGGAAGAATGCCCTCTACATTGGTGATAGACCTACACGTGTCCTAAGAGTCGAACTAAGTCGAATTGAACGGTGCTCGGAGTACTCCGACTCGATGCCGCCGGCGCGCCCAATACGGGTAGATCCGAATCGCCAAGTGGGAAAGCGGCTTCTTGATTGAATGCCGGGTCCACTCCCCACCGACCAATCCTCACTGACACCAACGTTAAGTATCACTTGCAAATGTAGGCCTTTCTTTCCTCTGAAAATGCTTGTTTCCGCCATTATGATTGACTCATCCCTTACGAGGCCTTCTATATGAAACACGGTTTTCCGGGTCAGCTTGAACGGCAGAGAGCATTGGCTCAAGGTACATCGCCTGTTGCACGATCGGATATTCGTTCAGTTGATAATAGTCACAGATATCATCAGATAGGAGGGAACCATGCTACTCGAAGACCGCGATCTACTACCCTAACTACTAACTTGAGTCCATGGCCGCTGACCCTCATGCTCGCAAACTCTATTTGTTGTCAAGGCGGTGCCTACAGGCTCTGATATCAACGTCCTGACTATTCAGGACCCACGTGTTTCCAAAATCCTTTGCTCCTGGCCAATCTGCAGAATCATTGAGGTTGAGCCGTGCGATATATCATTCTCATTTGTAAAGTTCTCGCTGTGTCCGAACGTTGTTGATAGGTCCAAAGCCAACACCTACGGCGAAATACATCGCGACTGTTGGAAGATTTCCAGCTTCTTGAATCCACGAGGGTCAGATGGAACGAGTCATTCATGCCATAGAGCATTGAATAGAAAATTTCGGGTGACCGTAAGCTAGGGCGACATCGCTTCCCACTGCAGAAACCTGGGACTATTCTTACGACGCATGCTTGTATAGAGGCTGTGACGGCATATCACTGGAAAATCTGGGGTCTGAACACCTTGTGCGTTGAAAAGGGATCAGTCAGAACATTCATTATCCACGAGGCCCGTTGTCCTCGTGGATGTAGCAGCACTGCATTAACAGCGCCCACATGAGTAGTTTGTTTAGTGACGCGATCCGTTCATCCAGATTGGTCGCTTTCCGACAACTTACGCAATTCACTGCATCTCGAGCTTCCTTCGGTATTGGTGCACAGGCTTTATACAAATGGCTGATAGTTATCAGATATTGACAGATCATGGGACTTGACAAGGCGGCGAATACTAAATGTGCATGAATTAATTCTGTTCTCCCCACACAATCTGAGCAGATTTCTGACCGAGTTTTAGATAAATGAACATCGGATTAGCTTTGAACAGTTGGATCAAGTCGGCAAGCTTTTGAGCCAGTTATTTGACTTTTAACATATCAGATTCGAGAAGAAGTCGTAAGTTGTATCTCGGGCGGGGTGCTTCGTTTCCACAGTTATGAACTTTACATATGAAATTTTCTGATGAACAGTGTAACCTATGACTCATTGAGGGCAGCGGCCAGTGAGATATAGGCGCTTATGGGCCCCCACGGACTGGGCCATTCCTTAAGAGTTAAGTTATGACACCCGGTACCCTTATGCCATGATCATCATAGTGAATGGTTTAGTGAGTGGAGAGATGTTGCAGTGCCACGTCTTGTATATTCGTGTCCGGCGTGCCTAGGCGGTGTCATGCCATGACCAGTCTCAAAGCTACAGGCTGCCAAAACTGTCTTTACGTCTTATGTCGTCAACTCGGGCCGATTCTCTGCCTTCCTTCCTTCCGATCTGAAGTGGCTGAACGCTGACTCGAAAAAAAATCGAATCTTTCGTGTATACAATGTACACTGTAGAGTCAAGAGCTTCAGAGTTCTCTCAGAAGGACCATGGAGGACACGCCCTACAAGCAGATGTCGCTTCTCGCACCAAACATGGAGTTCGTCGCACAAAGGACAAAACTTCCCTCACTTCCCTTTGATCCCATTTGTCTATTTGTCTCCCCTATAATCCCTAATAGTCCCTCGCTTCATCATAACCTGTATATCAGTTGTATCCACGCAGGAGGACCTGACGATGACTGCGAAGATGCGGGGGACAATTCGTGAGGCAAGGTTAGGGTGGCTTGACGCCTATTAACACCTTGTGGGACCAGAGCGACAGATATAATTAGCGGTGATGATAGCAGACTTGCGCCTTCACCTAGTATATTTGCATCGTTGTCACACCGACGATACCCGTTCCAAGCTGTACGTGAAAGCTGGCAACTGAGGGTTCCTCGCCGCAATTACACTCGCCTTCCTAAGCTGGCAGTTCCCGATAGCGTACGACCTATAGATTGATGTTTTGTAACTGAAAGACGGTGTTGCTTAAAGTTTTGCCATTCTTACCAAAGCTCCGTGCTCCTCGTCTTTACTTCATGGGGCCACCTCAGTTCAATGATTACTAGTATGGTCAATCTCATCATTACGCGCAGTGGTATCAGCTACGTTGGACAAGTGACTTACTACGAAACCCTGTCCTTATTCTGGTCAACCCAGGCCGAGCCCACGACCAAGCAACCTCAGTCATTTTAGAACTTAGAGTAGACGGTACATTTGAAATCAAGGCACTGCTGCTGTGGCACCCTTCTTGAGACTTTCAGCGTTAAATTTCAGCAAGGGAGATATGGAGGAAAGGGGGCAGACCTAGGAGCATCAGATCCTGCTGATGAACTCCTGATCAGTGCATCTATCAAAGATATTGCGTTTTTGTGAAAGATGTTCGACGAGGAAGCTGCGAAAGAAGGAAACATAGAAATACGCTCGATTTGATTCGCCAATGCTGGCGGCATCTTATCAAGTTAGCGGTGAGTCTAGAATGACTAGATATGGTAGTGCCACGGTGTTCGGGGTTCGGACTTTTTTTTTTTTCAATACCTTTTCTCGTGGAGCCCAGCAAACGCTTTAGTCGATCTGATAACACAGGCTCCCCGTATACCCGAGGGCTTCTTCCTAGCCCATGCGCAGCGAACCTGCTTATCTGGTCGGTTTCACTGATCTGCTCATGAAATTTAGCGGCGGCTCAATCATGCTGTAATCACATCCGCATGTTATCCTGTGATCTATTCTGTGCCCATAGAAAAGATCAGTTCTCCGTGACCAATGGGACAAGATGACATATTGGAACTCTGATTGATTGCATCCATCCAATACGGGGTTCCCATCATAAACCAGGAGGACCCTCGTGATGTTATAAGGGCATTAGCCTGAGTTTCGTTCCTGTTTCTTAGTGACTTTCAAATGGCTGAGTCTTCACTCAACAGTACTTTTGGTGCATACCTCATTGGCGTTATCGCGTCTGCATGGTTCAGTTACCCCCAAATATACTCATTTCAGTAGTCTGATTTCCTTGTGGACATAGCTTGTTCGGCGTCACTTGCACTCAAACCTGGTATTATTTCACTCGCTATTCTGACGTTACCACCCTCAAAGTATGGGTAAGCGCAGAACTTGCTTCTCTAACTCACAAGTTACTAACAGACTTACAGGTGGGCGCTATATGGTCGGTATTCGTTGCTACCAACCGAATACTTAACTCTTACAGGTTTGCACAGGATTTTGGAAGTTTTACATGTAGCTTTCCCTGGTCATGCCATTTATTATTATGTTATACTACATTACGGGGACCCGGCGGCTCTAACTCAAGCAACTTGGTAAGTGCCATATTTTTTGTTAGGATATCAGGAATTCAATATATACTAGGACGGCATCTGTGAGTACCCACATTTATCTGCATGAACTCTTACCTATGCACCAAATAGCTCAACCTTACTGTAACGGTAAAGTGAACGCTACTCTTACCTTCGAGCCGTCTCTAAAGAGAATGATCCTAGGGCCTTACTGGTGTGCTTGTCTACCTATTTTACGCCCGACGGATATATTATTGTTGGAGCAATCCTTTTAATTCAGTTGCCGCTTTCTGATACGTTCTATGCAGTGTCGAACCACAACGTGCCCCTGGTGGCTGCCATCGTAAGATTCCTATGCATCCTCGGTGTTCGGCGACACTCATCTTGGAAACTAGATCGTTCTGTCAGTCTGTCGCTTGGGTGAGAAGTCTCATAATTTTTTCTCTTCCTTCCCCTGATGTAGTCTCCTCTAGGAACCAGCGTAGGTGCGTATTCAAGCTACCTTTATGAAGGATTTTAATCAGGACCTTGGTTCTTTCGCCTTCTAGGTATCACCGCCTACAGGTCAGGACTAGTAGTGCTTCTTAGATGTCTCTGTCTCATTATCCCGTTTTCAGCATACATCTTAAGGACTTCGTTCGGTTTGAAGCCCATAGTATGACTGTAAGTATCCCCCGAACTTGATTTAATTCATATTTATCTCCGTTATGCAGAGTCTCGTCAGGGCTTCTTTGGCTATCCATGTAGTGACAGATATACTGGTCGCGGGGTCGCTTTGCTATTATCTCCATACCAGTCGCACTGGGATCAAACGGTACGACAATCCACACTGTGGCTTATCCGGACCGACTGAAAGAGAAACTCTATTATAGTACCGACACGATGATTAATAGACTTATGGTCTACGCGGTTCATAACGGTCTTATAACAGCGTAAAGACATACCATATTCTTATGTTGTCGTCTGAGTAACTAATTCATTTCCAGTGTTGCCGATATCCTCGTCATTGCCTTCGTGCGTCACTCTGCTAACTCACATATCTTCATACACTGACCTTGGAGCTTCTCAGAACACAGCGTACCCTGGCAACCTTATATATCTGGCGGTCTATCAAGTTGTCGCGAACTGTATGTGACATTTATTCATCCCCCCGCGCGCTCGAACTGACCTTCGAATCGTCCCAAGTATATTCAAACTCCTTACTTGCTACGTTCGTTTCCTGATTATCCATGCAATCATCTGTCCTTACGATCTCTCTTCTGTAGGTTGAACGCCCGTAGACCTTCTAAGCAGGTCTATGATCACTTTACAACCGAAGCCGACATGTTGAGTCTGTCTATCCTGACTACCAACCCGAACAAGGTAATACGCTCCTGTTTATTTTTCATCCTGACGCTAATTCATGACGGTTCCAGCGTCATGTTGATATTAATATAACGTCCACTACTGAATTCGCCGATGATACGGACAGAAACTCTGCTGTGAGTAATTCTATGGTGACTTGATGCATTGACATTGCTCACTCGAAGCGCAGACTAACCCTAGTTCTAAAGTCGGAAGCTTCTGAAGAAAGAGGAAAAACGGAAGTGTTATCCATGTGTTTCAAAATCTTCTGTTACAGTGCTCTGTACTATCATCGCTTGTTTACATATATATTGCTGCTGCTAATTATACAACGTGAACTCATCATGCTTTTCGGTCAGGTGTTGATCATAAAATCCAACGTAACGACTGGCTCGACGTGACACAAGACTGGTAGATGCATTGAAGTTGCATTCATGTTAATATGAAAGCTGGCATGTTGCTGACGGGATAACCCAGAGAAACACTGACGAGTATTCAGATTATTTCCTCCTCAGGACTGACCGAATTGACTATGCCGTATCACAGCAGTCAAGGTGACAGACCATTCAAATCATAATAACATTATCTGACAGTGATACTTAGTGATATTTGGCGCCAACTGTACATATCACGAAATGTCAAAAATGAATTCTGATTGAATGAGATAAGAATAGAAACTACAGAGTATAACCAACTTTGATGTACTAATTGTAGGCGGTCTAATCCGACGTTGTATAGAACAATTTGGAGCCGAGTAACATTCAGCTACAGCCTGTGAAGTGGAATTGGAGCAGTTAGAATGGTCCATAATGCGTCCGCCATCTTTTTCGGTGCTTCTTGTAAAACCTGTTTACGATTAGCCTACTCGCCATGCGGATGATGGGTTTTAAGGGACTCACCCAGTGTCCTGTTCCTGGAACTCGAGTTATAGAAGCGAAAGTTCGTCCTTGACTGGCGTCGACAATCGAGTCTTGAATTTCGCGCGACCTAAAGACGGAATGAGTGATGTCGTTGACAAGCAAAAATCTTTATACGCACATAAGATCGTTCCTGGCACCGTAGACGAGATGAATCGGTACAACACCGCAGAGCGTGTTCAGATTCCAAAGCGCCGTAAACGAGGTTTTGGCATCTTTTGAATATGCGGCATTTTCGTCCACCCATGTGGCGCTCAGGGTGACTCCATCGGTCTTGTCGGGGTAGAACGCCGTCGGCAACGGACGTAGACCGTGGTTCTAGAGAAATGATAAGTGGAGCTAAGAGGCAAACCGACGACCAGATACTCACTACGTAGATATCTAGGACTTCCGGGTCCCAACTTTTCCAGGGAAAACGCTTACCAAGCCAAGCCTTAGCGGCCTCACGGCTAGGCCAAATATCGTGACGATTGTTGACGGCAGCAAACGCCTTGAACATCGCGGTATGATGGGCTTCAGCGGACGGATGGTGTATTGGCGTCTCAACAAGGACAAGACTATCAAACATGATGTTGCTGGGAGGATTGAAATACGCCAACGCCATCACGCTGTCAACAGGCCACCATTAGATAACAATCACGTCTCAAGGCGATAGTCTTTACCAAGCCACAGTACCTGCGGAGTGACCGATGAGAATAAATCTGTCCTTTCGACTATACTCCGGATTGGAATCTCCTAGAAGATCACGGCGAAGAATGACCAAGGCCTCAGCGTAGTCATAGATAGCTTCCGCGATGGTTAGTGGCGACGCAAGGATGCTCGTGAAAGGCCTCACACAATATCCCTCGGCGTTCTACGAGAACCTTCTCGTTGAGAATAGCTGCTTCACCATGATTCTGGCAGTCTACTGTCCAAGCTTCGCGAATAGTATTTTGTGTGTCGAGCTTGAACAGGTGGCTTATAGTGGGCTCCCACTGTTCTTTGTCTGAATGATGTTCGTATTTGTCATATTGTGATCACCGCAAGCTGAACTATGTATTACTCACGGAATCCTACCCCGTGCGCAAAGATGAGCACGCAACCGGATTGAGTCTTCTGCAGAGCTGGATTTGTCTTGTTGTAGCGTTTCAGAGTTGCCCAGAGTGGAACGCCAGTCGTGTTTGTTTGGAGAGTAAAACTCGTTACAAAGAGGTCGCTTGAAGCCATGCTCGAAGAGACTAATAGAGAGCTCCATTACCTTGCTGAAAAGCAAGGTCAACCCACAGTCATAAAGTTTCCTTTTCCGTCGTCTGCCAAAAGCAATTAAGTACAAATAGGTGGCTGTGCTCAATCCAGCAGTCCTCTTCCTACTCTCGCATCTGCCAAAACCAAACAAATACAACGTAGCCGTGCAGCATGTCAAGACTCAGTACTCAGTACTCAGTACTCAGCCGTTTACCATCTCGACTCTATCGCACCTGCAGCACTAGCTTCAAAAAGTCGCCTCGCACATTGAATATTGAACGTTTGAACCTGAACATCTGGGGAATTGCTTAAGAATTGGATCGTGAGCGACTAATACCTTCTCCGTATTTTCCCTTCGCTGATGCTCATGCGTCGCACTTTATAGTCTGTTCCACTTACGAGGACTAGTACTACTCGCTGTGCTGTCCTAGCACAATTAACACTGCATCTGTCCTTCTTGCCATCAACAAGAAGCACACTTTCTAACTTCGTCTCTGGACACTTGCAGAGGGAAAGTCTCCCTTTGGCATCCCATGCTCAATACACGAGAACATTGTACCCAACAAGATCATTATCACGTATATCAGCCCGCAAGACGAGGATCGGTACAAGCTTGTAAAAGGACCACAAGGTGATAGTCGAGGTACTAAAGGAGCTCGTCCAGGGGGAAAATACAGGAAAAGGCGAGGCAGAGTGGAAACTGAATGCTTTTCTGGCAGAGGGAATAGCCAAGGATGACCAGGACCGCGGAGCTAGGTGTGATCGCCTGGACCACCTATCTCGTAAGCCTATATGGGAATGAGCTTGCCCATCTACTGTTCATGGTCCCGATGAAGCTTTCAGCCGCCATCGATATATTATATTCAGGTTTGCGCATGATGCACGCAGTCCAATATGATACTGGTGAGTACATCTGTTAGTGCTCTACGCCATTGATCCTTATCCGTTCACTAGATTCTGCTATTCTCTCCTCCCACTTGCCACGTATCCACCACACCATGACAAATCGACATCAACCCCGACCCAACGACCCATCCCCACGACCCTCCTTCAGTCGGACATTCCCTTCCGATATTGCGTCATCCCCTACCACTCAACGACGTCTACCTGTTCCCGCTGCGCTGGTCTTTCAATGGCTAGTAACGTGCGTTGTTGGAAAATAGAAGAGGACGTTGCCTCCTGTCTGGTGCGAGGAGGGAGTGAGTATGCCTGGAGACTGCGCGAAATATGACCCCACCCCATCCTGGTGTGTAGGTGTCCGAGTTTTGGCTGGAGACAATGGATCGTCTTCCGGCAAGCAAGACGTCTGCGCCTAGACGATGTATTCAAAACCGGTGAACACACCCACGGCGAAACTTCGCATAGGGTAGGGACGGCAGGTAGTCTTAGGAGGGACTGGTTTTACCTCGACGCCATGTATCGACGTCCGGCAAGCGAGAGCATGGCGTCGGGGTATTGCTGGGGATACAAGGAGTATAGGGCTAGGGTAAACTGGACATAGTACGCACGTCGCACGATGTCGACTGTCTTCGTTACTGATCGAGGTCCTTTGCGTCTAGCTGTTATTGTACACCTCGCACCCCAGCCTCTCCCTGGACGACGACTTTTGCGCGGACATGACGTATCGACATCTGGCGAACGAGCGCACGGCGTCGTGACACCGGTCGGAATTTTGGAATAGATTATGGGTCTGAGTTCGGGGACTCTTATTAGAGATCGTTTGGCACTATGCAGTGTGGATTTTTCAATGTACAAATGATCTGCGAGGTATACGACTGGTATATCGGTGTTCAAAGAAGCAGACGTGCCACGCAAACACTTCGTAACATATTGGTATGACTTACGTAGATCAACCCGACGAGGAATCGTCGCTTTCAGTGTTTCCTTACATGTTTTGAGTCGGGAGCATTGCCAATGAAAAGGTCGACTCGAAAGAGACAGCAATAGGGTTCAAGGACAAGATTCAGCAAGGTCGTACTCGCCTCGGCACGCGGCAGGCACTTGTTTCTTTGTAGATGCGTTTATATGGGGAAACTTCTGAGAGTCATCATCACACCCCAGTAAATCAAACCTTGAACAAGCGAGCTCGCTGAGCTGCCCTCGGTAATTGCCGGTGATCAGTCCCTAGTGCTGAGTTTGGGGCTGTTTGGGGTCCTCTTGACTAGGCTCCGCCTGCCAGTCACGCTTGAATTTCTACCCGCGTAGTGGCTCTGAAAGAATTGCCTTATAAAGTTTCTGTCCGGCCAGGAACCGAATCCCCTCAAAATCTGATTTCCATCAGACGCAAGGAGTGCAAGTGGCTCGGCGATCGGCAAGTTGGTCTGCGAACCAGACCATTCACTACTATAACAACTGTACCTATCATGATGCCTTCAAGGGATTCCATATCGCCTAACTCTCCGAGGACCTCATTGAGCGCTATACAATCCATGGACACGGCTCATATTTACTAAGAATAGACTCTTATTTTCGTACCCCAGTTCCCACCTGTACCTCCAGTTTCCCAACATGCACGAAGCTACACTCTACGTCGCCGTCTTTGCTGCTCTCTATATCCTCTGGCACTATACTAAACCAACTCGTCATCCCCCTGGTCCTTTTCGTTGGCCAATAGTTGGCAACGTCTTTGATATTCCGACCGAAACTCCCTGGCGCCAGTTTGCGGAATGGGGGAAGCAATACGGTTCGCGCCACTCTTCTTTTCGAGACGAAGTACTCACTTGGCCGTAGGCGACGTCGTCTATCTTCGTGTATTTGGTCGCTCTATCTTGATACTCAACTCTTTGGAGGCGATCACAGACTTGTATGAACAGAAGTCAAGTATATATTCGGATAAAAGCCCGAGAGTCATGGGTGAATTGTAAGCTGAGCTTTATAGTGATGCTCCGTTCGTTAATTCCCTAATAGGAGTGGCTTTGGTCGTGTCTTAGCAACGAGACTGAACGGGGATGATGTCAGGGAGACCAGGAAGCTTCTGAACACCGAGTTCGGGCCTCGCGCAGTCAAAAGGCACTCACATATACTGGAAGAGAATGCTCGCCACCTTTGCCAAGCGAATATTGAGCACCCAGAAGCGTTTCGGAACAATATACGAAGGTGCTTCGTTTACCGCGACACCCTAGCCTCACAACTCACGTGTATCCAGAATGGCCGTAGCAAATATCATGCGGATAGCGTATGGCTATATCGTCGCTGAGGAGGTGGAAGCGGACGAGTTAGTTGTTCTAGCCACTCAAGTAATGCGTGACGTCAGCACAGCACTAGCCCCCAACTCATTCCTCGTCAATTCACTTCCATTCCGTGAGCATGGTCAGGTATTAGCCATTTTTCGGTCTCTCTGATTCATTCCTCCTACAGTGAGGTATATACCATCGTTCGTACCTGGTGCCTCCTTCCAGAAAACAGCTGCCAGATCTCGGGAAACATTCGATCTTTTCTTAAGGAAACCTTTTGAGGTCGTCTTAAAACAAGTGGTAAGTCTTTAGCACTTACAATACAATTTGCTGATAGACTGCCGTAGAAATCTGGAACTGCTCTTCCTTCACTGTTATCCAACGCCCTCGAGGGAAATGGTCTCGAGAACAGTTTGTCCGATACTGCATATCTAAATCGTCTGAAAGATGCTGGAGCGGAAGTATACGGTGGTATGTAACCTTGTTGCTGCTCCGTAGATGCTACATTGAATAACAGCATTTCTAAGCGGGAACTGACACGGTATGTGACCTTTTCATCCATTTTATTTTCGATAACGAGCATCGAAATATCTGTAGAACGTCAGCCTCATCACTTCTTTTCACTTAGCAATGGCACTCTACCCAGATGCTCAACGACGAGCTCAAGAGGAGATATCAGCGGTCATAGGGATCGAGCGCCTGCCTAAGCTATCAGATCGCGAATCCTTACCCTATGTTTACGCTCTCGTTCAAGAAATCTTCCGATGGAACCCATCTGTTCCTTCTGGTATGTCTTTGTAACTTGTTTTCATGACCCCTTTTCACCGTATTTCTTGTTCCAGTGACTCGCGCCATTTTAGTGCCTGACGTCTACCGTGGTTTCGATATTCCCGCTGGCACAGTGATTGCTGCGAATATCTGGTTAGTGTATCACGTTAATCGTATTTTTCCTACGTTTTTAATGCCGTGTTACCGTTGCTATACAGGGCTGTCATGCAAAACGAAAGCTGGTTCCCTGATCCTCAAACGTTCAAACCGGAGCGACACTTGAATCGGGACAAGGAGTCTCAAATTCCCGAACCGACAAGTTTGGCTTTTGGTTTTGGCCGTAGATCTTGTCCTGGTTCTTACCTTGCATTCGATACTGTGTGGATCACTGTTGCAACGACTTTGGCCACATGCACTATTTCACCTGAGCTTGACGCGGAAGGAAGGGCTGTCCTTCCCGAGGTCAGATACACGAGTGGAGCATTCAGGTTGGCGTTCTTGATTCTCACTTATAGGACGTCAACTGAGATAGCTTGTAGCCATCCGTATCCATTCCGCTGCAGAATTCACCACCGTTTTGAAGGAGTCTCTGAGCTACTAGATTCCCAATGAATATCACTTTTGGCGTCAAAACGGACCACACCTGTAAATACCAATCAGGGCAACCACCAATTCTAAATGTCATGGATTCGCTGCAACAAGTTGTTCCCAGGAGTATCAAGCATAGGAGATGGTATAACTAAAAGGATGATTAAACCGCATGTACCCAAGTCAAATAAGAATCAAGATCAAGTAACGAGTGCTACTCTTGGGATACAGTCGCTGCCCGGATACTTTGCGCGTGTCATGAAACAGCAAGCCTATTTGATATAACTTTACGATGTTTGTCAGGAAGAAATGACGCCGTTGTTTGTCAATACTGATCTGCCAGACTGCTAGATGTGTATGAAAGGGAGAGCGTCCCTGACGAATGAAAAATGCCATCATCTGGGCCACATCAAGATCCTAGGCCGTGCCACCCTTCCATACCCTCCCTGCGGGATCGGGCGGGGATAGATAATCACAAACTAGCGGGATTCGCAAGAGTACTATTGGACAATACAAGCTCCGAACCACATGCCTTGAGAATCGTCTCGACATATTCTGAATTCAGAAATCAGGAGCCATCATTGAGCTAAATTTAGCACCGCAAATGTAGCCTCCGAGCGAGAGGGCTTTTAAAGCGGATGGCGCTTACGAAAGTCTATTGTGACTGTTATCATTGAGCTCCCTGTTCGGTATCATTCGATGGGGCTGTTCTTGATCGATAGAAGGATTCTGCACACAGACCAATCAGCCTCAGCGTGGGCGACCGGTTGCTTAGCCGGTGATAATCTCCCGCGTCTTCTACTAAAGATGATATACATTCCGTTTGAACACCAGATCTACACATTGTGTCCCTGACGTGTGATTCATTTCTAGATTCTCGTCACGATCATTCTCCGGAGTAAGAGACGTTGAACCGAGCGCTGATCACATAGAGTTTGAGTAATATTAGGAAGGACCTTTGTACCGTTCATACTGAAGTATGATTCAACGATTTCGTGATCTTCCCCGGGGTACTTTTGGCCTCTTGTCCATTTAACTATCTTGTCTCTGGGAACTCAAGTCATGGCTGCTGAACACGATTCAGAGGACGAAACCCTACGTCTTAGAGAAGATAAATATATTCACGAAGCGTCGGGGAATGACGGCGAAATGGATGGATATAAATAATATACGAATGAAAGACTATTACGAGGTGATGTAAGATGGTCAAGTCTGGCACTGAGCTAGCGTCCTAGTTTATGGGAGCAGCATTGACAGGTTTTGGCTCATTTTCTTTGTCCACTGGGCCCTGCTTCTCAATAGCGCCCCAATCCGAGTCAACGGAGGTATGAAGGCGCATATGTTGCATGAAGAGCGAAATCAAAAGCCCCAAACCACTGATACCGGCCATAACTTGCCATATGAGTCGGAGACCAGAGGCGAATGCGGCTCGGACCTCCCCTAGAAGTGGCTCCTCGAGTTCTGGCAAAAGGGGAATGATGTCGAAGACAACGTCAGCCTGCAACGATAATTGAGTCAGTAGTTGCTGAGGGAGATTCTTGACGAGTTGGTTCTGGAGGATAGCACCCCCAATTGTTATGCCCCATATCTACCTACGCGTCAATCATATGTTGTATAAATAATTATGATTTACTTACTTGCGCAAACACCCTCACGAATGAGAAGAAGGCCAGAGCCAATGCATTAGAGGATATAGGCAACGGCGCAAGGACTGGGAAGTAGAGACTCGAAAAAATGGCGCCGTAACCTGCTCCAGCGATGATTTCAAAGCCGATGACAGTTCCGACAGCGGTTGTACTGCTGGTAGAACCAAGAAGACCCATCCCGATAATTCCTGTAATCCAACCGAGCCAAATTTGCGGACGATATCGTTGGGTTACTTTAACTGAGATACCAGCAATGACAGCAAATGGTGGGGCAGAAAAGGAGAGACCGAACAGCTGAACGCCTGATTTGATGGGAGAAAAACCTTTGCAGATCTGGAAGTAGAGGGGCAGGTAATCTTGAACCAAATGAGAACGTGAGTATGCTAGCAACCGATTCAGATAAATTCCTTACAAACGAGGGCAAGGAATGGTATCGGCAGAATAAATGTCTGCAGATACCTAGACGTGTATTAAACAACATCGGTACAGTATTCGGAGAATGAAAGAGAAAGAGACGTACCCACTGAGAGTTGTGCGATTGCCCATGAGCGCAACAGGTACCTAAAAGTGGCTATTAGGAGAGAAAAACGAGGATCCTGGAGACTTACCAAAGGTTGTTTGGCCAACCAGAATTCATACAGAAAGAAAGCTACTAAGCCGACGCATCCAATGCAAAGAGGCACGAGAACGTGCCAAGAAGACCAGCTGTACGTCAATCCCGCCCATGTCAGCGCAATGGCAATGGACGTCGAGCAAGATATGATGAGGAAGTTACCGCTAAAAAAGAAATGAGCTATTGATCTCGATGCTCCAAGTACAATAAGTACGAACGTCCAATCCATGAGATGCATAATTTCTTCCCATGTCCTTCCTGGAGTTTTAAGGTTTAAGCACGTCAAAACGAGAGCAGCAGCAACGAGAGCAAAAGGAAGATTGAGATCTAGAGCATGTTATCGAATGGATGACGGAGGATAATGCCTCGGAGCTCACAAAAGACCCATCTCCACTGCCCCTCCTGAGAAAGCGCTCCTCCGACGATAGGTCCAATAGCAGAAGCAAGACACCACGTGCTAAAACACTTCAGAGTCAGAAAAGAGAGTAAAGTGTAAATGAGAATGGTAGCGTACATCTGATATAATCCGTTGAAAAGTCCACGGTCGCTCAACGGGACAAGGTCCGAAAGAATAATAGCAGAGGTAGTAAATATTCCGGCCCCCCCAAGACCTTGTATAGCTAGAAAGAAATAAATCAGTAACGGAAGACTATAGGAACAACAGTTGAAACCAACTTCGGCCAGCGATCAGCATAGTCATACTCTTAGCTGCGCCGCACAATACACAGCCCAAAGAAAATATAGTAATGGAGGACAGTGTTACTGATTTACGTCCAAACGCCTGTGTATACCAGTATCTTCAGCGGATTCTTTGGACGAGAATGAAACATACCTGGGCAAGCGCGCCCGTGGCAGGCATTAAAGCAGCGCAAGCAATATTGTAAGCGGATCCTACCCAAACGTAGGTGTTACCGCCATGCAACGTGTCAACAATAGTGGGCAGAGCATTCGATATGATCGTCTGAAGGTAGTACAGTGTTAGTGCGTCGAAATCCAGTATACTGAGAACAGCAGTACCCCCTCCATTAGAGCGAGGAAACTAGACAGGTTTATTGCTAATATCACAAGCCAAAACGATGCTGAGCGAGCCATTCGACAGTTCTCTATGCTTTCGACAAGGACGAGGTAGTGACCGAGGAACTCGGAGGTGAGAGGTAAGAAGCAAGTTACGCAATGTTCAGCGCTAGAAGTGGCACTGTGCTTCTATAAGCAACGTCCATAATTCGAACGTGATGACGGAAAGCTTCTTCGCATGTCCTGGTACACCGTGAGATCGATGAAGAGCGCTGCAGTTGGGTTGGTCTATCTGGTTTGGTCCGGTTCGGCTAATTATATATTAACCATGCCGACCTGCCGACACCGACTCGGAAGATCACGCTGACTCAGCCAGAACTGGCAGTCGCGTCGGTTCAAGTGTCCCTTGGCAGATTCTAGCAACGCAGTCTACAACCATTGAAGTACTTCTGACTATCTCACGTTGGAATCCAATAGTCATTGCTCTCTGTAGCTTCAATGCAGGGATACCTCGAGCCTATATTGCTGTGCTATCTATCCGACCCCGCCGACCCCACCGACCCCACCGACCCAGGCAAAGGGTTGGTCAGTTGAGCCATTCACTGTCTGACCCATGTGACCTTGACTCAAACTGACCCGAATAACAACGCTCTACGGACTATATGACTGGGCCGAAGTTATCTTATAGTGATTTCGTGGAGAAGGGATGACATACTACCTTTGCTCTCTGCCATCTCGATTCTGCAACTCTGAAACCCCATCGTGAAAGTTTGATAAAGTATATCTATTTCTCGTCAGAATCAGTTGGGCGCAGCGTGCTCAGTCAAACTACAGGTCGTCACGGAATTGGGCGGGTTTCTAGGGTGCATCTGACCTCAGATAAGCTCCAACATGTTGGCGTTCTCTTGCCTGAACTTATTTCAACTTTGATGAGAACGAAACATCAAGCGGGTTCTCTTTTAACTCTCCTGGATTCCAACTGGCTTTGAACAGCATCCTCGATTTGATTGATGTTGCCGGATGTGTCCCAAAGCTCTATGGTTAGGCTCTTCTCCCGCTTTCTTCAAATATGCGATCAAAGTTGAGGCCCCTCTTGCATCTCGGGACTTGGAACCGGCTCCTCAGAACACAAGCACAGCTTTATGTATTGTATTCCGGTCCTTTGATCTGCAATCAGGAACCTACCCGAGTCTGAATTCGAAGTTCACGAGTCCTCCAGCAGATATGGATGGCATGATATGATGGCAAGCCCCGGGCGCTCCCCGATTGATTAAAACCGCCCAATTCCTCACCAAAGCATCTGTATGGAGCACCGGAATAAGATCGGTGATATCATATAAGAAACCTAGACTTTGACTTTCTTCCCATGTACTCTAGATGTCGGAAGGCTCACTCGACAGTACTTTTGGTGCATTCCTCATTGGTGCTATAGTCTCCGCATGGTCCGTCGTCTATCTGCTGTACTCGTCTGGTTCTAATTACACCGTCTACGTAGCTTATTTGGCATTACATGCACGCAGACATGGTATTATTACGGTCATTACTCCGATAGTATTTTCATCAAGGCCTTGGTGAGCATTTTCTTGAGCTGTCTTCTCTGAGATTGGCTAATAACCTTACAGGTCGGCATTGTTTGGTATGCATATTAAATATTGATCAAGCACTTCACCCGTGGGCCGACACGTTTATTAGGACTTTGGAAGCTGTGCACGCTGCCTTTGCATGTCATGCCGCCTACTACTATGTCGTGACACAATACGGGAATGTGGCAGGACTGTCTGAAGCGACTTGGTAAGGAATGTTCTATGCATTCGAAGGACTGAGACCCTATTGTTTTCCAGGTCGACGTCTGTGAGTTTATCCCTTCGTCAACGCGAGTGTAATCAATCTTTTTCCGATCAGTTGACCTTATGTGTAACGGTATGTGGCCTTTCGCCCTACTTGGTACCTCCTGGCCTTAATTATAACGGGAGCAGGGGCTCATAACTTTGGCGGTACACTTATTTTATGCTCGGCAACTATACTTTGGTGAGTGTTGAAGTTTTATAACTTAGATTCAAAGATATTGACACATTCTCGCATAGTGTCGAACCGCAATATTCTCCTGGTGTCAGCTCTTGTAAGGTCAATGTACTTGTGTCTCCATTAACTGAACTTACCTCTGAGCCAGCTCTTCCTCGCAGTGTGTCGAGTGGGTGAGTGCCTCGTCTTGTACACCGACCTTATCATTGATAGCTCGGCCAACATCTAGCGTGTAGCGCAGGTACGTATCGCAGAAAGCGAGACAGATATTAGTCATTTTAACCGACTTCTGACTTCATCCACAGCGGTTGCAGGATATAGGTTAGTGCTGAACGTACATTTCAATATCGTGTACCTCACCGACGTCTTCAGTATGAAGTTGAGGTATTATGATCTGTTTGAGACACAGACTATGACTGTAGGTGCAGTCAGCGCAACGAACTCTACCTCAAGGCATTAACATTGCATACACAGAGCCTCCTGAAGGCCGCAATGTGTTTTTATCTAGCAACAGATTTCCTGGTCGCTGCATCACTCTGCTACTATCTCCACGCCAGCCGTACGGGACTTAAACGGTACGATCTATTCCACTTTTCAAATAAAACTTAAGGGCCAATCCACTTCAGCACCGACAACCTCATCAATAGACTCATGATTTACACCATTAATAATGGTCTCCTCACTGGGTAGAGGCTTCCACTCCTTCTTCGTGGCTCTCGATTAACGATTCATATATTTAGAGTAACGGACCTCCTCGTCATAGCCTTTGTGAGTGTTCTTTATTGTACCTGTGTGTCGCAGGCAGACATTGACGCTACCCAGAATATAGCTTACCCTAGCAATCTCGTATATCTGTCCGTTTACCAAGTTGTGGCGAATCGTGAGCCGTGAAGCATTATCTACTTCTTCACTTTCACTGACCTACGTATAAGTATATTCGAACTCCTTCCTCGCCACGTTCGCCTTTCGTTGTGTGCAATTATCAAGTCGCCTAAACTCATTCTAGATTGAATGCCCGAAAACCTACGAAGATGACATATATTGACAACTTCTCTTGCGAAGATAATTCTGCAGTCATCAACAACCTTGGTGCAAATATGTCACCTTTGCGAGATCCCTCGAACATAGTACAGCACTGTCCCCTTTCTCTTGTCCTTGAACCAACTGATTGGTTACTGGGCCAGCCGCACATCGATATTCATATTACCACAACCACTGATACAATCCGAGACGCAGGTAGCTCTTCTGTAAGTGTAGTAGGGTCCTGTGGTTTTAGTATCACTTACCCTGGCTCTGCTAGCCCGAATTTGAACCCAAACCCATGAGCCTTTGAATCGTTTGTGAGCCGTCATGATTATTGAATTGTATATCTCGACATTTCTCTGCTTATATTCACTTATTCGTTGCTCATGCTATGTATTTATGGGAATTCTATAGGATTCACACCTGAGCGATGAAGTTGACTTACTGGCGTCTCATAGCGTCTCAAAGTCTGAACACTGAGGTGAGGGGACTAACCTAGACCCTGTATCGCGTGGTGGCAACGATGTCCAGTTTATGCCACAAAATCGCACTCTCAGGTAGTGAAACCGAGAGGTTGTGTTGCAATTCATTGAGTTGTGCGCTGGAGGACGGGTCGAAGAAGACAACGGAATCGTTGGATAAAGACTCGAGAAAGCGTAGCTCAGCTGAAGAAGATTTCGCTGTCACATTCTTTTAAATTCGAGTCGGTCAGGCTAAGGTCTCAGAGGCACTCGAACCACAGATCAGTATGGAAATAATTCTATTGCCGCTTGCCTTGCCGATGATAGAAAGTGATACCAAGATATTGTAAGGAGGAAACTGCAGATACACAAAACCTGTATGAGGAAGAAGATACACGAGCTATCGAAGCCTTAAGGAACAACCACCCTCCAATCGTAATAGATCGTCAAGATGCCATGGAGGAGAGCAGCCAAAGAAAAAAAGTTAAACAGCAAGATGGAGTATCAGTTTGAATTTTCTTTGTCGTCCCGTCCACAATCATCTAGTCATGAACGGGAAGCACGATTCCCTTCTTACATGCCTGCGAGAGCGGGCGAATCAGCCAGGAAAACAGAACTCGGAAGAGTAGAGACATACGCGACTTCTGTGCGCGAGCATTGACCCGCGGAGCACGCTTTGAGACAGAATTGTGGCGTTTCAAGTTGTCACCTAGCGGGCATGTTGGTAAAGACGTTGGCTATGTTTGATATTCTGAGACTCACGTTTGTTAGGAACTTGGGCATTCGAAAAAGACCTGCGGCGTTGATACGTTGCATTCGCAAGGCAAGAATCCTTAGTAGAACCGCAGCCATCCCAGTCAGGGTTAGGTTGAGAAGCCGCAATGCATGAGTTGTATGCTATCGAAATGGTTCAGATTGACAAGAAGCTAGGGCTGACGATTGTGCTTACTGTTCATGCACTGATTCGCATCATTAGTAGTTCCAGTGGAGGTGGTCTGTGCGGCGGAAGAGGTTTTGGTGGTGCTGGTGGCAGTTACCTGAGCCACAGATGAAGAAGGGATGGAAGTCGCAGATGCAATTGCCGACGAGGATGATGCCGACACAGATGTCGCAACAGCAGCGTTCGTAGACACGGAGACGCTAGTCGAACTCGCTGCTCAACGAAAGGTTAGTCCACGTGAACGTTAGCTTGATTCAACACCACTAACCCGAAGCACTCCCAACAGCGGAAGTAGTACCAGAGACAGCTGTGGAGGTAGCACCGGATGTGGCGGTTGAAGAAGCACCGGAAGCAGCTGTCGATGAAGCACCGGAGGCAGCCGTAGATGAGGCAGCACCTGATCCACCAGTCCAAAGGGCAGGTCCGGGGATGGTGTAGCTACATGGTGGACATTAGATCGTTGCATTGACAAGAACACACAAGGCTGACCTGTCGAACGTAGTGTACATGTTGAAGGTGATACCAGGGTCGGTTCCAGCGTACGCTCCAGGGAAGGACACCATGTATGACGAGTCAGGAAAGTCGGAACCAGATCCAGTGACTTCAATCTGGCTACAGCCGGGATAGAATTGAGCACCCGGGTAGGTACCGGCGGAGTGTAGGGCGATACTACAAACAAGACGATCAACAGAGTGTTTTAATTCATCACCGATAACACAAACATTTCATGACGGACGAGGTATTGGCCAGCTTGGAGACCGGAAGGGATGGTCCAATACCAAACGTTGTCCTGCTCGTCAACCATGATATCGGTGGCGGCCCACTGTCCATCTTCGTAGCCAGCTTCGTCCACTTTGAACCACACGGCACTACAGCATAGCAAATTGAGATGGCTGCTCCAGTTTCTATAGCACTATAACCAACTCACTCTGTACCCGGTTCCCATGAAGTAATGTCGCTACCGTCGGGAACTTGAGCCAAGTACGTTATAACAGGACCCTGTAATCACTCATTAGACCACACTCAGTTACCCCAGCGAAATGATATTTGCTTACCGCGTGCGAGGTGGGCCAAGTAGTCCAGTGCATCTCGACATTGGACCCGGCTGCAGCTGTGGCATAAAGAGCCGCAGGTGCTGTTCCACCAGTGTTGCAACGAATGTCCTCGCTGGTGACGTCCTCAATAGGACCGTTACCGGGGATGACACGCTCAATCCTATCTGGGACCGGGTTGCTGTAGGGGTCGTTGTACGGGAGGTAACCAGTATAGTTTGTTCCACCATAAACAAAAGTCTCCACGTATCCGTGAGCGCGGACGCTGGTCAGGAGAGACAGCGCAACGAACAGCGCAGCGTTGCAGCGAAGGGAACTCAGATAAGACATTTCGGTTCGGCGCGCTGAATAAGAGAGCGTAGCGAGAACGACTGTCGGTCAAAAGAAGGAAGGAGAAAGGAAAGGAAATATGGGAGAAGGAAACAGGTTTGTGTGAGTTCCTAAGTGAGCAATACTAGAGTTTATATAGTCCAGCCCTTCCGTTATGTTTCCAACAACAGACGGCCGAGTCAAGGTGCCATCAACTGGAAGCCAAGACGTAGATTCTCCGGAAAATTCGTCACATTGACACCGAAGGTCTTATTGAGTGGTTCCATTATTGTTGAGTGATTTGTGCGCTATGCGAGTCCATTTTGCCAAAATGGGGTGTGCCTGGTACGCTACCGACACGGTTGCTAAGGACTTCCCGTTAGACAAATATTTCGTTATGATATGAGGAGTCAATTATACCTGGATAAATAATGCCTCTGAATGTTCCATCGCCACGCTATAACAAACTTGTACTACTGCGGAGCAGCTTGCAGGCATGTTGTTAAGTGGAAGAGGACCGACACCGAACAGAATGGGCGTCGATTGGAAAGATTTTGCTCATATTCACCGTGATCCGCATGGTTCATCCTACCTGGTGCCTATGTTCCTGGAAATATGAACAGTTACTACGACGACCATCTTGGGTCGAGGCTTATGGGGGCCGTCTAGTTGAAACGGAGCGAGTTGTGGCCATCTCTGGGAAAACGGCGAGGGATTACGATCTAATGGTGCAACAGAACTTCAGGAAGGGGCTTCAAGATATCTTCTCGAGGAACGGTAAGCTAATTGCAAGACTATTCATCATAAACCTTACCAGCTTCGTTTTTTGAATCCCAGCTTTACAAAAAGTCTTATCCTATGCATTCGTACTAGTGTCGCCACAGGCTTATGAGCGCCGCTGAGACAGGGTGAGTTGTGGCATATTGTGGCCAACGGTTGAGGATGAAAAAGGATCATCTCTGGAGAAATAGCTAGGGTTTACGACATTCCATTAGCACACAGGACTTCAAATCCCATTGAATCGAATAGTCTTTCTTTCTGCGCCCGCTCATGGCGTCTGTGGTACTAGGGAAAACACCCAGAGCTGCATATGTCAGGGATAGCTACCATGTCCAGAGGTTTCGCGAAAGGCATCTTCGATGAACGGTAAGCCGATTTTCGAAGCTGTTCATCATAAACCTTACCGAGCTTCATGGACGGAATACTTACACATGTCCTGATCTTGTATCCTAGCTATTCAAAGAGTCTTATACTGGGTACTCGCCAAAGACTTATGGGCGCCTCTGAGACGGAGCAAGTTGTCGCATATTGTTGACGACGGAAGAGGATCATCTCTGGGGAAACAGCTAATAGTACACGGGACTTCAAATCTTACTGCGCCGGCTCACAGCGTGTCTTTTCTAAAGAAAAGAATCGGAGCGATGTATGTCGGAGGTAGCTACTATGTCCAGCGGTTTCACGAAAGATATCTTCGATGAACGGTAAGCTGACTTTCGTAACCGTCCAAAGCCATAGACCTTACCTAAGTTTCATTTCCACTTCGTTGAACACCTTTATATGCTTCATAATTTTGAATCCTAGCTTTTCGAACAGTCTTATACTGGGTAGGTTGGTGTCACCAATTCGAGCAACGAGCGAGGACGGCGGAACGGGTAGGGGTGAAGACTTCGGAAAACCCGTCGGTACCGAACGCTCTTCTGGTAAGAATTTGTTTGCCGTCGCGTACTGAAGCATCAATTGGAGTGCTTCTAGGGCAAGTCCACCACGTCGATAGTCCGGTTCTGCGAGATGTCATTCTTAGCGCGGGAATGAAATATCGGCGAAATATACTCGCCAGCGATCATGATCTCCACTTCGGCCGTGAATTCATCTCCTTCCTCAGGTGCTCCGTTCAAGAACATATTAACATCTCCTGCCATGGGAAGAGACAAGATCCGAGGATCAGAGGGCATTAAATTCTCCTCGTCATCAAGAAGGGGGTCTGAGGGTTAGTCCGGTCATTAGGTCGGACCTATCCACCAGACTGGCCGGGAGGGTACCTCTCTCGTGTCTAGCCAGAACGATGAATGTCAGTTTGTCGTCGTCTTCCCGCCATTTACCTGAAGAGCAGATGAGGTCCAAGTTGACCACAGATAGATTAAAATTACGTTGCATATCGAACTCTTCCTCCAGCGTAAGCCTTTCGCTTGCCGTAAGGGACCGCAGTTCGTCGTTCTCCATTCATGCATGATATTTCTGAAGAACAAGTTCAGTCTCGAGCACAGAGGGCATAAAGGACGAACCAACAGCAACGTGGCCTTCATCATAAGGAACAAGAATGACTTTTCTGCCTACCAGAACGGTATTTTGGTTCACCTTCATCGTGGTGGTGGTTATGCACAAGGGGAGGTCGGCAATCTCCGGCCGCTGATGCCGCCGGAATGTTTTTGAACTCCGACGGAAGGAAATTTACCAATTCCATCGCTAGTTTTTCACCTTTTCTTTCTCCTCGTTTTCTCTTTCATTTGCCTTTTGATTTTACCGATTCACTGCCGTTGGCCGCCTGCGTGTCTAGAAAAATGTCTTCGAGTTTGCCCATTGGTCCTGGCTCCAACATAACCGCGCCAACGCCGCAGAACACCCCTTTGCAGCAAGCTCCATTATCGGCAGGATTATCGCGGCCAACCGTGCCAGATATTACAGAGGATAAGGAGGAGGAAGATGAGGAGGAAGCCGATGGTAACCCGCTGCACAACGCGATGCTTGGGATGGTTCAGGGCAAGCTCGCTGACCTAGTCGGCCGGAGCTCTGGTTACATTGAGCAGCTCCCTGTCGAGGTGAAGCGCAGCGTCGAGGCCTTGAAGGGCGTGCAGATCAAGCAGAATGAACTGCAGAACAAGTACAAGCGCGAATGCCTCGAGCTTGAAAAAAAGGTATTGCCGTTCTCTCTGTCTTGGACCGCCTGTTGCTCACCTTATATCGCTAGTACCTTGAGCTTTCTAAGCCTTTGTACCAGCGCAGAATCGCAATTATCAAGGGTGATGCAGCACCGACGGAGGAAGAAATAGAAGCCGGAGAGAAACAGTCTGCTAAGGACGACGAAGACTACATTCCTCTTCCGAAAGAAGCCCCTGCGCCTTGTGCCATCCCTGAATTCTGGCTGACCGCTCTGCAAAACCATATTGGCCTCCAGGATCTCATTACCGAACGTGATACCGGCGCCTTGAAGCATTTGACCGATATCCGTCTTTCCTACCTCGACAATCTCTCCCAACTTGACACCAAACCTGGTTTCAAGATCACTTTCGTCTTCTCTCCTAACGAGTACTTTGAAAATGAGACTCTTGAGAAAACCTATTACTACCAGGCAGAAGTCGGCTACTTTGGCGATTTTGCCTACGATCGCGCCGTCGGCACCGAGATCAAGTGGAAAGAAGATAAGGATCTCACGAAGGAGTTCGAGATAAAGAAGCAGCGTAATAAGAGTATGTATCTGTGTTTTTTTCAAGATAACTATCTACTCACGGCTTATCTTTTGTAGACACAAACCGGACTCGTGTCGTTCGTAAAGCACGGCCTACTGAGTCATTTTTCAACTTCTTTTCCCCGCCGACACCGCCCAGTGAGGATGCTATTGCAAACGGCGATATAGATGAAGAAGAGCTAGAAGAGCTCGAAGAAAAAGTCGAAATGGACTATCAGATCGGTGAAGATCTCAAGGAAAAGGTTGGTCTCAGATTATAGACACCGTCCGCGACTATTGACTGATTCGCTGTAGATTATTCCCCGCGCTATTGACTATTTCACCGGCAAGGCACTCGAGTACGACCTCATGGAGGAAGACGACGATGAATTTGAGGACTTGGAGGATGACGAAGAAGATGACCATTTCGAAGATGATGTATGAACCACTTTTGTCGTTCCTGCATAAGTCTGACTCGTTTATCTTTCACAGGACTCGGATTCAGACGCAGACTTGCCAACTACCAAGCGCCGTGGTGGTAAAGGCCGTGGCGCAGCCGCGGGGGCCGTCAATCCCGAGGAGTGCAAGCAGCAATAGTTTATCGCGCTGCTACGCCCTCGCCTCGCATCTCTTCAATCTCAATCGTCAGGTGGATGCTACCAATCATCCCATTCTTGTTGTTTTAGCTGCTCAAACCAATCACGACGTACGAATACTACCTACATTACATCCTTCAACTTTTGTAAATTGCTGTTTTCGGAACCTTTGTTAAAGGAAAATTACCAAATACTAACGAATTGTATCCTCGTCTACACGAGACAAATGTTCTTCGGTACCGCAAAGATAACAAGCCATCGGCAGTTAAAACCGCTCAAAGTTTACTCATACTTTTTTTCATGACATGCACTGAACGGAGCGACTTCGGACCTGTCCTAGTTGATATCGGAATTTTGGAGTCAACGATCAGCCGTAATACCTTCACCAAGGCGACCCAGGGCTGTGGCTCCTCCTGTAGCCAAGGAACGAGAAGGACGGACGACAGAAAAAATGTACGGTGTTCTCCCAGGCTGTCACATCCCTCGAAGTCCTAGGAACATACTGAACCGATAAGCTCGGAAATGATTCTCCACGCATTGCTCAGGACCGTTGAACCTGGAGGCATTGAGGAAATAGCTGACCCTACCTGAGGTAAGAAAGCTGATGCATTCTAGTGGCGGGATACTATACTCGGTAACACCGACATGATAGTAGGCGGGTCCGGGGTGGCAGGCAAGACATGTCGCGAAGCGTTTTCGACGGTCAGAAGAGGTGAATTACTTTCATATTTGACCCCTCCCCCCGAGTTATATCAAAGCTACCAGTGTCAATAGCACAAGTAGTTTCCACTGAATGATTCTCTCGTACCCTGGTATCTATTTGACGGGTCACCATTCCTGGCGTTTTGGTCCTCGTCCCTGTGCCTTGGCCTCGCAGGTTCTTCCAGTCCTTGTGCTCGCTACCGTGCTTCCTCACGGGCACGGCGGCGACACTGGGTCCTGTTCAGCGGCAATCTCCAATGCTGCAAGCTCTGTCCAAGGTGTGGGGTTCGTTACCCAAACCAAACCAAACATTTCGTACTTACCGACAAATCGATAGACCTCCTTCCATGCAATCCAGGATGCCATAAGTCCTATGCGAAATGACCGCTGATATGCAGGTTAATATACCTGACAGGACCATATCCATGGCTAATTTTCTCTTCAGAGTCCACTTGCGCCCCCAATTGCCACTGGTGCTGGAGCTCCAACCAGGCACCCTGCTACATTGGTAACAACTGCGTGAGTGGACATCGAATCAAAAGGTTGAATAAAACCACCCTGATGGAACAGACTGGCTGTTCCTGCCTATGACCTCATCAGTATCGGTGTTTAAATTTTAAACTCTGTATCCTTAGCCCTCGTGCTCTTGTGTACCTTTGGAACACACTCGCCTCGTGTTGGAATTGACACTGGATAAACGTCTGAAGATTACAGTTTTCATTGAATCGAGTTATGGCGTAGTTACGCTGTTCATGGGATCGTAGGCTTTGGATACCTCGGGACATCATTTCCGTTGTGTAATAATCTTCAGCCCCATTGACCGTAACCGTTCCAACTCCTCTGTATACGCTAGTTCAAAAGAACGCGGCAGTAATGTCTTCTTCAGCTGAGCCACGCCTTCTCGAGTCACTGTGCCATCATCATCGAATGACTCGTCGTTATCTCCTTCGACCCATCCTCCCGCGCGCGACTCTATAAGCTGCAACACAACTGTGTCTCTCGGATTCCAGTTCAACTGCATTAAATTCAGACACGTCAATGTGGGAAGCAAGTAGCAATCTCCATCAGTGGGATGCACGAGCTCGATCAAAAAGTCCGATATGGGGATAGGGCCACTCTCCTCGCCGTCAGAGGCGATGCAAAGTACGCGTAGGTGAGGAGTGACTTTGCATAGTCGAAGCAGCTCTGTACCAATATCGGGCGTGTTTGCGGTGATTAATAGCGTTGTCAGATAACACTGCGAGCGGTCGATAAGCGAGATAAAAGGATCCGCTTTGGGGGGAAGAGCCGTGGAAAGCACGCGTAGCCCAGGTAGCTCGAGCTTATCGAACATCGCTTGAAAATGGCTGTCGTTGAGCTTCAAACGCGCACGAAGGTTGCGAAGAGTGGGCACTCGGACTATTTGTCCTCCGAGAGTGTAGGGGACCCCGCCCTCGGCCTCTGGGAGCAGGGTCGAATTAATGCGGACATCTGTGATGGCGGTGGCCCGTCGCAACACTTCCAGATGGTGGCTGCCTTTCCTTTTACCGCCCTCTTTGTATTCCACAATCTGAGGCCAAGGTATGGTAAAGGACCGTACGATGTCCTTCCGCCCGCTACCGAGGGAGACCCGACGCAGTTTGGGCGCAAATTCGAATATGTTGGAGGGTGTACTTTCTTGTTCCCAGCGCGCGCTGGTTCGTATAGAAAGGTGAACCGTTTCAAGGGATTCCAGGTAGCTCCTGATGGGGGCGAAATGGATGAGTGCGCGAGTATGACATTTCAGTTCTAGATATCGCCACTGCGAGCAAGTGGAAAGGAGTAGGGGTAGTATCAGATCGTAAGGGGCACCCAAACGGCCGTCATCTGTGTCACAAATTGAAATAGTGAGTTCATGCCGACCTGCTCTACGAATTTGCTGTCCTAACGCAAACGAGGCCCTTTGTTGTGCTACTCGCGTAGGGGATATGTATTGCGTATCGATGCGGAAGGAAGCCCAAATTTTCTGGAATGATAATGCAACATTCCTCCAGCGACTGCACACCTGAGACAAAACCCAAGGTTTGCCTCGCATGTTGATGGAGAAAACGAGAAAATTGTCATCGGCCCATGAACGACAACTGGCCAACAGTATTTCCCGCAAAGAGTCGTCTGGAAGTCTGCGAATGGGACTAGTGACAGACTTGAGGTCCTGGTTCATGACAAGTACCTCCTCCCTCTGCTTCTCTGCCACGTCCAACTGTGCACGAAGGTGGTGCATCTGATTTTCGATTGTCGATAAACGCTCCGAGCTTCGAGCTAGTAAATCACGATATGTAACTTCTTCAGCAGCCAGAAGCGGGCGATTAGTGGAAAGTAGTTCCTCGATTCGAGCATTCCGAACATAAAGAGTATAGTTCGCTCGTGTTCCTTGAGGGGTAAGGCCGCAATGAGGACAGTGGCTAGAATCTCGCTCAGATTCACGGTCTGTAAGCACTAGAAAGAGTTAATATCGAGATCTTATTTCTAGAAGCAACCTACTCTTTCCGATAATGAAGTTAAGCTAGTGAGGGGAGGTGAAGGGCCACTGCAAGTGCTGTGGCGTTGTTATCAAGGTGTGCGGTCCGGAGAACCGAACACTGCCACCACGCGAGATCGCTTTTAATATTATCCGGCTAGTAAGTATCCGGTTCGACTACCTCCTCACGGACTCAAAAGATCTTCGACATCTCTTAAGTCTGGCGGAGCGTCACTACACGTGTAGCAGCGTCTTCATCGGAGATATTCAATGAGTCTCTTCGCCCCAAACCTTCGTATCGAGGTTACACAGTTAAGAACAACGACGGTATCCCGTCAGCTTGATGGTGAGAACTTAGTCAGTGCTACAGGTTACATGATGTTCGCCGGAAAGACTACAAATGATGGATCCTGATAAAGACCATACACAGAATCAAAGGGGACGAACGGAAAGCCAAACGTCGGCGAGAAAGGCATGAATCAACACATGGCTATCGAAAAGAATGCATAAATGGTAGACTTGATTATTTAGTGCTGTACTTGGCATACGCGTCTTTCCAAGCTTTGGGTGCGTCTTCTTCGATGACATCCTAAAAAACTTTTAAACAGTCGCATCTAGCCAAGAGTGATGAAGACGTTTACCCCATGGCACATAATAATCCTGCTGAAATCCCATTCTGAAACGACCTTGATGTCCCGACGCATAGCACTAAAATCATTTTGTCAGCATCCAATGAGCACATCTCTGAAGCACTGACTCCTTATCTTTGCCCAAACTCCACAGGAGGGATTTCAACACCAATCCCGGAGGACTGAATTTGCCAATTATGGGAACTTTCGCGGAAGCCTTGGACTTTGAGTACTGCCAGACGCCATTAAGACCTAGGAAGAATGATAGTGTGCTTAAAATACTCACTTGCTCTGTACCAGGTAGGTTGAAAATGAGATCGGCAACAATCAGAGACTTTGACGCGACGTGATAAAATGCGACATCCTGATTTTGGAAGCCGGGGAAGTAACTAGAAACGGTAATTATTCCATGATTTTATGGGGAATAGCTGGTAACGTACTGAGCCTTTATCTACAGGGATGATGTAATCAGTATGATAATATACGACAACGGTGATAAGACATACCTCGCTCTCAAAGCCATACTCTGTCTCCGGCGGATCAACACCATAAGCTAACAAAGGTATTCAGCATAAAATGTAGCGCTGGCAGTATCCTTAACTTACCGCCCGCGACATCAAGACCTTCGTCTTTCTTCTTCTTGAACAGCCGCTCGACGACGACTAGTTTGGCATCCGCATAGGCCTTTTTGTATTCCGCTATATATCACTTATTGACGTCCCAATTTAGGATAATGCCGAAAGATAAGACGTACCAAGGAAAAGATGGTGCTCCGCGTCTCCGGCCACGATCCATCTGTAAAATCGTTACAAGTTTCTTGAGGTGCCAGAAATTGGATGCTCACTTCACAGGTCCCAACTTGTCGATGGTCTCTTTTGTGTCCAGTGTTAACGGCGTTGATGCGAGGACCCATACGTCTCCACTGGCTAACTTAATTGCGGTTGAGCGCCCACCGAACGGGATAAATCGAGCACGTGTAAAAGGCCTGCCCATGTTGATAGAACATGAGACTCCCTCCATGATAAGCAGAGAGGCCTATCGCTCTCACTTGGAAAAAATCCAGACATTGGTAGTTACCTAAGGAGAGAATAAGGGAGGGGAAATCAAAAATGATAACGAGTATATACCTCTCGAATTACAAGTTCGTCCAAGTTCTTTGACATGGTGAAAGTGTGGGAAAGACATGGGACGCACGGGTTTGGACGTTTTTATATTGAGGCGATCGGTTGGACATATTTGTGTGAAACGGCCAAGCCATGCGAATGTCACGAGGTAAGCATCTAGACTTGTTGTACGGCTTCGTACGGTGTCCATTTAACTAAGTACGTCTATGGAGTGAAGGGAAAGAAGCTGAAGATCGTATGAGTTTCACACGGTGACCTTGAAAATAAAAGAGAAATATCCAGAAATCGGAGCTGATAATTCGAACGAAGGAATCTCGCACATTCGTCGCGTCTAATGTCGCCATCCAACTTCATGACCGTTTTCCATCATCGGCTCAACGAACCCTCGGAATGTCCAAGGGCGCGCCTCGAGGTCCTTGGTACCATCTGCCCGAGAACTTTGATCCTGCGACCATCTCATGCCATACCCTTCCTCGATCCTCACTTCATAGACCAGAACCTGGTGAGGTAGCCAATGAAGGTTCCTCCATGAGGCTTCATTTACAATTTTCCAGAACAATATCAATGCCCGTTCATTGATGATTGCCACGGGTCCAGAGGGTTGACCCCACCAGCCTTTACTTGCAAGCTCCTCCGCAGACTGGGATCGATGAAAATGCTTCGACCACGCGCGCGCCCCTGCAGTGAGACCAACTTTGTTGGGTACACAAAATGCTTCCAGACAGACCTCTACAGAAGGGGGTATGGAACCAATTGCAGATCCGATGGTATACGCTAATCCAAGAGACAAATGGATAGTAAGCGGCGAGGACGGATCCAGTTTTCCGGAAACGAGTTTTGCTCTCCCTGCAGCTGCAGAAGGAAGCTCTAGCATCCCAGCACAGCGTGGAGTCTTTGGTTCTAGTGAGGGGGGAAATGGATCAGTTACAGAATGTTGCTGCAGATCCATCATAAAGTTAGCGAGAAGAATAATTCAATAATTACTTTCGCGAATATTCTAAGCCTTAACCCCAGTACATGTATCCCCACGTGGCAACATTTTTTTTTCTTCTCCTACTACCGCGACTTCGGCAAGCGCTAACGCTAACCAGTAATGGCTACGGAAACACTGGCAAACGGGAGCGCCGACCCTTCTGTTGGGGGTGCCACCATTCCCCCGGTCGTTGGAATCAACTTCGGCAACTCATATGCATCCATTGCAGTATTCACGAAGGTTGTTACCTTTCTGTTCTAGCTTTATTGTGTCTGACAGGCAGCTTTTTGAAGGAAGGGTTAGCGGAATGCATCGCCAATGAAGATGGGGAACGCCAGATTGCCTGTGCGATTGCATTCCATGGAGAAGAAATGGTGCGTGACCATCTTTTAGATCCTCGTATTTTGTACTGAGATTCCTATCAGTACATTGGCAACCAAGCCAAACATCAACTGGTAAAGAATTCAAAAAATACGATTACCGGATTCCGCAACCTCCTGGGCAAGAAGTACGCCTTTGCAGTATTTTCTTGCATGGTTGCTGAATGTAGGATTTAGATTTTCCGAGATACCATCTTCCCAAATATCAACGACATCGGCGCTAGTCATCCAACACCCTGAGCTTCCTGATGTACCGGCGTACAAGGTCGAGGTACTGCAGGCTGCACCAGCGCCTCTACCATCCACAGCATCCAATACCCCGGCGGCTTCTGTTGCCCCTACGCCTCGTTCCGAACCTACCCCCGCCGAACGTGTCCTTACCGTTTCTGAGGTCACAACCATGTTCCTTCAGTCTCTTATCCAGTCCGCAGAAGACTTCCTGGGTAAAAAAGTACAAGGCGCTGTCGTTACGGTCCCGCCGACATTCACTGACGCTCAGATTGACGCCCTAGACAAGGCAGCATCTGATGCTGGAGTGAAGGTGTTGCAGTTCTTAGAAGAAGCTGGCGCCGCAGCAGCTACCACCTCCAGCGAACAGTGGAGTTCGTCACTTAACCCAGATCGCACACAACTCATTGTCGACCTCGGTTCGTCTTCCCTTTCTCTGTTCGTTGTCTCCATGCGGGAAGGACTCGCGCACCTCCTTGGTTCGTCAACGACATCCGCCGTCGGTGGTGATCAGATAGACGACAAGCTTGTGTCTTTCTTCGCCACAGACTTTACCAAAAAGACAAAAACATCACTCAAAGTTGTTCCTTCCGTCGAAAATGCCGACAAGCGTGCTGAGGCTAAGTTGCGTCTCGCTATCGAGCATACAAAACGTACCTTGAGTGCATCCCCCGGTGCTGCGACGTGTTCAGTCGAATCATTAAAGGACGGTCTAGACTATACTGGCTCCATCAACCGAATTAGATTCGATATGGTGGTGCGGTCGGTGTACACTGCGGTTGGTGCTGCTGTTGAGGAACTATTGAAGTCACTGGACATAGATTCCTATTACATCAACGAGATCGTTTATGTGGGCGGGACGACGTGTCTGCCAGGTTTGAACGAGCACCTCATCACCTCCTGTGGCTTCAGTGATGCCGTTGACACGCCATTTTCGCTCGGAACTGTAGTCGGTGGTGGTGTCGGTGATCCCACGACGATCCTAGCTCGGGGTAGCGCCGTACAGGCTGCCTTGATCGCTTCTCTGCCACATGACGAGGACTTCGCGGAGATTCGACAAGCCTTTGAGAGGGGCTCTGTCACTGAGGCTCCCGTGATGACGCGTTCTATCGGGTTGTACTTCCCTGGTGAAGGGGAGGAAGACAAAACCGGAACATGGATGACTATTCTGTGGAAAGACACACCGCTCCCCGTTCGTCGAATTGTCACTTTCGATGCTACTCTTACCGACGAGTCGAAGAAGTTTGCGTTTGAAGTATGGGAGGTCGAGGAGAAAGTCCGCATAGAAAAGGTGAAACTCGAGAAGCTCGAGCTTTCCGACGATGAAGAGGAGGAAGAGGAAGATGAATACGAGGAGCAGAAGCACCCTCACATGAGCCGAGTCGCTTTCCTTGGTGCGAAGGAAGCCGAGGCTCTGCTAGGAATCAAAACGAAGGGCAATGGACCTGATGCCGGTAAATGGACGACCACATTGCAAGTCATTTTCCAGGCATCTGAAGAAGGGGAACTGGAGATTTATATGCGTGAGATCGGAGAGAATGGCGCACTGCTGTCCCTTCGTGTTCCTCCGTCATGATACTTACGTGCTCTGTATATCCTGTGATTATAGATTACTGCAATTGCCATCTAAATAAGAAAGGACTGGCAAATTTTTATCTATCTTCGTGGATGCATTCGATCGATATACACAAGAAGCTCAAGCATGCAACATCAAGTACCAGTATATGTTGGTCCCTTCATTAGGTCTTCAGCGAAGGGTGGGCATGTCGATCATAGCGAGTTAGATGGTGAGTCGAATCTGAAGTCCCAGATATAGGGTCAGCATTAGCTCTTCAATACCCGATTGATCTTTAGTTGAGCGACCAGGTAAGTCCTCACCCGGATATTCGGGTCGACAATTTGAAAGGGGAATGATTCCAATAACGTCCCGGTTCGAAAGTCAGTCGTGAGCAACGTCCGCTGACCTCTTACAAAGTATAGACGATACTAATGAGTGACAATACCCCCGAGGAGTCAATGCACATGTGAACATGGACTTCCTGAATTGGGTATTGTCGTCTGCTCTAGTGAGATCTATTGTCAATCGTTTTGAAAGGCAGTGACAGTATTCGGGTCCCGTGAGAGAAAGTTGTGCTTGGCTCTAGGAGTTTGTGGATTCAATGACCATCGATTGAATCGTCATTTGCTTGTAGAGGGTATACATGTCAATAGAAGCCTTGTAGGGGGAAAGTGTTGAAGGGTATTAAATTGCGCTTCAGCTATGCATAAATACCACTCAGTCCACGACTTGAAGGAGGTGCCATTTTTTCTTCGACGAAAGGAGTTAAGGCATATGGGAGGATATTTGACCTTGTCCAACACTTCCATTATTGCGTATCATATCCCGTGGTGAGACCAGGTGAGGCCCCATCAATGAGCTTGACCGTGGAGCCATAGGGGACTCAAAACCGTCAGTTGATGGAGGATTATTATACTCTAAGATGTAGTAGATCCATAGAGCACTAGAGAGGTAATAGCTTTGGAGGCTCCAAGGTTACTTGAAGCCTCAACTTTTTAATGAACGTCGAGGACCAATCAACGACGCGGCGGTGATCGCGCTTGATCGCAAGTCACGTGTACTTACGGAATTGAAAAGCGCCGGCCGGCACAACGAATTGGCTTCATTCACAGAGAGGGGGTCCTATTATTTCCCTTTGCAACTTCAGTATGAACCACCATGGCAACCTTCCTTGTCCATTTTTCTGAAATGGTTTTCCGTCATTATTTCACTGGTATCTTGAATCATGACGCCGCGCAGGACATGGGCAAATCCTGAAACGGGCGCGCTCGTCGGGTCGTCAGTACATTTCTGACTCGTCGTTCACGTTCTTATCAGGTTCCGGGATTAAATTCTCGCGATCTCATCGATATGACCTGAAACGGCTCGCCTCGGCTGACAGGCGTACCTCGGTTACTATCGCTCGATATGTCCTAAGAAAATTTATTGCGGATCGCCGTTATGAATATAAAACGGACCACATCCATGTTTGGCCTTAACCGTTTGTCTTTCCGTGCTCTGGTCATCGTGTGTATCTTTTTCATTTTGGATGGTACAGGAGAGCTGATGTATTCCACAGAAAAAACGTAGTCATGCCGTCCGCGAACGCAGCCCTTCTCTCACTAGGCCAGAAGCACACCACCCACGGTCTTGGACGTGTTATCGATGATGCCATCATCGAGAATGCTTCGGGATCGTACATGACTTTCGATGATGGCCGTACGATGCTCGACTTCACCTGTGGTATCGGTGTGACTTCCTTGGGTACGTCGTGATTATCGATGAAATAGTACTGTTCAAACGCTTTTTTAGGGCACTGCCACCCCCAAATCTCGAAGGCTGCTGCCGACCAATGCATGTCAGTAGTTCATGGACAGGTGTGTTTCCTTTGGACATCAAATTCACTACCATGACTCAGTTTCCACCCAGTGCTCCATAGCATTCCACACTCCGTACGTGAGACTCATCGAGGAGCTCCTTCCCATGATGCCCGACCCTTCGCTCGACTCCTTCTTCTTCTGGAACTCTGGGTCGGAGGCTATTGAGGCTGCTCTCAAGATTGCGCGTATCGCGACAGGCCGGCAAAATATTATCTGCATGCAGAGTGGGTACCACGGTCGCACATTCGGTGCTATGGCTGTCACGCGCAGCAAGACTATCTACTCTGCCGGCGTCCACCCCATCATGCCTGGTGTTTTCCAGACACCTTATCCATACTTCCATCCGCTCGGTCTCCCCAAGGAAACTTCTTCAGCCGAGCTATCTGAGTTCTGCCTCAAGCAGCTTGGCCTCGTCCTTACTAGCCAGACTTCTCCCGCCGACACGGCTGCCATCATCATTGAGCCCATTCTTGGCGAGGGTGGCTACGTTTCGACGCCCGTCGAGTTCCTCCAGGGACTTCGCAGGATTTGCGACACCTATGGTATCATGCTAATCATCGACGAGGTCCAGAGTGGATTTTCACGGAGCGGTGACTACTTTGCTATTGAGCAAAGTGGAGTCAGGCCGGATATCCTGGTTATTGCCAAGGGTCTCGCGAACGGTTTCCCTCTCAGTGGTGTTATCAGCCGAAAGGAGCTCACTGACAAGCTACCACCTGGATCGATGGGTGGAACCTACGCCGGTAATGCCATCTCTTGTGCTGCCGCTGTCGAAGTAGCCAAGATCATGAAGGGCGGAGACATTCTCCCCAATGTTCGCGCTCGGTAGGTTGTGAAAGCATTGGCGCGTCTCCCATTCTAATTACCGTTTTCCTCTACAGCTCCAAGCAGGCATTCGACGCGCTGAACGCACTCGCGGCTGACCCTGAAGTCGGCAAGTACATCCTCGACGTCCGTGGTCGTGGCCTCATGATCGGTCTCGAGTTCAAGGCGCCTGCTGGTCCTGCCGAGATCAAGTCGGGCCTAGTTTCGCAAGCCTCTTCTGATATCCCCGCTGGTCTCGCAGCGAAGGTAATGAAGCGCTGCGTCAAGAAAGGCCTTCTCATTTTGACGACAAGCGCCTTTGAGGTCTTGCGTCTCATTCCTCCCCTCAATATCACTGAGGAGGACATGAAGAAGGGTTGTGATATCATCGCGGAGTCGCTCAGGGAGGTTGTCAAGGAGAGCTCTTAATTTTCTTCTGGGACGCTGCTGGGTACTTCGAGGTTTACAGGTTTGGATGAAACAAAAATGATGCGGACAGACGGCTCGTGACGTATCGTATAATACGCGTCTTTGGCTTGCTGTCGTTGGATTATATCGTGTATCTGTAGTGTACAGGTGGTGCCGTGAAAGTAAAGGCATTGGAGCAGGTCGTCGCAATAGATACGGAGTCGGTCTGTCGCTGCTATGGCTAGTCGCGTCACGTGCATGATTCCAGGAATTCGACTGTTACTCAAAACGGAAGACCGTCACTTTAGAACCACCTCATCGGTGTCATATCCTTTCTCTCTCCTTTATCTTCTCATTTGCTCTCGTGAACTACGACAGCTGCAATATGGCAGGTGATGGCCACGCATGGTAGTTCGAGTCGTTTGGTTCGGTTCAGGTACGTCTCAATGAAATTTAAACTGAGGCTATCTCATAATTTTGTCAGGTGTCGTCCTTTTTACGATGTACCAGAAGATTCCTATATGACGAGGACCGCTGTATTCACCGGAGGTGCCGAAATGATATCAGAACTACGATTTTCATAGGACGGATGAGCTCTGAACATTTGAACTATCGCGTTGGGACTCTGCCAGCCGCTCCTTAGCCCACGATATCTTGGTCTATTCGATGTATTTCGTTTACGCGGTCAGGTCTCCTTGCAAATCAAAACGTCGAGCAAATGGTAAACTCTGCTGGCGTAGTAGCCTAGTATAAGTTAAGCATATGTGGTAAGTAATCCTTTCATGTTGCCGATCCTTCATAACCATAATTCATAGATTCACGCCAGCAGCATTGATGCCCTCCCGCGCGCTACGAAGAAGAAAAACCAATCAGTATACTGTCATCAGTTCTGTGCGCTGGCCGTACCCTTTGATGTTCTCCATCGCACTTGGCATGTCTCCATGTAGGCAGATGGTGTACGCTTCATCCGGTACATGCGGCAATCCTCCCTTCGGTTGCATGGCGAACAAGAACGGCAGAGGTGCACCAGTGTTGTCAATTCCTAGTAAAGCCCGCAAGAGGTTCGTCAATGTTGTGGCGTTCTTCGTTGAGTCGATCGGATACTAACCACACCCTGTTTCCGCTAGACTCTGAATCCTCTTCTTGATCATTTCGGGGCTCACTAGGTTGTCAAAGTCGACCGGTTGGAGTTGTCCCTCCGGACTGTAGTCAATGTCGACAAACGTCTCCTGCAAGACATTCAAATTAGCTTCGGCTAATAGGTTTCAATGAGGCGTACCGGATGGAAAGGGACACCGTACTTGTTCGCGATCGTTTCATGCAACGTCCCGGAGAGTCCAAACATGGGGACTTTGAATGACGCGATGGCTCTAATGACTGCATCCGCGACGGCCTCTGATTTAGCCTGTGTAATCAAGTGAGTCCCAAGTCGGCATCAGATGTGATGCGCTGACTCACCATCATGAAGTATAGTTTCCCATGCGCTGGAAACGAGACGGTCATGTCTTGTCTTAACATCTGAAGTGGCATGCCAAAGCGCACCTTTGACATGGTGAAGAGACATTCCCTCTGCTTCCAAGATCGCCTTACACGCTCCAACCTGGTAAAGGGTCTGCGCGTAGAGCTCCTCAGGCTTGACGTCGATTTCACGACGGCCGAAACCCTTGATATCGTCGAGTCCTGGATGCGCCCCAACCTTGACTCCGTACTTCTTGGCGAGTCGTATGGTCCTCAGCATGATTGACGGGTCACCGGCGTGGAACCCGCATGCGACGTTCGCTGAAAACACACAGAAGCATGAGAACTTGTCAATCGAATGCCGTCGAGCTCACCATAGTCAATGAGCGGCATGAGCTCCTCGTCTGGCCCCAGCTTCCAACGGCCAAACGCCTCACCCATGTCACAGTTGATTGATATCTTCATGGTGTTGAGCACGTCGAGAAAGGGTAATGCTTATCCGCTGACCCAGGACGTTATGCTACCGGCGTAAATATGTGGGCCATTTGAATAACCCGTCTTATCTTGGACTTATCTCCTTAGATATGCTTGTCCGTACTTTCGGCTGCCGGGGCCAGCCAGGATTTCGGGTATCAAAGATCAGCCCATCCGGCATTTACCGGATATGAAATTTCTTTGCAAATGTTGCGTACCAAGGCCGATTTGTTTTCCGCATCTTCCCACTCCGCATTCGACCCTCCTCCAAACAATGGCCACCTTCAATGCTTCTGTCTTCGGCCTCAAAGATTCTTCACTCATTAAAACCCAGGGACTCATCGACGGGAAATGGGTGGATGCGAAGGATGGATCAAGGTTCCAGGTGACCAGTGAGTTCCCTAGCGCTTTGTATAGCTACGAAAAAATTATCGTTTTCGCATCTAGACCCGGCAACGCTCGAGGAGCTTGCGACCGTGCCGGATATGGGTCTCGAGGAGACTAAGGAAGCCATCGACGCTGCTGCAAGAGCATTCCCTTCATGGAGCGCGACCACGCCCAAAGTGAGTATGCGTTCCTCGCATTCGAAAAGCGATCTGATTTGATGTTTAGCACAAACAAGAACTTCTCAACAAGCTGCATAATCTCATGGTTGAGCACCACGAAGATCTCTCTCGATTGATCACCGTTGAGAACGGGAAGGCTCTTTCTGACGCGATTGTGGGTGTGTTTTTGATCTTGATCGATGGCGTTAATCTCAATGATTATACTTCATAGGGTGAGAACAGATACAGCGCGTCTTTTCTTGATTGGTACGCGGCAGAGGCGCTTCGCACCTACGGAGACCACATCCCTTCAGTCGTTCCTGGACTCCGAAATGTTGTCATCAAGCAACCAGTCGGCGTCGTGGCCATTCTGACTCCCTGGAACTTCCCGTCAGCCATGATTACCCGCAAGCTTGGTGCTGCCTTGGCTGCTGGATGCACGGCCGTCATTAAACCTGCTCCTGAGACTCCTTTCAGCGCTCTTGCTCTGGCAGAAGTGAGCCTCTGGTTTGAGATTCGCGACTCATTTCTCATGGTGTCGCTAGCTTTGCAACCGGGCAGGTTTCCCTCCAGGTGTCGTCAACATTGTGACTACTCAGAAGAATGTAGCAGCGGTTGGTAAGGAGATGTGCGAGAGCAAGATTGTCAAAAAGGTCACCTTTACTGGTTCGACCAATGTCGCCAAATTGCTGTACAGCATGGCCGCGAGCACGTTAAAAAAGTGAGTGACTTTTTTACTTCTCTGGTGTTCTCGTGTTGATTTTTCACCTAGGATATCGATCGAAGCTGGCGGCAACGCGCCTTTCATCGTGTTCGATGATGCAAATATCGATGAGGCTGTCGCTGCTGCTATAGCTTGCAAGTTCCGCGGTGGTGGACAGACTTGTGTCTGTGCCAATCGTCTTTACGTTCACTCTTCTGTCTACGATGAGTTTGCGTCGAAGCTGGCGGCGCAGGTGTCAGCGTTTAAGGTCGGCAATGGTGTCGCGGACGGAGTGTAAGCCTGCTTGCTGTTTGTTTCCGCGCATTCTTACAAGGTCTGCAGTACTCATGGTCCTCTTATTCACCGTCGCGCCCTGGAGAAAGTGCACTCTCATGTCGAAGATGCCGTATCTCGAGGTGCCTCGGTTGTTATTGGTGGTAAACCCATAGCTCCTGAGGATCCCTCATCATCCTTCTACCACCCGACTATCCTCACTGACGTACCCACTGATGCTCTGGTCAACACCGAGGAGACCTTCGGTCCGTTAGCATCTCTGACCAAGTTCGAGACAGAAGAGGAGGTCCTCCATCTGGCGAACAACGTCGATGTCGGTCTTGCTGGTTACCTCTTTTCAAGAGATGTGGGCCGTGTCTGGCGCGTAGCGGAGAAACTCGAGGTCGGAATGGTGGGCAGTAATGTGGGCATGATTACCCAGGCGGCGATACCGTTTGGCGGGATCAAGGAGAGTGGAATTGGACGTGAGGGTGGGCCTCGTGGTATAGACGAGTATATGAATGAGAAGCTCATCGTTTTTGGGGGTATCGGAGCATAAAAATGAGTAGGGAGAATGCAAAAAGGGTTGCAGTTGTAATTGATATTGTAAAGCATGATACAAGCGAGCGCACGCATGCGTCGTATATACTCGGGAATTCGCTTTTGCGAGTCTACAATGAGGAAGGAATTATACATGAGACCCAAATTAGTTTCCAAGGTATATTCGGAGAGGACGTGGCCGGTGCTGCCGGTGTGGTGCAGATTTAAACTCCGCGTAACTCCGGAGACCACCGGGCCGGCAGCCTTACTTAACCTTTTGATGGCGGACATCCAGATTTATCTCAAGCCTCGACCTATCTCACCTGTGTATGGCCACTCAGACTACCTGCCATTTAAATGGAACAGCTATCGCCACTATGGACCATTCTTTGATGACTATGGAATGGTGCCCCGCGACGCCACAGAAGTACACATTATACAGTCCCCTGCGCTTTCCACGCTCTACACCGTTTTCATACCTAGTCTCAATGTCGAGGTTCCAGATCCAAATAAATCCGGTACCTCTGCATGGCCTGCCCTGCTTGAACTTGCGAAATCAAAGGTCGCCTTCTCGATTGATTCACGGATGGAGTGTGAAAATCACATCGTTCGACTCTCCCAAGGTGATCGTGCGCCAGCTCCCCCACCACGAAATATGCGTGCACCAGATTTTTCATCCGAGTGGTATAAAATAGTATTCTCTACCATAAGTCGAGGTGATGTTGAGTTGCGCGACGAGTCTCGAGATACTGAATTGGAGTTATTCGTCTGGGTAGCTATGCACCAAATAATAGATGATCGGACCGGTGAGTGGTTCCAGTAACAAACTCATTGCCTATGCTGACACCGCTCCAGATATCTGGAGACATTTTCGCGAGGAGATGCTTAAGTTGACAGACCCGATTGCCCCTGCTCGTTTACCATCAGGTCATGGTCAGTAACATGGGATAGTAGCCGCGGTTTCCATTGACCTTTCTTCATCTAGCCTACAACCCTGGCATATTTAACTTCCTTGGTAGGAAGGCGCTAACAGCCGTGTCTACCTTTGCTTCTACATTCCTCGCTGGCGCGCCGGTTGACGATACTGATCCTCTGCCCCTTTCCCCATCCCCCAACAATGGATCCTTAGCTAATGACTCGATGCCTTCTTCCTATACTGGCGATATCGATGATGACACGAATCTGTCTGCTCTAAATCGTTCGGTCGAACCATACCGGGTCTGTGTCTGATCATCGTATGTCTATTGTTCGTACTGACTGTCTTTATCCAGCGTCGGAAACGTATTATTGTTTCTGAATCCGTAGACCTGTAGCTCGGGTGTTCCCTTAGCAGACCCCCGTTCTCCATCGCATACTTATTCTTATCTTTACAGTATGTATATTGTATGTTTTGTATATTAGACTTGGAAACGCGATGGCGCAAGTCTCTCTTATTACAGAAATGGCAGTATCTTCGGCCGCTCGTCCTTTGATTAAAAGCCTTTTTGGTACTAGATGTATTGTTTTACAGATGGCTCTCACCAATAACGTCGATGGGGTGCCGTTTAGACATTGTTGTGGGTATAGTCATGGTATGTTCTGTTCCAGGTTATACATATTTCTGGGCTCATTAAATCTCATAAAGGTCGTGCTGTCCCAGCTAGCTCTTCGGAATTTTGGTAGCCCTGGAATTATGTTTCTCGTCATGGCATACTGTAACGTTTTCTAGGGCTGTCGATTTCGGTACGTCTAGCGCAACAGCACAAGGTGTCCAATGGGACAGAGTGTCGAACAGACTCGTAGAAAGGGTGATGTTCTTAGCAAACTGAAGTCATCTATAAACCGAGCCCGGCGAAGGAAGGAACGAAGTCTTATTAGTCGTCGGTGAAGCTGAGGCTTAATGGAATCCCACCGACTCGGAGCGTTGCCGATCCGGCTAATTTACCCCTATCCATTAACAGACGGTGTCTCTCATATTCTCATGGCGGACATCCAGATTTACCTCAGGCCTCGACCTATCTCACCTGTGTATGGCCACTCGAACTATCTTCCATTCAAACGGAAACGCTATTGCGACTACGGTCCATTCTTTGCTGACTATGGAACAGTACCCTGCGACGCCACCGAGGTACACACTATACGGTCCCCTGCTCTATCCACCGCACTTTCCACGCTCTACACCGTTTTCATACCTAGTCTCGATGTCGAGGTTCCAGATCCCAATAAACCCGGTCCCTCCGCATGGCCTGCCCTTCTTAAGCTTGCAATAACCAAGGTCGACTTGTCGATTGATTCACGGATGGAATGTGAAAATCACATCGTTCGGCTCTCACAAGGTGATCGTGCGCCAACTCCCCCACCTCGAAATATGCGTGCACCATCGTTTTCACCCGAGTGGTATAAAATAGTATTCTCTACTATGGATCGAGGTGACGTCGAGTTGCGCGACGAGTCTCGAGATACTGAGCTGGAGTTATTCGTCTGGGTGTATATGCAAAAAACCATAGATCAACGGACTCGTGAGTAGTCTCAGCAGCAAGCTAATTCTTTATTCTGACACTGCTGCAGATATATGGAGACATTTCCGCCGAGAGATGTATAAACTGACAGACCCGATTGCCCCTGCTCATTTACCATCAGGTCATGGTCAGTAACATGACATGGCCGTCGCATTTTCTATTGACATTTATTCATCCAGCCGACAGCCCTGGCCTGTTTGATTTCCTTCACAAGAAGGCGCTAACGGCTGCGTCTGCTTTTGCGTCCACATTCCTCGCCGACACGCCAGTCAGCGATAATGATCCTCCACTCCTTTCCCCATCCCACAGTAATGGGTCAGTAGCCACAGACTCGACGTCTTCTTCCCATGCTGGCGATATCGATGATGATGCAGACCTGTCTGCTCTAGATCATCCGTTCGAACCGTTCCGGGTGTGTCTGATCATCCTGTGTCTATTGTTTGTCCTGACTGTCTTCACCCAGCGCCGGAAACGTATCACCACTTCTGAAGTTGTAGATATGTAGCTCGGGTGTTCCTTCAGCAGACTATCCCATGTACTCCGTCGCATCATATACTTATTCTTATTTTTACAGTACGTATATTATATGTTAGACTTGGAAAAGTGAAGGCGCAAGTCTCTTGTTACACTAATCGATGTCGTCACCACTGCATCTTTGGCTGCTCATCCTTTACTTGAAAGCCTTTCGTTACCAAATGTTTTGCTATGCCGGCATCTCTTGCAAACCACATCAATGGGAACTAGCGGAAGCAACGACGTGGCTACTATGAAGAACTCCAACGCCTATAGTCAAGAATCATGTTTTATTACCCAGTTTACAACTAGGCAGTACATTTGTATCATATAACCCTCGCATTACTCTATAGTCATCCAGTATCAAGATAGATAGAATACGTCAATCCGGGAATTTTCAGCCCTGTCATCCAAATATCGTTAACCCAATAAAAATACACCTGCACCTTGTGTTCAGGCGCGAGACGAAAAATGTTTTATATCCTTCCATAATCCCCTGGCGAAGGCGGCGATACCGAAGCGTCCTTCCCATAAGGGAAGAATGCCGATGGTCAGCGCAGCATAGAACGCCCAAAGGAAAATCGTCACAACCCAGAAAGTGAAGAAACCTGGAAGAGACTGGTGTCAGCCTCGCTCATAAAATACGAGAGGCACAGTATCCTTACCTTTGGAAAAGACATAACCGGTGAAATACATAGGAAGGGGAACCAAAATGACGAAAATAAGCGTCATGGCGGTTGCAGCCCACAGGGCCTTCGCCAGTCCCGCTTTCAAGACGCGTTCCGCATGGGCTGACAAGTCGACTTCGACGAGCTCATCCGATCCCTCCTTTGTCACTATGACAGTGGTGTTAGTTTCGCCTTTCTCCTTGTCGTCGGTCTCTTTTTCGTCGTCATCGGCGGAATGTGCATGTTCGTGATCTTCGCCATGAGCCTTCACAGCTGTGATCTCGTGCTTGAGACGGCTCCAGTCAAAGTTCTGATTGCCACCGATGAAAGTCCTGAGTAGATTGCGGTCAAAACACAGCATGCGCAGGATAAATGGTTACTCACAATAAAGGCAAGAAAAAGAGGGGTGCAATGATGGAAATGCCGTTTCCTAGAGCCAATGGTTTGAGAGTAGAGAGGGTGTCGATGGTGATCTCGCCAGAATAGTGCTTTGTGGAGACAAACCATGCCACAAGCGCGACTGAGGAACCAAGGACGGGAGCACCAACACACGCGAGGGTGTTCATGCGTGCCCAAGTGAGCGTACAGACCATAGGAATGACGGCACTGCAGATGTGTAAGTAAGGTGGCTGTTCAAGGCTTCAAAATTCTGTTGAACGAACCTGTCGACAACAATACCAATGGCGGTGACGATGAAGTTGACAGAGAACCCAGCATGGAGGAAACCACAGGCAATGGCACCCACGGAAAGACCGAAAAGGATGACGGTAAGATGGGCAATAGCTTTCAACTGTCTATCAGAGGCCTGAGAATGATGTTATCACCTGGAATCATAGAAATGTATGCAGCACATACCTTGGGGTTAATATAGGTTCGGTAGATATCATAGGTAACCAGCCCAGTGACGGCCATCGTCTCGGAACTCATAGCACTTGTCGCCGCCATGAACAACATAACCTTAATTCGAACTCATCAGACGTTTCGTTCGGCGACGAGTACATGATGCTTACAATGACAGCACCGGCACCACCTTTACCAAGAACCGTCAAGGCGGCCAATGGCATCGGCAATCCCTCCGATACCTGAGCCACCGTCAAGCGGTCGGGGTAGGTTGGCCAGGAAGGATGGCTTTCGAGAGCTGCAGCGGCAAGACCCCAAGTACTGGCGAGGCAGAAGGGGATGGCAAACCAGGCGGTTCCGCCCAAAAGGTATCCGCCGATAGTGCTCTCCGGGTTTGCTGCGATAGCCTGGAATTGTTCAGTCAGCCAACTACAAGTTATGAGAGAAGTAGAGTTACGTACCTTTTGGAACAGCTGCGAGTCAACAGCGGCACTGAGGAAAGATGAATATATAAAGGCGTTGTAGCGAAGATAGAAAGCTCACGAGAAGCCACTTCCTACGAACACGGCACCTAAGGAGATCTCAGAGTAAGTGTACTGTACATGTACATTCATTCAGAGCACAGGCTTACCAACGAGACCACCAGAAAGGGATTTCATGGTCAGGTATTCTCCGTCTTGGTTACCGTCGATGGGATGGGCAGCCGCTGCTTTGCGAAGCAATTCGTACATATCGCCAGGAGATCCTATCAAGTTCGATGTGCCATAGACGACGACAACAGATATGAGCAAGATGATGTAGATGATCAAAGTGTGGACGTAGTCGGACAGGAAGGTAGACTTGATTCCTGTCATAGGATTTAATCAGGCATACAGGAGGAGAGGGGATGGACACTACCTCCGAGAGCGGAATAGATGATTACACCAAGGGGTAGGAGCATACAAGCTGCATCGGCGCTAGAGTATAACGTGGATTAACAAACGGGTAAATGCAGCGTTAGGATGTAAGCCCACCTCATTCCTGTCAAAGTAGAGAAAATAGAACCAGCGCCGACTAGCAAGTTGACCGAGGCGAACAACTGGTACAAGAACGAATAGAAGGCAAGAGTGAAGTGCCCGGCTGGTCCAAAGCGAACTTTGGCAACTTCAGCGAAGGTCTAAGTGTATGCCTATTAGTGTGCATCGGGAATATGATGGGATCTCAACTTACATGAGCAGCCGGAGCGCGACGTTTAAGCTCGATTGCACAAGCTGTGAACAACAAGATCTGCACGCAAGCACCGGCACCGTACCACCAGCCGCCAGAGACACCATAAGAGTATCCATATGCGGTTGATGTAAGAAGAGTTGCTATCAAGAAGTGAGAAAATCATTTCGTGCGAAAAAGAACAACCAACCAGCAATAGTCCAGGACGAGACAACCGATGCGGCCAAAAGACCGGTCCGCACTGACTTCTTGGCAGTCATTTGCATCTCCGAATCTTGCGTTTCGCCGGCATATCTGCTGAGACCCCACGCGATAACACTCATGATGATGGCAAACGCTGCGCCTAACCCGATGACCTGATATTTCACAGTCATGGATGAATGAACGCGGCACAATAGAGGGCATAACTCACAATTCCATAGCCGAAGCCGGGGGAGAATATGGGCCGAATCTGCATTGCTCAGGGAAGACCGAGATCAAGAGAGGCGAACAGAGAAGGGCGGAAGTGCGGGCTGGGGGCGGGCGACTTGCATTCTTCTGGAGTTTGTCCCTGCAAGAAGTACTTCTTCGTTATCTGTATCCGTCTCCCAATGTCCACAGTCGTTATCAGTGGAATTACAGGAGATTACAGGTTAAAAGAAGCGGGATGGCTAATAATATCTAGCGGCACTTATCACCGGCACGCTTGAGTAGTTTCGGTTTATTGATGAAGAGCAACGCGGGATTGGAGTGCATTCTACAATTTCAGGGTCAAGGTTCTGAGCTTTTCGCGCCATTGCCCTTGGCAAACACACCTCTTATCCACTATCTTCATCAAATTGAACCGGAGACTTCCAGGGTCTAACGGCGCGCCTATCTTTGAAATTAAAATAGACTTTCAGGGATGGGAATGCTGTCTGGACGGGAAAGAAGGTGGGTGTTTATCAATGCATAGAACCTATTTTCAGTTAATCTTTTGCATTTAATGCCTAGAAGGATATGACTTACCCAAACGAGAAAGTTATAGAAATGTAATGCGACTTGGCATGTAATTGGTACATATGCCTCCGAACTCTATGTGAACTTTGAAGATAAGTCAGTATCGCACAGGAGACTAGGTTATGCGTACAAATTTCACATGATTTTGAGGGATTTTCTAGGCGTCCCGATGATCGATCAAGCAGCGCTATTTCATAAAGATACGAATGGAGGGAAGCAGGCACGCAAGGAGAAGTGCTCGTTTCCAGCTGTTCCAGTAGGTGGCGGTTCAAATTCAAAGCGGTGATGTCCCAAACGGGAAGTGCCACATGTTTTCGCACCGGCCAAACAGGACCGGCTACTACTCTTCGCTTTAGCGCTGGGTGAGAATGCCTGATGTTAATAACATACCTAGTAAATCACATGAAAATAACATGTATGTAACGTTAAAAACATCGGAGGGTCCCAGCAGTGGTGTGAAATTCTGTGAGAAACTCCGGTGGGATGAGCCTACGGAACGGCCTCTTCCAAGGCTCCAAGCATCATCGGTCACTAAGATGACTACTTCCAGGTGGTGTGCTTGTTGTCGTACACCATGATAGATTTCGATTTACCTTTGATTTACCTTGTATTCATACATATATGGTCATTTCTGACCGCGTAGCGAAATAACAGGAAAATCACACGTTTTTAACATGTTATTTATGTGTTAAAAACAAAAAAACTTTCCGCGCTGCGCGCGATGATGTCATGGGAAACTCACAGTTATTTACATGTGAGGATGAACCTCACACGGGGGGTGCAACCATTGTCACGTTAAATACTTTGCCGAAAAGCATTCTCACCCAGCGCTACTTCGCTTATCACTTTCGCCCAACGATGCCCCCTGTTAATTCCGCCGTGATTCCTTGAAGTTTGCTTACTTACTTCATGTACCGTGGTACTTAGGAGCTTATCAGCAAACCGGTTACAGAGGCCGAGTAAAGGCGGCGGCCAATTTCTTTTCGCCCGGGCCAAGACCATTAACAGCATGCTACCGGGGGGAATTCAGTGCCACTTTCCCATTAGGCATCTCCCTTTGATTCCCTTCACTTTACACCATGGATTGTAAACTCCTCGTCGCAAACCGTGGCGAGATTGCTGTCCGAATACTCAACAGCGCCAAGAAGCTGTCCATACCAACTGTCGCCATTTATACCCATGCAGACGCGTCGGCACCACATGTTGCTCTTGCTGACGAAGCTTACGCTGTCGGACATGGTCCCGATGGCGAAGGATCCAACCCCAGAGGATATCTCGAGATGGATGAAATTGTGACTATTGCTAAGAAGTCGGGCGCAACACTTCTTGCTCCTGGATATGGCTTCCTTTCTGAAAATCCAGTGAGTACTGGGTCTCGTTACATCTTGTACTTGACGCGTCTCGATGCCATGATTAACGCGTTATATGTCCCCAGTTGAAATCTTATCGTTGACTTCTGTCATTAGGACTTTGCAGAGTTGTGTCAGAACGAAGGCATTACTTTCCTAGGGCCCACTCCTGAGCAGATGACCAAGATGGGTCTGAAGCACGAAGCGCGACAAGTCGCAATTGAAGCAGGTGTACCGGTTGTTCCTGGGAGCGATGGTATTGTCGATACGCTCGAACAAGCCATGGTCACTGCACAAAGGATAGGCTATCCTGTTATGCTCAAAGCGACTGGTGGAGGCGGAGGTATGGGCATGCAGATATGTGAAGACTCTAGCGATCTTGAGAAGCATTTCGTTGCTACACAGGCCAAGGGTGGTGTAAGTGGTCATGGATCGTTCAATTTAATCTCTTGTTTACCGTCTTCTTTCGCATGGCAGGCGCTATTCAAGAACTCTGCCGTATTTTTAGAGAAATATGTCAGAAAAGCTCGCCACATAGAGATACAGTGCGGGTGTTCATCGTGTCCAATCTTCATTTGTATTCTCATTACGTATCCAGGATTTTTGGCAATGGTGAAGGCTTTGTCACCCATTTCTCCGAGAGAGAATGTAGCGTACAACGAAGGCATCAGGTTAGTATGATATTATCATCTTCATACAGCCAACACCCTGATAATTCACAGAAAGTTATCGAAGAAGGTCCTAGTCCATTTTTGAGCGATGGACGTGCCAACGTGAGGAAGGCGATGTGCGAAGCCGCCGTTCGCCTCTGCTCCAGCATCAATTACCGTTCCGCTGGTACCGTCGAATTCGTTGTCGACGATGAAACTGGGGACTTCTACTTCCTCGAGCTCAACGCTAGAGTTCAGGTCGAGCACGCAGTCACCGAAATGATCAACTCTGGACTGGATCTCGTCGAGCTCATGATCAAGCTCGGTCTCAAGCAGAAAGCCGGTTTATCGTTGAATGCGGACGAGATACCGGTGCATTCTGGCCCCACAGGACATGCGATTGAAGCTCGGGTATATTGCGAAAACCCTATGTATGGACAATTCCAGCCCTCCCCCGGGACCCTTCACCTTGTTCAGTGGCCTGAGCCCCGCCCTTGGCTCCGCATCGACACTTGGGTTGGTACGGGAGTGCACGTTACACCCAATTACGACCCAATGATCGCCAAACTCATCGTTTCCGGTGCCGATCGTACAGAAGCTCTGAAACGAATGGAAGAGGTGCTCGTAGAGACCTTGATCCTTGGTCCTCCGAACAACCTTGAATATCTTGCTGAAATCGTGCGGAGCGTGCAGTTCCAGCTTGGTCAGGTAAGCTCTATCCTCATGTCTTCCGGGTCGGTGTTCAATATTTTACTCAAGGTGACGACGACCTACTTGTCGACGATGGAATTCATCCCTCGCGCTATAGAAGTACTGGAGGGAGGCATCTTGACGACAGTACAGGATCTTCCGGGACGACCGACAGTCGGTAATGGTACTCCTCTCGGTGGAGCGGCGGACATGCTTGCTGCGAAGGTCGCCAACATGTTGGTTGGGAACAAGCCGGAGACGGAGTTGCTCGAGGCGACGATGATGTGAGCAATTCACGTTTGTCTCTCCTGCCGCCTGATCATTTATCCTCGATGTTAGTGGTCCCACCCTCAAGTTTCATAGAGCAACAGCGGTCGCGGTTACCGGTGCTGCAAGTCCGGTCACACTGGATGGCGCACCTGTGAAGGTGTGGACGCGTCTATCAATCAAGGCTGGCAGCGTCCTGAAGATTGGAACTGTACGTCCTATCTGTATTAGCTTATATCCTTCAAGTTGGCTTATCCGTCGCTGTGTATCATAGTCGACGCATGGATTACGCGCATATATCGCCGTTTTCGGTGGCCTACCTGGTTCTGCTAGTTTCATGGGTTCCAAAAGCACGCTGATTTTGGTTGGAGTCGGAGGATATCAAGGCCGACAGCTTGTTAAAGGAGACATTCTCTCCCTCAGTCCGCATTGTGATTCTGTTGACGATACTGCTGCTTCTGTTCCAGAGCATCTCATTCCTCGTTATCCCAACGAGTGGGATATCGAGGTTCTGCCAGCGGCGCAATGGGATCACGAATATCTGTCCCAAGAAGGGCAGGAAATGCTCACATCAGCGAAGTGGAAGGTAAGCCCTTCAAGTGGACGCAGTGGGCTTAGGTTGGACGGTCCTCGAATTAAGTGGGCGAGAAAGCATGGCGGAGAAGGTGGCTCCCATCCTTCTAACGTAGTTGACCAAGGTTTGTCATGCTATCCTTATAAAATATTGACGCTAAGCTCTGATTCGTAGGCTGTAAGTATAGTCTGCCGCTTCCCCCCGCAAGGCTCAACGTTGATGCTCGTGTAATTAGATTCGATTGGGGCGCTCAATGTGAACGGTGATACTCCCGTTCTATTTGGTGTCGATGCTCCTGATGCTGGCGGTTTTGCTAACGTCCTCAATGGTAAGGTTCTCTTTCTTTCAACGTTGCAATTTCGTTGACAATTAGCTGCCATCTAGTACCCGCTGCTTCTCTTTGGAAACTGGGTCAGATACGACCAGGCGACACCATTACATTCAAGGGGATCAGCCAGAGCGACGCACCTTGCCTACATCAACGGAATGATACTTGGCTTGCTGCCGTTGAGGCGAGCATCAAGTCTGAAACTTCTACCATGGTGTCTTCAGGCATACTGGACTGGATTTCCACTGGCCAAATACCTGAATCATCCTTACGAGCACATATACCCGCCTCGGCTCTTCGCCCAGAATCTAAGATACGCCAGGTCGGAGATTCATTCCTCTTCTTAGAAGTCGGCCCGATGCGTCTTGATGTCGTTATCTGTGCGAGATTGGAGTCGTTTCTACGCGAACTCAACAAGCGCCAGATCCCAGGAATCCTGACGACGCTTTTGCTAATCCGAAGCTTGATGATACACTTTGATGAGCGAGTTACTGATGCGGAGGCACTACTGAAGATAATGATCGAGATTGATGCTGACCTTCCCGACGCGATGCACATGCTGCCCCTTGAAGTAGATGTATACCGGATGCCTCTGGTAAATGAAGTTAATGACTGGTTCGTTTATTAGGGGCTGATAGTTCTTCAAGGTCCCCGATGACTCGTGGTGTCAAGACGCTGTAGACCGGTACATGAAAACGGTTCGATCACAGGCGGTGTATCTACCAAACAACGTGGTACGTCGGTTTGTGGTAAAGATTTATATAAGCTGCTGATTATTGATTACAGGAATACATTGCGCGCTGCAGCGGGATGAAGTCGAAGTCAGAGGTCGCTGATTCAATGCTAGCCTCTCCATGGTTAGTTTTTGGGACTGGGTTCTGTGAGTGCCACGTGATACACCTCGAACACCATCGACTCATTATTTGATGCTCAGTTGTCGGCCTGCCCTTTATCTCTCCGGTACGCACATGGTAGATTTTTGCTCGCAACACATAGTTAAACAATATTTTGACTTCCAGATGGATCCCCGAAAGCGCCTCTTGGGGCAAAAGTACAACCCCACTAGGTTAGTTCATCGAGTTCTTTATACCTTGAATTAATCTCCCGCGACACAGGCTTTATACACCTGAAGGCGCCGTCGGTTTGGCCGGAGTTGTCGGCTCTATATATCCACTGGAATCAGCGGGTGGCTATCAGCTACTCGGTCGGACATTGAGTACTTGGAGTAAGTCATGAATTTGCGGCCTGTCCAGTTTTCTGACTGGCTTTAGATACATGGAGTGACTCTCATTTCATGATGAAGAGATTCGATCAGATTGAGTGGTATCGGGTTTCAGAGGAAGAGTACCTCAAGGTTGGTTACTTTTGTTTATGAATAAGCTCCAATCTTCATAAGGACTAGATCTCTCGGGCATTCAAAGCGGGAAAATTCAAGCCGGAAGTCAGAAAGGTGTTATTTTCTCTGTCAGAGTACGTTGAACAGAACAAAGTGCATCAAGCCGAGGTGGATGCTATTATCAAGACGCAAAAGGAAATGAGCGCAGCCGAAGCTTTGAGGTGTGACTAGTGACTTTCTGTATCATTTGAGTCTTGCTGATATTTTGCTACGCCCCTCATAGGGAAGAAGAGCTATTCAAGAATTGGATAGCTGCCAAAGAAGCGGAGAAGTCTTCTGGGGGAAGTACCAGCACGTCAGATGATTCGGGTATTCCAGTATCCAGTCCGCTGTCTGCGAATGTGTGGAAGGTTGAAGTCAAGGTTGGGCACCAGATCAAATCAAGCACGGAAACAGCGATGATTCTCGAAGCAATGAAGACCGAGGTTGCGATCAACTTTGGTGAAGAAGAGGTTGGGAAGACTGTCACGGCTATTGCAGTTCAACCTGGGGACTCAGTGAATGCTGGACAAGTGTTATATTATGTGTCCTAGCGCGATATGGTTTGGGTATAGATCAGTTTCCCTTTGTCAATACATTTATTTCCGGAGGTAAACTTGGGATTTTGGACTCTTAAATTCTGAAAATCAGTGCTGGTCTCGTTGTACGTTTCTCTTAAATAATTTGGACAACGAATACGAAAGAAATCTTGATTCGGGAAGGCGGCGTCATCATGTCACGTGCCCGAGAAATGTGAATTCGCCCGCCTCCACCGCTTTCCTTCATACTTTCACCGACACCACCTTCATGTCTTCCTGTTCCCACCTTGATCAGTTATCACTCATTCAGCCTCCGCGACTATCCCAGTCTGTCCACCGAGAAGAGTGTACGCAATGTTTTGACTCCCAGGTATGGAAGTAACAGCACCGAGTGGCGGTAGATCTGACGCGATCCCAGGACGATACTCAAGGGATTGAAGTTTGCTTAACATGCTTTAATGGCGGCTGTCTCGATCCCGAGCGACGTCACGCTCTTCTGCATGTCTCGAAGCATGGCCACCCTTTTACTCTCAACGTGAAACGCAAGTTGAAACCATCTGCGAAACGCGTACGTCGCGGTCCAGTATACAGTCGTTTTGCTTACAAACTTTTTAGAATGAGGATGAAGAGCCGCCGGCCAAAATGACAAAGCTTTCCATTGCTGAGGAACGCGAAGAAGACAAGTACGATTATCAGACGGTCGTAAAGTGCTGGCATTGCGATAGTAGTAATGGTGCAGAGATTCGTGAAGCAACGAATATCCTTCAGGTACGTTTCATTTCTATCAAATTCTGAATATCCTCCGATAGGTTTGTAGGTTCAAACATTGGTGCAAGGCGTGATGCAAGCTATGTCATCCGCCAGACAGTCCGAGGTCAAAGCCTGGGAAGAAGAGATTCCACCCTGCGAACACACCCTTACCCTGGAACAATTTACTACTGGTCCCATACCCGCCTCCGGCCTCGCTCACTGCTCGGCTTGCGATCTGAAGGAGAATCTATGGTTGTGTTTGACATGTGGCTCACTTGGCTGTGGTCGTCAGCAATCCGGTGGCGCGCGCGGTAATGGACATGGGTTGGCCCATTACGAGGCTACCAAACACCCAGTCAGCGTCAAACTCGGAACAATTACTCCGGAAGGCGGTGCCGACGTCTACTGCTACCAATGCAATGATTCCAAGCTCGACCCTGAAGTAGCTTCTCATCTAGCAATGTTCGGAATCAATGTGCAGACGCAAACGAAGACCGAGAAGAGCATGACGGAGCTCCAAATCGAGCATAACTTAAAATATGACTTTTCCCTTACTAGTGACGACGGAAAACCCCTTGAGCCAGTCTGCGGTCCTGGACTGACTGGTCTATCTAACCTCGGAAATAGGTATAACAGTTAAACTCAGTGTTAGGATATTTCTAACGGATGCCTGTTAGTTGCTACATGGCTTCAGTACTTCAAACCATCTTCTCTCTTCCCGCATTCCAACAGCGTCACGGCGCGCTTGCCCAGAACCATGCTGCGGCATGTACGGACCCTTTGCCTGCCGATTGCATTGAATGTCAGATGCACAAGGTAGCAGATGGTCTACTGAGTGGACGATACTCTCGTCCTGCACATTATGTGTCCTCTCCTGGGGCAGATGCTACGGCGCCTGTATTTCAAGCCGGTATCAAACCAACTGGGTTCAAAGCGCTTATCGGAAAAGGACATGAAGAGTTTTCAACTATGAGACAACAGGATTCGGAAGAATTCTTTACATACCTGATAACTGCCCTACGACGAGATGGGCACAAACACAAAGATCGTGCTGAGCCAGGTTTGTTCAGTCTTTCTGGTTGAAGAAGATGCTGATGATCAGCTTCTTTATAGACGCGACGTCAGCGTTTGCCTATGGTATGGAGCAAAGACTGCAGTGCAACGACTGCAAAAAGGTCAGGTATAGAGTGGATAACATGGATGTCGTCAGCGTATCCGTTCCAGCCGTAGAGAAGGGTAAGGACGCTGATGGAAAGACGCTCTATGAGGAGGTTCAGCTGTGGCAATGCCTGGAATCGCTACTCGGTGTCGATGCCCTGGAATACGCTTGTCCGTCCTGTCAAAAATCTGTTCGTGCTCTCAGGTAGGGATTTACTCTGTTTTTGAAAGGCTTTGTTTGCTAAGGATCACGTCTACAGACAAAGCAAGTTTGCCTCTTTCCCCGACGTACTCGTTGTCCATACCAAAAAATTCCAGCTGGTGAACTGGGTTCCAGCAAAACTTGACATACCTGTTCTACTACCTGTTGGAGACGAGCTCCAGTTCACAGACAACCAGCTGGGGCATGGATTGCAAGCTGACGAAATCGCATTACCAGGGAACGAAGCCTGTAATGTCCCCGTGTTCTATTGACTGTCTGCCCATTTAATCTGCATTCTAGCATCTTCAACATTACCCCAGTTCAATGAGGCTGCGATGGCACAGCTGGAAGCGATGGGATTTCCGGTTGTTCGTTGCCAGAAGGCGTTGCTTGCTACTGGAAACAATGACCCTGAAGCTGCTATGGAATGGTTGTTCGGCCACATGGAGGATCCAGGTGCGTATACCATTGGCGCAACGATCTTGAGTGCTAACACTGTTACAGATATCGATGATCCTATCCAGCCTACCTCATCTTCTGCTGCGACTTTTGAGCCATCTCCCGAGCAGGTTAGCATGCTCTCCGACATGGGTTTCACCCCCGCTCAAGCGAGGAAATCTCTTCGGGAAACTGTATGTGCTCTTTTCCATCTGGTTGATGAATCCTGAGGTAATATATCTCCTTATAGGGTGGCGACGCCGAACGAGCTGTAGAATGGCTGTTTAACCATCCCGACGACTCCGGCGAAGACAGTAGTACGCCGGCAACCACTCAACCCTCGGAACCTGTAATTGGAGGGTCAAAGACGGTCCCAGCCATCTACAAGCTGAAGGCCTTCATCTCTCACAAGGGACCTTCCGTGCACTCCGGTCATTACGTAGCACATATCAAGGTCGGAGACCAGTGGGTGCTGTTCAACGATGAGAAGGTTGTCAAAGCCGATGATGAAAGCGTGAAAGAATTGAAAAAGCTGGCGTATCTGTATATCTTTGAGAAAGTCTGATCCCATTTCTGCGTTTGTGTACGTTGTGTACGATAGAATGAAAGCAATTGCAAAATTATAAATAACGTATTACTTCTCGGCAGCCGGCTATCTTAATTACCGGCTCCCACTTAACGTCAACCGTCATCATTCATCATGTTCTCCATTAACTCGTTTTCACTCATTAACTAATGGCTTCTCAATTTTCTACAAAGTTTATTCACGTTTCTGAGCCGTCACCTCATGTTTTTCACGTCGAATTATCCCGGTAAGAGCCTTTTTTTTAGTACGACAAATCACCGCCGTAATTTTGATTCTAGAAAACCTGTGAACGCCTTCAATGTCGAGTAAGGAACACAGTTTGGCCCTATATTCTCAACCCTCACTTTATGAAAGATTCTGGACGCAATACGGGGAACTGTTCGAAAAATTGGCGGAAGAAGATGTGCGCGCCGTCGTCCTGTCATCGGCCTTGCCAAAGATTTTTACGGCAGGAATCGACTGTGAGTGTTCTTCTTTAGTGTATTTGGTTGGTTAACAATGTTATGGTGTACTGAAGTATCTGATTTGGCGAACTTGACAACCTCTCAGTCTGACGAAGACACCGCTAGGTTGGCCATCAAGCACTCGAAGCATATCAAAACGTTCCAGCACGCTATTGGTGCACCAGCGCGCTGCCCGTTCCCAGTCATTGCTGCGATACATGGTTCTGTCCTCGGTTTGGGTGTGGATATTGTCTGTGCCTGCGATATCCGCTACGCAGCTTCAACTGCTACCTTTACTATCAAGGTGCCAACCAGACTCTTTCCTAGACGACTGATATTTATATTTTTGTAGGAAGCAGATGTTGGGCTAGCGGCTGACGTAGGCACACTGGCATATCTGCCCAAAATTGCAGGCAACATATCCCTCGTCAGAGAGTTCTGTTATACGTCACAGACTTTTTCGGCTGCTGTAGCCGAAAAGATGGGTCTGCTGTCTTCGGTTATTGAAGGCGGCAGGGAAGATGTCGTAGGTGCAGCTCTGGAGCTGGCCAAGGTGATTGCTTCAAAGAGTCCCGTTGCTGTCGCGGGCACGAAGCATATCATCAGTCATGCTTTGGATAACAGCATTGCTGCGAACCTTGACTACACGGCCGTTTGGAATGGAGCAGCTCTTCAAACACGGGTAGGCATCGTTTTCATTCGCCTTTTTCATCCGTTGAGCACCAAATATAGGATATTATCGAAAACGTGTCCGCTATGAAGGCAAGACGCGCGCCCACGTTTGCACCGCTTCGTGCAAAGCTATAATACCAGCAACCGTGCCACTTGATTGTCGTCTTTCATTCCAACTTAAGGATAGGCGGAGGCAAATCGCGGTGCCACTCTCATGCCCACCTACATATGGATTTATTCCAATCATTCTGTAATGTGCTTGTGTAGCTCATCCGAGCTGTATAGGAATTTGTTCTCTGGCTTTGTCACCGTATAAGGCGAGAACCACAGTTCAAGATATTCCTTAAATAATCTTCGTCTTATCATATCTTCTATACCATGTTTCGAGGGACCTGAGGGGTGACCGGTGGCAGGTAGCTAGCTGCTCTCTGATGCTATGCGCATAGCTGGCTTGGGGCAAAGATGATGGAACCATCAGCCTACATCGGACACCTTGTCAGGCATGACGGATTCATAAGATCCTCAAAGGACACATCTCATACTTTTTCAGAGTCTTCCTTGCATACTACACCTAGGGCTGTGCACTGTCGTAACCGACCGTATACCTCTGTCAGTAGATCCTTTAAGCAAAATCGTGTTTATTTATGAGTGACATGATGAAAAATCAATCTGAGTATGGTGCACAACCAACGTACTTACACAGCTAGTACTGCCCATATTACTTATTTGCCTTTCGAAGCGTGCTTCATGGCATATGACACTTGAGTTGAATATAACGATGCAATTATGGGATGATACCGAATGACTGTCATTTACGCTAATCCTTGCCAACAACAATCCTATCCTTGGTAGGAAAGGCGATAATTGAATCCAAACCTAGTCCAACTACCTTGGATGGAGGTGAAGCTGACTTCAAGTCAACTTCAAGAGTTCTGGCCTCGGACATGACACGCAAGCGTACATATGACTTTCCATCGGCGGGCCCAGCGTCACAGTCAGCAATACCATTCTGGTCAGGCACATATGCAGGGCTGTAGATCTGAATTCGGTCGAGGGAGTCCAGCATTATCTTCAGATCCTTGATTTCTAGATACCAAAGATTGAACTTAAGAACAGACATAATAAAAGCGTCGAAAATGCATACCAAGTTTGTAAAAACAAGTTTTCCCAGTTGGGGCTCGTGGCATCCATTCATTTGATGAGTCCTGCTGAGCCTCCTGATCTAGGTTTGGCAGAACACGCATGATGTAAAGATTTTGAATCCTTTTCATGCGAAGGTCTCGGTTTTCGAAATCTCGGCGCAACCACTCCACACACATAATACCACCAAATATCAGCCGCTCTAATGCCTCTCCCGCCTCACCCTGTTGACCGCCGTTCATGTCGGGAGTAATAAGCCCCCTGAAAAGTGATTTTGTAATAGTGTGGGTCAACTCGTGGAGAAAAGCGATCATGATGACGGATTGTACGATCGTAAGTTGATCAGATGAAGGGCTATCAGCCTTGGCTTTCTGTAGAGTGGTATCAGGGTGTTTGAACTACATGCACATAAGCACAGACGCACCTCAAGGTCTATGTAAGCTGCTACCAACTCACGAGAAAAAAACATCTCATTATCCTCGCGGTCATCAACACCCTTGCATACGAATCCCCACGAATATTCCTTTATTGCATGACGGCGATTTCTGGATTCGTGCTCTTGAGTGTCGACTAGAACAATCGCTGGAGGCGAATCTCGGATATAAGAGACAATGTAGGGAGTCAAATCTTCCGGACCCTGAGACTCGGGGTGTGAATCAATCCAAGCCTGTCTCCCTACATCTGAAGCCGCAATGGTCCGGACCACGTATCCAAAATTGACTACAGTTCCCACCCAAGACTGAGAACCCGACATCAGATGCACCAAGATCTGTTTGACGAACTGAAGAAAAGGGGCGAACTCCGGATCCTCGGTGACTTCGTTGGCCTTGTCTTCCAGGTAAAGACGAACGGTTCCAAGGAGTGCATGGTTATTGTGTTTTGTCTTGTCATCAATAAACAAAGACTTTTCGTAGAAACGTTCCAGTTTTGATTTTCGAGCTTCCATGAGGGCACTGTTGGTCTTGGAACGGGTGGACATGACGTTTGAAACGTTAATCGATGATGAAGGAACAAGGCTAAGTACTGCGATGGTAGGATTTGCACTTATTTGTGCAGGGCCGAGATATATGCCGCGACATGGTTAGAATCCAGGAAAGGGAGGCTGTGGTACTATACGAGCTGGATTTCAAAAGGCCAGGCTGGGTTCAATATTCCGAGCTTAACAAACTCCATAGTGGAATATTGATGACCCTGTGGCTGTACAGGCTGGCGCGACGTCCGGGTCTTGCTAAGTAAAGTTTTACTAAGAGGAAGAAAGTACTAGAAGGATACGAAAGAGTATTTAAATAGCTGGTTTTCGTAGTATTCTGTACTCGTTTGTCTTTCTAAGCAAACATGGACTGTTCTTTCCTAACTCACATGGCAAATGTGTCTAATTGCACGGTCGCGTGTTATCCATTGACATACATACATACAGTGGCAACAAAAAATTCGAGAGGCAGAAAATATAGTAGTAAGTAGCCCAGTGCCAAGACATCGACGGGGCAGGGAGAGAAACAAATGTGAATCACTTCAAGACATTGTCGTTTTAATAATCGCCTACATATCCGTAAACTGCAGTAGTATCCCGACCATAATACATTGATGGTGGACAGCAAAAACAGTCTGTATCCAGGCTTTGGTATACAATTTTCTAGCATCTAAGCAGGAGGATGGAGGATATCACGGGCATGAGATAAATCGCCCATGATATCATGCTCCTGGATGTCCCACTGGTCCGAAGCTGAGGAAGAGGCTGGCTCGGAGCATTGTCGTACAGGAACAACTGTGATTTGAGACGGATTCACAATTTAAATGGAGCGAGAGGATACCCTTACCTTGTCAATCCCAGCCTGGCTATTCATCATATCCTCGTTCGAGTGTGAGACTCCCTCGACCCAGTCAACGGTTGCACTTGGCGGTAGGGAACCCTCCAAACCCTCCAGCATTGCAACAAAATTCCGGCCTCTCTCTAAATGGGTGCTCCCCTGCGTCTGAAAAGAGACGCTCAGTAGCTGCGCACGAGACAGAAAAAAAGTTCCTGACCAGTGCTTCGCATCGGGTGTCTCCAGGACCATTATCTTTCTAAAGGCACAGTTAGTCGAGATGCTGATTAAATACGTTCGAAGAGACACGCTTACCAAACCCCACGCGTAGTGTATGTTCCTACTGTTATATCTAGATACCACACCATTTCTAGCCGCATCCCCGGAAGAGTACGCCGGAAAGCGACTGGACAGTCCATACTTGTAGTCGTCCACACCTCCACACGTTGCATTAGGGAACGGCCGGTCCTTTGTCAACCAGCATAATGACCCAGGGTTGGCTGTTTTGCTTTAACAAGGTTGTTCCGAACAGAGGACAACGAACTCACCTATCCAAAAGTGAAGACGATTATCGTCCTTGGTCGATCTCCGTAAAGCAGCGTAGCGCTGGGTCATTTGCGCACCTGCAGAATGCCCCGCGATGACGACGGTCTGGGAAAATAGTCAGTATCGTAGGAATTCGGCAACGCTTTGTTACTTACTTTTAGATTTGGGTATACACTGGTATCCGTGTAATAATCCACCAAAGCGTCGAGGACGGCAAAGCTACTAAGATATGGTGGGGTGATGCTCTCATGCCCACTAACCCAAGTTGTCGCGCCCCAAAGCATCTGGCCATCGTGGGCCGCACCTGCTTTCAAGTCGGGTTGCGTGAAGAAGCATGGTCCCATGATGGATACGTTGTCGCGTCCACTAACGGCACCAGACCTTGTTGCATTAGACAGAGCGTTGTTCATGACGTTCCAATCTGATTCATAAGGATAAACATTCCACCCCTCGGAAGTAAGAAACGGGCCTACAGAACCAGCAATCCCGGTTCTAAGAACTCATTAACTCGTGATACAGTCAAGTCGGAAGAAGACTTACTCGTCCAGGTAAAACTATCACTGCTCTAGTTATGTTTCCATTATCAACCCCGCTGGTTTGGTATACGGGCTACAAGCCGTCGTCAGTCACAACATCCACGAAGTCTACTAAGCCATGTAACTCACTAAGCTTCCACCTCCCACGTCCCAGTCAGGATATGCGGTAGCATCGATGACCTGCGGCAATGTCTGCCAGCCATTGTCGGGATCCCCACCTACAGTTGGGTTGGGATTACCTTGAGATAGAACAAAAGTGAGAGACGCTAGTAAGTAGAAAGAAAGAAACAACATGGCGGTAACTGTACGACCAACCATTCACACTTGTAAAATATATCAATTCATCGTGTCAGCTATTGATTATGGATGCACCTTGTCGGTTCCGACGGCGTTAAAGAATTGAATGTTTTGAAAGCCTGTCCATCTCTTATCCTTGACCACCGCATTGAATAGCACAGCGCCAGAAGAAATTGAATAGTACATCAGATGCTCAAAAGATCAGAAAGCCCTGTTTATGAGCGAACCCGCTCGCTCACGAGTCGCGGGGAAGAAACGTACGGCATCAAACACACACAGGGAGCCGTTGCCGTAAAGCGTAAATACGACAAGATGGCTGTCATCAGAGATACTAAGTTGAATGTAAATTTCCTTGGTCAACGTTGATTGACGAAATTGACGTACATAGCGTCGGTTTTACTGCATCCGTGGTTCGTAGAGAGAGATCCTAGAGCCCAGCGACCGAAAACATAGCTTCATCACATAGGCATTCCAGCGACATATCGCACAAGAGTCGGCTGATGGTGACAGGAGATCTAACCATACAGCTGAGGGCGTTGGTGGTAACCAGCTTGAGCTCAAAATTAGACGCATGAAAGCCCGGCACTTGCATAAACCCAATACGAATATACAGATAGGTAGTAGGCATAGTATGTAGGTAGTGTTACATGTCACAGTCAAACAAATAGCAGTCAGATGTAGAAGTAGGAGTCTAGTTTTGTCGATACGCATCGCCCTTCAGCTTAGTTCCAACTATAGTAGCCGACAAGCGCGTTGAAGTTGTACGAAGAGGGGTTCATATTGAAAGCGAAGCCATCTGGCTTGAACTCCGCGACGTTAGATCCATCTCTGGACACCTGGACCTGGACCTGGCAATTCTCGACGAGCGGCAGACTAAGCTTCCATGTCCCACTGGACAACTGCCAGAAGAGATTTGAAGAACCACAGATTAGTGAGACCGTAGAAGGCGCCTTCAGAAACACGACTGCCCAGAGAACGTCTTTTGTCTAGGAAAGTTATTCGTCGCATAGCTGTTTATTTGTCAGGCTTGGAAGCTTACAAGTTTCCAGTTATCAGGTATCCCTACGCTGTCACTGGGAGCGTTTGCTGCTGCAGGGTAGAGACGACTCCACAAGTAGATGCCGTTATAATCGAAGTTTGAAAAGCGTCCGTCTTTGAAAGCGCGAGCATAGTAAGACCCGAGTTTCAGCCAAGCTTAAAGATCTTGTCAGCAAAATAGTATCCGAGTTTTGCGACCGACGGATTACCTTGATGATCGTAACCATTAGTCCATGCCTCCGAACCAGACTGAGAGCCTTCAATAGGTCCTAGGTAGTGCGATTCTCCAAAGTCGTTCCAAGTCAAAATTTGTACCATATCGACTTTTTCTCTGTTGATTATGAGGTTTTCCCAGCGTGCAGCGAATAGCCAGTCATCAGAGGGATAGATCCAGTTTTTGTTGTACGTGTCGCGCCCATAGTGCTGGAAGAAGCGTCAAACAGCATAAGCTGGCCATTCAAATTGTTACCTACAGTGAAGAACCAAGGTGAACAAGCTGCCATGTACGTCTTCCCCCCCAGATTGGAGACATAGTTGAGGTCAGAGTCGAAAGTGGTATCGTTGCCGTCCTTCGTCCAACCGGAATCCCACTTAAAACCATTATCTAGTAAGTATTTTGATACGACGGAAAATGACTCACACCAAATATGCCATCGATGGCTTGAAGTCCTGAAATTTGCGATGGGTCCACAAAGAACGAAGGTACAAAATGGATATCTTCAGGGAAATCATGTTTGACAGCGAATTGCCACGCTTGATCGAGATTCTTCGTTCCAAAGAGACAGTGTTCGCCAGAAAATGTCGACACAAGCATTTTCGAGTCAAAGAGAAAGTAGGATCCGTGACTATGGTACTCGGTGAGGTATTGATGTAGCGTCTCGGCGTCTTGAGCAGAAGAGCAGGGTATAGAAGACATATCAAACGAGAAGAACAGCTTGAAAGGCGTTTTCATGGCGCTACAAGCGCCGAAGGCGTCAGCGACTTGATCTCGTTCCCAAGAGTCTCCACCGATGTTCAAGGCGAAGGCGTCGATTCCGTTATCATAGGCGAGTTGGATATCTGATAGATTTAAGCTTGCGATGAGACAGAAGAGAAAGCTAGAGCTCATACCCTTTGTCCAGTCATCAGCGTTATACGAACGCGAGTTTCCTACGATGAAGTGGGCGACGACGGTCTTGGAGTCCGATGTCCGCTTAGAGAGTTTACGAGATGCAAGAGCGCCATAAAATAGAGTGTTCGCGAAGAGCGTGACGAAGAAAATGGAGAAAAATGTGGGAATGGTCGCCCGGTACATGACGGGGGAGGGTAGAGTTATGCTACTGTTTGGTCGTGTATCTTCTTGTGGTGAATCCATGCGGTCACGGGATTTCTCTTGAGGGCAGGTCATCTCGCACGCCGGAGGGATTTCCAGCTCATCTTCCTCTCCCGTAGCTTGACGCTAACCGCTAAATTTAGCATCTATCCGTGGTTCTAGTCGTATTATACACTTCCATAAAGGCTCCTTGAGGCAATGAACCATGCAGTCCAGCTTCAGCTCACATCATGATAAACCGCAAGCTCGAAAATGAAGAGCAAGCCATTGAATTCCTTCTGTCATTGTACTATTCGTCAAAGAACGCCGTCGTAAGTTACTCTACACCATCGCAAGTAATAACGTGTCTACTCTTTTCCCCCCAGTGACAGATACCTAATATTGCGAGCTTTCTTCTACCAGGACGAACGTCTCCCGGTTTCGTCACTGGCTCCAAATTCGCTGGAGAATCGTGCACCACTGACCCATTCAGTCATGGCACAATGGTCTGCCCTATTGAAGGAGTTTTGCTCTACAGTTCGTTTTGTCCTTCATTCGTGGCTGAGCGGTTGAACGTGCTACTATGCCAGTCATCTAAGGAGTTCTCGTTGTCGACAGGGTACTCAATATTAGTCTCGACAATCGCTCTCTTTTTTTCAAATTATCCGGGCTGCTACAGCGAAACTCCAGAAGGTCTCAAGCGACCACAGTAGGTTATTTCAAAGTCTGCGTTCAAAATATCGATTAATAACAATTACTCTGCACAGTCCGGGTCAATGCACCAGAAAAGTACGAAATTCCGCAACAAAGCTCTGAAAACAAGACAAATCCCGATGGCACGTGATCGTTGAATCCCTGCTTTAAAGGCTTAGGCCACCCAGGGACGACCACATCAACCAGACCTCAGCCTACCAGTGTACCACCACCGTTCTATCAGCCTTGCGTATCCGGTATACGAACAAGTCTGCTTGCAAAACAGCATTTCATCGAAACAATCCTACACTATCGCCGACACGTAGAACATGCTCGCTGGCAATGCCACTGGATTAGCCTGCCTCCCCACCGAACTTCTTCTCGAAATCATCTCTCGGTTCCCTTCACCGCCTCTGAAAGCCTCAATGTTCTACTGTCTGACCGTCGGCGGTAAGGAGCTGACTGAAAGATCTGCAGCGCTCGTTTCTCTGTCTCAGACGTGCAAGGCTTACAGACAGATATTTTTACCGATGGTTTGGGAGAAACTTGAGGCATTCCAATGTACCGATCCCAACATCGAAGTGCGCCCTGAGCTCCCTGAGTGGCAACAGAATGTGACCAGTGAAATCGTCAGACAATTACAAACCGTCACGATCAAGGATCCGGCGCTTGCTGATCATGTCCAGTGCGTCCTTCATCATATTTGTGTGATTCTTGACTTATGAAGAGAACTGTAGATCTGTATCATTCACACTGACAGAGTCTGCTCAAAATCTATATCCTTGGATTGCGAAATCTCTGTCCATGCTGCCACGCCTGACCACCGTACAGATCTTTGGGCTCGAGTTTAAAGGATCCGAAGAGGCTCTTCAAAGAGCCTTTGAAAACATCCTCGTCCCTTCGGTTCAGACCCTTGCTATCCCGAACAGCGCTCATGTCATTTTCTCAAGCTTCCCAAATGTGTTGAATGTCATTTGCAATTGTTTCTACGAATCTTCGCGGGAAGACTTTCTGAAAAAGGTCATCAAATATTATCCGATTGTGCATCGCGTGCACCTTTGTGGTTTGTTGCTCAGTCCGTTGCTTGAAAGTGAGAAAACAAACTTCCAACTGACGATCAGTGCTGACTTGGATAACATAGCGATGATCCGTCGACTTCCATACCTCCGCGAAATTGGCCCTATCGCGCTCTATACTGGGATAAATGAGGTGAGGATTTGTTCTACTCTCGCATCGTTCTTCATCTCATATGACCGGTACAAGCTCCCCCTTCAGCTGCTTGGACGTCTCCAGAATCTCCGTCTTGTCAAACTGACATTAGTCCCTCGAGATTATGGCTACAACGACCGCTGGGATGTATGGAGCGTAAGTCCGTGCGTCATGACCGTCATCGACACACTTCGCCAAATCCCCGCGGGAGCCCAAGAGATCAAGAAGCTCATCATCAATAGTACGTTCACAGATCAAATCGAGGTGTATGTTGGCAGAGGGACGCAAAGGCTGGCATCGCTGCAGTAGGCCTGGAACCATAAATCATGAGGTGTATTGCTAACTTTTGGGTACCAATAAAGACTCGCTGGTTAATGTTCTCCATGCTACTTAGCAACACTCGTAGTCCAGTCATACACTCTTGCTGAGCGAAACACAAATATAGCTTACTGAGCGGGCAAAGAACGGCTTCGTCTCTTCTCTTCGAAATTAGCGCTATTCACCGCAGTCGAATGCCGACAACCTCAGAACCGCAAGTCTTTTCATTGTAGGAATCAGGACGTTCCGGAAAATGAAAAAAATAGACTTCGTCGAAGTATTACGCAAGAAGGTAAAAGCACTGGTACTATAGAGGAGACGGTCATGGGGAATACATATCACTAAAGCAAGAAAGTCATATTTTAGAATTGGACGATTGCATCGCGGATTTTTAGGCCAGGTGGCTGCCTAACCACCCTAGATCGCTACAAGAAAGACAGTGACGGCAAAGATGTCGTATGCAAGTCGTAATGTGAAGCTTAAATTTAAATAAGGCCATTGGTGTTGGGGGAAGGGCGGCGGTGAAGACGTGAGGGCACTGTACTTTCGATGTAATTGCATGCATGCAGCCAGTAGTAGATTTATGGATCGATCATGTATGGAAACAGAGAAACAAAGGTGGAAAGACTACGTTAACATCACGCGAAAGGTCCGTCCTTTCATGCATTGATAATTCAAAGGGGAACCCCTGGGGGTGCCATTAGAACAGAGCACGAAGTAGAACATTCACATCAACTCACCTGAATCAACTGATCGGGATCGACTCAAGACGAGGTTTGGTCGCGTCCAGCGCGGGAGCCGCTCTGGCGCTGGTTCGTTGAGCAGGTTGTGGTGAAAGGTGTAGGTAACTTCGTGTCGTCCATCCTTGAATATGTATTCTGAATCCGCTGCTAAAGGATACCGCGACGGGAGGAGGTCGAAACGATCTATTCGTACCCCGATATCATTGTAAGCCGCAACGATGTCACCCGGCCGCTCCAGCGACAGAGATAGCCTTACACCAACAATAACCTTGACGCGGGTATTCACTGCCTGAGGGCGACCGTAGATATCGACGATATCTGCGCCAAATAATTCAAGAATTCCACCCGCAGGAATGGGAATATTGGGATCCCAAACCCTAATCCACAGAGATGAGCTGAATCGGAAGGTGCGGTATAAATGTTGGTCGCGGAGCTTGGGAGGAGTCTGGGCAAATAACTGTCAGCTAATATCCCACCCATGGTAATTAGAGAACATACGGATACTACTGGGTAGTCCCTGGTGTTGATGAGGCGTCAGTCCACATTATTCTCACCATACAAATCCTTCATCGCCACGGGGAGCCATTTTTTGCTCAAGGCTATGGGGTCGTTGGGGCTGAAGATTTCATCGTATAGGTGTCCTTCAGTGTCTTTGTAGCGAATTATGAGGCCGCCTCCGGGACAACTCTCGCTCTCCGGAACATTTTCAACTTCGGGATCCACCATCACTGGAGGCTGCTTGCGAACACGGGGGCCTCTTTTCAGCGTGCGGGTTGGCTTTGAACGCAGCATGGTAAGAGCGAGGCTGAGGGTCAAGATTTGTGGGTAACACTGAGCAACCGAGGGCAACCGTGTTCTTAAAGGCAGAGCGGACTTTGAAATTTGAACGACTAATCGAAATCCAGGGCCGTCCTTGTTCTCTCCCCCTTCAAAGTTCCGTTATTTATTCTTTTCTCCTTTCTGTAGGTAGAAAACACTCTCACAGAGAAACACCCAACGAGACCGAAAATAGCCACATAGAATTTTACCCGATAGTTACACATCCCATAGAGTTGAACAGTAGATTAGCATTACAACGAGTAGCGGTATAGACGTACGTAGCTGTAGGACTATACCCCCGCGTCTTCGCCCATTACGTGGCATGTTGCGGGTTACCAATTCAGAGCATCATCATCATCATCATCACCCCCTTCAAAGTTCATTGTTCGGATGACGAGCCTATGCACCTGGCTATGTATAAATAAGTCAGTAGTTTCGAATGCACAATACTTGCAAATCTACAGTGATTCCTTTAACCTGTTTCCAAGGAGATTATATCTTTGTGTAAGTACCCAAGTACAACTTGCAAGCTTGAATCTTGATGCAATCCCAGTTCAGCGTTTTTCCATTTTGACAGTAGGCTGCATTTGAATGTGGACTGCGGGTTATCGACATCGCATTTTGGGAACGAACTATGCTTACCTGGTTTCAGTTGCGCCGTGCGTACTCTTCGCATGCTGTTAAGCTTGTCCGCTCCTCTCGCCATCCCACATCTATTGTTTGGTCCGAGACTGTATTCATGCAGAGCAGGAACCACATCGAGGTCTCTGACTCCGTTGATCCGTAATTCTGGTATCGATATTTCTTTGGCGGACGGCCTACTATTTCATGTCTTACGTAGCCAATCATTGCGATCTTACCAGTTGTTTACGTCTACCCAGAGGCCTCTCTAATCATACATTCCTCTACTTTCTATCAAAAAACCCTTCGGCCTTGTGCAAAAGAATCTGCTTTAAATCAAAATAATGATAAATCAACTGGCAGGCAAAGAACGGCTTCTTCTTCGCCTCACCTTCTCTTCAATTTCAGCACTACAATCTTCAGACTCAAACGTCGGCAACTCCTCGTATGCACCTCGGGACTTTTTCTTCCAAGCTCGTCTACGCCAAACTGATGTCCCGAGACTGAGAAGAGCCACGGTTGCCAGTCTAATCACATACGAATCAGAACTTCTTCTCTCAAGTATTAACAGAAATAGACATACCCAACCAAAACACCTATACGCAGATGTTTCCTTGCCTCCTTCGTTGGATATGGACCCAGGGGCCATCCACTCAAGTCAGTGGTGGAATTATGTCCAGCAGCATTACCTCTCGATGGCCTGCCTAGCGCCCGACAGTGATCGTGCATCACCTGTGGTATGACCATACCACGTTCCTGTGCGACCAAGGGCGCTTCAATGAGCTGAATAGCTAGCCCTGCCTCGAGGTGCCATTCAATATGACAGTGCATAATCCACGCTCCTGGATTATCAGCGACAATGCGCAGAGTCACGGAACCGCCTGCAGGTACATCGATGGTATCACGGCGCATGGGGTTCAGTTGACCTCGGGCAATGGGTGGGTTTAAAACGGGATCAGAGGAGGTGTAATCTTCCGCGCGTCCAACCAGCATTGGAACGTGTCCGTGCATGTGGCTAGGGAAAGTCCGTCATCAGGTGATATTGGAAGCTTCCGACTTCAAATAGAACTCACAAAGGATGCATATTGTCGTCGCCATTCTTTATGGCCAGGTCTATGACCTCCATATGTTCCAGCACAAAACTAAGCGGACCGTAAGCACTCTCAGACGATGCGTTGGATCCTAGGCTAAGCTCGCTGAACAACGCCGGTACAAGAGGTGGATTGTATGTTATCTGGTTGAACATGCCGCGGTTTGTCCCGTCCGTCATAGCATCAAAGCCTACTTCAACTTCAATGGTCCTGGAAGCATCCGGGGCTGCAATTGGTTTCAAAGGGACCAGCGAGATATCGTCGATACTCGTGTACTTGTCGGTTGTTCCGAAATCGACTAGCGGTGACGAAGGAGAGTAGCTGATGGAGGCCGTGACGTCTGTGAGTGTATCAATATGCCTGGTTTTCAAATACGCATGAGACGACACGCACTGGGTTTCAATCTCTCTGGTATCTCGTCAAACATTACGGTGTCCATGTTGGCATGGACAGCCCAATTTGAACCGGTATCATTTCTAGCAGTGATCAGCACCGAATACCGCTGTCCGGCGCTGACACTAATAAGGTCGATGGGAGACTCCTCAATATCAGTGCCATCCACTTCTATCAATCGCATGTCATGGCCGTCTATCCAGAACATGAACATTGCAAACGCCGATGTATTGAGTATCCGGAGGCGATATGTCTTGCCGGGTGCAAACGGTAAGGCTGCATCTTTATTGAAGGCAACTGAACCAGACGTATCCCGAAGATAGGACGATTTCTGGGAAAAATAGATCAGCGCCGAATCTATGCAGCAAATTAGGTATTTTCAATGGAGGAGATGGGATTCACGTACCCGGTACAGGTTCGACACCATCAGGATTTCGAATGGTAAGGAACTTTTTCATAAGAACCGAGTGTTCCTTGTGATACCAGTCGCTCAGAATGACGGTGTACTCTTCATCGTAAATGTAGACATGTTGACGTGGTTGTATCACTGCTGGAGCGCGTAAACCATCGACATATTGGCCCTAAGATAACGGTTAAAGCATAGTCATGTATCTAAGGAAGTACGTACATTGGCATGGCCGTGTACCCAAAATGTGCCAGATTGTCCAGAAGCATTGATAGGCACTACGTAGTCGAAGTGTCCACCAGGCGGAATACCACTACAATGGCTAAATCAGTACAGAAATACAAAAAGCGGGGTATGCTGCGTCAGTGCCGCCCTGCTCAAGATAATCTCTGCGCAAAAATGGCGCAATGGACGCATATATGCCTCAATGCTGCATGCCCAACGCTCGAATTACATGAATACAACCAACGCACCATTCTGAAAGCCCATAAGCCCCATCCATCCACGGCGTCGAGTTGAAGAGCATCCCATGATGGTGAAGAGTCGTAGCCCGGTCCAAAGAGTTAGTCGCATGCAAAATGAGCGAATCAGTCGGCTCGACGTCTATCGGTGGTGGCCTGGAGATTTTCAGAGCGAGCTGTGAGAAATTGAGACGCATACATACGGCCAAGTCCCATTCACTCCAACGACACGACGAGGATAACGCCCATCGGGATTGACTCCATGGACGTAGGTAATATTCCACCATACCTCGTGGATACCAGCGAGCACCGGACTCGCCAGGAAAGCAATAATAAAACCAAGAAAAAAATGCATCCAATGTCTACATAAATCGTCAGGACGAAGAGGATGGTGGTGGTTAGAGAACAAGGTCTCGATCGTCGCTGTCATTCCTTCTGACCATCACCATCTCAACCTCGCACCTGCGTTATGTCGGGCTTGAACGTGCATGCAGGCGTTCTAGATCATGTTTGAGAGCAGAGAGATGGAGGACGCTGCGCAACGCGTGGTAGTCTGACGGACCCTTTCAAAGCACATGAACTGGATCATTTGGACTCGGGACGCGCATATATGCTGCTACATTTTTCGTCTGCGCAACATTAGCAGTACTAGGTACGTCCTCGATGCTCTCGCCGGCGGTGGAGACTGACGATGGAGGAAGCTGCCACGTGTGGTGAACTCACCCACCCTTTCAGAGTACACCAGATCATGGAACGCGCATATATGCTGCTGCATTGTTCGTCTGTGCGTATTTTAGCTGCACTACGTACGTCCTTGATGCTCTCGCTGGCGGTGAACACTGACCAAAACAGACTAGCAACATTCGTCCTGTACAGGTAACCCCAGCCAAGAATTGCATCCGACCCGACGTAAACGCTTTCAACATCTCTCTCCCTCTCTCTCTCTCTGTGTGTGTGTGTGTGTCGCAATGAGGATGGGATGCCAGTCATCTCGAGATATACTTGTTTACTCGTGAGGGAGGCAGAGGCGAGGCAGGCAGGTCGGCGTTGCTTGCCGGGTCGAGAATTTCATCGAGTTTTCTTGGCACTTGTCACCCCCTTTTGCGCTATTTTTGTCTATAAAAGCATTCTCACCGGGAGTAATTCCTCTTGCTCACAACCACCATGACCAAAAACCTCTTTTCCGTACCCATCTTCTTCATCGTCTTCCGGGAGACCCTCGAGGCCGCCATCATCATCTCCGTGCTTTTGGGCCTCGCCGAACAGATCATTCACGACGATCGGCGACCTATCGTAGCGGCAGAGGCGAATTCTGAGGAGAATAGCTCTGGAAATGATTCGGATAACGTCGTTAAGCGTCGTAGACTCATCCGGAAGCTGCGAATCCAGGTATGTTGCTGATATTCTGTCTCAGAGATCAGTGACGTACGATCAATTTAGATCTTCCTTGGTGCTGGAATTGGACTTTTCATTGCATTTGCAATCGGCGCTGCGTCCGTTTTTTTCCCTTGCATAAACGTGCTTGATTAATGACCTGTCTGTCCAGATTCATTGCTGTGTGGTTCACTAGAGCGTCAGACCTATGGCAAAAAGCTGAAAAGCTATGGGAAGGTGCGTATTTATGCTCTTACTATTCGCTCTCGGGAACTGATATCAATCACCAGGTATCTTTCAGCTCATCGCGTCCTTGATGATATTCGTTATGGGGATAACCATGCTCAAAATGGATCGAGGTAAAACGAATGTTAATTAGCCTGTCACGTTCCTCATATCTCCCACTCAGCGAAAGCCAAGTGGCGTATCAAGCTCCAAAAAGCATTTGACGGTTCCAGTATGTCCATTCGACATTGTATGAAACACCTTCTGACCCATCTATCGTAGACGAGCGAGGAAGCGGTGCGACAGGGAAATGGGCCTTTTTCGTTTTGCCTCTGATCACGGTATTACGTGAAGGTCCGTTTTAATTGAGGTGCCAAATGACTGGGCTCACAGTAGATCAGGTATGGAAGCTGTGGTCTTCGTCGGAGGTGTCTCCCTCGGCCAAGCGGCAACATCCATCCCCATCGCTGCTATTGTTGGTCTTGTCTGTGGTCTCATCTGCGGATTCCTCATCTATCAATTCGCAAGTCGGACGAGTATGTACCATTTTTGTCTCCACACTCTTTTGTTAACCCAGAGCTCTCTTCCAGCCCTGACTATCTTCCTCATCGTGATGACCAACTTCATCTTGCTGATCGGTGCTGGCCTTTTCTCCCGCGCGGTCGGCTCGTTTGAAGATAACGCGTTCAATCACCTCCTTGGGACGTCCGTGGATGATGCCGGAGGTAGCGGACCCGGCTCGTATCGGGTGCAAGGGAATGTATGGCACCTCGACTGCTGTAACCCGAATGACTACGAGAAGGGCCAAGGCTGGCTGGTCTTCAATGCTATCTTTGGATGGTCCAACAATGGTTCTTGTACGTGTCTAGCTTCTTTACCTGTAGATCCCCACCTGATCTTTGCGCAGTGGGGACGGTGCTCTCGTATGTGTTTTATTGGATTGCGGTAATAGTCTCATTGGTATATCTGAAATGGAAAGAGGTACGACTTTTTGAGTATTGTCGTGAAAATGGCTTATTCTTTGTCGGAACAGGGACGGGTCAAGGTTTTGGGCGTCGAGTCTGCTGCCGGTTTGCGTCGACGTATCAGACGAGAGGCGAAGCAAGAAGACTCGGTAACGAATGAACAGAAGGATGAGGCTGTTGTAGAGACGTACGCTCTACCGAAGTAAAGGCGCTGTGATGAAAGTGGTCTAATGAATGAATGAATTGAATCCGTTTGTGTAACAGAGAAATGAGGCAAGTGTATTCGCTTTTCTAGTCTGACCATAAATGAGACAAGAGACGTGGTACATGCATGGGCTAGTCTTTCGAAAGGATACCCAGGCTAAAGATCGATCGAGTCTGCGACGATAAGGTTCCTGCGCTGGATGCATCGATGAAGACCATCAGTACAATGATAGATACAGGGTGATGAGACGCACCCGCAATGGACGATATAGAGCCAGTGATTTCGCAACGTCGTCAAGGTCATCAGCATGCGAATATGTTGATGAGCCATTACTGGAGGATGGGGAAGGAAGTGGCCCAGGCTTATTTTTGTCTGTAACCGATGACCCGTTGCTAGAAGACGGGGAAAGAAGTGGAGGCTCATTTTCGTCGACTGATGCCTCGGTGGAGAATACGGATGCAATAGCAGAAGTAGCTTGAAATACCCCCTTACTGACCAAGTTGAACAAACCAAGACTGTCGGCTAATGAAAGAAAGGTCAATGGAAGAAGGGTGGCCGTGATGTCTCTCACAGTAAGAGGAGGGTAAACGAGCAGCAAAAAATAGCCTTGTCAGCTGATACATCTCCTGACGCAAACCTCTCCAGATATCTGTAGAGGTGTAAGGATAGATAATTCACCAGTTGCTGAAACCACTTACGGACCCGCTCATTTGCAACGTAATACATATACGCCCAGACGAATAATTCCAATTCAGTATCCCGAGACTCGTCGCGCAATTCGACGTCACCTCGAAGCAGGGTAGGATACACTATATCGTACCACTCAGGAGACAAGTCCATTCTCCGCCTGCTTGTAGGTGGAGGAGCTGGAGCACGGTCGCCTTTGACAACTTGAACGATATGATTTTCGCATTCGAGCTGGAAATAAAACGAAGAGTCGACCTTCGCCACGGCAAGCCGATGAATGCCGGGCCACGCAGAGCGAGGTAATTTATTAGGATCGGGAACCTCGGCATCGAGACTAGGTAAGATATCGTTGTAGAGAGTGGAGAGTGAAGTAGATAAAGCGGGAGAGTGCACAGTGTATACTTCTGTAGCATCGGAGGGTATTGATCCATGATTGGAAAAGAATGGCCCGTAGTTGAAGGAATACTTGAATGGCAAGTAGTTGGAGTGCTTATACTTTCGGGATATTGGTCGAGGCTTGAGGTAAATAGTAATGTCCGCCATTGAGATGAGAGGTGGGACCAGAGACGAATAGGGGTGAATTCCTATTCCGAAAAAAAGATAGACAGAAACACTCCACCACAGCCCCAGAAATGAACGATACAAAACTAAAGCGATACGCGTGTCGCCAAATAATGCCCGAATTGTCAAGACAAAGGTCTCGCTCGCCGGAAGAGTATTGATAATTCGTGAGATATCGAGGTGTTGAGTCTAGCGTTACGACCACCGCAACTATTTCCCTGATACATGAGACATTAGCATTTTTGTGTGCCCGATTGGCTGACCCACTCCTTACTTTGCGTGACAATTTTGGCAGCACGGCCAAACGCATTATTTTAACAATACTCTTGTTACAGGTCTCGTCGACATCAGCTGAAGGAACGAGAGCGAGGACCCTACCTTTGTAAAACCTAGTTTTCAAAGTGTAAATCTACCGGGGGATGATGGAAAAATAAACACGAAATACGAAAAAGTTTCAACTCAACTGAGAGCTCCTGGAACTTGATATCGAACCTGAGAATGCCGTTGTTAGCGCAGAGCGCTTTGCCGAGGGTCTTGAGATGATTGTCAATGTAGGTTAGGACTTCATTTTCATTTTTCTTAGATTTCTTTCATACCACGAGTCGACGATAATTACCTTGCTTGCAAGGTCTCTGCTGTGCATAACGATGTGTTGACTAAGAGGTGGCAATCATGTGATGCCAATATTTCCTTTTCCTTCTGAGCGGATTCCTAGCCACGCTATATCCTTCTCGACGGGAAAGACATCGCACAGGAACTCGACATGGAACAAATCAATCAGATATTCGAACGTCACAATGTAAGGCACAGGCACTTTCTCTCAGCTTACCTCAACTGTAACTTGACATCGCCCACAGTTTGCAATCAATCTCGTCATAGCAACCCAGCGGCCATACCTGTACTACTACATATCTAAATGCCATCCGGACCTCTAGAACACTGTACGGAACGAGATTCAAGGAAGCACTCAACGACCTTTTGAAAGCGAGGTCGTGCTGTTGTATAATTAACCAAGAACAAGAGAAAGGCAGGGGGGGTCGAGAAAGGCGAGATTAAGAAGTCCCGCACTTAGGTTCTCAAGCTCGAGGCTTAATGTACCTTAATGCAGTTGCCACCTTAATAATGGAAGGCTTGGATCTGGATTATATGTTTCAAAGAAACACTGAAAAATGGGAATAGACGACAACCGCAAAGGCAAGGTATTGATGTTGTCAACCGACGACCGCTAGTATTCAGGTTGAGTCAAGGTTGAGTAGCAGCGAGCAAGAATCACGTGCGTAAATGATCAGTTTTGGTCCTTAGGTAAGTTCGTTGCCACACAGAGCACAACAACGCGATCTTGTCACCAACTTTCCTTATTGGGACCTGGTGCCGGTAACATCATCATCATGACCCCTTCACTTTAATACAGTGAGTGAGTATGTATCATCATCAGGCAGAGAAAAAGCTGTCTTACTGATTTATTGCTCTTATACATGAAACCCATTTCGGCAAAGTGACTCAGGCTCTTATGAGTTGTCTTTCATTATCTCACAGCATTATAGGAAAGTATCGGTATGTAGAACTGGACAAAGGTTATTCTAAAAGCTAGTCACTGAAAGAAATGGTGACACCGGTGAGTAGGGAATATCTTACTCTTCTTACTGTTGGTGACGGTCGTAGAATCAGTGTCGCATTGGCCCTGTCACCCTCAACGGCCTTCCCAACGAACTGATATTGTTCACTCTCCAAAGTCCCGGTCCTTACGGCCTCATCGGTGTCTCCTGTCTGTGTCGACGAATCAACCCTACAGCCCTCACATACTTCCTCTGAATCTCCCAGACGGATTTCATGATTCCCTTGCCCGTATTCATGCCAACGTCCTTCGATTCTGTCTCTCCGGCACCTTGTCATTCGACAGCATCTCTGCCGTCTGCTTCTCGCTCCCGATGAAGCACCCTATAGACTTTCTCTCTCGTAACCTGGCGCTGAAGAGTGCATTAGAGAGGTAGAACAGGCGGAAAAACTCCTCGAGACGGGGAGGGAATTGCAGCATGTGATTCTGTAATTTTCGAGATGGAGTGCATCAATACATGCTAGCGGTGTGGCGATCTCTATTAACCTCTACACCGTGTGTAGTGTCATAAGTTTGCGGTGTATGATTCCCCTACCGACGACGGTGCCAGGTTTGACAGAACGATCCTCAATACGGTGCAAGAGATTACCATCTCCCGCGCTTCCTTCATCCTATCCAGATTTTTCCGTGAATAGACCTAAGACCATCAGAACAAGGAATTCATCACCGATCTCGGTCGCACACTGACATCCACGCCTTGCTACCTTCACCCTACCGTTTCTGATAAAGTTCACTGTGCGGTGTCCTGACCCGCTGACCGACGTCACTGCCTTTCTATCGCGACATCTTACTCTCCAGATATTCATACTCTGAATCTCACTCGATGAGGCAGAACTCGCTCCAGGATCCCTCTTCAAGGTCGATGACCTCGTCGACGGCGGAATTCCTGTTCTGGCTGCTTTCTTCTCATGCAGCGCTTCGGAGCACGTCCTGCTACAATGCAAACATCCTCGTTCCTTTTAGACCCCCCACCAGCAGATGCTATGCAGGCCCTCTTCCAAAGCGCTGCCCTCCACACCTCCACCACCACTCTAAGCATACCGCTTACGGATTTGAAGGCATGGCTGAACCTGAACCCGAGATTCGAGCACCTTTTCACAAGGATCACTCACCTGCATCTTGGTTTGTCCTCTGGACCAATTATCGAGTCGGTTGTACTTTCCAAAGGTGATTCTGTGACGGGGAGAGTGTGATGAGTTCACAACGCTGGTAAAGCAGACACGCCCGAGGATTGGGAGAAACGTTGCGAATCTAAGGGACTTAGTAGTGTGACGGTCGGCCTTGATTATTTTTCCGTATAATTCATTATTCTCATGAGCTCATAGTATTTAATCGTGATGAGATGTTCTGAGCGTGAATCGACCGTTCCATTGCATTCATAATTACGGTCGCGATGCCGCTGCATAACCACGGACTTCTTTAAACCTTCACAAAGATGAAGTAAAATCCAAGGCAGTAAGACACTATCTAGGTCGCTTGGAGCACCCTTAAATGATAGCTACCCAGAAACCGGATCATAGGCGCAAGGATGGTACGAATGACGCGTGTACATCAAAGGTGTATCGTCAAGACATAACTCCAGCAACCTGTTAACTCTTTGGGACTTTCTCTGGTCCATCAGAAGGGAAAGATCGTCGATGCTTCTTGCAACCAGCAGGGAATCCATCCAGGCCCTGGTCAAAACGATCTCGAAGCAGGAGAAGGATATTGATATTATGGTCAACGACGTGGGCACCGCTACTCAGACGGCCGATGCAAAGAAAGGAGAGATGGCTCAGAAGGATCTAGCGAAGGAGATGTGGCAGCTCATGCTGGACGCATGGCTGGATACGTACATCAAGGGGTATGATACTACTTTGAGGTTGGATTATTTGACCCGGGATTTACGGGCGCTACTTCACTTCAGCCGCGTTCTTGACCCTCCTCAGCACCGCCTTTGGCCCAGAGCATACTAGCACTCTCATCAACGGATATTCCATCTTGGCGATCACTACCAACTTCCAACACCAGATCCAAAGCAACGTATTCAAGGTAGCTTTCATCTAGCTTACGACTCATTCACGCAGGAGTTTAAAGGGCTAGGCTTGGCATGATGATGGATAGTATCACGCCGAGGGTAGTCCCATCTGAGATGACGAGTTCGTCCTGCACTACGACATCGATCACATTGCTGAATCCTAATTATTGTTTTCTCTGCATTTTGACAGGATGGTGCGAAGATAAGGTACAAGCGGTGTTGGTGCTTAGGTCCAATCAGTGCACATACAGTCAGGTAAGAATCTTCGAACTTATATAATCTTCATCTTCTGAGATTGCTTGATAGTCCATTTGATTGTTCACGGATAAGTCAGCGTATTTTACGAAAATTTAATTGTATTGGCTTTAGTGCTCTTGGGGTGAACCAGCTACTGAGGCAAGAGAGCGACTGGGCCTGGAAAGATCGAAACATAGCAACTACCTAGAGCAAATGTAATGATGACGTGCCTCCACTGGGGATGTCAAATATATCAAAAAGAGATTGATGTAGTATGGCTCACATGCGTTCGATACCCGATTTTCTAGACATCATAGTCTCGATGTTGAAGTAGATACGAGACTATCAAATTAATCAGAAGTTAGAACTGGTGAGCGCTCCTTTATTACCGGTTGTGCAGAAGTCTACTACGTCCTTTTGTGAGGGAGTTTGAGAAAAATCGGACATTGACACCCCCGTTTCTAGGTAAACTGTCATATTAGTTACTGAATAATTAGAAACAGGTGAACAATCCTAAACCGGGAGCATGGTGAAACTTGGCTGTGGGAGGAGGCAGGCGCTGACGGTCCGGTCCACATGGGGTGAGCACCGCCACCGTTTGCTTGGCACTCTGACTTTACTCCCACTGGCTTCGACTCTGAGGTGCAAGATATCATGAAATTTGTATCTACATGATCCTTGCTGTAACATGCTTGCCTTGAAACGATGTGATGGAGGCATTAGCAAAATCTGGCAGATATTGATGTGTCTATCAAGTCCGAACGATATTTGTTGGGCCACCTCAATGCGTGTTCCTGGGTCTAATTTCTCGCAGATACCTCCTGGTTCTCCTTGGAAACCAATGCCCCGCCGTAGCGTCTCATCGATGTGCTGCTTATGCTCATATCAACTTGATGGAATGACATCTGACGATCTGATTTTCGGTCACAGTAGGTATGTGGAAGTATACTTAAGCCTTGCTATGGTGGACATCTTCGTCTCAGCATCCTTCGGTTTTCTTTGCTTTCCTACTTTTCTTTCCCTTGCCACTCTTTAAAACCTCGCCTTCTCAATGGCGTCGTATTCGTTCTTTATCCTCACATCCTTAATTCTCGTCACAGTAGACGCTACCAACAACTGGGACAAACCTTGCTTTTATGGAGAATGTGAATATTCTCTCCCATCACATGTGCCCGCGTCAGGGTCATTGAAAATTGTGCGTAATAGCTTAATTATTTACCGCGACGGTTCATCTTAATCGTCAGCGCAGTGGGGCTCAGCCGACGTACTATCAGACATTACCCCGGCAGCCGGATGGGAAATCCTTGACTGCTCTCCAGATGAGCTCGAACAGGAAATCCGTCTCGTGTGCTCGAATAATAGCACTGACTCCGCCGATTGCGATCATCTTTACCAGAACGATGGTGCCGAAGGCAAGATCGTTCGTTTACCGGAGAGTGTAAATATTCCATGATTTTCATTCGGTGATAAACTGATGATCTCCCCTAATCAGTGTGGGCAAAATGCCTTTGCTCGGGTGGCTAGAGCATGGGATCCGGAAGACCAGTCCCTCTCTTCTGATGTGGTTGCACGTGTGATTCGTCGCGATGGAACTACTCCTCCCGTAAAGGCCCTGGCATTGGACACAAATTTTGCTGCTATCAATTCGTCTAAGTGAGTAGCTCTAAGTTTGATATACAACACCCATCACAACTGAATTCGATTTATCTAGAACTGGGACCGTCAATTTCGCTATTGTAGGCGCCAATATTCCCGGTGCCGATATCGATCTTTCATCTCTTTCCGCCGGGACTTCAAGGCGGAGCCATTTATCGACCCGTAATGCGTCTGACATTGTTGGGAACGCACTTTTTTGTATGTTGTTTCCCTTACTGTCAGATTCATCTTACTGATATTGGTACGTAGCTCTCGGGGGTCTTTTGAAGAACCACATTAGCGTTGGCAAGTCTGTTGATATTCCCGTCGACATAGACCAAACATTCAACCTCCTCAATGAGAGCATTTCATGCCCATCTATAGATGCCAGCCTGAATATCAACATCGCAGCGAAAGCACATGCACTCGCTACTCTAGGAGTGTCTGCCAGCGGCACCATCTTGCCTCCCAAGATTGACGATTTTGGTATCACCGCTAGTGTGTTCTGGTTTTACTATGATGCATCTTCATCACGTTTAACCCTTATCTGTAGGTCTTGATGCCACTCTTGATGGTGCCATTGATATCCTTGCCGACGTTACCGTGCGTTCTTGCTTGGACAATTTGTCTTATTTTGTCCTTAGTTCGTTCTGCACAGGGTACACTAGACTCCGGGAGAATTGTTCTTCTCCAACCTATTCTTATAGCAGGTATCGATTTCCCTGGGTAAACATTCTACTTCCAATTGTGTCTTTTATTCTAAGGCTCATTTCACTTCAGTATCTTTTCTCTCGGACCCTCTTTCGAGATCGACGCCCAGGCGAAAGCACAGCTAGATGTTAACCTCGACCTCAACGTCGGTGTCGTATATACCATCTCTCAAGCTCAATTCGTTTATCCGCCTAACGATGATAATGCATCGAACAGCGGATCATTTAACACTGGGGACACACGTATGATTTCCTACTCTTTCAGTCCTACTTGTCTTTTTGTTTACCTCTTTACTTAGCATTAGAACTTTCGGTTGGCGCCGCCGTCAATGCCACGGGCACGATTGAAGCGCATCTAATTCCGCGCCTCAACTTGGGTTTATCAGCATTCGCTGGTATTGCCGAAGCCAATGTCTTCCTTGAGCTTGATGCCAGTGCTACGCTGGATCTCGAGCTGGATGCGACGGCGGAAGCAAATGTCACCATCGGCGACGGGTCGACGAGTGCAGTTACTTCCTCGGGGACGTTGACGGCATCAGAACTTGCTTCTGCAACTAGTGACGCTGCTGGGACCGTATCCGTGTTCACAGCTGAGAGCAGCTCTGCAACAGAATCTGATAGCCAGCTCTCTTCTGTTAACATAACTTCTTTAGATTCACCGACAGCATCCTCCTCCTTGGCCGTGCCTACTCCTTCTGCCGATAACGCAACTGTTACCTCCATCCCATCCCTCTCCGCTGAGGCTACTTCTGCTACCACATTCAATCGCAAGAGGAGAAGCCGGCCAACTTCCGTTGCGGAAGCCATATATGCCGCAAGATCCGCTGAGGAATCCAGTTCCCCCACTCCTACTTCCGTCGCTGACTTGAGTGTGTCGACAAATACCAGCACCAGTCTTGGCGGATGTTTCTCTATTCATTCCGGGCTTGATGTCAATATTGGGGCCGAAGGGAACTTTTTCAGTATCATCAAGGAAGGCGTGTCCTTAACGCTGTTCGACAAAGACTGGGAACTCTACGCAGTGGGTAGATTGCTCGCATCTCCATCACAGATTCTAACAATCGGACTTGTGTACAGACATGCTTCGGCTCTCGAGCTGGTGAGACTGCGTCCTTAAGGCGCTCGTTGGGGCGGCGGCGGGAGAGTCGAGTAGCGAGTCGATCCGTGCTTGATCTCCTTTGCCCGGCCAGTGATCTTTCACAGGCAACGTCAGTTGCGGACGAAGACATAAGTGCCTCCAGGTGAGCTTCAGTAACTTGTCTTTTTGTTCGAGTGCTTATGACAATGATTAGCATTGAGGCACTGCTTTCCTGAAGGATTATCTACCTGTTATATAATTCAGTAATATATTTACATTCGTATGGTCGTGCAGTCGAGCAGCATCCATTCAATCAAGTAGCGAAGCTTTAAACAGGTATCGGAATGCTAGGATTCGCCTCTATTCACTCTTGTTCCCATGGCAAGCATTCGTATTGCTTCAAGCTTCAGCCAATCTTTCCCGTGTACGGCCGCCACTCAAGCCATTCGCCCTTCGACTGGCGTTCGTATTGCGAGAACAGACCATTCTTTGCTGACCATGAAATGATATCCTGTGACACCACAGGAGTGCACTGGGGCCGCAAATTCGCCTTCGTGATTATATGAACACGCGGGTTCCGATTTCTAGTTCCTATACCTTCAACCCAACAGCATCAGCTCAGTGACCGTATCCAGCAGGTGCACCCCTGATCGTTCCCTCGGTTTCTTGCCCAACATCGTGGCGCTGAAAATTATATCAGATGGTGGTGTTGCTGCAAATCTTCCTACTCCATCTACCTGCCTCTTCCTGAGTCTTCTTAAACTCGAATTTATGGGAACAATAGAGGATGCTTGCACCGTCAGCATCGTGTTCAGGAGTTCCAAATCCAGACGGCTTCTCTGAGTAACCCGCAGGATATGAGGCTCCTCCGAGCAACTGTTCACATCTTCTGCCCAGTGTTGAAGTCCCTTCAGGTTACCATCCGTGACTGCCATCCTACCAAGAAATTTTAATTAAACATGGCCGACTTTGTCGCATGTTCATATTCGTTAACGTCAGAGGCAAATATTTTCAAGGTGGCGTCTCCATACATTGACAAGCGATGGGAGGAAAATGAAGATGGAAATTGGCTTTCATTGGTATTGGATAAAAACACGATAGAAATTTGCAAAAAGTGAAGCTATGAACCCAGCCACGCTGACGCGAACAACATCACGTACAACAACCTTAACACCAATTAGTGCATTGCACGGACGGGTGAAAATTGGATAACATACACAAATGAGTGCCACATGACGCTATGAAAGACAGAATCGTACGATGCGAAGCGTGTCACCATACAGCACAGGTAGATCTTCGTAATAAAATCCAAAATCGAGAGACAGACTCTAGCGCGGAAGGAAGGTAGATCGAATGAGGATGCAATATACACCACAGCCACACAAGGACATAACAGGCTCAGCATGCAGTTCCACAGAGGAAATAGAATAGATTTCGTAGGGATGGGAGCTGCAGCAGAAGGTGCGACTGATTTTGGAGCCGCAGGGGACGGTGTAGTTGACGTCGAAGGTGTCGTAGCTGATGTGAGAGGTAAAGATGGCGGAGTACCTGCCGGCGATGTAGATGGTATATTGGGCGATGAAGAATTAGCATGAGTTGATGGATTGGGTCCTGGCATGGATTCAGACTGCATCGTATATGAGGCGGGGATGATTGATTCGGCATCCACAGTAGCAGCGTCAACGACGGTAGTATCGAGAGACAACGGGTCAGGTTCCAGACTGGACTTGTCGGTCGAGCTTGATTGTACCAGCTGTTCAGAGGAATATGTTGAAGGCGGTTCACTGGAATGAATGAGCATCTGTATATTGAGTGAATATCCAGTAAACGCGTAGTGATAAAAAGTACGGACATCATCTTCGTTGTCCATCAAGTTTGCTTTGAGTTCCTGTCAGGATACACAGATGAGAGTTAGTTACTAGATCTCGACAGAATAACGGTTAATACCCTGTTGATTCACGGAAATGATATCGAATCGTAAACGTTGAACGAGGAAGAAGGAAGAAAGACGCAGGTGAAGACCCCGGCGCTTTATATATAGTTCGAGTTCAATCTCCGCCCCAATTTGGTGGTGCCGGCTGACCGCCGCCGTGATGTTTGATTTTTCACCAGAAGGGAAGGATCACCGACGTGCCTTAGGACCACACTTGCAAGGCTCTTCAAAATTTACAACTCAACTCTTTGGTTATCCTGTGCGCACTCTTCACCAGCAGTCGCTTAGTCCTTTAGTCTGCGCATGTATGACGTCTCCATGTTTTCGTGGGACTCGGAGAGATCCTTCTATCGTCTCTCCTTGCATATAGTGATTGGCCTGAACCAGTATTATTTGCTACCTCGATGCTAGTATAGGTAACAGCTTGAGTGGATTATAATTATAGAGTACTCGGGCAAGAAGATGTCGACTTCAGTTTCAGAAAGCCTGTTGAATTTCTCTGTAAGTTCTCTATGTCGGAACTTTTGCAGGAGCCTTATTTCATAACTTGATGCAATTTAATGGCCTTAATACGGTAATGCGGCCGGCGACCATTTATTACATCACGAGCAAAGAGTCAGAGAACTTAATTTACCTCTTGAGTAGGGTTGCGCACGAAACCCTAGGTTTTGATATACCAGGGTTTATTCCCGGTAAGTTCCCGGTAAGTTACCAGTAAGTTACACCCCCATCGGTGGAGGGTATTTTGTCGAGGTAACTTACCAGTCACATGGTAATATTACAGCAAAATTTTTCAATTTTCCCTACCAAGGAATAGTAACCCCACCATGGCTGCCGCCAACTCCGGATCATCAGCTAGTCAATTCCTTAGAGAAGCACGCTGCTATACCCGAAGACTATTCATCGTTGTTACCATCGGATACTGCTACACTTAAAGACATCATTGACTTCGTCATTCCGCCTGTCTCTGAATGCCGCGTCCTCACCCCAGATGTTCCCTCATCCTTATCCAACTTTCCAGCCTATCTTGATCCCTCTTCTGCCTGCACTATTTTATTAAAATTACCCACCGCTGGCGGCAGTGCAGAAGTCAAAAAAAAGCTAGCGCGAAATGGTCATGTGAGAGATCATGTGACCGGTAAGTAACGGTAACTTACCGTAGCAAAACCAACCCCCCCAGGGAGGGGTCAGTAACTAACGGTTACTTACCCCCCCTGGAGGTTTCGTGTACAACCCTACTCTTGAGGTGGATAATAATGTCATACGGTTTAGATTTCAAAATAGGATTCAACCCGCTTTTGCCGGGCCGATTCAGTCACTTGCTTACTTACTAATTACCAGTAGTTCATTAGTACTAACACTGAGAGTCGAACTAGCGACTTCATGAGAAACACTTAACATTACAAATGAACATACCGATACACTATACATCTTTGATTATATATACATTTTGGGTTAATATAGTACATAGGGAACACAGCTGGCTGGTGACTATTTTGGGGTGGTCAAAATGCGTGCAAAATGCATGATAATGGTATAAAGTTTTGGCACCGGATTTTGCCGCATGAAAATCAATGATTTTAACTAAGCAATATACAACTAAATTATATAATCTTGCCGGTGTTTAATCCCTGGGGAATATAATCATTTTACAGTAGCCAGAATGAAAGCAATGTTATAAATTCACTCGCACTGCGAAAACTTATTGTTTTGCCATCTGGCAAAATGCAGGATGTGATCCACATTTTGGCTGATCCGGAATGCCTTATATAGACTTCTGACAAAATTCAGCCTTTTGCTGCCCACCAGTCTATATAAGGCATTCCGGATCAGCCAAAATGCGGATCACATCCTGCATTTTGCCAGACGGCAAAACAATAAGCTTTCGCAGTGCGAGTGAATTTATAACATTGCTTTCATTCTGGCTACTGTAAAATGATTATATTCCCCGGGGATTAAACACCGGCAAGATTATATAATTTAGTTGTATATTGCTTAGTTAAAATCATTGATTTTCATGCGGCAAAATCCGGTGCCAAAACTTTATACCATTATCATGCATTTTGCACGCATTTTGACCACCCCAAAATAGTCACCAGCCAGCTGTGGAAGGCACCTACTAGCCCTAATTCTGAAATCGTTGCCAACAAAATTTTGGCTTCTTATAACTTTAAATTCATCGCCATGAACCATTTTGTGCATGAAAAACCGAAGGGACCTCAGATGAGCTGCACAAACACAGCCGGCAAGAAAATAATGGAATCACGCTATAACCCAGATAGGGTATTACATAATAGTCCGAAATAAATGTTTTCTGCCGGGAATCATTATCTTATCGTTCCGAAATAATCTAAAGCGGGGATTAAATTCGATATTATGATGTATCGTAATGTCACCTGCCTTAAAAGGCTCTGTCAAAGTTGGGACATAGCGCTGTGAATAGCAACCTGAAGTATATTACCAAACAGAATATCCTGAGAAACGCACGCATTCGGTGGGCAAAGCTGATCTTCTTTGTATGAACGTCATCACCAGCAGACGGTGAGGTCCCGTTATGTGGCAAAACGCTCTCAGAACGCCGGATAGATTTTCTCTTCCTGATAATCCGTGTTGAAGAAGAGGCCTCTGCTCCTGAAATCGGAACGTCCAGTTGTAGTACTGATCTCCTTGGAGAAGGGCGCCTCCTTCTGTTGGGCCATCGCATCTCCTCCGTCGGATAATGCCGGTTATCCGTACTAAAGAAATATGCTTCTTCAGGGCATGATGCTGGGGGACGAGCATTGGCAACATCGAAGCCTGCTTGTATTTTACTCTTGTCAACATCCGTCTCCAAGACCTCGAGGTCAGGACAGGCGTCTACAATCAGGAAGACAGCACAAGGATTCGCCCCTTTCATCTCAAGCGTCCGCACTCCAGTGAAAGGACGACAGCGACAGGGTTTCCTAGTTTTGTCTGGATGGTAGAAATACTGCTCAGAGGCGTATGCGTATCGGTCACGAGGTGAATAGTCAATATCCGTTGTATCGTACGTGAATATCAGCCGCAAGTGGGCGTCCTTGCGGGTGTTAGTGAAAAGGCCCTGGATCTGGATATATAGCCAGGAAGGATATCCTTGAGCGTAGTTTTGGAATAGCATGGTAATCATGGGACATCGCGGGAGGTTTCTGACGATGAAGTTGGCTCGTGTCACTGCCCCCAAGGTGGGCCCGATGGTAATTGAACGACAATGGCGGACTAAGTAATCGTGGAGAGAAAATTGTGTAGCATTGATGGTTAAGATACGGAGTGGTTGCTGAAGGCGGCTGTAGGGAATGGTGAGGTAGTAGGAGTAGGTGACACAAAGTAGATATCCGTTAATAATTCTCGCAAAAGGCAAACAACCAGTACGAGGATATGCATAGGGACGCTTTCATGAACACAAGCCGGTCTTTATCGGTAAGGGGAAGTTTCCACGTCTTGTGTATGATGAGTTCGATTATTTCTGCAGGTAATATGATAGACATGGAAGAGGGGCCAAGTCAGTGGCGGTGCAACACGAGTTTCTTTTCCGAAACCAACACCAACACACCAACTCTTTCGTCGGCAATGTATTGTGGTATTACATACATATATGAATGGAAATTTGCCAAAAGCGAACCCATGTAGGCAGCCATATCTTCCAGAGGAATATCAATAGAATATGTAACAACCTTGACACCCGTCAGTCCACCATACAGAGGAGCTAGTGCTAAGTTGAATAACATATACAAGTACGTGCCACATGATGCTGTGGAAAACTGAATCGTAGGATGTAACACGTGTCAACATGCAGGACAGGTAGAGCTTCATGATAGTGTCCAAGACTCCGATACAGGCTCTAATTGGGGCGGGAGGTGGCTCGACCAAGTAAAAATAAGCCAAAGAAGTCATACAAAAACACGACAAGCTCAGCATACAATTCCAGAGAGGAAACAGAATATATTTCGTAGGTACAGTGACCACAGCGGGAGGTGGCGCTGGTGTAGCTGGTGTTGAAGGTGCGGAGGATGGTGTAGTCGATGTCAAAGGTGTGGCAGCTGATGTAGGAGGTACGTTCGGCGGGGTAGCTACCAGCGGTGGAGAATTAGTGCCAGAGGTGAGAGCTGGTGGGTCGGAACCTGGCTCGGGTTGCGTCGTGGGCGTGCTCGATTCGGTATCCACGGTGGCGGCGTCAGCAGGAACGGTAGTAGCGAGAGACGAGTTGGATCCCAGAATGGACTGGTCGGTCGAGCTTGATTGCACTAGATTTCCGGTAGCATAGGTTGGCAGGAGTCCATTATCTGGCTGTATGTCGGATAAGTGACCATATTGAACACGAAGAGGTAGAAATCACGGACGCTGTTTTCGTCGTCCATAAAGTTGGGCTCGAGCTCCTGTTAGGATCCAAGTCAGTTCTGTGACGCATAAGATAATGGCGATACCACCTGTTGGATAGAAGACATGATATTAGCTTGCGAACGAGAAGAGGAACGAAGAGACAAAAGCAAAAGAGGGCAGACTGTATATACATTTGTGATTCAGTCTCCGCTAGAAATATCGGCCCGAGCCGCTTCGCCAATCATCAGCAAAAACGCAGAACGATTATAAGAATTGGCGTCCATATGCATATGATAATCTCGGAAACCATCCACAAGAAGGCAAAAATAATTGATACTCCCTTATTTGCCGTCGGCGGGACGACTCTGGTTGATTTTGGACAATTGTGGTGTGACACAGCCACATAGATCCACCCGTTCTGACACAACTCCCCCACAACGATGGCATTCTGGTCCTAGGTGCTAGTGGCGGGAGCCATATTAGACCCGTGCCTTTCTCTACTGAGCACCATCGTAAACTCGCCTAAACTGACTATGGGATCTCCCGGCCTTCTGGAATGCTGTCCGGAAGACTTTACGCTCTCGGTAATGCTGGATTTGTCGGTTATGGGTCGCAGCAGAACAGGTAGTCGACGTGGTGATGTACGCTGCAATACCTGACATTGGATTTGGTGCGTACTGGATATATGTGCTATGTTTACCTCTGACTTAACCCCACATGGGTCTGCGTAGTGGTATCCTCCTTGCCAAGATCGTGACTGCTTCCTGTCACCTCCATGATCTCCTTGCCTGGCGGGTCCCCGATATTCTCCTCGCCAAAGTTCGTAACGTACTTCGCCTTGCCCATAATTGTCTTCATGAATCCACACTCCGAGGTCAGGCCTAGTCAGGGCTACCTCGGAGGTGACTCCGTTCCAGGATGTACAGGTCCTGTTGTCTGTTCGACGCTGGTTCGGTACTGACCAAACTCCGACACTTTTGGCGACCGTCCCTTCTAAAATCTGAAAAACGGCGCTGCCTTGGACCATCATCAGCATCCTCAGCAGCACTACTCGTCGAACGCTGTCGCTTCCGATGAACAGCCGTGGGAGTGACACTGCTATGAAAAGTCGATGAAGTTGTCCTTCCCGCTCTGGACAGAGGATCTCCTATACCCACGAACGTTGAGGATGTTGCATCTAGGTTAGAAAGAGTTCCAGAAGCGATGGGAAATGGTGGAAGAGGTGGGGGTGTAGGAGATTGACTTAGTGATGAAGGGCCAAGGGGCGAGGGCGCGGCAGAGAGTCGTGGTGAAAGTGGTGGTGACGAAGCAACAATAGAAGCTCGAGGGGACGGTGATGACCCGTTAGAGATCCGTCGAAAGACTGGTGGGGTAGTCGATGGGGCCGAGGCCGTCGACGATGTTCCTGGCTTATGTGGTTGAGATTTTTTGGCCACCTTTTTGGAAGCCTTCCCTGCTAATACCATAGACAGAGTCACTGATTCGGCTGGTTCAGTGCCTTGAGAACATATTGCGCCAGGGGCTTTGACGGACGGCTCGCCAGACGATGAGAGGGGAGCGGCGGAAGCGCGACTGGTAGTATTGGCATCGTCTAGGCGATGCAAAAATGCACCGTTGTGTTCAACTTCTCCAAATCCGAGCCCACGGAGCCCTTCGTACTGTGCGGGCAACGCCATCGCCCGACAATCCTCTAAATCTATTGAAGAAGTTGTGAAGTCAAATGAAAGTGAAGGAAAAAAGTGGACGCACTAAATCTTTTCTCTAGGTAGCTTCTAACGAATGGCACCACCGCGCCGACGTATCCATCCTTGTCTGAATTAATAATATTTCCTGTGGACATACTGGTGGTGCGCGTCAGAACGAAAAAGGAAGACTTGAGCAGGGAAAAGGAATACCCCAGGACGTTTAGGCGGCCATCGTCGCCTGGTTCTCGACCTCCCCACAATAACACTAGCTCGCCTTCGGTTGCTTTGGCGATGACATCGAGGATAGGCCGGACAATGCTAGGAAAGCGTTCAATACTTCTAAAGGCGAACAATGAGCAAACTGAATACAGATAGTGAACATGGGCTTACTTTTGTATTTTCCAGGGGTTCCTTGGATGTCTCCACTCCGTTCCATTTTCTCATCGCGATGTCGTGTTCGTTCTTGCTCATCTTTTGCCATTTATTCCGGTCCTCCTGCGACAACAAATTGAACCTTTCGGTCCTCAAGGCCTGACGTTTGCCCAGTTCGTCCTTCTCACTCAACAATCCCTTCTCTTTCAGCGCTTTTATCTCTTGTTCGATTACACTGTTGCCTTCCCTATCGGCCCACATGAAATGGGCGGGTCGTCGACGAGGTTTCTGTGGGGATTGTCCGACGATCAGTGGCGATGAACGGAGTTGCAGAGAGTGTCCCCGCTCACTTTCGGCATTGTGATAGTCGTGTGTGGCAAACCGACGATAAAAGAATGACTGAACGAGAACTAGGGCTGTGTGAAAAACCTCGGCCGAGGTTAGTTACCTTGCTGGATAGCAAGGTCTACCCATATCCGTTCACTTTGTTGCCGAAAGTTGTGATGGGCAAATACGTGTCAACATGCTCCGAGATACCTAATAAGTCGATACGGCCGGCGAGCGGCAGAACCCTTTACTTTGTGTCTGTCAATTGGAATTTCCGTAGTTGAATAAAGCTTGGAAGGGCCCACATCAGGGGCAGAGCCTGCTACGTTACAGTACTGCAGCAATTGTGTTTATGCTGGCTATGCTAGTCAGTGGATGCTATTGTTGGGAATAGACGTCAGCAGGGAAAATGAACGTAGTGGTAGTGACTCGAATGCTCATGTATTCAGTAGCTAACACGGGGATGGTCATGGTACAAAGTCAAGTTGCGGTAATGATTGGTATTAGTGTTGCCATGGCTTGGTCCCAAGTTGCCGAGTCGAAAAACCCCGAGCCAAGTCATGGCAACGACTTAGGATCCAGAACAGCTTCGCTCAGCTATGACTTGACTTTGCCGGCTTCAAGCCGGCTCAAGCCATTGACCTCATCTATTACCTTGCTGGAAAGCAAGGTCTACCCGAGGTGACAAACCTTCCTATTTAGGGAGAGCTCTGATAATAAAGCCAAATATGTGGCTGTGCTCAATCCAGCAGGCTTGAAGAATGGCTTTGGAATCTGCAAAAACCAAACAACTGCAAATATACCAATTTACAACTAAAGGACAGAGAAATAGTGATTCATATGTGGAACATGTTAACATGAGAATATCCTAATTGATGTGCTTAGTGTAGGCTATCAGTGTCTCTTTCGCATGCATGACATCAGTCCCTATTCCCAACATTCAATAATTAGTATTTTTGAAAGTGCCAGAGGGAAAATGGGTAGTGAAAGCCAGAGGCTTTCCATCCTTTATAAGCAGAAGACATATAACAATTGGATATTCATCAGCAGCTGCTGGGCATATCGCATGTAATTTTTTGATGATTGGAGTGAAAGGGGCATTGTTCTCAATCAAGGGTGTCGTGCCTGCAGTGATCCACCTAACACCATCAACACTATTCATGCTCATCGGACCAACCTCCACAATTTGTAAATCTTGATGGCGAAGGTGCCCCACTTTGTAAGGTCTAACAAAAATTAGTATATTTTCGAGGGAGCAGAGGGAGTCTACATACTTCTTCCCCATCTGAGCTTGTAGTAGATCTTTCACGTCATCTTAACAGCACTCCTATGCCCTGTCATCAGTGTCCATTTGTGCCCCCATGCCCAGACGACTTACTCCCAGCCTTTTTTGATTTTGCCTTGAATATCATTATTGTGAGCATGCTATCAAGTCCCAGTAAGCAGATACATCCTGAAACTGATTAAAAAAGACTTACTTGATAGAGTTTCATGTGAAGAGATACAACCCTTAGTGTCCAGAATCTGTAAATTTCACAGTAGCTGTGGTGCAAGCCACTTTGCAAATTTTCCAGTACCTACTGTGGACCCTACACTTTGTACATTCCCATAGAAACAGACTTTGTAAAGTCTGCAGAACCATTGATGGACTTGTCAGCATGTGCGTGTTTATTTGCCCTTCCCCGCCATGCTTTCTGATCATCGTGTATGACAGCGATGACAGCGGTGAAGTTTCCCCCGATGCCTACCTGTTACAGACTGAAAGATTCAAGATCTATAAATATTGATGGAATCTGAGATTCAACATACAGGAACAACTCAAACGGTCTGGCCTGGCTGCAGAAACGAACTTGGTTTGCTTACTCCCATTGGCAAGCGGTAATACCTGCTACTTGTCTCAGGTCTGTCAGCCGACTAGTCAGCCAGAAAATTCTGCAGTAGGAACTCACTTGTACATCAATGAATTTTTATCAGAGTTCAATGAGGATTTTTGGAGGCCACTTTGACGCATAGTGAGTAGAGTACAGTATTCATAACATAGCTACATATGCTAAATAAGGACAAATGATGTAAGCATCAAAAAAATCACACGTCACACCAACGCCCTCTTCCTCAACTTCATACACTACAGATGGCCTCATCTCGACATCTCCATGAAAAACTGTCAAGTAAGTCTTTTTTCATCAGCTTCAGGATGTATTGGCTTACTGGGACTCAATAGGAAGCTTATGTCGAAGTCATTCAAAGCAAAAATCAAAAGAGGTTGGATGTACGTTGTCTGGGCACGATGGGCACAAACGGAGACTGATGACGGAGCGTAGGGGTATCGTTAAGACGATGAAAAAGGTGTACTACAAGTTCAGATATGAAAGAAGTGCATGTACACCCCTGCTCTCTCGGAAGTGTACTGATTTGCATTAGATCTAACGTGAGAATGGGATTCGTGTACACCTTATCAAAGGTTTCGCCAAGATCGAGGCAAGGCTATGTATCAAGATGTCAAGGAGTAGGAGGAGGGCTCGACTCCTCACCTTGTAGTGCGACGAGCTCCATTTGGGGGGGGGGGGAACCTTGCCTGAAATACGTCAGTCTGTCATGTCTGTAAACTCTGTAAACCGAGACAATGTACGAATTTTTTGGTGATTTTTTCCGATTTTTATGAATTTTTTGCGGGCGAAACGATCGTTTCGCAATGTGTCATGACGCTAAGTGAGCGTGGTGGGCGCTAAAGTCCCAAAAGGAATGTGATGGTGGGCACCACCACCATCAGCCGCCGACTACCATATCAGGTTCAGTCGGGAATTGCAGGGAAAAAAAAAAGAGCTCACCATCTACCGGGCTGTGCCGAGATGCCGAGGCATTCTGGCATTCCAGGAAAATCCGAAAATTCCATAAAAATTGTAATGGATGATCTGGGTGGAACAAAAGAACTAACCGGGTGAGGTATGTCATCTGAAGGCTGCATTTTCATGCAGCTTGACCAGTCTTGTACTGCACCATCAGGAGCACTTCATATTATGACACAATGTATCTCTGGAGGCAATTTAATGGCAGCAAACAACACTGCAGAAAAACAACCTTATCATTAGTGAAAGTTGTTAGGCACTTTGAAGTCCGGGTTGCTGATATTAAGATCTTCGATGGGCAGATGACCTCATAGGGGGCGGGCTGGTTGACAAATCATTGATTCCAGTCATCAGGTGTTGGAGTAACCGAGATGGTGATGTCAGCAGGCAGTGGAGCTCGGCATATGATGGCAAGTGCATATTCAAAGTCCATCGGTAAATGCTGGAAACAAGGCTGGAGTTACGAAACGTAGCAGGGGTACTAGAGCTTTCTCAAGTGTTAACGTCTTGGAATGGGGAGAGTGGGCGAATATTCAATATATTGTAGAGAGGAGTATCACAGACAGCAAGATATTTACTGTAACAGGAATGAGAAATTAGGGGAGGAGCAGTGGTGACGATGCTTACCATTACAGATGGGAACTTGAAGTGTGAGGGCAGATTGTGTTATGCCTCACAAGCAAGGTATTGTGTTACACCAGGGGAAGTAGTCAAAAGTCAAGGAGATAGTGAACTCTGTTTGTGGACAAGAGTTAGTGTGTTGTTGTGGGAAAGTACGGGGGCCTTACCATGGTACGGGTGTGAGGTATAGCTGCTCACTTTGCTTGGGATACTATCCAATATCACGAAGCGGGTAAGCATTGATGCATGAGTAGAAAAATGGTGGTGGAGGACATCATGGGTCGGAGTAGATGAATGTGTGGCATCTGCAACGAGGATGTTTGTGACTGTGACTGTTACAGGCACGAAGGTTCTTGTTACATCGATTTACTATGCAGTGCTAAAATTAGCTCAATCGATGAAATGGTATTGCCTCATCTGAGGTTCGATCCTCAATACAAGTAGTTTTGCCAAATTTACTGATTATCACTGACATTGAACAGTGAACCTAGACTCTTGTTTCATGCAAACCTAGAGTTCTGCAAGTATCTAATAAGGCAGCTCTAAGATTCGGAAAATTTCCCCGATATCAGTTTTCCAATTTTCTGTTTCAACCAAAGGTATACCGCATGTAAATTGCCTACTAAAGATGTGTATGTACAGTCATAAATACCAAGAATATTGCTAGCTCTTCATTTACACCAGTAACAAAACAGTTGGAAGCACACCTTATCGAATACGATGCTTTTCAGGTCCGGTAGCATTGAGGAGGGTGTCAAACATATCATTGACATCTGTTACCAAGGCAGACCATTGTGATGAATCATCCAGATTCTTTCTCCACCAGAAAAGACCAAATATCACTGTGACAATCCCATTCTGGCCTCCTTTGCGCAGACACATAAATGTTTTATTGTACTTGCGTTGCGGCAGCCCCTCCACATTCTGCCTCCAGTTTGGTTGAATCGAATTCCACCACGTTACCATAGCATCACCAAATTGATCGACATCGTTAATAGAGAGAAGATCGCTAAATGAGCGAACGCCATCCAACCATACAGCCAAAACACTTGGCCGTTTTTTAGGCGCCTGTAATTTTCCCTTTGATAAAATGAATGAGATAGAGGTATATTTAGTGACTCGAATAACACACTGAAGACTTCTCTTTACTCAGGATGGTCTCCAAGGCATTCCACTTATCCAGCAAGTTTGCCCAATCATCGCCAAATGTGGGATCCTGCATTGAAGCAAGACTTTGAAGTTGCCAAACAGGGGTGCTCTGTTCACTACCAACGAGAGTTTTCACTTCTCTAGGGCCAGGTGGTTTACGGTTTCGGGCCCGCCAGGGGATCACAGGTGCTGATGCTTGTTTGGCTGATCTATTCGAAAGGCTGTGAGGACGGACTTCAGCCGATGTTTGATTGTTTTTTGTTGCAAGGTCTGACATCGTCTCGACCTCTGACATTACCACATCCTCGGATGGCATGATGGTGGAGGGAAAGGAGGATGGCACAACGGAGGATGACGAAGTAGATGCCATAGAAGACATACTAGATTTGGCGGAGGGAAAGGAGGGTTGCGCAATGGATGAAAGAGATAATGATGAAGCAAATGCCATGGAAGACATGCTAGATTTGGTTTGGGATGAATTGTAGTTCAAATATGTGGGATTGGGCAAGGAAAGGTCAGGTGAAGTATGGCCATAATTGTCCCAGGAGAAGGAATCCGACCAAACATCATTGCTACTCAATGGTGCCGGTATATTAGGTTGAAACTCATTAGTAATGGGGAACGAGTTGTCTTGTAGAAGCTGAAGAAGGGCATAATTGTCATATACCAGGCTTCCTTGAGGGGATTGAAAGAACAGGGCACTGTTTTGGGATACTGAGTTATTTTGAGAGGATTGATAGTACGTGGAATTTGCATTAGGCATAGATAATTGGCCGCTACTCCAAGCGGCAAGGAGTGAGTCTATGTCCATCTCAGAACCTGATGGAATGGGAAAGTCTGGGGTTTGATTCGATGAGAGAAGGGGAAGAGGCTCATCCATGGATGACGTTCCCTGAGGAGGCTCATTAGGAAGGGGCTCATCAGGCAAGGGCCCATCCACGGTGTCCGAAGATGATGTTTCCTGAGGGGGCTCGCCAGGAAGGGGCTCGTCAGGCAGGAGATTGTTCACAGGAGGCAAGTTTGAATCGTTATTGCCTGGTGCCACTTTTGGAACATCACATGCTACAGGATCAACATCCATGGATGATGACGATGCAACAGGTTCCTGAGGCTTCTGTTGCTGTGCTTTCACTCCTGTATACACCCACAATCAGAACTTGGAAACAGTGGAATCAAGTAAAGTATGACGTACATTCCGTATTTCGCATATGAGCAAGCAGAGGGCTGCCGTAGTATGTGTCAGATTGGCATTTGTCCCCCACCAAACCTCCCGGTACCAGACCTATGGCTGCATCTCTGTTGAAATTGTCAAAGAACGTTTCACCAGATGCAAGATCTGTCCCATACTCCCAGCTGTGCTGTAATCAGGCCTGTATCTTGTCAACTATGCTGTGGATGCACCTGCAGCTTCTCAGATTTTGACTACCGGGGTCAATTCCAGCACCAACGATGACGAATCCCCAACCCGTTGAAGAGGCTGGCTGTGGGCACCTGTGGAATAGTGAGCGGGCTAAAAGGCGAACCTCAAAAACCCACACACACACTCACACAACTACACAAACTACAATCACCCTCGTAAGTTCTAGGGGGAGCGATTATTTCTAATGCGATCCAACTATACTTCAATATCTCAAAGAGTTTCTCTTATTCTCAGTGCTCTTAGTGAAGCTAAGCTTTCTCTAATGACTTCCTAAGTCTAGGAACTTTTTACAGGAAGGTCGTTCACTGGCGCAACGCAACCTTCAAGGCAGATTTGAGTTATAATACACAAGGGACACTGATCCCAACAGAAACAGAGGCAATACATGCCGAAACCTTAGTGAGCTCGCTAAATGAACACCACAGGCAAGCACTGACTTAGCCCGCTCGCTACACAACTGTATGTAGGGGTTCTCCAACTAACTCCAGCAGGTTATCTCGACTCAAGAACACTTCAGAAGTGCTCAGAAAACAGATTCAGAAATGGAACTTTGAACAGAACTGACATGGAACAGACTGAAACAGAACAGAACAGAACAGATCTCAGATTTCCACTTCAACACATTCTCTGAACAGACTTATCACACTTAACAGAACAGAAACAGCATCACTGATTCGTATTCACTCTGACTAAGTTCTCAAAAGTCTTATCAAAAGGGTATCTTGTATTTCTCTGAGTGAGCTCGCTAATTCTATGCACAGCTTGAAGTCACAAACTGATCCTTTGTTACAGTACCACCTTCAACGCGTGCACGGGAACTCAGGGGCTCAAAACTTGCCTCTACCTACTGTAACCAACCTACTTATACTACAGGGGAATTAGAATTACAAACATCACACAGTACCCAGACTCCTACATGCGTAGCACGTCGCCACCGCCGCCTTACTGAGCATCTGAGTCGGACTTCCCAGTTTTAGTCTCATTTCTATAGTGAGCTCGCTAAACGCGTGCCAAGAGGTGCTCTCCTGACACTCACGGGCTTGTTCTCTAGCAACCAACAGGTCTAGGTGCATGGAACTATCAGTTCTGGCATATGTCATTCAGGACTTCTTTCTTGGATTCACAGAGGCTTCTCATAGACATGGCAACAAGTGAGTCTTCGAACAATGGGACTCAGAACAATGGAATGCGGGCTCGTGGACTTTGGCTGAAGCCCATTGCCCAAGCTCGTGCCGGTGATATCTGTCATCTTGCTTAAGGATTTCCCTGGATTTTCAGGTACAACACATCACAGTTAGCAAGCGCGCTAAGTATTCTCAGTGTCACTGCAACCTTCAAAGTTCTATCTAGCTCCCGCGAGTGTGCTTGTAAGTTAGAGCCTAAGGCATTGGGTATAGGGTTTGGCCTTCTCATCACGCATGCCTGTCAGGTACAGTGCTGTGACTAAGTCCTGTTTAGAATCCCGTTGCTTCTTATGCCATAAGTTACATTTCATATCATTGCACCGCGTAGCATTAGTGTCGACGCGTAGTTTTAGTCCGCTCACTCACTATCTCTCAGTATGTGTGTAAAACACTCTAGATTGCAAAATTACATGCGTAAATAGGCTGCAGTTGCAACACCACGGTAAACACCAATGGAACAGCCTTTCAAAACAACGTACCACGGCCCATCAGGACCCACCGTGACAGCTACGAATGCTGACTGAGGTGGAACGGGAGCAGGAGCGGCAGGAGTGATGGGAGCCTGGACGACGGGAGCCTGGGTGACGGGAGCAGCAGCATGAGACGAATGAGCTGCCGATGCAGGAGCTGCAGCGTGAGTGCGAATGTAGGGTTGAGGTGTGGTCATGGTAGGGGCACTGGGCACTCAGTCGGAAGCAGGCAGGACCGGGTGGCCTCCAGACCTCGAGCTTGGAAATGGGATGCCAACCATCGTCAGGACTGCTGAAACAGGGATGACATTTGGGAAGGCGCAATTGCTGCAGTGGATGGTGAGCAGTGGGCCTGCTGCCATATCTGCTGAAGCACAAGCATGCGAAGCGGGCTCGACAGCAGCTGTACAGAAAGTTAGCAATGGAACTGATGTAGGACTAGACAAACTTACCATCCATAATCGGAACAGAGATGCCGAGCGCTGAGAGAGCTGCTGCGAGTTGTTCAAGAGAGAATTGGGTCATTGTTTTGTTAGGTGTTGGTGGGTAATTTGAAGGAAAAGAACTGGATGGTTAACATCAGGTTAGTTGGAGAGCTTTTATATGACCAAGGGTAGGGAACTTTACAAAGTTGAGAGAGCCACTTTGTAAATTCTCATTGACAGCTTGTACATGACTTTGTACATTCTCGCATTTTTGACAATTTGTACATTGCCGTGTTGTTGACACTCTGTACATTGTCATGTTGTTGACACTTTGTACATCGCCATGTACCTGATGTTCGCACTGATTACGCAAAATAAAATTATGTGCCTGTATTTTTTTCATTTCGAAACCTATTCCTGCCATCATACAAGTTCACATCATACAAAAACCGACTCACCATATGTGAAAGCGATAACTCTGGAAACAAAACTGATGTTTAACAATACAGATTCCATACGATGGCAAAAGAACCGAAGAACTCCAAGCTGAAAGGCATACGATATGCCTGAGTTTCTGTCCCTGAAATACCAAAATGGACTGTGAAAGCCAATCGCGATCTTCCTGATGACTTGTACTATAGCAGTGGTATGTGAATATTGCCTTTGTTTGAGAATGAGAGCTGAAGATCCTTTGTTGTAGGGAAAGAATTTTCTTTCTGTAAACCAGTATGGTTAAACGACATGGGGCATGGAGCTTGGGATGACGAGGAACCAGGCCCCAATGAGAAAAACCTAACTAGTAGGTGGACTTCTTGGCCTATGACCCAATATCTCCGGTGCCGTCAACTGGCTCGTATGTTAGCTTCAGAGGCAGGCCAGGGAGAGGCGCATAAGTTCCTTGGAATGATGGTGAACCTTTTTATGCACCGCTGGCTGCCAGTATGGGAATTAATGTTTATAGACTATACTGGACATGCCAGAAAGTTAGCTCTTCACCTTATCGGCATCATGGATTCTCCCGATGGCATGCCTTTTCCAAGAATGGATAAAGGGTTTCTCGATCTTGGCCCAGATTTAGCTCTCAACGGATGTGAGCTGGTCCTTCTTATGCAGGAGCAGAGGGATACATTCGGTCAGGTACTAGAGAAACTGCACATTGTGAGTTTCCAACAGTCTCCATTCCATTGTGTTCTAAGCACCATATATTAGTGACTGAGACAATGGTTTCCCAATAACGAAAAGGGACTGACTAGCAGCAGGGGCCTCAAAGCTATACTGAAAACAGACGTTGAGAAGACATGCCCTCCCCAGGTGATGCACATTTACTCGCGTAAGCTCTACACTGAACAGTGTCTCCATGAAAAAATCATAGCTGAAGCGGCAAGGACTGGAGAGTCTCCCAATAATATCGCCGTTATCTCTTGGATGACAAATGTGGAGTGGAAGAAAGAGGTGCCAGAGGTCAGGGCTGAGATCATGAGCATACAGTCGGAGCAGAGGAAGCTGGTTGAGGCAGTGAAAGCTCATCACTATGACAAGATTAGTTTTCCTCCTGGGCAGAAAAAACAGTAAGTTATTGTATTCATGTTGACGATATGATTCTTACTGCAGTATAGGGCGATCGAATCATTGGGAGGGCAATTTAAGAAGATGTTCAAACTGTTTCAGGCCATAATGGTGTTGCAACTGCAGCCTATTTACACATGTAATTTTGCAATCTAAAGTGTTTTACACACATACTGAGATATAGTGAGTGAGCAGACTAAAACTACACGTCGACACTAATGCTACATGGTGCAATGATATGAAATATAACTTATGGCATAAGAAGCAACAGGATTCTAAACAGGACTTAGTCACAGCACTGTACCTGACAGGCATGCGTGATGAGAAGGCCAAACCCTATACCCAATGCCTTAGGCTCTAACTTACAAGCACACTCGCGGGAGCTAGATAGAACTTTGAAGGTTGCAGTGACACTGAGAATACTTAGCGCGCTTGCTAACTGTGATGTGTTGTACCTGAAAATCCAGGGAAATCCTTAAGCAAGATGACAGATATCACCGGCACGAGCTTGGGCAATGGGCTTCAGCCAAAGTCCACGAGCCCGCATTCCATTGTTCTGAGTCCCATTGTTCGAAGACTCACTTGTTGCCATGTCTATGAGAAGCCTCTGTGAATCCAAGAAAGAAGTCCTGAATGACATATGCCAGAACTGATAGTTCCATGCACCTAGACCTGTTGGTTGCTAGAGAACAAGCCCGTGAGTGTCAGGAGAGCACCTCTTGGCACGCGTTTAGCGAGCTCACTATAGAAATGAGACTAAAACTGGGAAGTCCGACTCAGATGCTCAGTAAGGCGGCGGTGGCGACGTGCTACGCATGTAGGAGTCTGGGTACTGTGTGATGTTTGTAATTCTAATTCCCCTGTAGTATAAGTAGGTTGGTTACAGTAGGTAGAGGCAAGTTTTGAGCCCCTGAGTTCCCGTGCACGCGTTGAAGGTGGTACTGTAACAAAGGATCAGTTTGTGACTTCAAGCTGTGCATAGAATTAGCGAGCTCACTCAGAGAAATACAAGATACCCTTTTGATAAGACTTTTGAGAACTTAGTCAGAGTGAATACGAATCAGTGATGCTGTTTCTGTTCTGTTAAGTGTGATAAGTCTGTTCAGAGAATGTGTTGAAGTGGAAATCTGAGATCTGTTCTGTTCTGTTCTGTTTCAGTCTGTTCCATGTCAGTTCTGTTCAAAGTTCCATTTCTGAATCTGTTTTCTGAGCACTTCTGAAGTGTTCTTGAGTCGAGATAACCTGCTGGAGTTAGTTGGAGAACCCCTACATACAGTTGTGTAGCGAGCGGGCTAAGTCAGTGCTTGCCTGTGGTGTTCATTTAGCGAGCTCACTAAGGTTTCGGCATGTATTGCCTCTGTTTCTGTTGGGATCAGTGTCCCTTGTGTATTATAACTCAAATCTGCCTTGAAGGTTGCGTTGCGCCAGTGAACGACCTTCCTGTAAAAAGTTCCTAGACTTAGGAAGTCATTAGAGAAAGCTTAGCTTCACTAAGAGCACTGAGAATAAGAGAAACTCTTTGAGATATTGAAGTATAGTTGGATCGCATTAGAAATAATCGCTCCCCCTAGAACTTACGAGGGTGATTGTAGTTTGTGTAGTTGTGTGAGTGTGTGTGTGGGTTTTTGAGGTTCGCCTTTTAGCCCGCTCACTATTCCACAGGTGCCCACAGCCAGCCTCTTCAGCGGGTGGTACATTGCTTCTTCCTTAACATTGAACCTCTATTGACCTTCTTGCAGGCAAAACGTAAGTAACTTAGTCACCAGTGTCAGGTGGGCATGCTTCTTTTGTTGTGGAACTCGTGCCGCAGCCCAGGCTGCATTTGATGAGGCACTTGCTGCCGGTGCCATGGAAATTCTCTGATTCCAACTCGCCATTCATTCTTGATATTTCTTGGTCTTTTACTGTTGTGTTTCTCATGTCAATCATCATCGGGAGTAGTGCCTATTTCCTTATATACCACTGATTCATACATACAATAGTGTCCACTCATTTACTTATCTCTTTTCAATCCCATCGATCCACACACTCATTAAAGATCTGCTCATTTACTGTTCTATTTATTGTCATCTGTACATGCTTGCTATAAATATGATAGCAGTTGGCCAAAAAACACCGTGTAATCACCAATTTTGATGCATGTCTATCAGTCTGGAAGGGATAATGTATCTAACTTTTTTTTATTTGCAGTGGCTTTATGAGATACCTGCGGAACTTGTTACACTTTGTGGTCTTCAGTCGATGTTCAGCATGTTACTGGAGTTTAAAAAATGGTGCCTGTGTGTTAGCCACTAACTCTATCGACTTAGATCGTACTAGGATCGCTACTCGCACTTCGGTAGACGACACTCTAGTAAGTCAAAGGCGATGAAAGTCGATGGGACAAGTAGTCACGAAGAACGGAGTTCGATGTTAGGTAGATTGAACCTTAGCCGAAGCTGGGGTTGAAGCCAGCTGAGGCTCTACTTAAATACACGTTTCATAGACTAAAAATAGTATGGTGAGAATGTCCGATCAGGACCGCAGTATAGGGTAAGCGTGAATACGAGAAGAAAAAGAAAAAGAAAAGAATAAACCGTAACATTACCCCCTCCCTAAGGCTCATTCGTCCCGATGAGACAGTGAAAAAGCGTCGCTTACTCCGGATGAACCACCGGATTCCCATTCGTCGTCATCGTCGTCTGAAGAGGACTGTCGAGATTCGGAATAAAACGAAGATGGGCCATCTTGATCATCGTTGTCATCATCTTCGTCTCTGTCCCAATTTTCCGTGACCCATTGTATGTTTTCGAGGTCAAGGTTGGGATCCTCCTCCTCTGCGGTCGGTTTTACCATGGGTATACCATCCGCTTCTTCTGCAGCGACTTCTTGAATGTCCATGTACGACTGTGCATCTGAATGTTTTGGGTTGGTACATTCGGAGGAATAAACGGTTTCAATATCCGTGATACACAGGGTGTCTGGATTGTGGTAGACCATTCCTGTGCCGAGGGGTATTTTATCATCGCGGCCGACCATTTTTCCATGTTTGTCGACCTCCCAACGAATCCTTTGAAGGTGGGCTTCGTACGCCATGACTAGTTCTTCTGCATTTGCCATGTCTGAGCGTTTTACTCAGGAGTTCTCCTCCCTCGGGTATCCTTTCCACTTTACTAAGTATTCGGTTATGGTGCGATGGGTTCGACCGCGACCTATGACTTTATCTCGTTGTTCCACAATTTCCTCTATTTCGTATTCTTCTTCGTCATCGATCAGCTCTGGCGGTGGTCGCTCCGGACGGGGTTGGTTTGGGAAGGCAGGGGGCACATAAGGCGTTAGGAGCGATTCGTTGAAACGGTTATGAATCCTCCATTTAACGGGAAGGGTTAACTCGTAAGCCGAGGCCCCCTTCTTTGCAACGATAGTGAAGGGGCCGACGCGGCGATCTCCAAGTTTCTTGGTAGGACGTGAGAGGTTTAGGTTGGTTGCGTCTAACCATACCTTATCCCCTGGCTGATATTCGACTGCTTGGCCTTTATGCTTGTCGTAAGCCTTTTTCATCGACTCGGCCGCCTTTTCTAAGGATGCCTTTGCCTCCCTCTGTGCCTTTTCAATTTCGGTTGCCAGCTTTGTCGCGGCCGGGACTATCGTAGGGTTCTGGGCGGTGGTAATGACCTGTCCGTCCCTTCCGAATATCACTTTATATGGAGAATACCCAGTGGACGAGTGTTGACGATTATTATGGGTGAAGGCCGCTAAGGGCAGCCATTCACTCCAATCATTTTGTCGATCGTTGACAAACATCTTGAGGTACTTTTCGATTTCTTGATTTACCCTTTCTGTTTGTCTGTCCGTCTGGGGGTGGTACGCGGTAGAGGGATTCCCCTCGACGTGAATGAGGGTATAAAACTCCTTCATGAACTTGGAGACGAAAACCGAGCCGCGGTCCGAAATGACCTTCTCCGGCATTATCCCGTAGGGTACATAGACGTGGTCCCTTAGGATCTTGGCGAAGCCGAGAGAGGTGAGCTCCTCAGTACAGGCGATAGGAATAATGGTCTTAGAGAATCGATCGACGATGACCAGAATAGAGTCAAAACCCTTCGAGTCTGGTAATTTTGTGATCATGTCCACCGAAATATGAGTCCAGGGACGGAGCGGAACTTCGTTGGGATGTAAGGGAGCTCTTTTCGGGCGACGGTCCGCCTTGGTCCGCTGGCAAACTTCACATCCTTTCACATATGCCTCCACATCTCACCTCATCCTTGGCCACCAGTAATCCCGAAGCACCAGTTCCTTGGTCTTTTCAATGCCCGGGTGACCCGCGGTGGCGTGGTCATGCTTGAGGGCTATGATCTTTCCTCGGAGGTCGCGATCTACGGGTACGTAGATTCGCCCATCGTACCACAACAAGTCCTGATCATGAGAAATCCCCTTCTCATGGTTTAGGGAGTCCGAAATTCCTCTGTCCCAGTGGCCAGGGTTGTGGGTCGCCACCTTGATTCGCTCGTGCAGCTCTTCGGTGGTGGGCATTATCAGAGCCCTGAAGTGCTCTGCTTTAAGCACTACGATGTCTCGATTATCCTCTTTGCCCTGATCATGGTCCGCCCTTCTCGATAAAAGGTCCGCTTTACGATTTTGGGCTCCGGGCTTGTGATGCAGAGTAAACTGGTATTCCGCTAGCTCCGTTACCCACCGTGCTTGCCGTCGGTTGAGTTTCTGGGGCTTCCGGAAATATTGGAGATTGGAATGGTCTGTCCAAATCTCAAAGTCTTCCCTCGCCCCCAGAAGGTATTGGCGCCAGTCTTCGAGAGCAATCATGATTGCCAGGAGTTCCTTGTCGTAAATTTCATAGTTACGTTCCGTGGCAGACAGTGCCTTGGAGAGAAAGGCTACCGGTCGCCACTTTTCGTCTTGCCACTGGGAAAGTACGGCCCCTACCGCTCCCTCGCTTGAGTCCGCCTCTACTCGAAACCGTCCTTGATCCAGCGGAATGGCTAGTACTACGTCTTCGCGGAATAGCTGCT